GGTCGTGGGAATCGACACAGGAATGTAGCAGGAAGAATGGTCGTGGGAATCGACACAGGAATGTAGCAGGAAGAACGGTCGTGGGAAATATGTACCTTTACGAGCCTGTCCCCGTCTCTGAGCGGGTGAGAGCATGTGGTATCAGCTTCGGGAAGAGGAGTGGCCAGGACGACGGGAAGGATCAGCGAAACGCCGGCGAGGAGAAGGCTGGTCAGACGCATCTTCATTGACGGGCGTCAGCGTCAGCGTCGGGATTCGAGGTCGAGGCCGAGGACGAGGACGAGGACGAGTCGATCCGGTCTCGATTGACGTCGAAAAACCAGGCCACTTGACTTTTGAGATTGTCTGTCAAGGTCGCCAACAGCTTGGTTCCCCCTTTGCAAGGATCGCAAGGACCTGTTCGTGTTGAAGCGGTGGCTTGGCTCGAGATGATATCGAAAATGACAATGGACATCAATGCACTTCCAAAAGTCCCGAACACGAACGCTTGCGCAATTGTTCAACATGGCAGATCAGCAAGCCTTATATACTCGGTTACCTAGTCGCTTTGACGGTGGACAGCCCATCTCAGACCCATCTCGGACTCGGACGTCTAGCCTCACCTCACCTTTCTGTATTGTACGGTGAGAGCTGACGATCGATCACGAGGGTTTGTGGCTGCCTCGCATGTATGCATGCACGCATGGCCAGGCGTACCAACAACTTTTGCACTCACGGCGTACATGTGTACTATCGTATTCCAGTACATAGCGATCCAATAACGTTGGCGAAGATATTCTCACAGTCAGCCAGCCCGAGCAAGCCAGCCCGAGCCCGCCCATGGAGCTGTTGAGGCTGAGCCGCTTGCCGCGGTGCGCGTAATCTCGCGTTGTTTTTATGCCATTCAGATTCAGATTTCGCATGCCGTCTACCTACACAGTAAGCTAGTCGTGTTCGTTTGTGCTGCGGAGCACAGATTTGCCAGTCAGTCACTCAGTCAGTCAGTCAGTCACTCAGTCAGTCAGTCAGTCAGTCACTCAGTCAGTCAGTCAGCCAGTCAGCCACCGCTGTCAAGAAGAGTTGAGAACCGTCAAACCAGAGAACACGGACGCGGACGATCAATGCATCGTACGAAAAGTGGGACCAGAAAGGTACAAGTAATCGAGAGAATAGGCCAACGTCGGCAAATCCACGTTGTGACAAGCGATTGAAGTCTACTTCCGCGTCGACCAGTACGAGCACATACATAGCCCGGCGGATATTTCTGACCTCTGGAAAACCAAGGAGTGGTTCGATGACTGCTGTATCCACCTCGTGTGGTGTGCGAACCCAGAAGCGGAGAAAATGGATGGACTGGCCGGAAGTGGAAAGCGTTGTGGTTCTGGTTCTGGTTCTTGTTCTGAACGGGGCGTGGCGTGGCGTGCACAGGAAAGCGTCCAGTGTTAACCGAACGTCCCGTGAACAATGTACGGTAGGTATACGAAATCGCTGTACTCGTGATTGCAGCGGGACGGTCGTGGTTTAATTGGCGGGGGAGCATGTGCCGTGTTGGTGTGTTGGTGTGTTTGGTGGCAGTCGATTCGACAGCTTTGCTCCCTGGAAGCCATGCATGATGCTGTGTAACCAACGCAGTGGTGGTGGGTGGGAGGCTCGTGTTCATCCTCGTACGGTCCGTGGTGCTGTGAAGGCTTACCTGAGGTAAGCTTCCTGGCCATTCAAGACGCACCCAGTGAGAAGGGCGGTCCAAGCGAGCTGCTGTCCAGATACATGCGACGCGATATGCAGGGCGCCAGAGCGGCAGGACGGCAGACAAAATACGAGGTGACACAACCACCGTGCCACCTAAGTGCGCGAGGGTCCAGAGCTGTACTGCGTAGCGGCTTGAGACAGGCCTGAAGATGTTGGCGTGCACAGGCCTGATTGCCTGACTGAGCAGGGTGACACAGTAAACGTGCGATGCGGCGAAACGGGGTGTGAGTGCCTGCTTGGTCAAAGGGGTGTTCGATCTGCCCGAGTAAATACTCGGTAAGGAATTCCTGAGTACTGTGTAAGTACTTGGGTAAGGTCAGGCTGAGGATCTGAACTAACACTTGGGATAATTCATTACCAATGTTCTCATCAGTGTCTTCACCTGCCCGTCTATATACTCCGTACTGGGTGTGTAACGCTTAGCGATAGTCCACTACCTGGTACCTACGTATACCATGGCCTATCTATGGATTGGTCACATGAAACACGCCACCAATCTCATGCGACGTGTAAGCGCAATGTCACTGTGAGTTCACTGGCCCGTTTCGACTGCCTAGGTACCTCAGAAAGAAAATGACGGTTGGGATCGGCTGTGAGAATGGCGGGGATGACATGGCGGTTTTCAGTACGACTTCACAGAAAGACCATAGCACAGAGTACTCAGTCTATCCTTGAAGTCGTCAAGGGAACTTCGCGCGAATGAATGTACTCGTACTGTGTACACTCGACATTAGTTCGGCCTACAGTTGTATCGTCGTAGTTTTGATCCACTCCGTACACAGTACGCTATTTGAGAAGTCAAGATCGTCTCCATTTCGACAATTGTCTGAAACTACAAGGCCTTCAAGGATATCCTAACACACCATACAGGCAACGTGTCGACCTACCTATGTACCTTCTGCATATGGTGGCAGAAAACACTAGCACCGTAATGGTACTCCGTAATGCTCTTCCAAAGCCAGGCTCGTCGCTGGTCGTGCTCAGCCAACTTCCTCGTACATACTCTACACCATCAGCTATCAACTGATCTCTACGTGACAGACAATCATCCTCCCATGTTCTTGACACGCCTCATTATGCTCAACATCTGCAGGCCGTCCATGAATCGCCCTCAAAACGTCGGATCTCGATCCAGCCGATCCAACTGGATTCCGTCTTCCTCCATCCGCACCACCTCTCGGCCACTTTGCATCTTGTAACGTGCGTTGGCAACACTGTAAACGCCAAATCCAAGCACAGTGGCTCCCGCAGCGGTAGCCACTGCCTGGTCGAGATCCAAGAAAGAATTACTGGCGCGCGGGTAGAAGTGCCCCGCGAATATCTTCAGACGAGACCAGACTGTGATTGTCCTGCCACTGCCACTGCCACTGCCACCAGCAGCGGCGAGAACGGAATGAGAAAATTGAAGCGCGTTCATTGCGCTGGGCAACACGCTGAGTAGCGCTGTGGCAGGGACAAAGATCAGGCTGATCCATGTGCTTGTTCGTGCCAGTCGTTGTGTTTGTCTGATATCTCGTTTCCACTGTGTCACCCGTACGCCTCCTGTTTCTCCTCCCACTGGTGCCGCGTTTCGTGGATCTCCCTCGGTCCTTGGTCTGGCTATCTCGACGGTTGCCTGTTGCGAACCGTCAGGATTCTCACGCGGCAATCGTTGCCCAGCTTCCTCAATCTCCCGCGGAGGTCTTCGGAAACGAAGCATGTAGGTGACAACCGTAGAGCCGGTAATGCTGCAAACGGCCAGTATGACAGGGATGGCGATGACGAGGCCTGTAAAGTCGGCAACGAACGATCGGGTGAAGGCCGGTTTTTCTTCGTCACTCGGCGCGCCCGACGGATTGTATCGAATGCCAGCAAGCTCGTTCACGCCGGAGAAATGGATATAACATTCGGTGGCAAGGCACAAGAGGCCGACTATTGCCACGGATATTGCACGACGGAGACAAAACATCCACGCAGCAACAAGGAATAAAATGACACTTATCGCCATAAAGGATTCGATGACGCTGAAAGGTGCCTCAATGGCGGCGATGGACTGGGCGAATCGATTAGCTTCGATGCCCCTGGACAACTTCCCCGGCATCAGTCGCGAAATCTGCGATATCAGGTGGCCGGCAGCGACGGTTGGAAGCGTCAAAATCGCCACCAAGTCGACGTCAATGGATCCCGACGTTCGTTTCCTGGGATGAAGAGTCCACGAGACCAGAACGGACAAAATCGTAAGGTACCAGCAGGCGATCGTGCCCGGTCCGTAAAGTGACGAGACAAGGGCGTATCGTTCTGGCATCTGCTGGCCTGTGTGCTCCATCGTGGAAATCGGCAGTAAGGCTTATGTCCTGTTTGCACCGTCTGAATGTAGTAGTCCATCCAAGGCCAACAAGAGCATGAGGCTTGCTGTGGTGCTGTTGCTGAACACGCTCAGGTCCACAACAAATAAGAATGCGCCTAATCCCACTCGACGTTTCAGGTCTTGGCTCAGTGTGCCTTGGCCGCCTTCTAGAGCTTTACCATCTTCGAGATCGAAGGTGAGCAGGGTATCCATTGCAGCCACCATGTCTGGTCAGCGTAGATCACAGTTATAGAACGCAAAGAGCAACGGAGTGTATGTAAAGGTAAAGTCGCCATTGAAACAACCTGTCTCGCCAACATGGTATCTCGAAATCTGCCTCGAAATACGGCAGTATATCTTGCCAGCGGAGGGGATCATCGTGATCAGAGCTGGGACGCAGGTAGGTAGGTAGGTGCGAACTTCCCAGCTTGATCCACACACCGTTCTAGCAGGTGTATCAATACTCTGATACTCTCGACACAAATCAGACGGCTGGGATTCGCCCAATGTCCAGGGGCATGTATGTACGGTTCAAGATCTGTTCATGGCCGCCTCACATCGTCTCAGCGGCATCAGATCAGATCAGATTGGACAGCACGAGCATCGAGATGCATGATGAAAAACGATCACTCAAGCAATCATGATAAGGAACATATTCGAATTCGGCGGAAGTGATCAGAGTCGATGATAGTACTCCATCCGTGAAGATAGACATGTTCTCCACGCAGGTCCAGAACTCTGGCTTGCAGATGAGATGAACGGAATTCGAAAGCTGTTTCGTATTTGTCGATCTGCTCTTTCACCGCCAATGTGAACGAGACTCGCATTTCAAAGATGGCCCAAGGCAAGATCAATCCGGGGCATCTTATAGTTGAACATGCTCGTCCGCTAGATTGGCATCGATCGTGCATGTGTACCTTATGTACATCTCTGCGGTGGTGAGTCTTCTTCTACCATCCCTCCCTCCGCCTCATACGAACCCGCACGTCATGCTTTGGGTTCATCGCACCGGCGCCGACTATGCGACCTGGGTGCACCCACTTCCCGCCATTGTCGACGGGCTCGATATCCCACTGCATGATGATCGCGGCTCCGAACAGGACGACTTCCCTCTCGGCGAAGGTCTTGCCTTTACACATCTGCTTGCCGCCTCCCCAGACTTTCATCGTCTTGTACTCCACTCTGACCTCGGCTTCGTCTTCCGTGGCACCGTTGACATGACCATTCTGACCCTTCTCTGTTGCGTGGCTTTCCTTGGCCCAGAACCGTCTGGGGTCGAATCGCTCGGGGTCGCGGAAGTATTTCTCGTCGCTCTGATGGACCCCGTGTGGAATGCAGATCAGTTCGCCCTTCTTCAGCAGCCAGCTCTGAGGCTCCTTCTTGCCCAAGTTGCTCGCATCTTTCTCGTCCTCGTAGACCACAAAGTCGTCCTCGACCATCTTGTATGACATGCTGGGAGCTTCCAGGCGCATTGCCTCGAAGAACGCCCCTTTCAGAAGAGGACATTTACCCCACAGAGCAGCGACGTCGATTTCAAGCTTCGGTTGTTCCTTGATTGGAAGCCCTGTCGCGGCCGGCTGGTGAAAGCGCACGTAGGGAGTAATCTCGCGCCGAACCTCTTGGAGCAACGACGGGGTCGAGAAGACATACCATACCATCCAGAAGATCACGGCATTTGCATTGATGTTCATGGCCCACAGAAGCGCTCCGTTGCCCGTCGCCCATCCTCTAGGCGAAGATCCTGCCGCCCGGAACGCTTGCGCACGATCAATAATCACGGAAGAGACATCAGACATGTCACTCCACCTTGGCCCGGGGTCCTGACCGTCGAGATACTTGAACAATGCCTGATGATGTTCGTCAATGGCCTGGACGATCCGTTCTCTTGCTTTCGCTGGCCCCCCCATTCCAGGAAACCAGCTCGGTGCGCCGGTCAAGAAGAGATTGAACCGCGTATCCATCTGCCACAGGTCCGGCATGATGTTCGGGTTATTCTCCATAAAGTCCTTCCCGAACAGTACCGTGGTGGCAATGTCGCCCACGAAATACCTTATCAGGGGCATAAGACTGGCTTCGGCGATGAAATCCCCGTCGCTCTTCCCCTTGGACAGAATCTCGACATTCCCCTGGCGTTCCCAAATACTCTGGTCGACAGGACTCACTGCGCCCGAGATCATATTCCACGTCCTTTCCTGGACCATGTCGACGGTAACCTTGATGGCCGTAGTGACGAAACTCTCGCGCAACATGCCGGACAGGACTCCGTGGATGTTGCCCCACAGGTGAGCCGGATCGATGGCTCTGATCGCACCGCCATCGCCCCAGAAGGTCTTCATGACATGATAGATGAAATCCTCCATGGTGATGGGGCTGCTCCTGTCCATCAAGATTTGTTTCGCCAGACTAGGAACCGTGACAACGTTGTGTTTGGAATTCGCCATCCAGAGGGCGTAGATGGAGCCATTGCCTCCGAGTGACCGGGCTGCGGCGGTCAAGAAAGTCGTGCCCCCTGCGGCAAAGTTGATCGCATGGCCGATCCATGGGATCCAATACGGAAGAATAGGCACAGTTCGCGGACTGTTCCCCTGTGGCTGATTCGACACCGTAGCGCGGTATTGGAGTCCCGTGACGACGCGCGTGGCAACGGCGACGACGAAGAGGAGAACGATAAGTGCCTGGACTGGATGATGAAGAGCTCCTGTGACGGTGTGGTGGAGGAAGGAAGAGCTCCGCTCCTGCTGAGACACGTCCATGGGTGCGATCAATTAGTTGAGCCGTCGTCGAAATGCTCAAAACTCCAGCTGAACTTGCCAAACCAGACCGGACCAGGTGAAGATGATCGCTATGTACACATTCCACTCGGCAGACAGTTACGCGCTGCGCTCTCTCCGAGGGTGGCTGCTATTATACTTGACGGGAGGTCGTCTCGAGAAAACGGCAACAGCCCAACTCGTGTGATAATCCTGTGGCGTGTGCTCGATCCGTTACACCTTCTCGGAGACTGTCAAGGAGGTCTATGATGCTTGATGTGTCTCTGCGGCTCGTGAGGCAAAGGCGAATGGTCTAGGTGCCCCCGATGATTTCTTGGTGGGATGCCTTAAACTTGATCAAACAGCCGCCCACGCCGCACTGACTCTGGCGCGTGCATCCGGCTCGTTAAACCCGGAGCCTAAATGCTGCTGACATGGCATGGCATTCCTCTCTGGAAATTGGCCATGAATCCTGCCTGGTGTCGAAGCAATGTCTACTCGTACAGTACGCAGTCCGATCGGAGCAGAGCATAGCGATTAAAAGCCGCGATAGATTTCCTAGGCAAATACTCCGTACGTCTGAAGAATGCCGCGCTTGCATCAAGCTCTGTATTCCCCCTTCATCCGGTCCGGTGATGTACAGTACAAAACAAAGCGCGCTGTCGACGCTGCCATCAAAACTTCTCTGCGAGTATCTTCTTCAACTGCCCACTTTGAGCCTCATATTTCATCACCTTCTCCTGGCTGGCCATCGCCTTGCTCAGACACCAGTGGATACGAGGCTTCAGTTCGCTTGGTGTCCCCGGCAAATCTGCCAACGTCCTCAATTCCGCCTCGTATTTCTCCACGTTCTTGTTTTCCTGGCCGATCAGCTGTGACAGAATAGCGAGATCGAGCCGCGCCTTGAGGACTTCGTCGTCCGTCAAGTATTCGAATGCAGATTGGTAGACCGGTTTCCCTGGTTTGATGCCGTATGGTCGACCGTTCTTCGAGGTAATGGATATTAACTCGGCCTGCTCGAGAGCTTGCAGCACAGTCTCCCCGTCTTTGAACAGATCGTTGAGAATGAATTCGTTGTATCGAAGAGTTTCGTTGGCCGCCAGCTCCTTGACCAGCAGCCATGCTTGCTGAGGCGTCCATTTGCGGGTCGACACATCGACGTCAAGGAGATACATTTTCAAGATCTCTGACGCGGACTGCTCGATGATTTGACGTACGGCTTCTGTTTTCCTGCATTAGCACCGAAACACAGCAAGAGCGAGAGATTGACATACTGCCGGGCGATTCGCCGGTTTTGATCCGTCTCGCGAGGAACTCCAGATCTGTCAGTCGACCTCCAAGCACTTGTATCACACCATCCAGCTCGTCAAGATCGCTCCGCCTGTGCGAAGCATCCGCTTTCTCCTCACCCGTCGGGGTGTTCTCGTCAGTGTCGCCATCCGCGTCCAGGTGTTTTAGGACGAGTTTCTTGGCCACTTCCGGAGAACAGTCGCTCAAAGTGATCTGGCGGAACACACGATCCGGCAGCGCCTTGCTAAGTGATTTGGAGAATGAAACATCCGTCGTCAGGAAAATCACGTGGGCGATGTTCTGTGTCGTCAGCACGGCAGCCCATTCCCCAATCTTGTCGTAGACCAAACTCGCCGATCCCTCGTTATTTTTGTGGAGGAAGTTGTCAATCACTACCACCGGCCGGCATTCGGGGTGGGCTTCAAGCCATTCGTCGTCGGCCATCTGAGGATCCTTGTCTTCCTTCTTACGTGGAGCCAATGCGATCTGCTTCAGTGCAGTCGTCGTGTTGCCCCAGATCTTGGCGAGTTGATTGTCCAGTGTCTCGGAAAATCCAGCCTTGGTACCGATCGTGGCGGTTGCAGCGAGATCGACCATGCTGCTGATACTGTTCATCCAGGAGAACACCGGTTTATAGCCGACTTCTGCGGCGGCTGCAGCGATGGTGTTGCTGTCTCCTCGGGCTTCCTGGATCTTCTTGCAATCAATGATCAGAGTATTGGGGCGATCCTTCAGTGCTTGGTCCACCACCAGCTCTTTCTTTCCGGCGCCGCGAGGCCCTTGCACAACTATAAAGGTATCGGCAGTCTCGATCAGCCACGTTTGTAGTTGGTTGATTGCGCCCTGGCGATCCTCCCAAACAATTCGGAGATTCTCGTCGTCACGCTTGTTCTTTCGGAACCGGATGATGTCGTAACCGCGCAGCAGCTGGCCTCTGATCCACTTGATGATGGGCTGATCCTCCATATGCAAGCCGTGAGTGACATGCATTCTGATGAAGAAGGTCCTGATCGGATCGAACACAGCAACCGAGGCGGCCGTGAGAAGGGCAACCAGGATGGGAATGACGATTCTCGGGTGGTTCGTCATCCAATCCCAGATCCAATTCGTCCTCTTCTTTGACTCGTAGCTCAATTTGAGTAGAGTCCCTGTTTTCCCGCCTCCCTCTTCTGGAGGCACTACGTAGCCATGCATACAGTTCTTAGCCATGGTTGCAAATCTAACTCGGGTATAGTCGATAGTTCCATATTTCGGGGTGACTTTCGAGTCGGAAGGTTGCGAGGCGATCTCTGAGAGCTTGCCGTACCTGCGGAACAGTGAGTACAAGGTCTCCTGGGTCAATTCGGCAGCGGTATTTTCCGGCGCAGTAGGCAGAAATTCCACCTTGAGTCGAGCTGTAGGCAGGCGATATAGATCCTCAATCCACGGTTTGCCCTGCACTAGGAAAGCCCGAACTCTTCTCAGGGGATTGAACCATGGTCTGATCGGCTTCTCCTGGAGATATTGCTTCAGTGTGCTTTCTAGTTCGGTGGAATTTATTCCTTCGTCATGAGAGAACTTGACAAATGCGCCTCCTTCGCGTAGCCGGGGTAGGATCTTTTCAACACGCAGAGGCAGGCCTTCTGGCAGAGCTCGTTTGATGATACTGCCCGGATCGGCTAAAGCAAGGTTGGGCTGGTTGACCTTGCTGAGGGAATCTGCCAGGAACTTGTCCGGGTTGAGGTATGGGATGCGGTTCAGCCATTGCAGCTTTAGTGGGAAGACATCTGCGACGCGGTCAGTGCAGCTCTTCGAAGTATTTGCTTCCAGCTTGGCTCACTATCGAAGAAGAAGATCCCTTGATTCTCCTGGGTCAGGATGTGGCCTGATTCGTTGTCGCCAGACTCGGTGGATGTCGTTCTCCTGCTTGGAGCAACTGCGGGCGCTCTAATTGTTGGTCGAGCATTTCTCCCTGTGTAGAGCAGCTGCTTTCTAGGAAAAGTTGTCAGAAGAGGACCTGGCCGCCCGAGGGAGCGTCCAGCAGTCCTCGAGAGTATCATCGTCACTGTCCCCTCAGCATGGTGGGATTGAAGGTGTGTCCATGTCTACAAATCTTAGCTGTCCTGTATATTGACAGAGACTGGAGTTGATGACAGCGTCGAGTGCCTGATCACAGATCTAACAAGTCGGCTCTTGTGACCACAAAAGCTTGCTGCCCGCCGTCACCAGCTGCCACTTGCGCATCCAGTTCGGCGGGCGCATTTGCTCAATGACGTAGCAGAAAGTAAATCTGTGGCTGCTTCTGTGGCTGCTTCTGTGGCTGTGCATTTTTCACTGTGGCTTGAATCCTTGGGACACTTTCAACGCGTCCACTGTTCCGTTGGCATCTCTTCTTTCGAGCAAAAGCGACTGCCTCGAAGATGAGCTGGTGGTGGAAGCCTAGGGCTGCTGCTCCGAGCAGCGAGAATGGCGACAACACTGCTCTACCCGTTTCGCCGACTCCGCAAGAAGTTTTGGCAGCTCCGATCAGCGCAACAGCTGCTCCTCCCGTTTCAGAGCCAGTCACTCGTGTCCTAAGTAGAGAAGAGCAGGCTGAGCAGGAGTGGGCATTGTTGTTGAGAGACCTTCAAGCAGAAGCTAGTGATGGACGGACTGAGAAGACCACATCCACCCAGAAAGAGACGGGATCGCAGGCGACACTTACTGGGACCGACATCTCTCCCAACTCGTTGTACCCGACCGATATGTCCTGTCGTTCCGCCTTCGACTATGCAATGTTCTGCCAAAGCTTCGGTGGTCAGTTCGTCAACGTCTACCGTCACGGTTCTTTCCGCTCATGTTCGAATCACTGGGACGACTTTTGGCTCTGTATGAGAACAAGGAAGTGGGACAAGGCGGACCGCGAGAGAGCTATTCAGGAGCATTACCGGAAAAAGGCAGTTAAATGGAAGACCGGGCCCAGCAGTGAAGATGTATGGGAGGTTCGAACAGAGCCCGTCAAGAATCCCATCTCTGGAAACCTCGCTGAACTCGAGGCCGAATTGGAGCAGTTGAAGAAGAATAACCCAGCTGTATCAGAAACCTGGAGTCCAGCACAGTAGCAGGAAACACTAATGGTCAAATTCGCCATGAAAGGAAGGGCTCCGGCTGAGTCGTAGGTTTTCGGGTTTCCTGTCACAGTCATCAGCGGAGGCTCAATATTACACCGCTCTGAGTACCCTTCACCTGTTGACTATGCTCTTCACGGCGAATCAGGCAGTCAAGAGCACTGGAACCATCCAGCGAACAAACTCCGCTCTGATCACGATTGATAACCTTTCCTTTTTATCTCCTCCGACGTACCCACCTCATTCAACGGCCATACTCTGATAGGCTGTTGGGAGCCATGGAGCCACTACTTCGGGTCCTGATGGCCGAGGAGCCAGTCTCTATGACGCCTCAACGAGCTTTCGAGCAGGCAGACGACCTCCTACAGCAAGCCGCAGCCCTACGAGAAAACGCCAATGACCTCCGGGAGCAAGCTGATTTCATGTATCAGCGAGCCAACACCCTCACCAAAACCGCTAAAGGCCTTCAGCAAATCGCCTACCAAGACCGCGAGGCTATGCAAGTCATGTGGGACAAAATCCTACGCATGTCGAAGGAGGATTTCGAGTTGTACTTGTCTGACTCCAATCATGCTGCTCGCTTCAAGGAGATGGCGACACGCGTTGAAGATGGTTTGGTCAACGTAGACCAGATGAATGCATTCCTCAGCGACTTCCTGGATTCCATCGATAGTGGGAATCATCGGAGGTCAGCAGCACCTGAACCAGAGATCCCAGCAATGGGCGAGCAAGCTGCTCGGAGCCTTTTGGAACCGGAGCCGATCTGCAAACCAACCTTGAAACGACGAATCTCTACTGCCAACGAGGGAGACGAGGCTGTCCCATACCCAGCGGCAAAGAGGCTGAAGAGAATGAGACACAATGAAGAATCAGGACCATCTTCAGATGGAGACAAGACCATCAACGGCCAAGCTGTACGACCTCGTTCACGTGCGCCTACGGATCGCATCGTTTGCAGTCCCCAAGCCTCGACCGATGCAGGAGAAACATCAGGGACTGAATCGGACTCTGCAGAGTATGAAGAATCTGGTGGACACCGGGTTGGATCTGAGGCGACGGACTCGTCTGATGAAGAGGAAAAGGCATCTTCCACATCGAGCGACATTCATACTACAACAGAAGCCTGTGACTCTGTCGACGAAAATTCCTCGACGTCCAGTGATGACACGAAATCCGAATCCGGGCGGTCATGTACACCAACCAGCACGTCAGCATCTTCATGAAGTGCCGACTCTGCTGATGATATTGCGGTTCAAGGAGCCAAGGCTCGTCCGGAAAGTACGAGCCGGACTGCGCGCCACAGCGCGAGCGAGATGGTTGCAGCCCCGACAGGTCAAAAGGACAAGAAGCGGAAAACAGGTGCCGAGCCACTGCGCAAGCGAGGCAACACAAGAGATGAGCATCGATCATAGTTTGGTGTACCGAGTGAACAAACCTTGAGGCCGAATTCATGTCCATGACCCAGTGATAGAGCCCTCTGAGAGAACCAGAGCTGGCTGTGGCCACGGCCGGGAAGCGACAGATCTACTGGAATCTGACAGATCAGCAATGCGAGGATGAAATGAATCTCAAATCAGGTGTTCTCCTACTCACTTCACTACCAGAGAGCAGATGAATAGCAGCGGATCGATCTTGTCACTTGACATTGTCGTCGCCGAACTGAACACCGCTCCAGACCTCGATATCAGCTCTTCTTCAAGTCCTCTGTTTGTCAATCACCTTGATTGCGTCTGCCTCTCTTGCATCTCGATGCTCCAGCATCACTCATATTCACTTCCTCCGCGTGTTGTTTGATATTCTTGCTTGTTTTATCTCTGCGACTCACTATGGCGGCTGTCTCAGCCTGCTCAAATCTGCACTATCTGGAGGCCGACTGTATCGACGAGCAATATAGAGTCCTGCAGGTTCTTTCCGACGATCTCCACTATGCCTCGACCATACTCAAATACAAGGTCTATGATGTTGAGAGCCGATCTTTCACTGTGAGAAAGGCAGCAAAGGAGGCGAATGCAACCGATCTGTACAGCGGCAGAGGCCTGGCAAACGTGCAGAATGAAGAGAAATGGCGAGTGAACCAAATGCTGAAGAACAACGCCATGATGCTCGACCTCGCCGAGCAGGTCAAGATTGGTCTGAAGACTCTAATTGAGATTGTCTGCGCCACCCCAGGTGCTGTTCAGGCGGATCTGAAGGCAAACAACGACCTGCGGGAAGGTGACATTGAGATCGACTCGGACGCAATCTCAATCAAGAAGGCGAGCTTGGGTCCGCCACTCGAAGATCAATCAGCCAAGGGATTGACTCAAGCGCGACACATCTTTGTTGACTCTAGCAGATTTGTCCCTGTCAACTTCCGGGAGGCGTCAACTCCAGTTCAGGGGGAAGTTCATTCTAACAAGTGCAAGATCGACAAGCCGCGACAAGTCAAGAAGGTCTGCTTCGTCGAAGATGCCGCAATGTCAAAGTGCCAGGCAGCTACGAAGGCTTTGTACAGCATCGTGGAGCCTTTGGGTCATCGAGACGACCCGCAATGCAGCACGAACAAGGTATTCTCTCACGTTGAGATCCCAGACAGATTGACTGCGAAGAAGCGGAAGGAGAACGCCGAAAGAGCTCATTCACCAGCACAACCCTGCAACATGGAACAGATGGAGAAACAATTGCATGCCTGGATCCCAAACAAGATCACCATGCCATGTCTACCCGTTGATAGAGACTTGCAAGGGCTGATGACCCCGAACGCAGAAAGAATTCAACGAGACTGGGCATACGGGCCAAAGACCGTGGGAATGGACTAACATCCCAGGTGCTGTACGCACGAGCTGGCGACTCGGAGATCTGGAAAAGACAGTCATGATGACGAGGTGCGCCACATGGGCTCGGAGCCGCATGTCGCAGCTCAGACAGGAATGTGCTCTCCTGCTGGGAAGACGAGAAGTGCTGGAGGAGCATGATCCTCCTTGCTTGAGCTGCCGTTCGCACACAATACTTAGCGACTTGATGCTGGGATTCTACGGGGGCCAGCAATTGCCTTTGGGATTTCATGGTCACACAAAATCTCGACTCTTTGGGAAGGAGACAAAATTGCCGGCGTTAACATGACCATATGCCACATTTCAAAAAGTACTTCAGTCGATTGGATAACTCGAACCACAGTTTCCTCCATGTTGATCCGACTTCATCTGATATTTCATCCGTGCTTGAGACGCAATGCGCCGGTTGTGCCGCGCCGTCCGCTGATGATACTCTAGTGTTTCTGCTCCAATGCAAGTCGATTTCCATATCGGTTGTATAGTCTTACCTGGGTGATCACCGTGGAATCGTTCGTGGTCAAGTCCACCAGGCGTACTCGATACAAACGAAAGAAAGCTGCTTCAGTGATCATTCAGCTGACAATGCCTTGGTCGATAATTAGTGCTCTGCACAACTTCTACCTGAGATAAGTCGTCCAAGCACATGTACCATCTTATTCTCATGCCACATTACAGCATTCCTGATCACCAGACCTCTGCAGTGGCAAACGTGTACGCCGCCCTCCGTTGAAACACCGCTGTCGAGAGAGGAGAGTGATGACCGGTCAGTCATCCTTGTTGGCAGCTGTACTGTACCAATGAGGACGGACTCCTAGCCAGGGTCAACAGCGCCATGATTCACAAGCAAGGAGCCCATGAAGATATAAGGGCATAGGGGGTTCTTACACGAACAAAGTCGCGCCGCAGCTCTACGAGACAATCGCCGGGAGTTTGGGAAGAAGCCGTCACCGTCCAACCAGCCAAAGGAATCCAACTACTTGCCTCAAGCTTCTTACACCATGGCCGGGACTGTCCAGAAAGTCGTCCTCCTCGGGGTATTTGAGATTCCCGATCCGACATGCTTGATGTCAAATGATCTTCTCATGTGATCGAGTATTAATATTGGGGAACAGATAAGTAGGAAGGCCATAATAGCCGAGCTCGCTGCGGCGTGCCTCGTCGTGACGGCTGCATTACGAACAATGAGCATCAAGTTTCCGGATCCATCCATCCTTCCAGCAGTGGTGGACTACCGCTCGCAGTCTTCTCATTGAAGTCCCCCGAGGTCAAGTTGCGGTCGTCATGGCCATTCCTCCTAACTCTTCGCCGACGGGGTATCGTCGTTGGTGCGGTACTTGCCTCGGGAAGCGTGAAGCATGTCATCACACTAGCCTTCGCGGGCGACGCCTTCAACGAATATAACACGGAGTTGCCATTGTATGCTCCCAGAGTCAAGGCGCAGAAAACGTTGGAGGGAAATTGAAGGGGCTACGCGAGAAGTAGAGTGCTATCATTACAGGGGGTTGGTATTGGGTAAACACCTCCAGTCTCAAACCAATTTAGAACCCCGAACACCTCGAACGAGATGGCGAGATACTAGACAAGATGTATCAAGGCTAATACCATTACTCCCGTCTGACGCACAGCAATTCCGCTAGGATACTACTGGGTCAATCCTCTCGTACACCGTCCTGGTACTGATCCGGAGGAGGCCAGAGGTGCAGCATGTGCCGTGTCTCGACTGCCGCAAGAGCAGTGTGCAATGTGCGGTGTCTTCAGAGACTCAGCGAATTCCTAGAGTCGATTCGTCTACGTAGCTGACTATACGGTGGGCGTGAACATGGCTGGCGCTATCACTGAAAGAGGCCAGACTTCACTGGAATGTGGTACAAGTCGACTCGGGCGAACTGTCTGCCACGGCGAAGATGCTGTGGGATGAGGACAGAAATGAAAGGTGTCGCTGTTGACCTTCTGACTCCAGGTAAGTGCCCGTTCAGCGTAGTTTCCTGCTTGCTCGATATGCTAACCATCGTTCCTGGCGCAGCATACAACATGCTCGGCACGTATGGGATATTCGAAAAGACCAACACTTATGGCGGCGCTGACTTTGGGAATTTGATTGAGACCGGATATGGCCATCAACAATCGCAGGATGGGCTCAAGGAAGAGCTGAAGATGCTGGTTGCGGAAACAGCGCCAGCCTGAAATCTTAGGCAGACGATACCGCGGCCTGCTTGCAACGGCACTTTCGTGGACACGATAGTATCAAAAGGTCGAGCTCTGCTTAGCCTCTACGCCACTCCTGCTGTCCTCACCGAGATGAGATGTCTTTGTGAGTGGCGCCGACTGGAATCCAGGGACTCGGAGTGCTGAGCGGGTTCTGATTGAAGCCCGCTCGTTCGTCAACCGTCTAGCTATCGTCGTTGACATACTTGTCATAGACATCAGGATACCATCTCCTGCCCACGTCCCCTATGCGCATTCATTAGTCTGTACCGCCACGGACGCAAAAGGGTACACATCAACAACAATGATCTCCGTCCTTCGACTGCGAAGAGAACACGATGCAATGCACGATTGTGCGAACGCGAAGACTCCGATAAAACTCACTATGACTCCGGATTTTCGTCCTCAATTGCGCCTCCCCCCACGTATCGTACTTTCCCTTCAAGAACGGACTGTCGACATTCCTCGCCTCGTCGCCCTCAAGCCCATCGCCCCATCTGTGCCTCCTTTCGTCAAATTGCGCCCACAAGCTCATAAAGTCGTGCTTCCTCAGCCGCGGCTGCACGCCCTGGAAGAACGGCACGCTATACCGCTCGAATGAGCCGGACGGGAGCAACACGCGGTGCGTCGTCGCTTTGCACAGGCCGTTGGTCACGACTTCGAAGGCTTGGCCCATGTTCACGACAAAGGTGCCTGGCATGGGAGGGACGTCGATCCAGGTGCCGGACTTGGTCAGGACTTGGAGGCCCCTGCCGGAGATGCTGCCGCTGCTGCCGGTGCTGCCACAACCGTTCGATGAGGGCGAAGAAGACGAATAAAGACGCAAGGGTTGCGCTTGTTCTTGTTCTTGTGCTTGTGCTTGTGGTGGCGGTTGCGTTTGCAGCAAGAATGTCATCCAGCCGGAGGAGTCCTTGTGGGGGCCTACACCTTGGATCCAGGCCGATGGAACATGACCGTCCTTTGGAGACTGGTCTACAGCGGCAGATTCAGAGGCAGAGGGGTCCGCAGAGCCGGATGACCGATAATGCACGACCTTGAGCCGATCCTGAGGCCCGGTGAAACGCTGCAGGACGCCGCTCTCCACCTCGAGGGCCTCCTCCACAAGGCTCAGAAACCTGGTGCTCAGGGACTGCATCTCACGGATATACGCTTCGACTGCCTCCCTCAAACGTCCCACCGACACACCCGGGGTCTCGACGTCGCGGTCTCCTGTATCGCGATCGACTACGGGCCACTGGTTCGGGCCCAACAGGCGCGTAGACAGGCTTTCGTCTCCATCCCGAACAGGCACTTCGTTCGCGAATTCAAACTGTTCGCGCTGGTCCTGGCTTCCGGCTGTGGTTTCGTGGCCAAACGAACTATATCCCAGGAAGTGCGGGGAGTTGAGTAGCGAGGCGGAGGATTTGACACCCTCCGGGAGGTCGAATAGAAGAGGCAGCAACGCTAGGAGGTTGTCCACGACGGTGGCATCGACGCCGTGGTCGGAGATGTACAGGAAGCCGATGTCGAGGAGGGAGTGGCGGAGTTGGGCGAGGAGGTCTGCGCGAATGGACGGGTCACTGTCAGAAGAAGCTTTGCTGAGGTTGATTGTGGGGATGCGGTCGGGGACGGATTGAACCTCGGACATGGTGTGGTTCATGGGACAGATGGAGGCACGGGCGGAGGAACGACTCTCTCCTTGTCGTGGATTGAGTCAGCATGGATGGACGGTCGGATAAGATGGGAGTAGTAAGTTTGCTGAAAGATCAGATGGGACGGAGAGGAAAACCAAACCAAAGCACGCCATTGTAGCTCACACTTTGCAAAGAACGGGCCGAAGTAACAAGCATTGCAAGCACCACAAGAGCCGAAGCGCTTACGTAAATCATATCCTCAAACTCTGGTGAGCTGGTGGTGAGCCAGAAGAGACGTTGTTCACATCAGCATGGGGTGAGACGACGACAATAAGACAACGCAGACGTGGGTTTCAATGACTGTTGATTGTGGGAAAGCTATGTGAAAGCTGACATCGACCAAACGGTTGATGTCAATTAGTGGATGCCGTAATGAATGTCCGCTGTAGTGATGATTGATCTCCAAGTGCCACCGGTCTGGTAGCGCCCTGACATGTTCCCAATCCTGGTAACAATGATCCCATCCAAGGTTCGTCAAGAGACGACGCATTCATTCTGCTTCCAACATCATTCACATAGGATATTTTTGCATGCGCCTTCGCTTAGGGTGCAGTGGCCTTGGACGTGCCAATCTTTTTGGGGTTTTTGGGGGGGCAGTGTTGTGGTTGGGAGTTTTGACTCTGGACATTCTTCCATCTTTGAGGCCAGGAGGGTGTTTGTCCTGTGCTCTCATCAGGAAGTTTGCGCACCTCTTTGCGAGTGTTGACGCTTTGTTAGTGTTCACCTTAGAAAGGTTCGAGCGTTGCGTGCTCTGATTGTTGTTGTTGTTGTTGTTTCCTTGACGGTTGACCAGCGATGGTGGGTGAAGGCTTGCACTTTTTCTCGCCTTTCGATGTGCGCCGCTTCACCAGTGTCGCATGTGATTGTCCATCTGATATGATCGCACGTCAATCTCGTCACCACCAACACAAGGCAGGTGAGCCGAGTATTGCACCGGCAGCGACTTCCCCAGTGAAACTGAGGTAGTCACTACGGGCACGTGATGCATGTCAATCGTCAAGACGTTCAGGTTCCGAAATGATCAAGAAGTGATGAGGACAGCAGGAGCTGTTGCAGCCCGATGTCTTCCGTGCTTCTTGGGGGACTTCTTCTCCTCGGGATCCTAACCCGTCTGAACATCTGGGAGACGGACAGCGATATCGCCAGATTGAGTGATGTAGCGAACCCATGGAAGCGAGGGGTATTGCAACTGTTTCGCAAGTCAGTGATATGCGGCGACAGCGATGGTCAGGGTGATGACATACCTTTGGTTCAATAATCTTCAAGTAGCGAACTTGAATACCACTGGTGGTGAAGTACGGGATCTCAAAGTTGACATTGATCGGGCGCTTGGATTTGCCTTCTCCAATACCACCCATGCTACCACCGAAACCGCCAGTCATACCGCCACCACGCTCATCATCGCCCTTCACACTGGGCAAGCCCAGCTCAGCGCGCATGAGGAACTCCTTGCTACCTCCAAATTGCTTGATCTTCCAGACGATGGCGGACTTCTCAGGTGCATAGTGGACCGAACCAACATTGGTGCGGAATCGCGGAGAGTCAGCATCGTCGGGGACCGGGATGATGATCTCGACGTTGTTGGCAGTTGATCGTCTCTTGAATTGAGCGCGTGCCTTCAGCATGTACTCGATGCGAGAGCCAGAGTGAGATTCAACGACGCACTCCACCCAGATGAGGGGCTTGACAGCGGTGTTGAGACGGTAGCTCATGAGTTCGAACTCTCCATCAGGAGGGATGAAGCTGATGGTGCGATCGTTCTCGAAGCGAGATAGTCTCACACATTGGTGGAACTTGACGTCTTCCATCTCAACTGCTTTGCCGCGAGTGGCTCGGCCGGTGGTCTCGAACATGACCTTATCATTCAAGCCCAAGCGGAGTTCTGGCATGCCGGAGAGGTAGCACTTCATCTTGATGGCACCGAGGATCTCCGAGCGAAGGACATTACCCGTGGCTGAGACCAAGAGATTGAGCGACTCGATGACGTCAAGGAAGACTTCGTTCTTGCGGTAACGAATACCCTCACTGCGCCAGGACACAGCATTGGTGACAGCAATGGGAGGACGAGCCTGAACCTCGAGCTTGTGCGACTCTTGGGTGATGTACTCCTGTAGGATCTTCGACTCCGTGGTTTGCGGATAGCCAAAGTCCATCATCTCGTCCAACAACTCGTAGATGATGACGAAGTTGTCGCGAATAGACTCTTCTTCCAACTCTTTGAAATACTCGGTGAAAACCTCAACAATCTTATGAAGAAAGAGGAGGATCTCCGCAGCATTGGTGTTGCGCTTGGTCAGAGCGAGAAGGTAGAGATTATTATGACGAATGTAGAGGTACTAGCAGACGCGGTCAGCTTTGTTTCGACGGTCTGGCAGAACCGCGTTATGGACGCGTACATTAATCCCTTCGTCAGAGAAACATGGTGGCACAGCGGAAGATTCCTCTTCGGCCTCCGAGAGCAAGACGGGGAACTTCTCGACGGCAGACATGGGAATATCGCCACGATAGTTGCGCGCGAGAAGGGTCTGGGAGAGCGTCAGTCTGGTCTCAGATTCATTTCGAGGCTTCTTCACTGCGCGCTCACCTTGCCCTTCAAGTCGAGGAAGAAGATTGCCGACGCCATGGCGCCTGCAGGTCCTCACCAGAGAACCGAGAAGTTGAGTGCCTGTCAGCAGACAAGTAGGAGGGTCGGAACGTTTATGAGGTTGAAACGAGAGGTTTGAAGAGAAAGGCGCATTCGCCTGCGAGTGCGACTGTGAGAAAGAGTGGTTGTGGGTGGGTGAGTGAGAAGTGAAAGAGAGGAGAGAGGGGGTGTTGTAGAGGAAAGTTGTTCCGGAACAACTTCGGGTCTTTATCGCAGCCTCGCCAACGGTGATCAGCAGTAAGAATGAGGCTGAGAGACTCAAAACTCAGTCGCTTGGACCTGGTCAGCACGCTCTCGTGTCATTTACAGTGAGAGACCTACCTTCCTCTACATGTGCCTTATCAACTATTTATCAAGGAAGTAACGCAATCGCATCGGATCCATAGCCCGCCAAATGAACGGCACCCCCTGAGACAATCCATCGCTGTCAAAGCTCTTCGCCTGAATCGAATCGCGTACTCATCTGCGCCATGTCAGTCTGGAACCGAGCTGCAGCATTACGAGTCTCGCTGTTGGTTCGGCTGAGGAAATCGGGTTTGAGAACACCGCTGGAAGGTTTGTACCCTCATATCTGGAGCCTGACCGGTTGAACTCCAAGAGAAGTCCAAAGTCCACGGTCCACGAACCATCGGTTGTAGCAATCCGCCTGAGAATGACCAGAGATGTTGTGGCACAGCTGGATACTGGAGTCAAATGCAGTGGAGGAGCCGATGGTGAAGTTCTGATCGAACGTGTCCACCAGGGTTAAAGAGCTTCTTCGCACCTGCAAGCAGTAGCGAGTATGCTGGGTACATTACGAGACCACCCAGTCAGTTGTGAAGCCATCGCGCGAGACCTAGCAGATGTACGCACTCAGATCTAGATATCCTCGAACGCAGCCTCATCCACAGCGCTGGCCACGGCATAGGCTGCGGTCAAATGGAACATATCGGAAGCTATCGCCTCGTTGCTTTCGAATAATGTCTTGGCTAGAAACCGGTCGTCTGCGCTAACCAAGGGGTTTTGTATATCAAATCTGCACCCTCGTTTGTCTTGATCGCAAGAGGTAGGAACTCCGCGGTTTTGGGGTGTGTATAGGAGTAAGCGGTGCTCGCGGCAGTATATCTACCTGGTTGTTGAGGCAGACCACTCAATGATGAATAACAACAACGAAAAGCCGACCCGCTTGCTGCAGGTCTGATAATGTTTTGCCATCAACTCGGTGGTGATGTTGTCGGCAACCTTGAACGGTAGTTTTTGGTTAGGGCTGGCTCTGCTGAGCGAGAACGGGTTAAAACAGAGGCGTTCCGTGGAGAAGAAAAGATCTTGTGTAAAGTTGGTGAACGCGCCAGGATCAACGCCTTTGAATCCCTATATTGCGATGAAGGAGGAGAGTTCCTCCATGTCCGAAGTTTCTGATGTTTGAGTAGTATTGGAAACCTGAGCACATTCTGTCAGTAAAAATAGGCAGAGAGACACGCGTGTCCCAAACCTTCGACAGAGCTGCGATGACCTCCTGCGCCTCGAAGACATTCGCTTCCTGGTCGAAAAGCTCCACTTCCGCGGCCACAAGAGCGTCTCCCAGCTGCCCGGTCAAAAAGTTCAAGAGATTCCCCAGCACTGACGGTGCATAAACAAATCCCTGCTGGCTGGCTGCGACTTGTTGCTGCCGGTCCAATGGCGCCGGATCATGTATTGGTAACACATCGCACTTTGTAGCATTACTTGCTTGCCTGAGCTGAAGTAGAGCTGTTCAGGGTCTGAGTCAAAGTTGTTACGGAAGCCGTCGCCCACAGTAAGAGTAGAAGCGAAGGATTCATGATGTTATGGTGCTCCTTCCCACCGGAAGTGAGCCATATATGCTCCCTCCACAAATTTTGTCGACATTGTTATTATACCACTCGCTGGGGATGAGTATCCAGCGTCTGGGCAAGGCTCAATCTCTGCTCTAAAGTTAGGGCCTTCATCTGCACTTCGGAGAATCTAACATCTGATGAATACCCAGTAACGACATCTGATTGTGTTGTAGTAGGAGTTTGTGACGTCGGCTGTATTAGGCCTTGCGGGCTGGGCTACTTACTGGTACCCAGCCTAGCCTTGATATCATTTACTGAGTCACGCTGTGTTCGCACTCGTGGCTTGATACAACCGAATGCAAGTATGATAGCAGATGCTGTTATCTGGCAGGAACACGGCGTACACATGATATTTAGAGTCGTCAAAGCCGCATTAGTATGCCGTCGAATGAAGTCTTCATGGCTGCAAGGTTCACGGTGAAATGATAAAGTGCTACTGCATAGGATGAGGAATCATTGTCATGCCAGAGGTACCAATGGCGCTCAGCTGGTAGGGGGATAGTGATAGCTGTTGAAGGTAAGCAAAGCTCATCTGACTCTCGTGTTCTTAACGGCATCCTTCCGGCGACTGAGCCTAAAACCGTAGAGATGCATTGCGAGGAGCGAAGTCGAAGTTCGGGCCATTGGGGAACTGTTGCACCATGAAGGCCGCAGTCGAGACCTGCAGCAAGGTGTCACTGAAGCGATTTCTCACCTGTGTCAACTGTTAGGTGACTTTTGAGTGACTGGTAGGTGACTGGCAATTGAGCGGCGCTGACATCAGCAGTCTATGCCAAGCAAATTTCCCCGACCTTTTTTGTTCCGCGACAAAATTTCGAGACTTTCTTCCCTTCCTACCAACGCGCCCGAAAGACAGTGCAATGCAGCATTATTGCCGAGATCGATTGGCATTCTGCCACCGTCTCTGGTTCTATTGGTTGTTGAATTTTGCGATTTAGAGACGCGGAGACCGACGATATGGACGGTGCCATAAGAGCTGGCTGAGCAAATAATCAAACCGTTGCTCAGGCGGTGTCAGAGGCCCCAGACATTCTAAGCCCATGATTCCTGTACATGCTAATGGGGCCATTGTTGGTACAATTTTCTTCTGAACAATACAGGCGATGTGGTTTCCACGCCCAATCCCTCACCCCTGCGATCCCAAGGGCTGCGCGACCCCCTGCCTTGTTTTCCAGTGTCTTTTCAGGCCCAGTGGCATGAGTACCTTTTCCATGGCAATCCGATTCGCGACGGCCCCTCCCTGCTCCAGAGCCAGTGCCCCTATTATTGATAGTAAAGCTTGTGCGTAGACGAGTTCGGAGCCGGATGCTTGAAGACGTTCGGGCTGTCGTGGAATTAGCAGTGGACGTTTAAGTGACCTGGACGGAAGAAAACATACGTCTCTGGGATGCCACCGTACGACCTCTGGCAGCCCGTATTGCTCGGCGAGGTTTGCGAGCTGCTTGTGACTTGTAAACCAATGGTGAGCGCTACCCAATAGGCACTCGACTGATTCAGTTGCTGGATGGCGGAACGGTTCTCGGCCATGGGGATCCCGATCTTCAGCTCTTTGATAACGTGAAGGGTCGGCAACGCTGATAAGGCCCAGTGAGCATTGCAGTTCGACTATGCGCTTGCCTGGTCAATCTCGATCAGTAACCTGCCATTTGATAAAGAGCGGTTTGACCGACCAAAAAAGGCGAGTCTATCATTGAACCCTCTTCGTCCAGCATCGAAGCTTTTGTTCGTAACTGCCAACCACTTCGTCTCCTCTGATAGCATTTTGTCCCCATCTCTTCCAAGAAATTTGATATAGAACTCGTCAAGCTTGCGCTGGTCCTTGTTGACTTTGAGAGGTTGTGATATTCGGGGTGGGCGTACGCGCACAGGGGCTTTCAATGCCGGGGGTGTTTGTGACCACCGCGGAGGGCTATCTCTGTCCACGTCCATCTCAGAGAGCTGAGGAGACGCTGTTGAAACATGGCGAGCGTGTCTCGCGGGTTTGCCAAATGCTTCCCGAAAACGAAGGTGCTCGCATGATGCGGTCGATCTCGAGGGTCGGAGAAGGTCAAGAACGAGGCGATTCGAGGACGACGTTCTAGGTGCCATGGATCGGATACTCGAGGAGAAGCGACAAAGTCTGAGGGAATCAGGTGCTTTCTACCTGCAAAGAAACACGTCTTGCGCGTTGCCGATGGTAGGAAGAAGCCATTGACCTTCGACTTTGAAAATTAGTATCGCTTCAGAGGCGAATGCTTGACCCTAGTAGCGGAGTGGAAGTCACGGAAGCGTACTTCGCAATTTTACCAAAGCTTCAATTTGAGCCCAACGAAAACATTCTGACCTTACTCCCTACCTCCAGCAACCGTGATGTCTCTGCCACTTCTGCCTGCCTCTAGCGGACTCTGACCCTAGAATCTACCAAATCTACAACGATGCTCGGATATGCTGCATCATGGCGCCGTCAATACCATGACTGAGGATCGACTCAAGCAGTAGGCTAGACATTTAACTTTTCAGTGTCAAATTAATGATTTATATGGCTGCCTTGGAGGCTAGGCTGGAGGTACCCTGATAACAGGAATCCTCCTTGCGCTGCAGAATCCACTCTGGCTTCTGCACAATGAAGGCTCTGAGCGCTGTGTCTGTGGGCTGACATCAATGATATCGTCCATTTCTGCCTGACTTGACGAACCCTCGCCAATCACCAACATCGAAGCCAGGATAAGGCAATGCGAGAAGCACTGTTGGGAGAAATTTTTACTGCGGCCTCTTCAATGTAGAGGAGGTCCGATTTCTCGCTTGGGCTGCGGTGCCGTGATGACTTGTTCTGCGCGCAATCGATGGCATGCAGGAGTCGGCAAAGTCAAAGTCGCCAGTCCTTGCCCGACAAACCTCAGCTAGCACTTTTGCGCGCAACATTAAACAGCACCTATGGGGGTTTTGTACAGCGGGCCGACGAGTCAGAGTCGGATCGAATTTGGGGAGGGGGAGGGGGGTGGCATAACAGTATGAGCAGGTATTGGACCCACGACTTGTGACCAAAACAGAAGGAGAGACCACACGTCCCGAACAGATCATACCAAGGTATCCCCTCAAGGAACAGAACCAGCGCAGAGAGGAACGTTTCCAAAAGGCCTTTACCTTCCGTCCCGCAGACCAGCTTCTCTGCTTCTGGTCCAATCTAGGAAAATCCTCCCGATGAAAAAGGTATGTTCCTGAATTCCCTACCATTCTAGAACAGGCCTCTGGAGTTGCAACATCGAAGATGATGAGGACTGGTCTGACAGCAACAACGGTTCGGAGTGCAACGCTTCCGTAGGACAGACCGGGTCCGTGGAGAGCGGGATGGGGTTGGAATTGAGCGTGTATCCGCCTCGTGATGCAGCTAGCCAGATGTCAAATCCAGCGGGAAGATGAATATGACATGAAAGGCGGCAGCGAGGCTTCCCGGTGACAAAGTTCGTTCCTTCTTCCCCGACGTCGAATTTGTTGCCTCGAATGTGATCGAAGCCTGCCAACTCCTCGTTCTGTTTGAGTGGATATGCTGGCCACGAAGCCGTGCGAAGCCGACTATGGTTGAACCATGACCAGGTGTAATTTACATTGACAAAAACTTTGCTGCGGAGTATTGCAGAGGGAAGAGGCATTTCTTGTTCTGATTGGAAGCGTCACACAAGGGATGGGATGACGGCCAATCTTTTCGGTTCGACCAATGTTTGGTCCCCAAATTGATGGGCGACCCGACCGATTTGACAATCTGACATGTGGTTCACCCAATCGTTGTGCATGGTCGAGTAATGAGTGCAGGTTCGTGATACTACACGCCTGCGCTTCCAGAAAGAGGAGCAGTGTTTTCCAGAAGCGTGTTCATGATGCGTGATTCGTTGAAACTCAAATCTTAATAGTTGGACCTCTGGAAACCTTGTGTGCCATTCACGGTGCTTGGAGCCATCTGACATCTGGACCTTGGTTCAGTGGCTGTTGCAGTGCTGATGCTTTCCTGCAGTTCGAAACAACATGGGCGGGAGCGTCGGGTGTGAGAGCAAAAAGATGCAGCATGGAGGCCAGAAAGCTTCGGAAGTCTAAATCCAATGTGGCTGACATGTCAAATCAAAGCACGCCTTAGCTGGCTTCTTCCACAGGCTTTCTGGTAGGAGTACTCCGTCCACAAGATAGGCGGGACAGGAAGTCATTACTGAAGGCAAGTATGCACTGCCTGCAGGTACGAACGGCTGCTTTTCTACAGTAATTCTTGTAGCGGACGCATCCATGGTTTCGTTTCCAACCACTCCACCCAACAGCTCGCCTCTCGGAGCCAGCCTCATCGCCAAGGAGCCTTGCCCATTGAGAATGCACGGTCGCGGACTCCCCGAATGTGCTCGCAATGGCGTCAATGAAACAAAGGATCGCAACGACTAAGATCCGTTCAGACAAAGTCTCGTGTTCACAGACGCTCGGATATGGAAGGGTCCATCATACCGAATCGGGCAAGAGCAAGTTCTCCGATTCAGGCCTAGAGCGTTTGACCAGGATGAGCTCAACCGAGCCGTTGGGGGTTCTTCGCGTGGGCCTTGCTTCAGGGATCCATTCGAGTATCTCAGCTGTCGCCGGGCGGCATTCGAGCCATCCGTCTCATGATACATTGTATCCTGTCAGGAGGTTGCATGCACGGATGAGATTACTCTGCCACGATGAGGCATGCGAAGAGATCTTGTCTCGTTTACGAGTACTCGCATGGAGTTATCAGAGTCATGTACGGGGTACCAAGTACATTGTTTTAGCGCCCTACGAGTCACGTAGCTCGCAAGGATTCCGTTCCGGGGCAGTTATCTAAACTTTAATAAGATAGAGAGCCGAGGCCTTGCTCATCCAGGCTAACTCGAGAGGCTAGGGCATCGTTTTGCTGCACGAAAGCACCCGGAACAGCCTTGGCTCGCCGGCATTGAAGCGCTAGGCCCTTGGTTTCGGGAGGCGAGCGACGAGACCGGAGCGTGGGGGGGTGGAGCGTCCCCTGATAGGTTACCCAGAAGTAGTCGACTGCCAGACTTCAAAGTCGAGATTTCGGCGGCTTCTGCCCCGAGGATGCAGATGGGGATGGGATTTGTGCTGCGCCAGCAGGTCTCAGGCAGCCGAGCCTAACCCAAGAGGAGCCGCCCAGGGCCCGCCCTCCCTTGTCTCCCCCAGCCGGCCGTCGTCTGACTGCTGTCGATCACTTGTCCCAAAGTACAGGTCATGTCCGAACTCCGTATGTAAGTTCGACACTTCGACAGTTCGGACGTGTGATTCTCCCATGAGTACTGCGGATCAAACGCTGTCCCCCACTGGTGTCGCCAGTGCCTGTCATCATGGGTTGTTTTCGAGGGAGCTTTGGGGCCTCGCGTAGCAGGCTGTCTGCCCCTGCAATTTTATCCTCCCTCCCGAGGCCATGTCCCCGGAGCTCCCTGTCAACCACGTTCGCACTGGAGACGAAACCTGCCAAACTCATGAACCGACTGGTGTGTTTTCTCCAGTATCGTGCATCACATTCTCCTCTACTGTCAGCCGCAGTATCTAACCACCTGCTTTGAGGGAGACGTTGCACGGACTCGCGACCGCTTTTCCAGTTTTGATCGTAAAGCGACCTGACTTGAATGGGTGCGTGCAGGAGTCCTGCGGACGTCGTACGAATCTGTGACAGATTTCCTGTGGCATAAAAAGTCTTCGGTGTACTACTATGCTCGGTGCCACGGTGTAGCAGGCGCTTGGCTTGTCCGAGAGAGGGCAGAGTACCACAGTAGATCGCCTTCTGGCCCAAATTACACTTTGAGGCGCTGCCACATATTCATGAGAGGCGACGTAGCCATTCTTCGCCAGTGAATACCAAGAGGCCAGCTCGACCTTTGAAGGCTGAATATGCACGGTGCTCCAGGTCAGGAGATGCAACTGGAGACGTCAAAGGCAGTCTCTGACATCTCGGACCACCTTCGGTGGTGGTTCGACCCATCCTCGACCGTCCCCCAACACGTGCGTGGCCTGACGAATTCTATGCACACTCGAATATTGTGGCTTCGATGGATATTATGCATCCAGCGTACGGAGGTCACAGTAGAATTCCGCACGGCATCAGCTGAGCTCTGTCGCCTGCGCTTTGACGCACAAAAGGCCATCACTGTTTCTCACTCTCGCTTCCTGTCTCTCTTAAACACTAGATCCTGAAGATCGGTCCAAGTCTTGCTTGGACGGCAATGCTAGCCTCCGAGAGATGCAGTTGGCACGACTTAGCGGCTTCGTCTGGCTCTATTCTGCTGCTCGTCGTTCGTGGTTGGCTCATGGGCCACGCTCTGCAAATTCAAAGACGGGGATGATTGCCGGCTGAACCAAAAGAAGATGTTGCAGGTTTTCCCCAAACTGTTCATGGCGCCCATGCGTGTTAGAGTGTACGAGTACCCGAGGGAACGTGCACCATTAGCCTGAGCACTAAGCTTCCAGCTCCCACAAAGTTGTAGCGAGTACGAGGGCGCATGCCAGTCAGGAAGCGCCTAAGCCTAGAGAAGATAGGCGGGAAAAGCCACCCAGGCATCCCCTGTGCTAGCGTTGCGGCGGTGGGCGCAGCCCAAGAAGCTGGACACAGCGTCAGGCCTATGAGCCGACAGGGCCACGAAACCCTCTGCAGCGCGTATGCAGCCAAATCTATGCCGACACTGCCTTTGTGCTACAGGCGCTGCGAGTATTGACGAACGGGGCAGCCATAAGACGTTGGACGGGGTGTGCATTTGCGGGCCCGCTTGCAGTCCCGAACGCTGATTCCTTGACGTTTGGGCGCGGCTAGGTGAATAAGGTGGATCGGCCCATCTTTCTTGGGGGAGCCGCTAGGAATGGGAGGGTGGACGGGCCAATCCAGGAGCCAGCGTTGGCTCGCTTCGCCTTTTCAGATTGGTGCTGCTGCCGGCGCTGGTCCTGGCGTCTGGTGGTGTCGGTGCCGCCATTCCCACATTTTCGCCGGTCGCTTGGGTGCTTGGTGCTGCGTGCTGGGTGCCGGCTCCTGTGTCTGGCGTTGGCTCTGGCTTTGGCTCTGGCTCCGGGCTGGCTCCCGTAGCTCGTCCCAGACTCCCAGCTGCAAGCGTCTCTCCCACCCTTCACTTCTATCTCTTACATCCACCATCCTCTTCTCTTTCCCGTGCACTTGGTCTCTCCTACCCTCGCTGTCGCTACCTTTCCCGGCAGGGTAGTGAGCAAGTTCTTTGTCGTCATTCGTGCCGCAGTCGTCGTTGAGTGTTTGGTCAGTCTTGGTCGAAAAGGATATTTCACCTATCCCCACCGCCGTGCGCACGTTGAAGCCTCCGACTCAATCAGCAACGAATAAACGTCCCGGTACCTTGGCTCGTCACGGCTTCTACGTCTATCCTGTCTCACATCTATCGAGCGAAAAATCATCCGCGCCTGGGTTGCAGCAGCAAATATATTTGCGATCGACGCTTTGTTGGACACGATTTAGTGATAGCGTTCAGCACCGACCAGCTGTTCCATTACCTTACGGCTGGGCAAAGAGTGGGATTAGGAAGAGGGAGCCGCATCGGGGCAGGAGGAACTCGAACCGCCGAATCCCTCAGTTCAGTCAGTGAACAGATCTGAGCGGTAGCGCTTCCGAAAGTATACTGCGATTTACCTTTGATTGAGCCGGACAAAGACCGTCCTCCGATATTTCCCAGCCAACACCAAGTCACCAAGGAGTCGAAGCGCGTCATATTGGCGACGAAGAGTTGCCCTCAGAGGCAGGTGGAGGGTTGATCCAGGTCAGTCTTTTTCTGTTGTCGGTTGGTTGTCATGCACTTGGCCACGACACGTCGATCCAGCACGGTCGTACTGGCTCTCGAACCGTGTCTCATACACGTACCGGAGGGCAGGAACGACGCTCGCCGCAAGAGAAGATCGGATTCCGACCTGATGTACCGCAAGGTCGACATCCGTATTTACCTTGTTGCCCGGTGTCCGGGCTCCAGGAGCCTGGATATATTTTACCTTGGCTATCTGCCACTGCACTGCACTTTCCCTCTCTCTCGGTTCTATCCTATACCGTTATTATGGCACAGCTTCCCCCAGTTAGAGAGAGGCCGCTGACAGGCGATATGGATAGTCTAGGAGATCTACAGCAGCAGCAGCCTTGTGCGGCGTCACCTCCCAGCCAAGAATCAGGTCAAAGCCTCCCAGGCCTGAAAGAGACTCTTGGGAAGGAGTATAACGCTCGCCGACCCATTGCACCTGGTCCGCCACCCGCTCCCGAGCTCTTTGTACCGGGACAAACCGAACTCTTCCTGGACGACCTACTGATTAGGACGTATCGGATCGGAGAGAACCACTACAACATGCAGCAACCACCTCATGAGACGAGGAATGAATTCCACCGGACGACTATCGACCGCAGAACTATTACTTACACATTAGAAGTCGTCCAGCAACCAGAGAAAGCTCGCGCGTGCGGCTCCGGTAACAAATGTAGGTCCGGCGCGACGTCCTGAGGAACTCAACTGACGCGTGATAGCTTCGAATGACCGCAGACCAGTAGACCCGCCACCCGTTGTCGAGCTCAAGATTTTCATCAACGGAACTGAGGCGACCATGATTTACGATGCCACATTCATGCTCTACGCCAGTTTAGAGGTCGCTCGACCAATTGCTGCCGGGAAGATGCACACCCCGACTGCTATCCCTGTGCTAGCGGGTGTCACCGTGGCAAGCGCCGCTTACTTGGAGAAGCCAAAGCGCGCTGCGTACTTTATATTCCCTGACCTGTCTGTTCGGCACGAGGGTTGGTACCGTCTTCGATTCTCTCTCTTCGAAGGCGTCAAACATGATATCGATGCCGACATGGGAAAACCGTTTGATCGCTCTCTGAGAGTGGACAACGTCAACGCGCCGGTCCGTCACGAAGGTATTTTCAACCGGATGGATGTCTTGTCGACGCCGTTTCAGGTCTACAGCGCGAAGAAGTTCCCAGGTCTTGATCAGAGTACCGAATTGAGTGTCCTAGTGGCTGACCAGGGCTGCCGTGTACGCATTCGGCGTGATGTCCGGCAGAGAAAGAGACGCCCCAAGGCTGGTGCCGAAGGGGACGAAGCCCCCAGCTCCTATCAAGGTACACCACACGCCAATTATCAAGCTCTCGATCACTCAAGATCCGCCAGTCGCGACAGCCTTGGGAGCCAGTACGACAGGAGGGAATCTGTCGACAGTGTTTATGGCCGGTCTGCTGTTCCAAACCGCCAAATGTCGGGGCCGTCGCTGCCAATGACGAGCCCTCTCCTCCCAACACCTTCGACATCAATGCCACCTCCTTCTGTGTATGGACAGTTCGCAACTCCCAGGGCTCCGTTTGACCAGCTCCCGCGGCCAGCACTACCTCCGATGTCTTCTCGCCTGGGACAACAAAGCCAGTCAGCTGTCCCCAGTGCCATAAACAGGGACCCCGAATCAAGGTTCACGTTACCGCCGCTGCTCCAAACACACATCAGTAGCGAACTGAAGCATGGTCCACTGGCGCCGAGATACAATATGCCTGCGCCTACTTCGGTGAAAAGGCCTTTCAGCTCGAGCGGTTCTGGATACCAACCGCCTCTCAAATCCGGGGCTCGACCGGACACGTTGTCGTCCGGATATCCCGCTCCTGCCCCACCTGGCGCGCACGACGTCATCGAGCCCGACGTTGGTGACGACGAGGACGATGACGATGAGGAGACGCAACGTTTGTTGAAAGGCGATTTAGTATATACCTCTGCTGACGGGACGACCAAACGCGTCATCGAGAGAGATGGTAACTTCTACCGACCTCAGACTTGAAGCATGTTGAAACTTACACCTACGACCCGACCACGTTCGCGCTTTCGCTTCCATATCCCGCGTTGCAATGTATTTGGAGTGGTGTTTATCGGCTTGCGCACCTAAACAATGGGTAATACAGGACACACAGAACCTCGGGATTTGGCGTCATTTGCTTTATGGCAGACTGTGCTCGAGAATACGGCGAGAGCCGTGGCTTTCTGGCAGAGAGTCCGATCCACAACGCACAGCTCTCTCCTCGACGAGCTAGCCATCCCACTTCTTGGGAAAGTAACCGGGACATGCGAGACCGCCGATCAGTGCAAAGGACGACATATGCTGGTCTTCGAGTGGAAGTCGATTGGGGGAGCTGGGACGGTCGTCTGAAATGGATTGAACACATACAGTTTCGTTTGAGCAACTGGGGGTGGAAGCAAAGAATCAGTTCCGGAAAGAGGAATCTACGCTGACACAGCTCGGGACCAACCCCAAAGTTGCTTGCAGACTGTCAAGGTCACCCATTCTCCTAGCTTGGTTAAGACACGCCGCTTCGGGACAATGGTCGAGGACTGGGAAAGAGTTAGTTGAACATACGTGGGAAATATATTTGGCCTTGGCCGAATAGAAAGGAACTCCACAAACTTTGCCCAAGGTCGAGGTATTTGCTCGGCCTTTGTCCATCCAGCAAACAGTTCCAGGACTGCAATTAGCTGGGTGGTCTAGACACAGTATCGAAATTCTTCCCTTCCCTAGTCTCTTCTGTAGTCATCCATTGTGCTCAAGGACATTCAGCACGGAGGTCAGCGTCAGCAACGTGCTCTTTACAACATGCTCTTTACAACATGCTCGTTACAACATGCTCTTTACAACGTGCGCTCTATCATCCCGGTACTCTGTACTAGTACTCGTCACAGTACAGTAGCCTGCTCTGTAAATGTTGCCCGGACTGTGTGGGACGAAGGGGACGTTTTGGCATCGACGTGGCAGGACTACGACGTACAGTATAACCCCGTACAGTCTTCCGTACAGTCCTCTAGTGACCGGGTTCGAGTAGCCAGCCAGCCAGCCAGGCAGACAGGTAGCGTCCTACAGCCATGTTTGGATTTGTACCTGTACAGGAGGGAGAAGCACGTATTTATAACACGTATGGACGTATCCACTCACTGATCTCGTAGTGGTGGTGGCGATCGTGATTGTGATTGTGAATGTGAAGGTCGCTGAGGTCAAGACCGAGACTGAGACCGATCAACGACGAACCGGCTACACTACCTACCTAGGTACTGTAATACTTAGCCACCACTGTGTACTAATACCCATTTGTGGGGACAGGATCTGGGTATGTATCCCGGATGTTGTCTCGATCAAATGCCAGAGCTGCGGCTTCCACGACGCCGAGACTGAGGCTGAGACCGAGTGCTGGAGGAGATGCGTATATATAAATGAGCGTGTGTTTGTGTGTGTGTATGGGCTGCCGGCTGGCTGACTATCTGCCTAGACGCTCGTCTTCCCTTGACTTCCTTCAAGCCATTGTATACAGTACATACTGTATAGACTCCGGGATACGCGAAATGTGTGTCTGTCGTATACTAACTTACATCATACCGCCCGGGAAGTGCCCTGTTATGCGCTAGACTCGCTCGCTGCCTTGCTGCCTCGCTGCCTCGCCACAGTTCGATACATATGCCCTCGTTTTGTCATGCCACGTAGCGTTCTGCATTCTATCAACCCTATCTTGTGTATGCTTCACGTACAATCGATTTGGATGGCACCGAGGAAGTGCTTCAGCATACGAGTACCATCGGGATTCCGGAATGAATGAGGTGGATTGAGTCCGGGTTGGAAGCGAAACTCCACTCACCCTTCCACACCCACACACCCACTCCCTGAATTGGCCAATACACAGTACAGGGCATCGTGTAGGCCAAATATGCTACCTGGTACTCGTAATCAGCCAGTGAGGCTACTAGTGAGTGCTCTTCGGATGTACAATGCATAGTGCTCGCTATAGTGAATTTGCTTCTCACTGCTCCCTCCTTCAGGTGGTGGCTTCTTGCTTGCCTTTTCACAGGTTCAGTACGAGGAAGACGACGACGAGGGCAAGGATGGGTACCGGTACTTAGTTGATGATGCCGGTCAGAACAGTATTTACCTATGGAGGCACGAACAGAAATAGTAAGCTATTGTAGGCCAGGCTAGTCTAAGCTTACCGTACTACCCCGTCTGGGCTCGAAGCAGAGCATCGCTGGAACAAAAGTATATCAGGGCAGAAAACATCAGAGCCGAGCGTATCAGAGCCGAGCACGTTCGGGCACATCAGACCATGTCCAGGTGTAGCGAGCTAAGTGAGCGAGCATGCTAAGTCAGTGAAGACGATGCGCCGAGCAGGCAATGTAGTATCGACGAACAATAGATTTGGGGCATGGGACGCGAGATCCGGGAACCTGAGATATGAGGCACTCGACTTGGAGACCGATTGATTGATTACTGCTTCCGCTACCTCCACTTCTACTGGAGCTGCAGATCACCCATTCACAGTCCCTCCCTTTCTGGCTTGGACTCAGCTTGAGACGTCCATCTTGACATCCACGACATAGATCGACTGCTTTCCCCTCATGATTCTATGGTACCATGCCTCGTAGGTCCTGCTCCGAAACGCAGTCTGAGCATCAATCTTGGTTGGCGTAATGGTCATGCACGCCGCGTGACCGTCTTCTTCAAGCTTGACTGTCAGGTTGGCGAGGTTGGCGTAGTTGTTGACGCCCGTGGCCTCGGAGCTGGCTGCCACCACCGCGGCGCGCAACTCACTCCACACACGGCATTTGCTGGCTGGTGTGGTGGTGGTGATGGTGACGGTGGTGGAGAGGGGGCTCTTCCCTCTGGTCACATTGATCATGATGGCGAGGCTGATGTCGCTTGGACGGCGGGGGTTGGCCACGACGTTGGTCTTCTCATCGCTGGGGTGGCTGCGTTCGAGACCGACAGTGGCGGCGGCGGCGGAGGTGGCGGCAATGGCAACGGGGGACTCTGCTCCCAGCGCCGTTGCCGATAACCGCATCTGCGGATGCTCGAGTTGCGTAGTTGTCTTGCTCATGGCGCTGGCGGCGTTGTCTCCGTCTCCGTTCTCCTCTTCCTGTACCGTGATGGCTCTCTTATTGTGTCTGGCATTGCTGACCAAGGATCCCTCAGCTTTGTATATATGGACCTTGCCCGGGCATGGGGCCTGAGGGCTGTTGGACCCGTTGAGATGATGCTGGCCTCGCGCTGATCGTGTGGTGATCCGATCTTCAGGTTCCATTTCAAAATGGGTCGTGGATTCTTGGGGACTTAGTCAGACACGCGCGCGCGCACACACACACACACACACACACACACAGAGTCTTGTAGGAAGGCGTCCAATCTTACCAGTGTGGAGGTCAGGGTCCTGGATTTGGGAAGACGGCTTGTTCATTCGCCTGCGACTACAGGAGCACAATCAAGAAGTGTTCGTGGTCGTCCTGCCAGGCAGCAAGAGGGCTTCCACCAGGGGATTGTTGGGAGCATGGTCTGTAGAGACTCGGAGGTTGTTCCTGGGATTGATATAGAGCATGGAGGGAATGCATTGAGAGTGAAGCCAGTCTGGCGTTGTGTGCGGTTAAGGCAAAGAGATCGCTACGCTGCTCTACAACGAAACTGCCTCGTCGCGTCGCTGAATGTGCTCCTTCACCAACCTGTCACCAGCATGGTCTGGGTAGGTCATCACGGACAGAGCCATGGTGAAGATGCACAGTAGGTGCTTTGGTTCAACGAATTCCTTCAATTGCGCGGTATGCTGGCACGACGGCGCCGGGTCTTTGGCGTAAGGAGGTAGGTGTCTGTGACTGAATATGTAGTCAAGGTGAGCCTTTGTTCGGACATGACGGTCCAAGGAACAAAGCCATTCGTCCTCAGCAGCGCGTCGTACTAGACTAGACTACGTGACCAGATCACCTGTGAGGTTGGCGACGGTTCTCAATGAAGGAAGGGTGAAAGAATGTCAGGTGTGCGCGTGCGAAATGCATTGTGGTTGCTTCCTCCGACTGCAATGCCATGATATCCCACCTGATGGCTGAGATAGGACTCCTCTACTGGGGCCGGGACAATGCTGAGCTTCGAGTGGGAAGGAGGAGGAAGGAAGTCATTTCCTGGGTGGACATTGGCATTGATCGCCCGACCAGTCGCCACGCTCGACTTCACTTGCCCGGATCTCTTAGCACTACCAAGCGGAGGTGTCTACCAGTACGTACACAGTACTCGTCGTCGGTGGAAAGCAGGCACCGCGCTAGGATGCGTAGCAGGGCGTAAGCTGCATCTCAGCACCATATACGCAGGACCTCACTTTCCCCTCAACTGCGGCTTCTGCTCTGCTCCTACCCAGCGCTTGCATCTTCCGCCCGGGACAATCTTCCAGACGTCGCCCACGACAGTTAGTTGACTTTGAGATTTACCAGGTACGCGTTACCATGCGAGGCTGCATACGGCATGCACGCTACACTGCCACCACCGAAGTGACTGATCACACTGGTCTGCAGCGTCTTGGTCTGCATCGGTCCTCATCGCCGATCCCATGCGGAATTCTTATCCAAACCCCAGGCACCACGATACTTTCTCGCAGCCGGCACACCAATCAGTCAGCTTCGTCTTCGCCGTGGCGTGGGTTCAACAACAGCACAAACAGCCCACGGAATCTATTTCCAGGTTTCCTCTGTCCACACAGGGTCCCTCAGCACCTCAGCACGGAAAAAGGCGCGATGGATGGGCTTTCGTCTTTGCCATGTCGCAGCCACCTAACTGATTGCCAATGCGGCCGCTGCAGGATGCCGCACGTCTGGCTCGGAAAGAGAGGGAATGGTATATAAGCCGGTCGGAGGGACTTCATCGGCGACTGTTTCACCAGTACTCATGCACCCCAGTATATCCTGGAGAACACACTACTTTTCGAGGTGGGCAATCCGGATTCGTCCCGACAGCCGACGAAGAAACACACAATATACCTACAGTACCCACGTACGGCCCGTCAACCTCCAGCGACATGACTTCGTCTCTACCTCTCTCAGCCTACAAACTCCTCCCAGACAACAACAACAACAACCCCGCCGCCGAGTATCCCAGCCCCGACAGCGCCAATGCCCCGCGTTCGATTCTTCCCCGTCCTGGAAAGTTAGCGGGTCCTTCAACCTTGGACGCAGGCACGGGCACGGGCGCCACACCGTCGCGACATGCAAAACGACCACGCACCAACGTCACGATCGCGTGCGACGGGTGCAAGCTCGCCCGGGCCAAGTGCGACGGCAAACACCCCTGCATGCGATGCATGAAGAAGGCCCTCGCCTGCAAATACGACCAAGGCAACGACCGGCGCCAGAACCGTGGCTCCAACGAGGAAGTCCAAGCCCTGACGGACCGGCTGGGACAGTATCAGAAGTTCGTCTTCGCGCTGCGCAGCTCGTCCCTGGGAAACGCCAGTTACGCATTACGGAGGCTACGCTCTCCCTCGACGGAGACGGAACCCCAGCCTCGCCACCAAGAATCATGTCGTTGCGTCGCTGACGTCGCGGCGCTCACCGCGGCCGTGGAGCTGCTCAACGACACCAAATCCTCTGGGCTGGTGTGTATGGATGTGGAAGAAACGGCCGCGTTGGTCGGCTGGATCAAGCGAGACATGGATATGGATTTGGACGTGGATAGGGATAGGGATCTGGATATGGATCCCATTGTGGCAAGAACGCATCGGCCGTCGTTATCCCAGTCCGGGCCACAGTCACAATTCCACCCCCATTGCCATTCACAATCTGAAAAGCAGCAACTACCCCGGGAACTCAATCGCAATGGCGTCGCTGCGAGAAGTCTGCCCAAGACCCATTTTACCGTCGAGGGACTATTGTGTTGAGAAACTTACGAGCTACGAAGGAGGCGTAGTTTCCAGCCCGGACGGGGTTTAGAAACAATGTCCTGTAGCTCGGTGCTTTGCAGCTGGTCGAGCACAGCAGCATGAGCAGTGGTCTGACCGGGCAGCTATCACCAACACGAGTAACTAGATTGGGAAGGGAAGAAACCATGGCATCAATGCAACTTGTCACGCTACCGTACTTGCTGCACTGGTGGGGAAGTTTTCTCCAGTGCGTCGGTGTGAGAGGAAAGGAATAAATACCACGTGATTTGCTACTGTACTCTCCCTGCCGAGACAACAGACCGGATATGTACATGCCACATGCCCATGCATGGCATGAGTCTCAAGACCGTATGGGTGTAGGCAGGCACGAGTTACATTTGTACAGTACTTGTCCCTGTGTAGCTACTATACTGGAAGAAGAGAACCCCGGATGTAAACACCGGTGGGGGGGCCCGCCCCTCGTAGCGTAACGTACGGGAGTACTCGTACAGGTACAGGAAAGGACCTCGGGCGCGGACCCCGGCTAGCGGAGATGATTATCCTCTCTCTCCATTACGATCAGGCCTTGGTCTCGACCCCTGTGCCGGTCATGGCGCTCGATCCGTTGCTCGCCGTCCTGGCAAGTCGCTTCTTGCTCACGAGTCGGAAGCCGCCAACGATGAAGAACAAGATCTCCAGGCCAAGGATGACGCCGAGCGTCACCATGGCGCCAATCACACCGGCGACAGCCTTGCTGATCCCGCCTCCATGCCCGCTGCTGTTATCCGACGAGCTCGTGCCGAGGGCTCCGGAGTCTCCTTCACCCAGCGCGCTGGGGCTGCACACCCCGGTCGAGTTGCCGCAGGCGGTGCACCACTCGGCCTGTGTGCCGATGCTGAATTTCGCCGTCGAGGCAACAAACTCCGACCATGGCAGGGGGGAGCGTCCGGAGCCGAAGAGCGGGAACTCGACGGGCTCGCTGATGTTGGACGTCGTGCCGTTGTGGAAGAAGAAGCGCACGCTGATGTCGTCTTCGGTGGGATACGACGTGTTGGAGACCGTGGCGTTGGTCACAAGTTCCCAGACAAGGCTGGACGCGTAGTCGGGGACACCGTAGAAGTCCGTGCTGGCGGCCGTCAGGTTGGCAAGACCAAAGTACGACAGCATGCCGGCGTAGGCGCCGAACTGGATGTTCAGCACGTTCTTGCCCTTGCCCGTGATGGTGCTGTTGAGAGCCTCCGTCACCTCGGCCGCAATGATGGAGCCAGTCACTGCGCGGATGGGCTCAGACTCGTTGTATGCCAGACCGAACTCGTGCTGGTCGGCAAGAGTGCGGAGTTGGAAGAGGTCCGCATCGTCGGGTAGTGCCACGCTGGCGTTGTGGATGCTGGCAACGTTGAGCAGGTCAAAGATTGTGTATGCGTTCTTGAAGCTGGTCTGGTCCTCGGCGAATGTGCGTTCAACGTAAGGATGCATGTCCGCGTAGAATTCCTGGGTGCGAGCCAAAGTATCGTTATACTCGCTGCTTCGGAAATAGTCGTTGGAGCTGACTGTGGCCCAAGTTAGCTATCAGCCGTCGAAAAGGGTGGGTAGCAATGAGCACTTACTTTGAGCATTGGCACAGTTGGTCGCGCCTTGCAGCCAGGCGGCGTCCTCGCTGTTGGCGCCGTTCTGAACAACCTGGAGAGGAACGAGCTGATATCCGTTCATGGGCGCCTGGATGACGGTGCTGTTACGAAGAGTCTGGCTACCCAACGTCTCGCCGACCGGCGGGTACAGACCCTGGAGAAAGCCGATGCCAGATGCTTGCAGGACGTTATCGACCGGTGCCGAAGCCGTTCTTTGGACGGGAAAGTCTCCATGTTAGTGCGTGGATAAAGGTGCAATGGCTTTGTCTTGGAGCATTCATACATCTGTGACAGCTTGGCGATATCAGGCGCGATACCGTGGATCCGGCGGCTAGCATCGCTGGCAACATAGCGGCTCCGATAGTACGAGCCCGAGGTAAATATCTAGGGAGCCAGAGTAGTGTTAGAGACAACTGTACCCTTGCTCTGCCCACGACGAGATTTATAAATCAATGCACTCACCTCTTGATATCCCAGGTCGGTCAGTTCGGTCGGTGGCGTACTCTTTGCGGTTCTGTCTCCATGTCTTGAAAAGATGTATACACCCAAAACCGTCTCTGCTGAGACAGTCGACGACGCCAAGGAGGCAAGGAGGATGGAGCTACGCATGGTGAGGGACCTGCGATTGAGAGCGATACGGTCAGCATGGGACGAGATGGAGCCTGTGGAGGGTTCAGCCCTACCTCTCGTTCAGCGAGACTCAGGATCAGACAATCACGGCGGCAAAGTCGACAATGGACCTCAAGGCTGAGAAGTGAAAAGGAGTCAGGAAGTCGGGCGCTCCTACCGTAATAAGGTCAGCGAGGCGAGCAGAGGCTCTTATCATCTGCCCAGTAGACCTCGCACGAGCATCGCACGATCAGAGGTTCCTGAACATTTACCCCGCCGACACGGTCGCATTATCCGATTCGAGCACTACGGCGCTCACAGTACCTTGATCCGCGGACATGGCCGGATCGATGAATGCTTTGGGTTAAAGGGTGGAGGCCATGGAAGAAAAGAAACTGTCTGGACCACACAAAATTTTCTTCGGGTAGATCTTCGCCCAAGATAGACCGTGACAGTACCAATAAAAGGCGCCAGATCCTGGGGCCCTTGGTTAGTGAGCCCGGAGGGCGAGTGCAACGTAGGCGAGGTGAGAGTTCAGCCAGTCGTTGGAATCTTCCGTGGAGCTGCAACGTGCTAATCGATCGCTGAGCGGTCATACCGTTTGCCGGTTTCCCGCCGGCAGCTAGGAATCAAGGTTTGAGGTGAGATAAGAGGAGATGAGTGAGAAGCTTTCAACGGATTGAATACGAGTTACACTTGCAAACTCGGCAGTCGGTGTCACGTGATACGTCAGCGCTTGCCAAGACAATGATGCACGTGGCCACGAACTCGGAACCACGGCGAAAGAATAATCCGGCCCCGGTCAAATCTCCTCACCGTCATGTCGTGTACTCCATACAAACGCAGTCATAGCAGTAACACCAGCAACACCTCAGCTTGAGCTATATGCTCGATCAGCAGGACAAAGCACTCCTGCGGCACTCTGGTCTTCCTGCTTGGTACTACATAGCCAGTGTCGCCAGACTGAGCACAATATGCTAGGTATCGCTCTACTCCCGACTAGGGTCGGTGAGTCTCTGATTCTTATGCAACCCGGTCCCATTTTAGCAAGCACTCTAGATCCCACCAGCACCGCGCTTTGAAATGCGTATCTGAATGATCACCCCATCGTCTAATATGACCTCTTCTTCGGGGGCACTGTCTCACACTCGTTCTGATCAAGAGTTTCGAAAACCACATCCCGGTATCCAATGGTGATTTCGTCTCCAGTGTCCTTCTGCCAGCTCAAGCTGTGTCGCATGAATCTCTGGTCGTCTCTCTCCGTGAAATCCTCTCGGGCATGAGAGCCACGCGATTCTTTTCTCTCCAGACCGCTTTTCGCCGTCTGCGCAGCACAGGTCAACAGGTTCCTCAACTCGAGCGTTTCCACGAGGTCCGAGTTCCAGATGAGGCTCTTGTCCTTGACGCAGAGGTCAGAACGGAATGTCTGCTCCACCTGGCTTAGACTGTTGAGACCGGTGGTGAGGCTGTCCTGGTTCCTGAACACCGCCACATCGGTCTGCATTGCCTTCTGCATGTCGGCTCTCAGCTCGGACGTTAACTTCGTCCCGTCTGCGTGGCGGTAATGTTCGAGGTCGACAAAGCCTTCGACACCAGTTTCCGACGAGACGCGCCCGCCGTTCCTGAGGAATGGCATGCCTTTCTCGTTGTTCTCAGCAATATGTCCTGCAGCGGCTCTTCCGAACACCACGATGTCCAGCAGGCTATTTGCTCCCAAACGATTCGCGCCGTGCACGGACACACAGGCCGCCTCGCCCGCCGCATACAATCCGCTGACAACGGTCTCCTTGCCACTGCTCGGATCAACATCAAGGACCTGGCCCTTCCAGTTAGTAGGTATGCCACCCATGCAATAGTGCACCGTCGGCAGGACGGGGATCGGCTGCTTCGTGATATCGACGCCCGAGAATATACTAGCCGTCTCTGCAATGCCGGGCAATCTCTCCATGAGAATCTCCTTGGGCAAATGGGACAACTGGAGGAAGATATGGTCCTTTTGGGGCCCACATCCGCGCCCTTCTCTGATCTCCATATTCATGCTCCGACTGACGACATCACGGCTCGCCAAGTCCTTCGCTGTCGGCGCGTACCTCTCCATGAACCGCTCACCCTCCCCGTTGAGTAGATAGCCTCCTTCCCCCCTGGCGCCTTCAGAGATCAGGACCCCAGCTCCGTATATCCCGCTGGGGTGGAACTGCACAAACTCCATGTCCTGAAGAGGCAAGCCCGCCCTCGCCACCATGGCCAGCCCATCCCCCGTCGACGTATGTGCCGACGTAGCGCTGAAATAACACCGTCCATAACCTCCCGTCGCGAGGATGGTATTCCGCGCAAAAACGCGATGCAACGTCCCAGTCTCCATGTCCAGCGCCGTTAGCCCGATACAAGCACCACCCTCCATCATAAGATCCAGCGCGAACCACTCAATGTGGAACAAGCAGTCGTGTTTCAACGCCTGGCCGTACAGCGCGTGCAGCATCGCGTGGCCTGTCCGGTCGGCCACACAAGCCGTACGATGAGCCTGTCCTCCCGTGCCGAACTTAAGGCTCTGCCCGCCCAGCGGCCGCTGGTAGATGGTGCCGGCCTCGGTGCGGCTGAACGGCATGCCGTACTCCTCGAGCTCACGCACCGCGCGAGCCGCCTCGCGGCACATGTAATGGATGGCGTCCTGGTCGCCGAGCCAGTCGGAGCCCTTGACCGTGTCGTACATGTGCCAGCGCCAGTCGTCGTCGTGCATGTTGCCCAACGCGGCATTGATCCCCCCCTGCGCAGCCACCGTGTGTGACCGCGTCGGAAACAGTTTCGTCACCACCGCCGTGTCGAGCCCGGCCTCCACGAGCCCGACCGCTGCGCGGAGGCCTGCGCCGCCAGCTCCCACCACCACCGCGTCGTACACGTGGTCGACGACTTCGAACTTGGCATTGACGGCCTTGATTGTCGATGTCGAGGCCCTTCGCCGCTGCTGGTGGTGCTGGCGGCTCCACAGCTTGCATATCTGCGGTCGGGGCATCCATTGTGGAGGGTGCTGCCGTGAAAGGTTGCGAGCTGTGTGCCTACATAATGAGCCCGCCAGCCGGGGGGCTGCCCGAGGAAACAACTGCATCTGCATGTGCATCTGCCTGTAGACTTTGCGGCGTTCGAGAGGCGTGGAGGGCAATACTTTAAACAAGAGAATTATTCGTCTGCAGCGGCGTACACAGTACGAGTACAGCAGGGGGCAGAGGAGCAAGGCCGCTTGATCACGGATCATCGAGCAAGAGATCTCCGAGACGGTCTTGGACAGAATCTCGGAGTTGGAGAATTGGCGGGGACAAGAGACCGCAGGCCCAGCTGATTGGGGGCTCCGAGATCGCTGGCGTCTCGAAATCCTGCTCCTCGTTCCCCCGAGGCTTGTCGCCAGCCACTGAGAGGGTCGCTATTGATCAGCTTACATGCATAAGAGTCGCAGCTTGCCGAGATGGCGGATGCACGATAGCGTACGCCGTATTCTAGACGGAGAAGTTCGCTCATGAATCGAGCAGCTCTGCTTTTCTAAGCTACACAAAGCCGTACGCAACGACTTTCAGTTTCCATCCAGTCTCCGATTCACAGGGCAGTACTGGTCACGACATGGTCGCATTCCACTCGGCCATCCATCCCTGCGCGGCCTGCACAATCGCCCTCTGAGCGCTGACTACGGGCGCTGGCGGCAAATCCGCTGTCGTCTCATTCGGGAACAACCCGTTTTCATCCCAATGATGCACAGCTCCCGGAATGAGAATGACAGGCTCGCTTGCCGTGCTGGTCTTGTTAAGCACGTCCGGTTCTGGCAGCGTGGCCAACGTGGTAACCGGACGCCAAGGGTCGGCTTCACCACCAACGGTCGCTAAGCGAGGATAGGAGATGTTGAAGCCGCCGTACTTGTTGATGGCGTTCACGTTGGGTGGCGAGGTGATGTTGAATGCAAGCCGGCAAACGTTGGTAAGGTATTTGACCGTCAAGAGACGAGAAATCAACGGAAGTCGGTCCTTTGGCACACTAGCTCCGTCTTGAATGTATCCCCATTCGGTACAGTACTGGTACGCCCAGGATAGCGAGTTATAGTTCGTCGTGTTCTTGAGCGTGTACATCGGTGCTGAGGCATTATGGTTGTTATAGCACTCGTCTAATGTGGCGTCGCACGAGCCCACGTAGCTGTCATTGGTCCATGCAAGCCAGTTGAGGAAAGGATTGAGCAACTGGGCACTTTCATTGCCCCAACCACCAGCGTTGATGAGAGCGGTGGCATTGGCCTTCATCGACGCGTACTTCGGCCACAGCAGAGAGTTCGACGTGATGTTGCCGCAGTAGTAGCTGAATTGCGGACTGTTAACTTCCGGGTCCCAATTCCTCGACTGCCACCAGCCGATGCCACCTGATGCGAGATTCGCAAGATCATCACTGTGAGTCAGACCCTGCATGCCGAATCCCCGCTTCAGCTGAGCCACAGTCGTTGCATTGTTCTTCTCAAGGATGTTGTCCAGAATATTGATCAGCTTTACCTGGTTGGCAATGCACTTGGGGGGACCATATTGGCGGACTGGCTCGTAGTATTGCCAATAGTCGTATAGTGCCTCGGTGACCCCCGACGAAGAGATTGCGCCCCAATAGATGTCTGGATACAGCTTCCGCAAGAACGATACAATTCCCCCAGAGTAAGAGCCACCGTAGGCCAGGTACGCAGTACCAGGCGCGGTCAAGTTCTGATCTTCCAGCCCTGGGAAGACAACGTTCGAGGCAAAGTAGGCTTGATCGGCCACAGCTTGGTCCGTTGACAAGAAGCGTAGATTCTTGGTCGACAGATCCGGTGTAGGGAAGCTTTTCCCATAGTATCTGTGTTCAAGGATGACTCCAATGCCGTTCAGTGCCGATGCGAGCTGGTAGACAATTCCTTTCTGAAGATACGGCAAGCGCGTGCTGGCGTCGGTCTCGCCACTCTGCAGGACTATGACAGGACCTCCAGGCTTGTAGTATGTCGCATCGAAATAGTAACGGAGCTTGAAAGTCTTGTTCGAGTGAGGCTCGTACCGTGACGCATTATGAAAATGATCCACAGGGACGTCAAGGTAATGGGCTGGGTAGAGCTCTGTTGGGTCAACATCTTCGGCCTGCCGTGCGAGCAGTCTAAGAGGAGCAGGTGCCAAGTTTCTGATCGAGGTCAGTTTCCGAGTCCGTGAAGGTCGCGCGGTCACCTACGTGGCTTGGACCACCACACAGCTGGCAGCGGCCAGAAATGTAAGGAAGCCCTTCATGATGCACTCACCGGGTCGAAGAGAGTGGAAAGAGGGAAGACAAGAAAGGCACCCACCATATGGGATTCAGCCGGTACAGATATCTCTCGTGCACGCGAGCAACTGGTCGCCACAAGCTGTGACAAGCTCACAAACTTGCCAACCCCGCATGTCATAGCAATGATACCTTGGCCACTATACCTAGGTATCGTTATCATGAAGCTTGACAAGCTTGTTGGTCACGAAGGATGTCGATGCAACGTTGAAATGGCATGGGAATAGTAGTCTTGCACACAAAGGGAAGGCGAACAAATGATCTTCGGGCTAGCGCAAGGGTCGGCCATTGTCCTCGTAGCCGGGCCATGCCGTACGGGGTACAAGTAGAGTGAGGGAGATGTCGTATCTCACCGAGGGCCAAACAAGGAGGACGAAAGAAGCTAGGCCAATGAGGCAGCCGGAAGATAGCCATATTGCGCGGGCATCCTCTGCTACCGTGGCAACGCGACAAGCATTGGAGATCTGCCGCCACCCGCAACGATCACCGGCGTGAGGCGGGGAGCTTCGTCGTGTTCGGGTGAAAACGAGTAACGCAACTGAAGCTGATGGGGAAAGCTGAAGGATTAATACCGTGCGTGGTACGAGTACGCGCGGGAAATCTGAGACTGCGGAGTTTGTCCTCTGCTTGTGGGATCACGGGGTTTCACAGCTTGATCGAGCGCCTTGGCATGACGTAGACGGTGAGGGGCAGCGAGCGCGTTTCTCGGCCGCACGTGAAGCGGCTTTAGACCAATCAACTCCCACCATCCTTCCTTCCTATTTCAGGTTTACAGAGCCGAGCCAGATGGAGCTATTCCCAGTCGAGGTCGAGAGGCTATATCAAAAGCCATTAATTAGAGTCACCGGTCTCTATCCCCTCAGATTACTCTCCTTCCCTCGAGTGTCATTGACGTCGAGGCCGCCGTCACTGTCCGTTCGCCAGGAGTACACGGCCACCATCCACGCAAAGGCATCTTCCATCGACATAAGCCTGCAACGCGTCTTAGCCCAACCCCTTTGTTTGTGCGGAGGAAGGCGTGTCGACTTACTCCTGCCTGGCTGCTCAAATATAGCACAGCCCCAACGATGTCTTCTGCGCGTCCTATTCTTGCGGCCGGCATCGCCTTAAAAAGCTCGGCAAATTGGTTGGCTCCCTCCTCGACGGGGTTCATCTTGCTTGGGACGACTATGGCCTGCATCAGTCCGGTACGGAGACCCTCCGGAGCCATTACCTACATCCTGGGTTGATCGCGTTGACTCGCACATACCCTGGAGAGCAAGGAGTGTCAACATGACTCTACGTACATGAATTCAGGAACGCAGAAAGAGGCCCACTCACATCTTGCGAATTTGCTCGCCAATAGCGCAACCAGGTGATCAATTGCCGCTTTGCTTGCGGCATAGGATGTCAAATCGATGTTGGTGCAATTGTGCATACTGGCGCAACTGCTGGTGATGATCATTACACCACGTCCTTCGTCTCTGCCCGTCCGGCCGTCCCCAAGGTCGAGGTTACTCGCAGCTACTAACAGCTTCAAGAGCGCCACAGACAAGAAATAGTGGGCGGTGACGTTGACGCGGAAGGTGTCGTCCCAGTCAGAATGTCGCGAGGACCACAGCGATCCCTGTAATTCGTCTAACGATGCGGTTTTGACATCGCACATCTTTGGTGGGTCTCTCCTGATGCCAGCGTTCGAGCAGAGGATGTCGAGGTGAGTCTCATGCTTTTGTACTTCTTGGGCGACAGCAGCGATGCCATCTTTTGATCCCAGATCGCTAGCAAATCTGTGCACAGTCCTTGTTAGGGAACCGACATGCGCAGACTGTTTCTTTCTCACCCAATGGCTCTCCCACCTGTCGGCTTTCCAAGCTCGTTGAGCTCCTTGACAACGCCGTCGATGTCATCTGATGACAAGGCAGTCACATACACTTTCGCTCCGTTCGAGACCAAGCCCTGATTCGCGTCAACGCTCGCGCCCACATTGACGACAACGCGGGCTCACCTTGGCAATCATCAACCCTAATCCAGAACATCCCCCAGTTACGAGGGCAACCCGGCCCTTCACACCAAACAGATCGGAAACAGAAAGAGACTGCATTTTTGGGCATGACGAAAACCATGCTGGGAACATGCTTGATCTAAAGCTGCATATCAAAACCATCACAACCTCGGTCGCCTCCAGTGCGGCTCTGGCCGCTTGCAAGGTCCTCAACCGTCCTTCTCCGTCGGGGGCCCCGTGTTTTCGCACAAGTCCGCAGCTCGCTTCTCCTTGCTCGATTGACGTTTCCTTGCGAGAGGAGTATCTGAAGGATATAAACTCGATTCTGGGGGTTGTTGCTATCGCCAGCGATTCTAGAACCATTTTGAGATATCGAAAGTGAGGCCTTTGGTCTTGGAAATAGCGCAATGTCGGCTGTTACTAGCTCAGTTGCTGGCTTCTATGGCAATCTCAATCATGCTTCTGCCTTGTGGATTATTGCGGCCCTTCTGATTGTCTTGGGCCTTTACAAGGTAAGTGGCAACATCTTCAGTCCGCCAAAGGTGGTCTGACCTCGACAGTGGTCGACTTCCACCGACATTCCGAAGATCAGAGGACTGCCAGAAATCCCCGGCGCTCTACCAATCCTCGGCCATCTTCAGCAGCTGGGCCCCGACCATGCCACAGTGTGTGAAGGTTGGTGGCGCAAGTATGGACAATCGGTCTTCCAGATTCGCCTGGGCAACACTCGAGCCGTCGTCGTCAATTCCTTTGAGGATGCCAAGCAGATGCTTATCGGCAACCAGACGGCCGTTATCGACAGGCCGACACTGTATACCTTCCATGGTGTCATCTCGACGACGCAGGGCTTCACAATAGGCTCGAGTCCTTGGGACGAGTCTTGCAAGAATAAACGAAAAGCTGCTGGTCAAGCACTCGGCAGACCGGCCATGAGAGGCTACTTCGACATGTTCGACTTGGAATCGTATTGTATCGTACGAGACCTCTTCCGTGACAGCAAGAACGGCGAACTGGAGATCAGCGTCCGGCCGTACATCCAACGATATGCGCTCAACACGACCTTGACTCTTTGCTATGGCATTCGGATGGACAACGTTTACGACGACATGCTCCGCGAGATCCTGCACGTTGGCTCGGCCATCTCGCTCCTCCGTTCGGCGTCGGAGAACTACCAGGATTACGTTCCCATCATGCGGTATTTCCCCAATAACGAGAAGATCCGGCGCTCGAAGGAGCTGCGAGATCGTCGTGACCGATACCTAAATTTTCTCCTCAACAAGGTCCGTGACATGATCCAAAAGGGCACAGATAAGCCCTGTATCAGCGCCGCCATCTTGAAGGATCAAGAGACAAAGTTGACTGGCGTTGAGGTCTCATCTATCTGCCTGTCGTTGGTGTCTGGTGGTTTCGAGACAATCCCCGGCACTCTGACATCCTGCATCGGCTCTCTTTCCACCAAGCAAGGACAGATCTTCCAGGAACGTGCTTTCGAAGATATCATGCGATATTACCCGGATCCGGCGTCGGTTTGGGCAAACAGCTTCCAAGAGGAGAAGGTGCCGTACGTCAACGCCATCATCAAGGAAGCCGCTCGTTACTACACCGTCAGCGCCATGTCCTTGCCTCGCAAGACTGTGACGGATATCGAGTGGAACGGCGCGAAAATCCCGGCCAAGACCATGATCCTCATCAACGCTCAAGCGGCGAACCACGACGTCGATCACTTCGGTCCTGACGCCGCTGTCTTCAATCCGGAGCGATGGTTGAATGACGAATATGTGATGCGGCCTTCATCTACCCGGCCGGAAGAGAAGCCCGGTCAGGGTATTCAGCACTTCTCCTTCGGTGCTGGCTCCAGGGCCTGCTCTGGTCAATTCATCGCCAGCCGACTATTGTATACTGCCCTCATCCGATTGTTGGTGTGTTATAAGATTGTGGCGAGTGATGACGAGCCTCCCAATACGGACTATGTTGATTACAACCAATTCAAGTCGGCGTTGGTGGCGATTCCCCGGGATTTCAAAGTCAAGCTCATTCCGAGATACGATGAAAGCGTGATTCGGGAGATCATGTCTGCAGCGTCCGATCGGACGAAGGACTATTATACGGAAGACAGCTAGGCGGAGTCTTCTACGTTACGTGCAGCCGCGCGATACTCATGTTGTAATGATCTGGTTTGAGCATGCTCTGGGAATGGGAGAGGGGGATTGTGCACAGGACTTTAGAGGTGAATCTCACCGATGCAAATACACGAGTTTACCACCAAATAGGGTCTTTCATCGAATGAGCAATATGATGAGCTTGAATATTTTCTGCGATGGTGGTTTGAACGACGAGCCATTGTGGATGAAGCAGCGTCAGCATGAAAATGCGAGGCCTGGACTCACACTCGTCGACGGACATGTGCGGGTGCCTGTCTGGGGCCTAAGCCACCCCCGGGGCCCGCCCAAGAGCGCACCTACGCCGATCCCCGGGCAGCCACGAGCCACCCAAGAGCTTCGGCATCACGCCACGCACGCGAAAGCCCGCCGCCCAGCCCTCCACAGTCACATCTCACGCACTACCTTGAGAGCTGGACAAAAAGAAATAACAATTCTATTTGTCTGCGTAAGGATCTATTACGCGGTCTACCGACGGAGCAGTCCGCCAAGGTACGCGTCGATGTCCTTAACGAGGCTCCTGGACTCCAGTGCCACACGAGCACCAATCCATCCGTCCGGCCTTACCACGAAGACAGCCCCTGAATCGACATCGACGCCGTACCTCTTATATGCAGCGCCGCCATCCACGTCGTAATAGACCTTACCCAAAGGATCAGTCCCCAGCTCGAACCAGGCATTGCCGACTTTCTCGGGGAGGATGGTCAGGAAGTCCACCGGCCATTTGTGAGCCTGTGAGCTTGACGATCCATTGACATGAACACCGTTCGAAGTTGCTGCCGTCCCCGGAACCCTCTCAGGCTTCAGATGAGCATTTTCCTGCACATCTTGCTTCATCTTCGCAAAAGCTTCTTTCGCTGCCTTTGATCGGCCCATGAAGACGAGGATATAGAACCTTGCATAGTTCGTCATGAGCGTATGCAGCCAGGCGTGTTCCCATAGTGCTGGGGTCAACACTTGGATATCTGGCGCTCGATAACCTGCGATGGCTGGAGCCGGGATGATCGATCTCTTGGCCACGAGACTTGCATCATCGCCGCTATCATCTCTCATGACTGCGACATTCGGCTCGAACCCGATTGTCAAGCCGGTGTTGAAACCCTTCGCCTCTTGAAGTATCCTCCCCAGGACGACATTCGGATCTTCTGTTCGATCTCCATGCCAATCCTTCGGCAGCCTGCCCGAGACAAGAACGCTGATGTCTTCATCATACTTGATGAGCTTCTTGGCGTTGGGTTGCCTTTCCAGATCGTAAGTCTCGAGGACTTCCCGCTTTAGCACTCCTGTCAACACAAGGGCAAGCTTCCAACCCAGATTTACAGCATCATGCATGCCAGCATTCATGCCCTGTCCGGCGCCTGAGCTGTGACTGTGCGCTGCATCGCCAGCAAGGAATACCGACTCTTTTGCCCAGAACTTCCTCGCGACACGCTGGCCGACACTGTAGACGCTTGCCCAGTCCACCCGCTCATATTCAATATCGAATGGCTTGACCGAGAGCTTCGCTTCCTGGATAAACACTGCCTGATCCAGTTCCCCATACAGTTTCCTCCTCTCCTCGTTCAAAGCAAATCCAATCCTGGTGGCGCCGTGATCGAGGGGGATCCAGAGCACATTCCCGTACAACGGACTCTCAATGGCGCCGTAGGATCTCGGTTTCGGCATCGTGGTGCTCTTCAACACCCCGTCGATCCTGACCCACTTGTCCTCTGTGCGATCTCCATCCGACTCGATCCCGGCTGCTCCTCGAACCAACGTCCTTGACCCATCACAGCCGATCAGGTACCGACATTTGACCGTATACTCCCTCTCCTTGCCGGCGCCGGCACTGCTGTCAAGCACCTTCGCCTTGACCCTCCCTTTGCCACCGACTTCCACACTCTCGTCGACGGTCAAACCCACAAACTTGCACATCTCGCTCACTTTGACTCCCAGCTTGGCCAGCTCGGCTCGAAAGATATCCTCGACGAATTTCTGTCTCAGCACACTCGCGAATTTGAACCTCGTGTCTTCGATTCCCTCGAGGAAACTCCATCCTCGACCAAACACCTCTTCGCCCTTGGTATTGTAGGCGGCAGATGAGCGCACGGCAACACATTGTTGTGTAATCTGGTCGGCCAGACCCATCTGTGAGAGAATTTCCATAGACCGAGGCCAGAAGGTCACGGCTCGCCCGAAACTCTCCTGCACGGGCTTCGGATGGGCTTCGATGATGTGGACTGAGATCGGTCGTGAGTCCGCGTTGGGCGAGATTGGTGGCGAAGAGAACCGGCGCAGCTGGTACGCGAGATTCAGCCCGACAGGACCGGCGCCCACGATGAGCGCGTCGACGTCGACGTCGACGTCTGCCTCAGTTGATGGCCCCATTTTTGCCTGCACGGCTGTGGCTCTCGAACAATAATTATTCGTCAAAATCGCTTGCTTGTACGACTATCAGTCTGCTGGTGACTGCTTCAAGGCTGCTCAAGTCCTTCTCTTCCCGATCTATGACCACTGTGATCGACCCTGTCTCGTCTTCCAGCTGTAGTCTTACGGCAGCAAGGCTATTCAAGTAGGATCAGGCTCATACAAACCTGGCAAGGTTAAATATGGTCCTCTGGGTTGACTCGATCCAACCACGTTTTTACTTAACGTCAGATCTCGACAAGCCTATCATCTTCTCCATCTGACGGCACGATGCTCAACTCCGACTCTCTTTGCGCCACTCTATCACCCGGCGACTCGACGATTTGACAAGGCTGAGGCGATAAGCGAGCGAAGATGTCCGCATCCGCTCGCAGCCTGGAGTAGGACGTCCTTGCTCAGACAGCCCCCTCTGGGTAGGACGGAGATCGACGACATTGCTTATCATCCCACCGTTGTCAGGGCCCAGATCCCGATGCTCTGCTTCCCCAGATAATCATCGGCACGAATTCACCTGGCGGGGAAGGACTAGCGTTGTGTTTGTCGAGGGGAAAAGATCCTGCAAGCGGCCTCACATCATGTCTTGTCCGCGCATCCTCAGATCCGATCTCGCGGCGTTGCTGGGCTTGTGGCACCTCGAACGCGCAACATGGACGGCTTCGACCTCCTCGTCATCAACGGTCTCGTGGTGACCGCGTCGGACACGGCCAACTACGACATTGCCATCAAAGATGGGAAGATCGCGTTGCTCGCCCCGCCGGGCGTGCTGGGCAAGGAGAGTGCGAAGAAAGTGATTGACGCCGAGGGCGGCTATGTCATGGTACGTATGAAAGGCATGCCTTTGCTGTGCTATTCATGCGATGTCATGCATCTGTCCTCCTCTACAATTGACGGCTGACCAACCCGTGCACGCGCCAGCCCGGCGGAGTCGACACTCACGTCCACCTCGAGGAGCCTGCATTGTTTGGCGGCAAGGGGAGGAGTTCCGACAACTTCGAGACCGGCACGAGAAGTAGCATCTGCGGAGGGACAACAACGATAGTGTGCGTCCATCCATCTCATCACTTCAGTGCACCGCATACAGTACACATGGGCTGTAGTGCGTTAAGATGACTATACTCACTCACGTCCTTGCCTCGCAGAGCCTTCGCGCCTCAAGCCAAGACGATCCCCTCGCTGCTCACTGTTCTTGAAGACACCCACGCCCGGGCCAAGGACAACTGCTACACCGATTACTCGTTTCACATGCTCGTCGGCCACCCGGGAGAGCAAGCGCTGTCGGAATTCCCGCGCCTGCGCGAGCTAGGCATCTCGTCGCTCAAGATCTACATGACCTACGAAGCGCTGCAGCTTCGAGACGATCAGATCCTCGACGTCCTCCTGGCGTCGAGGAAGGAAGGCATCACGACCATGATCCACGCCGAGAACGGCGACGTGCTGAACTGGATGACCAAGAAACTCGAGGAACGGGGCCTCTACGCGCCAAAGTACCACGCGACAAGCAGGCCACAGATTGTCGAGACCGAGGCGACGAACCGTGCGATCGCGCTGGCCGAATTGATGGACGCGCCGATGTAAGTTCTAACCCTGTCCCCTGTTTGTGGGGGGGCAACCCAACGCCAAGTTCAAGTGTTTTGACAACATCTGGATCTGCAGCCTCGTCGTCCACGTCTCGTCGCCCAGTGCGGCAGCTCACCTCCGCGACGCCCAGACAAGAGGCCTCCCCGTCTACGCCGAGACATGCCCCCAGTACCTCTTCCTGACCCGGGCGGACCTGGACAAGCCGGACTTCGAGGGCGCGAAATGCGTGTGTTCGCCGCCGCCGCGCGAGTCCGCCCACGACCACGATGCCATCTGGCTAGGGCTGGCCAACGGCACCTTCACGGTCCTCTCGAGCGACCACTGCCCGTTCATGTACGAGGACCGCGAAAAGGGCAAGAAGAGCATCCTCAGCGCCGAGTATCCCGAGGGCCGCTTCTCGGGCATCCCCAACGGCTGTCCCGGCATCGAGACGCGGCTGGCGCTGACGCTCAGCGCGAACCGTCTCCCCTTGCAGAAATTCGTCGAGGTCACGGCCACCAACGCCGCGCGGCTGTACGGCCTGTATCCACAAAAGGGCACCATCTTGCCCGGGGTCAGCGACGCCGATCTCACCATTTGGTACCCGCCCGGACGGCTCGGGTCGTTCGAGCTGACCAACAGCATGTTGCATCACAACGTGGATTACACGCCCTTTGAGGGCATGGAGCTGAACCAGTGGCCCAGGTGGACCATCTTGCGCGGCCAGGTCGTGTGGGATCGCGACGGCGGCGGGCTCGTCGGCACAAAGGGCTACGGTCGGTTCGTGAAGAGAGGGAAAAGCACGCTGCCTGGACCGCGGAAGAGCGGGGACTGGGATGTGAGTGTTTTCTGAGCGATGGGTCTCTTCTTCAAGCTATAACAAACATGGTAAAAGTGATGGCCCATATAGAGGGGAGTGAGGAGCAAGAGATGATGCCTCGATGACTTGATGCCTCGATAACTTGATGCCTCGATAACTTGATGCCTCAGGGTGATGAGGACGAGACGAACGATAGCTGTATTTCGACCTCTCGGGCCTCTTCATCAATCCACATCATTGAATGCGCGTCGCGTCGTGAATAACGCATATAATTACGGTCGCCGGACATGGTGCTTTGACGAACGACTCCCGGACCATCACGCATTTCCAGCAGAAGGTCACTGTTATAATGATATCGGTTTACAACATGAATGGTTGGTATGGACGGTTATATTTGCATCTTGCGTCTTTGGTGTCAGGATATCGACTCACCCTACGTGGTTGTCTGTCGATTGGAAGGCAAGCTCTCAATGTAGTGAATTGATTGCTCTTGTCGTGTCACCGGTTTGAATCGATTCGACTCCTCTATCGGGTATGCGACACCTATCTCATCCCAGACCTTCGCCATACACATTGATGACCCTGTGTCTCATGACAGAGATTCGGCAAAGGCCAATGCCACAGTACTGCGTCTCTTGGGACTATCTATAGCTGTGATACCATGTAACCATGTATGTACCCGTACCTAAGTCCCTGCCGGCACTACAACTGAGTAAAAGTACTTTCCGGCGCCTGTTCCCTTGGTAAGGAAGTTGTCCCTTGGTAAAGAAATTGTTCCCTCGCTGTCGCTGCCGGAGTCATGTGCCGCAAGCTCGCCTCAGACAGCATCACCATTATTGCCAGCATGTATCCCCCCTCACTAGGGGTGTACCTTCGACGACTGCAATGTGTCCGGCTTTCAGCAAATAGCCGTCTGCTCCGCCTTCCGAAGCCTCAACCGCCGGCAGCAATGACCCTGCATTCCCCCCGCTCCTCACGCCAAAAGCTGCACTATCTCTCTAAGCTTGTTGTCGCTCAACTCGCGGGGTGCCTTAACCTCATACTCCCCACGACCGCATCTGATTCAAGCGTAATTTCCCTTCTTCGCCTCGCCCTTCCCTTTGAAAATAAAAGATGAACCGATGAACGGCAGACTGGTCGGCACGATAGACCTCCCAACACGGTTCTACGGGTGAAATCGGCACAGTAGAGAAGGACGTATTTGCAGGCTCAATCTTGATGTTTGTGTGTGGTTGGAGGAAACTCGTTCCGAAGCGACAACTGAATGCGAAAGGAAGATGGCGAAATATTGTGACAATGCAGCACAGGCCACGTTGGCAGGCAGCGGACGCATCCACCACCCGAAATGGAGGTCTGAGAAGTCGAGGTTAACCAGCACGCCAGTGTCGTGGTCGCAGCGAGGGAAATGTCAGTGTCCGGATGGATAGTCATGAGGTCAAAATTGTTACAAGGTCGAGATAGTACGCACACGACCAGCACCTGTGCTTCGATAGAAAGGGAGTACTTCGTATTCCTTTACCAGCAAGATGCCTAGATACAGCATCGATGCTGTTGGGTTGAAAACTCACCTGCCTGCCATGTACTGGGGACACGTAATGACGATCCTCTCCTATGCTGATGCTGCCACCTTCAGCACAGGGTGATTCCCATGCTATGCTCTGATCCAGCTAGCTACTCAGCTGGAAACCTCAGACTATGCGCTGTCTTGACCACAGAGGTTCATTGGTAATGTTGCCTGCATGGTGGCAAAGTCGAAGTCATTTGAATCCCGCAAGTGTGCTCCTACAACGGGGCTAAGGGACACTTGTTAGGGGAAGGCCGCAAATGATTCCGATAAGCGTTGTAGGGAGAGAAGCAAGCAAGAGAGCCGTACATTATTGCAGAGCGAAGAATTCGCCAGGTATTTAAGCACGGTTCAGTGCCGGCCACAGCCGCCGAGCCTAACCATCTCGGGAATAGTGAAATCGCCAGTTCGGATAGCGCAGCATGGGTGAACCCGCGGGGCACCTAGGATGATAAGTGAAGCTAACCACAGATGAGTACGATTTGAAAAACAATGAGTCTAATTACTCGTCGTAATTGGCAGAAATGTGACGTGAGCCTCCGCTTAAGCACACTCCCCGCGGCAGGAAAGCTGACTTCGTTCGTCACCCCAGCACCGTGGTCCTAGTGTATTCAGAGACCTATCGTCGTGCTCGTTCCTTCCAGATACCACGACTCATCCACGTCAACTGTCAGGCCCATCGTGACATTTCTCCCTGGCTCCGCGGCGGTGAACGAGTTCCCGTCTAGAGGAGCGAAGCTCTGATTCTCTGCTGTTTTGCCCTCTTTGACCTTGTGCTCCTTCAGAGGAAAGTCCCCACGGTGACAGATATGTTCTTGAACGCGGTGCAGTATGCTTCCCGGTCCTTGGGCACTGCACACGAGCGAAACGTCGAGATGATCCCGGAAGATGCCGCGGAAAGCCATACTGCTCAGCTTGAGAGACTGATTCAAGAACATTGTGAGTTTGATGATGGAACACAAAATTCCAGCATTCGGGCTGGCTGCAATCCCTCTGAGATACAAGTTCGCCAGAGTCAAGGACTTCAGTGTGCCTGTATGTGTCAGGATGAACTCAGATAGCTCCTTGACAGTAGTTGCCATGTTCTCCAAGATGAGGATTCTCAGATTCGAATACAACATCCCTAGTTTTGTGGACCTGAGGAACAGCGCAGTCATCCTTCTCAAGGCGTAGGCGCATACAGGCTCAACAATTCTGTTCATCGAGGGCATACGGTCGAAACCAAGCCACAAATTTTCCACCACAAGTAAGTGACGGGGAAGCTGGGTCAGATATTTGGTCAGGCCATTTGCCCAGTAATTACTTTTTGCGCGGAGGCGGCAACGAGGCCGATCAAAGCTTTCCACTTGTAAGGTCAGCTTGAAGCGGGTGACTCCGGACAACAGCTCTGTGAGATGTGGGATGTGGGAGATGTTGTAGAACTCCCACCAGTAGAGCGATGCCAAATCGATCGACCTAGGTCGCAAGTGCCGACATTTCTGCAAGACAGAATTCATGAGCGGGAATTGCTTTGTACCATCCAGCATACAAACACCTGTCCGTTTCATCAGATCCGAATCATCATCGAGCAGGTAAGATCCGGTTGTAGTGCGAGCTGATGGTCTGACATGTATGAAGTGTCGAAGCTGCGGAAATTTCTTGAGCGCGATCCAAAGCAACGGGGGTCCCTCATTTGCGAAAGTGGCTTGAGAGTGTATCTCGGCGTTGTATGCACCAGAAAGCTCGAGCGCCTCCACAGCTGCGTCAAGCGGGGCCAGGCTTTGAAGTCGTTGAGCCAGAGGGCCGGATCTAACAAATTGGCTGAATGGCGCCTCGATCAGGTAGTGCGTGTGGACCTCGATGGTATGCACGAGACTCCCGAGAGTGCCATCGAATGATATGTTGCACAAACGGGCAACGCTGTTCATGCTTGGAGATAGACAAACTGTTCGGAAGAGAATGCGAGTGGCCGTGGAACCCATTTGCCTGTCCACCAGACGACACGACCTCAAGTCTCTCCTCTCGACCCATTTTAGGATATTCGCCTTGATCTCTTCGGGCAAGTTGAACCATTGTTGTAAGAGTCCTTGCGTTGCCGTCGTCCGAATTTGAGACTCTTGCGGTTCGGTGAGCTCTCGGTCGGGTTGAGGTGAAGATTCGTTCACTGCCTTGCCCTCACATGCGCAATCGTAGGTGAAGTCGGCATCCATATTGGATAGTTTGGGAAAGAGGATTATCTTGCTAGAATGTTGAAATCGAGACGGGTACGGATAGGGCAAATCGAGGGGACGACAGTCGTTGCTTGTTGAGAGGTGTAGAGGCAGGAAGTGTGCCAGTGACAGTTGTCAGAAACAGCAGTCAGAAAGTCGATCCAGTGACAACCGACGTGCCGAAGGTGACATGATATTCAAGCACAGGTCGGGAAGACACACTTGTCAGTGAATGTCAATGTGGGAAGGCAGTGGGCTGAGGCCTTCAACATTGCACCGCAGCTGCCACGGACAACAACGTGTAAACGAAACGCGACTAAGGTGTGATTCATTCATAATTGTGCCTCAGAAAGCCCTGAGCAAGAGGGATTGGAAGGTGAGGCAGCCGCAAACACAACATTCATATTGTGCAATTGCAAACACTCACCCCATAGCACAACTGCCACCAACCGCAGCCGGATGTCTCTTAACGTCATCTAGGTGTCTTCCAAGCCATCCCCCATAGCCAAAGCTCGTCCAAGCGCCATCCGTCCTCTCTGTTGTCCGCAAACAGACACAAGCAATTGTTTGTAAAAGAGAGCATGGCAAGGGACGTTTGACAAACAAAGAGACAGAGGAGCACAAGGGAGCACAGGAAGAATGGCAGACCAGAACAACTCTGCAGCACTACGAGATCTTGAGCTACCCATGCAGTGCAAGACAGGGTAAAGGATCGAGGCTAACATCAGGAGGATAGCGGCGAGAATGGAGTTGATAGCAGCCAGCAATCGGGAGGAGAATCGCTGTCCAGAGTTGCGGCTTACATAATGAGGCGCATCAGACGTGTCTGGTGCGCGTTGCCACTCAAGCGGTTTGATACACTCGCACTACCCACTGTTTCTCTGCATTTGACTGAATTACTCTACAGAATCTCTGAAAGTACCTAGTCGGAAAGCGTTTTTTGGTGGGCCAGTTTAATGCCTGTAACCCAAAGGCTACTGCTGGGGATGATATGAGGTACTCTCCTTCATTTGTGGTTTCCTGAAGACCTATTTGGAGGGATCGAGCTGTTGCAAGGACTACTGATCTGTCTCGATCTCCTGTCCAGCACAATATGCAAAAGCAAAGAAACATCCCCCCTGGGCTTGAGACACGCTGAGTCATGGCCACCTTCTGATGTCAACACATGCGTGTCCAAAGCGTGTCTTTCTATCCTCCAGCTCGAGACTTCTGGTTGTCCTTGGTGCCAGCCTGAGCACAAACCGGGAGATGATTCTGAAAATGCACGATCACATCCTCCTCTGACAGACGCTGCTCGTTCATCTGTTCAGCCAAGGAAGCCCATTCGATTGTCAGATCGGCTAAACAAGCTTTCTCCATGACTGCCCTGGCCCAGACTCTGCTTCAAACTCGTCTTTGCTCTGCATCCCATGACCTTCAATCTTGCTACCCACTATGGTAGGCTTGATGGTCGAACTTGGCGATCCGTGCTCGCTGCCTAAAGCATACCACTTCTCTTCCCACGATTGCAGACTGTCGGTCTCGTCTGGATAGGTACGCTTGAAGGGTCCATAAGCCCGCGCACCGTTACGCATCGGAGAAGGATTCAAAGGAATTGCATCGTGACTTTCGTTCGAAGGAGTACTCGGCTTTGGTGATTTCCAAGGACTCCCAATCTCGGGGAGAGCGGTGATGCTGTTGCTTCTTCTGCTCTTGCGTCCTGGCGTGTAAGGGGAAGCCGGAGTACGAGTGGGTGTTTCAAAGGACTTCTTTTCCCTAGCACGAGCTGCGTCGTCCTCGAACTTCTTGAGGTGGCGGGCGTAAGTGTCTGTCGTGCCTGTCACAGAGCCACTCATACCAGCGTTCTCACCCGTCAAAATACCAAGGCTGCGCATTCTTCTGACCTGCTTGTTCTTTTCTCGCGTCTTGCGCCATCTGCCAAAGCAGCCGAAGAAGGGGATTGAGTCGACGACTTTGTGGAACGTCCGAGGGTGGTACTTGCGCCAGAGGAGCATCAAGAGTGAGAAGAAGAGTAGTGTACCGATGGACATAGGTACGGCGATTATTGCCGGACCGGGACCATGGCCATGTCCATGTCCGTTGATCTGCTGAACAGGTGGTGCTGGGTTGGAATCATTCGCAGGTGCTGGGGGAGCGGCTGAACTTGTTGACACTGGGTCTGGTAAGGTAGTTGGCGCTGAGGTTGAGAAAGTGGTGCCCGCTGCTGTTGCTGTTGTCGTTGTCACACTGGCGGGCTCAATAGGAGTCGCGACACTAGTTGTTATTGATATGCTGTGCGAAGTCGTTGATGTGGTGCTAACGCTTGAGGCCGAACCCGGTGCTGCAGGACTGGATGGTTCGCCTGGACAAACAGTTCGGTCAGGATCTTTGAATGTTACACACGACATCGGTTCGGACGTACTGTCGCTAGGCGGTGTGCTCGACGGCCAGTAGACTGAGAAGACGTAGAGAGTAGAAGAAGATGAGGTTGCGATTTGATCGACAGAGGGCATCACCAGACTCTTGTTTGCACCCTACCAGACGGGATTGTCAATGATAATTCTTGTGCTTTCAGTTGATGCTTTCCCAAATTCGCTGACGAAGATGTCGGATGGCGAGAGAAAGAGGGCAGTAAACTCACAACTAAAGAGCTGAGAACTTCCGCTGGTGACGGTGGCGTCGCAGCAGCTATACTGGCCAGCACTGACGCTAGGAGTCCTGTTGAACGTGATGTATGTGACACCGCGGTTGTCTCTGGACTTTGTGCCATGATCCCGGCTGCGATCGGAGAGGTGGATGAACAAGTTAGGTTGTGTGAGGTGCAGGTGACCTGTGTGGAAGAAGTCATGGCGCGCAAATCTGAAGTCACTCGGGAAAAAGGTCAGGTGGATTTCGCGCAAGGAAAGTGATAATTTCATGAAGATGAGTTTGCCGCGCTCAGTGACAGCCGCACAGACAACCGTCAGGGTTTTCTCTTACCGATCTGAGATGTGGCCGAAGCCACCCACGAGGTTGTGCTCGCCATTGTCGTTGGAGCAGTGGCTGGCGCCGCCAACAAAAAGGTGCTAAGCATTGGTGAGAAGGCTCGCGACGTTGTCCCATTGACGGTCATGTTGACCATGGGGTAAACCATGTGGTATGGCGCTGTTGCCATCTTGAACTTGCTGTTGAAGAGGCGCGTCGAGGTGAGTGGAGGGATACTCGTCACCTCTCCGCCGTCACGAGGTCTTGTGGCCGTGTTGCGGGTGAGGTTGAACTGCACAGAAGACGATTGAACGACACCGCCCTGGCACCATCCAGCTCCACCAAGCATCGTCAATAGCAAGAATTCCGCCAACAGCGACACTGGGCATCTTCCATTACGCCTTGCGCAAAAGCGCTTTGTCCAATTTCTCTCCCCGTTCAGACCCTCATGGCATGCGTCTACAGCGACATTGTTTCGGTCCACGAGGTTCTGCGACATCATAGCCATCTTTTTCGGCATGGTCGTCATGGTTCACCACTTCCTGGCACCTCAAACACAGCGTCCGACCATCGGAAAACGTGGCAAGAGTTTCTATCAATATAAGCCTGTTCCAGTTGCCCCGAAGACGACGAAGATGACGGCGAATGTAGTGGTGACATTGTTGAGACTTGAGGACAACTTGTGATGCCACTATAATGTTATCAGCTCTGGCACGAAGATATATGACCATCAAACACAGGAAGGACATGCAATAGCCGGCAGTGGTCATTGAAATCATCAACGGGACCGGAGAAGCGAGGTGCGAATAGAAAACACGACAGGCCAACAGGGCAACACCATTTGTGGAATCGGTGAGCCTCAAAGTGATAGAGGGATGCCGCCACAGGTGGAATGGGCCCGTTTTCTCAGTTTGAGCCGGTCTTTGTTCACCTACAGCTCTTGCAAACATCCCGTCATTACCTGCCTAAGCAATAGGCAGTACACCAAAAGCCGGTCCAATAACTAGAAACAGATCTCGTGCCCCTATAAAAGTGGAATGGCTGGTGGAAGCAGAAGTCTAGACATTGCATTCAGTGTCTCTCCCATGTTACGCCCCAACGCCTGCCGCAATCCATTTGGGCCGAGTTTGTATGTGAGAGTCAGAAAGGGTACCCGTCCGGTGGCATTTGTCTCTGACGGAAACAGCCATTGTCTTCCATGCTCCATCCGACGTTCGGAGATTTTGTTGTGCGTGTTTCAGTGGACCATCTGTCGTTGGGTGAGCGTGGAAACGATCTAGCAACACCCACCAGCGGCTCCGGATTGCACGCCCTGGCCTTGTCCGACTTGAACTGTAGGCTTGTTGTTGACAGTGGTGGTACCCATTCGCTCCTTGATCTGCCGGGCCATGGTCAGGAAGGCTTGCTCAACATTGGAGGCGTTCTTCGCAGAGGTCTCGAGGAAAGGGATTCCGAGGCTGTCAGCGAACTCCTATAACCAAATAAGTATGATGGATTTCCCACGATCAATGCATGATTTCGCCACCGTACCTTTGCCATTGTGTATTCGACCACCTTCTTATCCGACATATCGCTCTTGTTGCCAACGAGCAACTTGTTGACGCCCTCGGTCGCGTAGCGGTCGATTTCCTGCAGCCACTGCTTGACGTTGTTGAACGAGTCCATATCCGTCACATCATAGACGACGCAAATGCCATGAGCACCTCGGTAGTAAGATGATGTGATGGTCCGGAATCGTTCTTGGCCAGCAGTATCCCACTGTTTGACGTGTTAGAGCATCTTCGAGTTGCCGAGGAATCTACATACAATCTGCAGCTTGACGGTCTTTCCATCGAGTTCAATAGTTCGGATTTTCTGTGCCTGCGTCAGCTTGCGATCCTCCTTGTTTCAAACCCCCAACATACGAAATCGACACCGATGGTAGAGATGTAAGACTCGGTATAGGTGTCATCGGCGAAACGCAACAGCAGGCAAGACTTTCCGACGCCGGAGTCTCCAATAAGCAGGAGCTTGAAGAGGTAATCGTATCTAGGTTGCGGTGTCAATATTCTGGGTCCGGCTAGCCAGTGGCACCAAGGCAGGCCGTGGAGGGAGTAGGTGGTAACGACTCTGCCACTTGTTAGTGACGGCCACCCGATTACGACTGCGGCTGGTCGTGTGATAATGGCTTGCAAGCTGGACAACTTACCACTCTGGATTCATGGTGGCAGGCTGAAGGCAATGATCTCAGGAGACGGTGTGCGTGCAAGAGAGTGTCCGAGTTTGGCCGCGAAAGCAAAGGTGTCTTTAGGTGTGGGGGCTGGACGTAAGGTAGGATCCAGAGTTAAGATGAATTGAAGGCAAACGGAAACTGACGTCTGTTGTTTGCGCCAACCTGGACTTTCGAGATCCGTTGATGGGAAGATTCGTAACCACTTAGGCTCCTTTGTCACCTGCTCATTGGCCCGCTGACGCCTGTATCAGGCTTCTCCAGGCTGTGGCTGACGGCGGTTTAGCGCCGCAGAGATCACGTGCTCAGCCACAACAAAGATGGGAATGGGGGGCCGAGGCTGCTGTGGCTCTATGCTACAGTACTAGGGCCGGTTGCAGTATACTCCAGCTTCACCGGGCGCTGCAGATGTTTATGGAGCCCGTCTATGAGCAGTTGTCGGTGCCCAGTAAAATGACCTCGTCTTCAAGTCTATCTATTCTTTCTACAACAAGTTCTGCCTTGCTGCACAGCTGTCCCTCGCTACTCGGCGACCCTATGAAGCGTAACCATGTGCCTTCAGCCACTCCAACAATTGTAACTCGTCCCTCTCCTTGTATTTCACATTCCCCGTAATGGTGTCGTGCACAATTACCAAGCTCCTCGAAAATTGACCGGTCTTCTTGTCCTTAAAGAACTCGTCGATCTGGTCTCTCACCTCGAGGTCCGAATATTTGGGCAACCCCATCTTGATCCATCGATCGATGATAACACTCGTCACGCTCAACCGCTCAAACACCCGGTCCCACTTTTGCTTGGTATATTCCCAGACGACGAAGCGAGTATCGTTGTTGTTGGATACAGCGATGACACCGCCGTGTGCATCCTGTGCGGGTACTTCATCTGAAGTGACGAAGTCGAGCAAATCCCATGCGCGATTTGGGTCTTTGGAACGCCCTAGGGCTTGGATACAAATTTCTTTGCCGTCCACGGAGGTGGTCTTTTTGAATTCTGCTTTGATGGCATCGTATTCTTCTTGTCCACCATTCGCAACTGCCAGGTTGAAGATGACGCCACGGAGGTTCTGGTGGATGGCCTTCTCATCACCCGCCTTCCAAGCCGCGAATTTCTTCTGGCCTTCCGAAACGATGCTCTGATGACCAGCTGCGGCGGCGGTGCCAAGCAGAAGCTTGCGCGATTGACCGGTGAGATAATCTTCGTCCTTCGGGAAATCCCAGCCGATCGCTTCAGCGGCAGGCGAGACCAATTTGAGTGTGAACTTCTTCAGCGCGTCGGAGATCTCTTTGTTGCCCGCAAACACCCGCTTCACCGTTGCCAGCGAGCTCGTGATCTGCTGCCAGACAATGAAGCTTCTTTCGTCTTTGAAGCCCTCTAGCAGTGAAAGCAGAGCAGCTGTTGTGCCATTTCCGGAAATCGCCAATGCGGTGGCGTCACCCAGAAGACCAATCTTATCTTCTATTGAGAGATGTTCTTGGGCTTCTCCAAGCTTAGCTAACCGTTGAGGCGGGTAGTTAGTGCGATAGAAGCCACTCTGATCAGCGTTGATCTTGTAGAATGTATCGTCGACGTCTCGAACGGTATCTTCCTTTTGGGTCAATGCACTGTGTATAACCTTGGTTGGCGTACCAGTTTTCAATCCGACGGGAATCCACCAGGTCGTTTCGTCTTCCTCAGCCTTGACATCTCCAGTTGTCAAGAATCTCGACTGGCGGATGGAGATTTGACCAGGTTCTTCGGCAACAGTCACGACGGGGAAGCCAATCTTTCGAATCCACGGATCCATGAATGCTTGCACGTCTTGACCTGAGGCTGCACTAAGAGCTGCCCACAGGTCATTCGTCCTGGCATTGCCATATGCGTGGATCTTAAGATAGTCACCAACGCCCTTGAGGAACAATTCTTGCCCAATGTGGTCGCTCAACATCCTGATAACAGAGCTTCCCTTGAGGTACGAGATGTGGTCAAAGATCTGGTCGACTTCGAGCGCATTACGGACGGGGACTTCGATAGGATGCGAAGCTCGTAGGGAGTCGAGTTCGAGGGCTGATTGAACAGATTCAGCCTATACTCAGTCAGCTGGAGCGTTTTGGGGAGTATACCTCGTCTCATGCTACGTACCACAAACTGACTCCAGACCTTCCATTCCGGATGGAGATGATCTACAGCGAGCCAGCCAACCCAGGTTGCAAACCCCTCATTTAGCCAGAGTTCATTCCACCAGTCCATGGTGACCAGGTTTCCGAACCACTGATGAGCAAGCTCATGAGCGACTACATATGCGACTCTATTTTTGAAGCGGGCATCAGACTTCTCCTCGTCATACAGGACAGCCGTTGTTCGATAAGTGACCAAGCCCCAATTCTCCATAGCACCCATTGCGAACTCGTGGACTGCTAGGAGGTCGGACTTCGGCAGAGGGTATTCGATACCGAAGACGTCCGAGAAATAGTCGAGGGTCTTGTGCGCGTGCTCCAGAGCAAAGTGGCCCTGCTCTTTGAGACCACGGGTAGTATACACCCTGACTGGCAGAGGCTTACCATTGTACTTGCGCTCGGTGAAGGCCTCGACATATTCGAAGTCGCCAATCGCCCAAGCGGCCAGATAAGTACTCATGGCGGGTGACTTCTCAAAGGCGACCTTCTTCAAGCCGTCCTTGCTTCCCTTGGTCGTGCCTTTCTCCGGCATGTTGCTTATAGCAACCAAGTCATCCGGAATTTCGACCTCAAACTCGAAGGAGGCTTTAAGATTGGGTTCATCGAAACAAGGGAAGGCTCTCCGAGCGGCGCACGCTTCAAATTGAGTACTGAACATGTAGTGATGTTCGCCGTCTTTCGGGGTGCCGGCAGCTGGAGTGACCGCGGGCTTGTATTTGGAGCGATAGAAGCCTTCCATGGCACTGTTCATGATGCCCTTGAATTTGATAGCAATGACAGCATCCCCCGATGGGATCTTTCCTGAGAACTTGATTGTCGCACGCTCGCTTGTCTTGTCGTACGAGACATCGGCCAGAGAAGTGATTGACGAGCCATTGTTGTCCAGCACATCGGCGCCCGTGATTTCTAGCTCTTTGGTATTCAAAACCAGCTCTTGAGTGTCTTGCTTGACCTTGGAATCAATCTTGACGGTACCATCGTAACCCCAATTCCCACCAAACTGTAGGTTGTAGAGAGACAGGTCGTAGTTGGTCGGCTTGATGGTGTCGGGCAAGATGTCGCGGTCGGACGGAGCAGCCATGGTTCTTCTTGCTTCTGCTGAACAGAAACGAATCTGTGAGATGTTTGAGCTACAGATGTGCTTGGAGGTGAGTCGAAAGCGAAGAGAAAGTGAGCAAACGGTCTGTCTCGTGCCTGCGATGCTAGGTCCAGCCTTGAATGAAGTGAAGAGCGAGATGAATCGTGTTTCTAGCATTCAAGCCGTGGAAAGTGTCCGTCCTCACAGGCAGCCACAGTCCAGTCACTGCTACGTTACTGCATCACAGTGGCATTGCATTCTGTGGTGGGGAAGCAGCATCAACTTCCTCTCCAATTGTCTATCTCGACCTTACCACATTAAGGTCGCCAGTCGCGTCCCGCACACGCGACAGCGACCCTCGCACATTGCCTCTTTATTCCCTTGGTTCTTTCCTCGCGCACCGCCTTCTTTCCCCCGGTGATGCCGGTAGCTGGCGATGAGGACTATGATGATGACGCGCCTAGATCGTCGGCGCGCGGACGAGCGGTGGGTCGAAGGGCGGTCGACCACGACTCGGCGCAGAATTTCGAGGTAACTCGAACATGGGATCTGCTCACTGAAGGTGCCGATGGGACCATCACAAGCGCGGTCGAGGGGCTACTCGAGGCAGGGAAGAGGAAGAGGTAGGTCAGAGACTGTGCCGGGTAGAGCAATACTCAGTGTGGCTTCTCCAGGCTCCTCAAGGACACCACGCCCCTCCAGCGAGGCATTATCCGACATCTCATCCTCATTCTCGACATGTCGCTCGCTATGAACGAGAAAGACCTCCGCCCTACTCGCTATCTCCTAACCCTATCGTACACCGAGTCCTTTATCCGCGAATTTTTCGAGCAGAATCCCATCTCTCAGCTGGGGATAATTGGCATGCGTGATGGAGTTGCTACCAGCATCAGTGATATGTCGGGCAACCCTACCTCCCATCTGGCTGCGATAAGGCAATGTCGTCTGAGCGCCAGCACCGAGCCTAAGGGCAATCCATCGCTGGAGAATGCGTTGGAAATGGCAAGGGCCGGTCTCTTCCACGCACCCAGTCACGGTACTCGCGAGATATTGTTGATATTCGGGGCGTTGCACACTTCAGACCCAGGAGATATTCACAGTACGATCAACAGTCTAGTACAGGACAAGATCAGGGCCACCGTCATTGGGCTAGCAGCTCAGGTCGCCATATGCGCCGAACTGGTTTCGAAGACGAACCATGGCGACCAATCCAACTATGGCGTGGTTCTTGATGAGCAGCATTTCCGAGAGCTGTTCATGGCAGTGACAACGCCGCCCGTTACTCACGAAAGTGCCAACCAGACAACCTCCTCCCTGCTGATGATGGGCTTTCCCTCCCGGACGGTCGAAGATCATCCATCATTATGCGCGTGCCACACGAGACCCAGCCGAACAGGCTATCTATGCACACGGTGCAACGCCAAAGTCTGCACTTTACCAAGTGAGTGTCCGGTCTGCAGCTTGACCTTGATCTTGTCCACCCATTTGGCAAGAAGCTACCACCACCTTTTCCCACTGGTCAATTGGATAGAGGTGCCTTGGACTAAAGCCCATCGAAGCACTGCATGTTTTGCATGCTTGAGGCCATTCCCTGCCGCGCCAAAGACATCTCAGCCATCATCTTCCACTCAACAGACTGGCGCTCCAAGAGCACCTACCTCGGCTACTAGTAATCCCCAGCCCACGGTACCATCAGCCACGACAAGCACGAGCAGATACGAATGTCCCGTATGTCGTCGACACTTCTGCATCGATTGCGACTTGTTCGCCCATGAGGTGGTGCACAATTGTCCTGGCTGCCAGAGTGTGAGGATGCAAACCAGTCTGATGGGCGAGACCGAGGTTGTTGCCGATGGTGCGCAGGGGAATGCCACCACGGACGCAGTCGGCAAAGACAGCAACGGGACAGCGCAAGCCGAAGACGGGGAGCGCATGAATGTCGATTAAACTCAAGACGTAGAACGTGTTTAGAGCTGCGACCTCGGTCTGCGCTAAAGCGTCGTCGAAATATCGACATTTGTTTTCATGTTCCTTCAGAACCTCGTGCCCAGATCTGACGAGTCTCCCTTTCGAGTCAAATGCTTGACCAATAAATGACCGTTACTTGACATTATCTCATTTCACTCACAACTATCCAACAATCGACAGGGGTATATAGACGCACACCCATACATCACGGATGATCGCAACAACAGCCGATAGTCTCGCAAGCCGCCATAATCAATTTCCAATACCCAGAACAGAGGCTGCCAACCACTCAAGAGCACGGCGGGACAGCATGGTATCGGAATCGTGTACGCCGCGTCCTTTTGATTTCCCAGAAGTTCTCATCTCGGCGTAAAAAGGTGAAAGGGGAGACATAGGGCATGATCAGAACCAGAACCAGAATGCGCAATCCTTCCCCAGATCATCTCTGCTGTTTATTCCCTTCCATACATATTTCTTCCTCCTCCTCCAGTGCGCTTGCGTCCTCTTCTCTCCGTGTTGCACCTCGCCCAGCTTACTGTACCGCACCTGTTTGTCGTTTGTCTGCCACACCTTTGGATGTCGTTCGCGAGACTCGAGACTTGGGCCTTCGGGCTTCGACATCGTTTCCCTTCCAATACTGTAACTAGCTTCCGAGGACATCATACTTAGGATGACATTAGGGCCATAATACTTGATTCGTAGCTCTGAGTTCTGCGTTTAGGCGTGGCATTTGTGCAGAAGTGTCCTCGATCTTTCGAGTTTCTTCGACTCCATCGTCTGGCTGAGGCTTGGTTGGAATTGTTCGGTGCTTGGTGGGAAGGAATACGGATGCCAACTTACACCGGTGTGGGATTGGGGGTTGTGGATTCTTAGGTAGAGGAGCAAAGTATCAGTTGTTGACACTTGAGAAGGACGTCCAATTTGGCGGCAGTGACATCTACGTCCAGTCAAGGCCGGATTTGATGACGAAGGAGGTTTAATCGGTCTTGAGCGTCGCTTCTGCGTCAAGCATAGTGAGGGATCTTTGGAGTGCGAGAGTTTCGTCCTTGCAGCTGGAGAAGCGGATGGCTATATTCCTTTTCGCTTGTTTGAGCTGATTTAGAAGCTGAACAGATATGGCTTTTCCCCGTCCATACGTCGGATGTAGCGCGGAACCGTGTTGTATACTGACACCAGATCAAGGGTTTGTAATACAGCTGCGTGCAAGCTTACACGTTGTGGACGGCCGTCCGTAAGAGGTTGCTGTTCATGCTTCGATAGAGGTGCAACTTTCGTTCGAGCCCATTCTTGATAGCAATTGCGAAACATGCCGGGATCATTGTGCCCTACTTGGCATTCTCAATCACGAATACGGCCGGCAGAACGCCCACAGTGCCCAACTACTGTCTTGATGTTCATTCGTTTGGCTCACGGCTTCGCCTTGATCACGCTGCAGCGTAAGCGTCTCAATGCGACATCGTAACGAGTTCGTATTCGCGCCATTGTTCACTTGAATAGCCTTCTCGAGCGCTCGCTCATAATATTGCAGGCTGCGAACTCGATCTTGTCTGACGTGCCAGATGTATCCTAGATCGGAGTATGTCTGTTGAAGGAACCGTGCCTTCTCGTCTTCGGTGTCGCACTCTGCACACGTTCTCAGTGTTTGGAGAAGAATGGACTCCGCTTCGTCGATGTGCCCGTGCTGCAGGTGGTACCGTGCTACCATCTGACGGGACGTGATGTGAACGCCACGGGGCACCTTCGGATCCTCCGAGAGCCTACGGGCGATTCGCAAGGCGTCATGCAGCTCCTTCCGCTGATAGTTGAGCGAGCAGATTTCGTCCTGAATCCACGCCCATTCTTCGGCGTCGAGTCCGCTGGCTGGACCGAACGTGTCTGAAGAGAGTCGAAGCAGGGAGGCTACCCGGCCTGCATCGGCCCCCACTTCCTCCTGCACCCACATCTCCAGTAATGGCTTGAGGGCGTGGCCGTTGGGAAGGGTGCGAGATGCCAAAGCCTGGAGGAAACCGACAATCTGGCGACGCACGTCCGGGAAGCGACTCCAGAGAGGGTACGAGTATAAGCGCAGAAGCCGAAGAAACACCCAGTATGGCGACAGCTGCAGACAGCGCGTTGCAAGACTACATGCAAGATTGATTTCTCTGAACGCCTCCAACGTTCTGTTTGTCAGCAGCAGTGGAATAGCATTGTAAAAGCATTTGTTGAATAAGAGCGCGAAGGGTTCTTCCCCTGGGGCCTTGAGCTTGCCTTGATGGTGGTCGGCATCTAGGCTGGACTTGCCGATTCCGAGAGGACACCATTTGGAGATGTTCCAATCCAAGTAGGACTTGGTCAGGAACAGGATTCTTTCGTCGACGGTTACGGCCGGGCGCAAATTGTCAGGGTGCAGATCCAGCTGGATCTTCTCTCCTATCGGTGGTACTCCGGCCGCTCGCCGCGATCGTTTGGCGCCTGGAGGTCGGCTGAAGCGCTTGATTCTATCCCACTTGATAGGCTTCCCGTGTAGCGAGGCCGAAGGGATGGCATGATGGATTGCGGAAAATTGGGTCGACGACTCTGCGACTGCTTTCTTTTCCGACGACTTGTAGTTTTTGTATGCTTTCCACTGCGTGATGCGTCTCTTGTACGCCTTCTCCCTGCAGGAACCGTGTCGGTGTTAGTCGTGATTGGCTGCGAAGCCAGTCACTTACGTCGCGTGAAAATCATATTCAACGGCCAAGAGGCGTTGGATGTCAGATAGCTTCCTCCCCTGATGTACATACAATTCGACGAACACTCCCTTGATTGAGGCCCATTCCTGAGCAGAAGGGCCTTCTGTCACAGTGACTTGGACCGGTGTGTCGTCCGAGTCTCCTTTCGCCATCGTTGCTGACGCCGGTGGGAGGTCATTCTCCCGAACTGACACACGAAGGTCACTTTGTGATCAGGGATTTGTAGATCTTGCCCAAAGCCGCATGCAGAAATTGAGATTTACGGTGCTTGCCAGAAGACGTCAGGTATCGGGAAGATAGAAGGAATGGTGAAATTCTTAGTCAGCGTCGCAGCTAGAGAACGGAAGTCGCTAACGCAGGCGACTAGTTCCATTTGGGAATCATCTAATCCTAACTAGGTAAGACAAAAGTCTCTTGCATCTGTGGATGTGAGCTCAGCCTTGTCCCTTAGGATATCCACACGAGCAAGGCTGTGGCCGTCACAATCTTGAACTACAGGCGAGGTAATCTTGGACAGTGCGGGCAGTGAAAGACTTAAGTTTTCGGAATACGAGTTCCCAGCTGCAAATTTCATTCAGAGTCCGAACCAATCCGATACCTTGGATGAAACACCACTTCTGGCAGGTGTTCCTCTTGTGGACGTTGCGCATAAATCAGCGGCGTCGAGAAATCCCGGTCCATGCGTGCTCTCTGCCATGTCAATCTCGTTGGCACTTGGCACAAGTCAAATGTGAGGCCGCCCACATGATTCCATGTTCTGACCCTTGGGTGCGTGCTTGACCAAAAGTGCGAATTGCTGTGGAAGTTGCCGACCCTCAACACTGGCTATTATCGCGCTGAGCTCACTGGGGTTGCCAATTTCTCCCCTGCGTAATTGCTTGTCGAGCTCTTCGCAGAACCAGCTGTCCCCCGACATCATGCCGACCCAGCATGTCCACACACGCAAATCTCTTGGATCGTCTGAGGCTGCAAGGAGGAGCTCTTTTAGCCGTGGAACTATCACCCTGCCCGCGTCGAAAACCGTGATGCCACAGACCGATATTCGTTCCATGTTGGCCTCTCGTCGTATTCGATAAAGAGCCGCCAGAGCGGTGTATTTCTCGGTGATGTCTGAGGACAAATTGTAGTGGTCTAGGAGTAGGCCCATGACATGAAGGCATTTTATCGTCGCAGCTTGTCGATGTGACTGTAAGGCTTCTGCTTCCTGGATGATATCCAGAGCCGCGAGTGCTTGCCCCATCTCCGTGAGTATCGGATGCCGAGCACTCAAGAAATCTTTGTCCCATCCGGCGTCTGTCGGCAAGGCAGACTCGGCTTCAAGTATGTCCCAACTCTTTTCATGCATGGCAAACATTGCGGGCTCCATGGTCAGAGCTGCGCGCTGGACATCCGAGTGCAGCACGTTTATGAGGTCCTCGATATGTAGTCCGTAGTTGGTGTTGATGGTTTCCAGCAGGCGCACATGAACCAGTGCAGAGTTGATGTTCCGGCACCAGTTCTCGGTAAACATGAGAGCCATGACTGCTCGGGGAAGTCGAGTGGGATCTGCTTGTGGTAGGCTCAGACGTAGCAGCTGCATTGCTTCTGCCTTCATCTGCAGCATAAGGTTGAAAGCGTTGTCGTCGCCACAACAGCGCCATTTGACGGCTGCAATGCGTGCAAGGTAGCCATGGACAGCAAGCTCATCTTGTAAGTATGCGGAAGACGGTGGTAGTGGAATTTTGGAAACACTTAGGGCTGGCGAGAGGTGAGTCCGGTTGAAGTAAAGGAGATCACTGATCTCGGGTGTGATGGGTATGGGGAGTGTGTCAAAAGGATCATCACTGCCACAGAGATGTTTGTCGACACAAGGAAGGTCCTTGCAGGCCACCTGCAAAGTTTTCAAGACATCCAGAGCTGAGGCGCGTAGTTTCAATGTCCGCTGTTGTCGCTTTAGCTTTCTGTGCGCTGCCACATGCCTAAATACCTGGCTTTTCGTCGATGAGTGGCCCTTGGCGTTTGGCTGGCTGTCGAGATGGATCCATGAGTGAATGGGAGTCGTCAAAGCCATTATTGTCTGCTCAGTCCAGGAAATTGGCCCGGAGGGGCTCTCGTCTGATATCTATATCCCTGCCTGGTCAGAGATAGGAGCTCTTGTCACCGGGCTGCTTTAGAAGTATCCAAAACTGCTGCTTTACACAGGGTCTAAGCGGCGTCGGGAGATCTCTTAGTCACCGTCGTGAGACATGGCACGCCAGGACTCGCAAGGCTGATAGTATCTAAAATGCTTTAAATCAAGCACGTTCGGTTTGGTACTTCCGAGCTTGAACGGTGACTGGTGTCCTTGGCAAACTGCGGTAGAAAGGGAAGTGTTGATCATTCTAGCCAATGACAAACGGTTCCGCCGGGGCTAACAGCATGAAAGGTGGGCGATCACTGCTGGTAGATCCAAAAGCGCTATCGGTGATTCCAAGTGGGTGGACCTTATGTAAGAGTGCAAGGTTGATATATTGCCCTAAGGTAGTGCCCAGTTGATCCGTGGCAACAGAACTCAGGGAAATGCTCATGAAAGAGGGTCGAATGTTCAACAGAAGGCCAAGCAGTGAACCTACGCACAGCTCCGGGCACATAAACGGCCGTACCGTGGTATTGATGGCGACCCAGGCGACTCACGCTGTTGGAGAGGCCTTCAACGCTCGTCATTCTGGGCATAGTAAACCATCAGGGCTGAACGTTGCCTCCGAACACCGCATGCTGTGTTCTGGAGCACCCAAAGGTTTGATGTGTACCAGGATATTCAAGATCTCGGGCGCCGCCACCACTTGAGGGAATGGCATATGCACCAATACCGGGTAGTCCACAAAGCTAGTATGTGACCTGCAGTAACTTGCGGGGCTCGGGGCAAGGTGACTACGGGCATTCGGTGTTCGTGGTCGCGCCCAGAAACTGTGTAACACGAAGGCTCGGCCGTATTTTTCAGCCCTCGCCTTTCAGCACCGGAGAACCGTCGATGCCACTTCGTATACTGAAGCCAATGGTGCGCTAGCGTGATCGGCTCCACGAATCGGACTTGCCCAAACCTTGACGCTAGACCTTCTAAAGCACAAGTTGTCGCTTTTCTGATTGGGTGGATTTCAAGGCTGCAAATACAGGGGTCTTTACGAAGGTTGTAACCCTGGACGTTTCGTACGTATCATCGCAATCTTTTCTGAGGATCGTGATGTCGCCATCGGACCATCATCTGCAGGATTTGCGGATATATGCATCCTTGTATAGGAACAAAGTCCAATATCGCCGCTCGGAAGTGATCGTTGGGCCTCGCTCCTAGTTGGTTTTGGGCGAATGCTGTCACGGCCATGTTGCCCGCCGTTGATGCCTACTCGACAGCTCACACAGCATCATCTCGACGACGTCTCAACGGGCTTATGGTTCATTGAAAGAACCGACATTAGCTACGGACCATCTTCCACTTTGCTTGCTTTGTCATGACCTTCGAGCAACAATAGCATGCTGATATCCTCCTTCCTCTGCCTCCTATCGACCACTGCCCGATCCCCTTTTGCCACGGAAGTTGTTGATGCGGCCCAAATCGCCAGTCGAGAACATAAGTGCGCTAAATTGCCCCAGGATTAATCAAAGCTACTATGTACCGTGCGGCCGAATAGCCATTGTACCAGTATGTTGTGCAGCAAGGAGCATTCACCAGGTATTAGGGACTAGCGGTGATGGGAAGCGGCAAGGTGCCTCTTATCGCGCCGGACTGTTGGCTGATATACTCTCCGAAGTAAGATAGACAGATTCTCCTGGACCCAAACGACCCTTCCGATGCTAACGTGGACACCGTGGAGGGGCCTCTGCCACGATCCATGGTTACAAGTAAAGCTTGCTAATTCTGTCACCACCAAGGGGTCCAGCAACCCCCATGGTCGGCCTTGAGACCGCCATAATACCCACAAGTGTCTTTGCACTTGTCCCAATCATCCAAAATGGGTTACCGTGCTCCCTGTCTCTGCAACGGTACATTTGGATGCCCTGTCCCAAGCTGTGGTACTCCAGTGCAGCGCCTTGCCCTTCGCAATCATTCACCTTCTTCCTGCCTCTTCAGACTACGCCAAACCATCCTGCATTCGTGTACGCGGAGCGAGCCCTCTTGTCCGAGCTCCACACAGCTGGTATGTAAAATGCGAAATACGGCCGAAAAGCCGAGAATCGCTCGTTCCTTTAGAGGCGTACGCCTCCGAGAAATGAGGTATTCAGGGGCTCAAGAGACATGGCAGCTCAAACTCCAGGTATACGATAGAAGGAATGAAGACGTTCCATCGAAGACGGATGTTGTTCCTTGTGAAGTCCTCATGATTGGCGAAGTACTGGCGTAGACTCAAAAGCCTGGGCACCGCTTTGGCCGTCGCAGCACGCGTCGCCATTGCGGCAAGTCAGTCGAACTTGTAATTCGAGCTCGCTGGCCTCTCCCAACATCATGGTCTATGCCCCGGATGGAAGCCACAGGCGACAATTTCGCTTTTTGGATTTGCGGCAAAAAAACCGTCGAGCTCGGGCCGCGTACCGAGTTCAGTATCTATCATTTCATGAACATAGAGCCCCAGTGAGACGAGCTTGCCTGTCGAGACGGCCCCTCAGGCACCGGACTGTTTCGATTGCAACTCCAGATTGCCAGCCACTGTGACGGCCAGTGGATCAAGAATGACCATATATTTCCAATCCTTGCTCGACCAATCCCACAGCTAAACGGCACGAAGCTAAGGATCTTTGAGTAACGGGGACCTCGAGCAATTCCTTTTCGTATTGTTCCTTCTGGACGTTTGACCGTAAGAGATGTCGCCAGATTATCCGATCCGGAAATGCCGGTCCTTTCGAACTCACCTTCAATGAATATTCAGAATGCAGAAGCTGTATGCCGCAGTGAAGGGTCCCGGAGTCCTAAACCAGACGCTGATTGAGATGCACTTCAGGCTGAACCATGAAGAAGTTGCCTGGCCCGGTTGGTTCAAAGAAATTCGAGCTTTCAAAGCGACGTTGTGAAGGCGGGAATCGCAGCCGACAGCGTCTGGGGGATTTGAGAAACCATGTTCATGGTTCACAGCAGAATAACCCGCTGACCGAAGCACCTTCCCCGAAGACGTTACGGAGAAGCTAAGGAGGGTTCTCGAAGTCGGAAGTGCTCCGGCCTGGTTGGAAATCGAAGCGGGATAGGCTTTAGCAGCGTCATAAACCACAATCTACTCAAGGCTGTCAGGTAGCAGAATTGTCGAGGTCGTAGGCACTGAAGTCCAGCATCTGTAGAAACGATTGATCCCAGATATCGTCGGGTATCGGATAATCCTGCTCAACGAACTCCAAGTTGGAATTGCCTTGTGAGACGGGCTCAGGAGTCGTAGACTGCTGGTGGTCAGATCGCAAATCTGGCGAGGCAGGGTTGATCCTTTGCAACCAGACAGTCTTCAGATTTCGCTTCCCACGAAGATTCGCAGCCGAAATGAGAGCGCTCCATGAGATAGACGCAACACCGCGGTCATCAACATCCTCGCTCGTACCTGAGGCTTGTTGTCCACCATGTCGACAAAGCACCTCAATCACAGCAGCTGCTCAACCGGGCTCGGCGAGCTGATGTATAGTGGACGCTTTGAGCTTAGCATGAACCATGAGCACTTTGTTTCGAGACTCTGCTTTGACCTCACCTTCGCAGGCCGGATTGAGGACGAAGTATCTGAGAAGAAAGAATGTCGCATGTAGGACGCCGACAAAAAACTGTTTGGGAAGAGCGCGATAGACGTCGATCAAACACGTGTCCGGAGATCGTAAACTGTCGCAGTAGATGTCGATGACACGATGAGCAGCTAGCATGCCGAGCTTCTGATATCTGATAATGTGACCTCTGGGGTTGGAGCGTCCTATCTTTCTTAGTCCTGATTTCGTTCTAAGTATGGCCAGCGTATATAGGTGGAGCAGTGTGGTATCAAGATGTAGAGCAAGGTAGGCGTCCATGGAGCTGTGGTATCGATCGACCAAACTGTTCAACTCTTGTTCACACATCTGGACAGGCGTCTCGTATACACTATTCTCGGCTCCTCCGACGAGGGAATCGTGGTATTTGGCCATGCACCGCTGGACCTCGACCTCGAAAGCAAGTCTGTGCGGAATCTGGTGTTTCTCAAGATTGGCATCCAGTGCGCTGAGTTCCGTTGGGCTCTTTACCATTGGCGGGTTTCCGTGTGATATCGAGAGACTGATAGCACGAAATTAGGGAGGCGCTTCAGAGAAATGCTACCGGAGTACTCACGCGGTGTGTATAGCAAAGCAGCCCAGCCATGTTCTCGACATGGCTTGCCGGTCATCTGGCGGAAGGACGGCGAATGACCGGGAGCTTGTCTCGACCGAGCGCTGCAAGCCAAGGTAATAGGACGCCTGCATGGCAGTGGCGCTATACATCAGGCTTGGATCTTCGGGCTGGTACATGACTGGCAGCGGCCACATACACATGATCAGGATAGCTTGGATTGTGTGAAGAGAATGAGGTGTTCGAAGAATGGTCCGACTGAGCAAGTTCGAGTAAGGCACCATTAGTAGATTTGCCTTGCTGACATACTCTTTGTGGTGACGACTTGCGGTAAAGATAATCGTCCAGAACAAGAACTGACTCGTCTCTTGAAGAACCCTAATGGATATTCGCGTATCGACAACCGGCAAGTGCGGATGGAATGCTGTATAGAACCTCCACTTGTCAAAGCCATGGCCGCACGCAGGGGTATAAAACACATACAGAGAGAAGAGGTCGTGGAGCTCGTGCACACGGAAGAGACAATCCTCCAAACTCGCTTGTTGAAGTTTGGAATGGCTGTCGTCAACCCCAGTCGGCCAAGATGGGCTGTCGAGCACTGCTTTGCGGTTGGGTGACAGATGCTGTGGTGGTGACCCTTGTGAGACTGCGCTTTCCACTATTGGTTCAGTGAGATGCCTTTCGTCGTTGCTGGCGCCATTCTTCGATGCGTGCAGTGATTGCTTTAGTTGTCGAAGTTCGTCAGTGACCGTCTGAAGTCGGCTAATCCACTGTCAGCGTGGCCACAGAGATTGGCAGAGCACTCACAGACGGGCAGGCGTCCGCTTGAAGCTGGAGTCGACCACACAAACTAATTCGCGCCTCACACAGCGAGCACATGGGCCGGGAAAGCTCTCGCTCGCGTCACATCGCAGCTGGCAGCATCAGATTTTCCTGCACATAGGACAGGGAGACGGGGGTTCGAACCTTGACTTGCTTGCACTCGGTGCACGCTGTGACAGGACGCCTCCTTGCCATTTAGGCATGACTGAGGCATCTGTACAGAAGACGCTACGAGTATGGAGTAATTATGGAGTACAGGTTGGGGATTGAACATGGGGATGGGAAGAGGAACATTCGTCAAGAGGCGCATCTAAAAGTCCCCACAAAAGCCAAGCACCGAGGGCCGAAAAGTTCAAAGCCACGATTTTACGCATGCCAAAGAAAGAGCTAATGTGAAAACACAACCAGAAAAGAACAGGAAAGCTGCAAACGCCGATGATTCTGAAGAATTATTTTCATTGAAAGCTATTCTAGCTCCATGTCTTCTCTGACCGTCTTTGCAGAGAGATCAACCATGCCATCAACCCTGCGCAAGAGTGATGCAGAAAATTCTATGCCATGCAAGAGGTATCGTCATTTCCATGTCCCATTGACAACCCAACGCCGATATGATTTACACCGAAATCAAAGCCGCTCATATGCTTTTGTTCGTGAAATCGTTTAGTCGACCTCCTCGACAGTTGGGCCATCATCGCCACCGTGACCAGCACCGCCAGCACCAGGGAATCCACCAGGACCGCCGGCACCAGGGAAGCCACCGCCGGGCATTCCACCTGGCATGCCACCTTCACCACCGGCACCGTAGAATTTCATCATGATGGGGTTCGCAACACCTTCGAGCTCTTTCTGCTGCGCCTCGAACTCGTCCTTGGTGGCGGTCTGGTTCTCGTCGATCCAAGAGATGGTCTTGTCGATCTCGGCCTTGAGCTTCTCTTTGTCAGAGGCATCAAGCTTCTCGTCGACCTTCGAGTCAGAGAGAGTGTTCTTGAGTGAGTATGCGTATGACTCGAGACCGTTCTTCGCGGAGATACGAGCGGCCTCGGCCTCATCTTCAGCCTTGTACTTCTCGGCCTCGGACAGCATGCGCTCAATCTCTTCCTTGGACAGACGACCCTTGTCGTTGGTGATGACGATCTTGTTCGACTTGCCGGTGCCCTTCTCGACAGCGGAGACGTTCATGATACCGTTGGCATCCAGATCGAATGTGACCTCAATTTGGGGAACACCGCGAGGAGCAGGTGGAATGCCGGAGAGCTCGAACTTGCCGAGCAGGTTGTTGTCCTTGGTGCGAGCACGCTCACCTTCGTAAACTTGGATGAGCACACCGGGCTGGTTGTCGGAGAAGGTCGAGAAGGTCTCGGACTTCTTGGTAGGAATGGTGGTGTTGCGCTTGATGAGGGGAGTCATGACACCACCAGCAGTCTCGATACCGAGAGACAACGGCGCAACATCGAGCAGGAGGATTTCGTTGGTCGACTTGGACGAAGTATCACCAGACAAGATGGCAGCCTGAACTGCAGCACCGTAGGCGACAGCCTCATCGGGGTTGATTGACTTGTTTGGTTCCTTGCCATTGAAGAAGTCGGACACAAGCTTCTGAATGCGAGGAATGCGAGTGGAACCACCGACCAAAACGATTTCGTGGACGGAAGATTTGTCAATCTTGGCATCACGGAGCACGCGCTCGACAGGTTCCATCGTGGATCGGAAGAGGTCCTGGCAAAGCTCTTCGAATCGAGCACGGGTGATGGAGGTGTAGAAGTCAATACCTTCGTACAGTGAGTCGATTTCAATGGAAGTTTGGGCGGAAGACGAGAGAGTGCGCTTGGCACGCTCGCAAGCGGTGCGGAGACGTCGGAGTGCGCGGGCATTGGAGCTCAGATCCTGTTGTCACATGTTAGCAAAGAGTAAGGAATGGAGGGCAATGGGAATGTCCCTGACCTTGCGATGTTTTCTTTTGAACTCCGAAACAAAGTGGTTGACAAGTCGGTTGTCAAAGTCCTCACCACCCAGATGAGTGTCTCCAGCAGTGGACTTGACCTCGAAGATACCCTCTTCAATGGTAAGGAGGGAAACATCAAAGGTACCACCACCAAGGTCGAAGATGAGGACATTGCGTTCACCCTCAGTCTTCTTGTCGAGACCGTAGGCGATGGCGGCAGCAGTGGGTTCGTTGATGATACGGAGGACATTGAGACCGGCGATCAAACCTGCGTCTTTGGTGGCTTGGCGCTGCGAGTCGTTGAAATATGCGGGGACAGTGACGACGGCGTTGTTGACGGTGCCACCCAGGTATGACTCGGCAGTCTCTCTCATCTTGGTGAGCACCATTGACGAAATCTCTTCGGGTGTGAACTGTTTCTCTTCGCCTTTGAATTCGACCTGAATGACGGGCTTGCCGCCTTTGTCGATGACCTTGAAGGGGAAGTGCTTCATGTCGGCTTGAACCTCGGGATCAGCGAACTTCCGGCCGATCAGACGCTTCGCATCGAAGACTGTGTTCTGAGGGTTCATCGCGACTTGGTTCTTGGCGGCATCACCAATGAGTCGCTCAGTGTCGGTAAAGGCGACAAAGGAGGGGGTGGTTCGGTTGCCTTGATCATTGGCAATGATCTCAATGCGGTCATCTCGGAAGATGCCTACGCATGAGTAGGTAGTACCTAAATCGATACCTATGAAAGACGAGTTAGCCTGATGTCGCTCCTGCTGTGAGGCTGCGGGGTGGACTCACCAATGGCTGGTGCCATGATGTGTAGAGAAGTGAGGAAAATGTGAGGATGTTCGTATGTAAAGAGGTTATTGGTACAGGAGTCTTTTGAAGACTTCGTTCAAGAGGAGATTTATGTCTGATTTGATGATGAGGAAGGAGAGAAAGTCAGTGTCTGGTCAGTACATTTATGGGATTTTTGGTTGCCCAAAATTTCGCCAAGCGGAGGGCGGGATGTTGTGACCGAAGGCTTTAGAACCCTTTCGAACGCGGTGGAATCACTGTGATTGTTCTGGCTGTGAAGCTCCGGCCCCTGCTGGAACGTGCTAGGCTGCTCAAGCACCTGTCGGGATGGCCTGGAAGCATGCAATGAACCAACACGAACAGTCTTTTCACTTCCCCATCATTGTCGTCACTGTTTGGTGAGCGGCCGAGAATTGCGATACAAGCTTGTGGTGAGGCTGCAGCGAAGCTTCCACAGCCGTCTCGCATACGCCTAGTTACGTCATAAGGCTTTCAAAAAATTCGACGAGGCTGAAGTCATTGTTGGGGCAGTCAATGCGGGGCAACCACTGGAAGCACGGCTGCAGTGAGCTACTGGGTACAGCAGTAGAATCGTGGTATGATCACAACAGGAGTCTCCATCATGCCACTGCACCGGCACGACCGGATAAGGGCATTCAGCTGCCCATTGCTCGTCCATCTTCTATCACAGTACTGAGCACTAATATTATCCTCGCCCTCATTGCCGCACTGATGACGTTATGCCGCTTGATCAAGAGTCACGGTTCGCAGTCTCATCGATGATTGAGATCTTGCGGCACCACCAACAGAAACCCCAGACGCAGTTCGGAAGACACTGCTAGACGCAGAGCTCCTTGAAAGGCTCCTGCCAATGTTGTCCTCATTATTTGTGCTTTCCCTTGGCTCATTCGTTCCCCGGTGCTCATAGCTCGCCGATTCTCTCCGCCGCAGCAACCATGGTCTGAAGTTAACTGGTAAGGATGAAATGATCAGCGATACTGTGTCAGCAGCATAGGGACATGAATGCCACTCACAGTATCCACCACAGGCACAGACTCCTAACCATAAAACAAGTTCTGATCCATATATAACCATCCCCAGGATATCCAAAGTCGGCTGAAAGAATACCGAGATGAGTGAGGTAAGGTCGCCCATTGCATCGATGCCAACGAAGAGGAATGAAATGCCCCTGACCGTTCTCTCTTTGTAGATGTCCACGTAATGCCTCAAAACACCGGCACAAAGAAAGCATGCAGACAACACGGCCATGAAGGTAACGGGCCACTCTACACGGTCACTTCTTGCGCGTCTGAGTGCAAATATGAGGCCACACTCGACGCCGCCCATGAGGGCAGCAACTGGTGCGACAACAGCCAGCGACTTGGTGAGCGGCCACTTGTTCCCGTAATATTTGCATTGCATCCAAGTGACCAAGCTCAGAAAGGTCAGTATCTGCGGTTGAACACGCAAAGCGATGTTGAAATTCTCGACAATGTTGTACACTCCTAGTGGAACACCCGCGCATGCCCACAGAAGCATCATCGTCGGCTGCAGACCGGTGGTATCATGCCGGCGATAATTGATAACAATCTGAGGGATGAGCTGCGAGGTCGGGTGTGAGCTTGCTCTGCCATCTTGCGATGTCTCAGAGTAGCCTACCTGAACAGACCAGCAAACCGCCCCTGTGACACCAAGGACATTGGCAGCTATGGGTACGTCCATCTTGCTTCCGCGAAGCTTTCCGCGTTGCACCCAGATTATGGGCACTGCAATCGTAGAGATTGCTTCGGGCCGCAGTTTCGGCGTCGCAACAGCATTGACGCAGTTTACCTTGAGTGTAGCACGGCTTTACACATGCCTCGTCTTATCTGCTACGGGGAAGCATTAAATCACGATCGGCTACCTCGCACACCTGGTCGCCCATCTCAAAAAGGCTTAGCCTCAACTTCGCGGTTCTTGGCGCTTCAGTCGCGACCGTGGCAACGCTAGTGGCTGCGCATTGCGGCTCTGAAAGATGTCAATTCACATTCAATTGCTCTTTGCTCTGTGTCAACCCCCAACCACTCAAGTTTTGCCAGTTTTCTCCTTTCCGACCGGCATTTCCCATACTTGCGACCTCTCCTATCAACCACTGCCTCCTTGATCATGTCCGCGAATGGCGAAACCGTGCCCCAGGGCACTAACGAAGTAACCGATGTTGGTAAAGGGAAGGGCAAGGCGACCGAGCCGGCGGAAATTACCATGGAGGATGATGACGAAGACGAAGAGTCTGCAGAGGAAGAAGAGGTACAGTCCAAAGGAAAATACTGTTGAATAAGCCATTACTGACTCTGTGCGTCTATTGTAGCAAGCCGAACCTGAAGAAGGTACATTTGTCCTCCCTCGAGCCAAAAATCATTCCACTGTCGCTCTGATTATTTCGCGCACATAAGGCTCACCGCCTGTATTACATTACTTGACTTCTGAGCGGTCAAGCTTGTGTTGAAGTCATCGGCTAACTCGCATTTAGATGACGAGATGGATGAGATCGATCTAGACAACATTGTCGAAGGGCGCACCCGTCGCAAGCAGATCAACTGGGCCGAGGCTGCTGAGAAGTCGAAGGATGCAGGCGACGACTTGGATGACGACGAAGATGACGAAGACGAGGACTTTGAGGCACCTGACGATGAGGACGAGGAGATGAAAGGTTGAACAACCAGCCAGGCGAGACCTGCGCACTCCAGTGGAAGATGCATAGAACGGGGGAATGTGTGCCGTTTGGCGCCAGAGGTCCATGATACTGCGTCTTGGTTGTTGGTATTCGGGTTCTGGATATTTCAATCCACCGCTCACGCATTTCGTCTCAGCACGACCAAGGTCACGACGGCTCCGCATTGCCTTTGCCACGGCGCATCTTGTACCACATAATTTCGGAAGCATTGTGTATCAAGGGCCCACGGAAGAAAAAAAGGCGTTTTGGAGACATAGTAACACGCATGGTAACCCAGGCCGGGGTAACGACACAAGACGTTGCTCGCCTGAATGGATGAGATACCCTCGGAGCCCGACTCCAGATCTGCTACGTCGCAAGATCGAACGGACCCGAAGCAATCCAATGAACAGTTGAAAAGTTTACAACTGCAATGTCTTCTCTCCATGACTCCCACTTTCACTTGACAGTGGCGGATTTGCTGCGCTGATAGCCGAGTCTCGTTCTCGACCTATTCCCGTGCCAGATGGTGGCACGTAGGCAAGAGGGTAACTGGCGACGCGTTGTGGTTCACCTTCAGGACCGAATCTTGGGTTCAGGTCCAAACCCTCCTGTCTAGTGAGAATTGTAATCCGACTTGTAGTGAGACGAACGAAGCTCCCAGTTCTGAAAGAGAATGCGCCGTCTCGTGTGCCGTGGATGGCACGTTGGCGTGCTGATGTACTTTTTCATATTTTGTGGACAACCCGGACACGCATGAAAGCCTGAGCGCTGCAACCAGCAGCCACTGTATCAACCATCACTCAATTTCTTCTTTCATACACACGGGACTCGACCAGCTAGGACAGCTCAGCTCATGGGGAAGTGGACCAAGGGTCAGTTCTAATGTCATTCATTGATTCATCCACACATTCCCAAAGGCTCGACGTCAACTTCTGCGCATACAGCACGAAGAACCGTCGATACCACGCAGCCCTCCCTGGCGTTGCCCTCGAAATATCACCAAAGCTGATCCTGACCGCCTCGCGGTGGGGTCCTGCTTGCCTAGAAAGTCCAATCTGCGCTCTCCTCCCGCCGACGACGATCCCAATCACGCTCTTCTGCCTTCTGCCTCCGTCAGACCTGTGCACTTCCCAACCCACTGCGCTCCCTATACCTGGTACTCGGATTCTTTGCCATGCTTTTCCCACCACCTCTCGATCCCTCTGCCTTTGACGTGGCCCGGCCCTTTCGCCTCGCTTTGCACGCCTGACACGACCATACCCTCAACATGGACGTGAGCGCCTCGTCCTGGGCGCTGATGGGTGTGACGGCCCTCTCCTTCCCTTTTCGCGAAGTGGTTGAAGGGAGGATGCATTCTAGGTGATACCTCTGGGAGGGCGTCGCGCACCTGGGGTCTTGGCAGAAGACGGCGGCGTTGCGCTTGGGTTTGAATTTGACGACTTTGCTGCAAAGAGGACACATCAATTTCGGCGCGAGCGTCTGCGGCGCGTGCTCCTGCACTTGTCCGGGTACTTGTTGAACCGGCGTGGCAGGAGGGGGCATCGAAGTCCCGTGCCGTGGAGTCGTCGTAGTCGTCGTCGCTACCGGGGTAGTTCCTCCCGTGGTCGTGGGAAAAGGTTGCGGCGGATCGTCCACAAAGATCAGCTCATTCACGTCCATGACCACATTATTGTCGATCACGTCGCGCTCCTTCAATCTCTCCAGGAAGTCGAAGAAGCAGGGTAGGAGTTCGTCGCCGCCGGAGTTTCTCAACCACTGCCTATGCTTCCTGGCAAACCTGATGAGCGAGTTGGAAATGTAGGCCGGATGCTCGAGTTGCTCTTCCATGCGATGGCGATCCCAGCGCTTGGCCAGTTCGCGTTCATAGGGAGACCAGTTCCCCCTTTCCGCGATCAGGTCTAGTCGTTCCATCTGCATGGCGATTTGCCATTCGTTGTCAATCTCATCGTCTGATTCAGAACGCGGGTCTTCGTCAGGTGAGACAGGTCGGTTAGAGACTGACGTGTACATATATTCGGGCCCGTCGTCGGCTCCTCGTGTCTCCAGCGGGATGGGTTTGATCTTCTTGCGATTGGAGAGGCGGAAATCAGGGACATCTTCCGCTAAGGGATACCCGATGGTCGGTCTGCTGGAGGGTTGAACCTTGATTGGAGCGGGTCCGCCTACCCAGCTGTGGTCACCGGACATGAAGCCTCGAAGGTCGAATGCTGAGGTTGGCGCTACCCACGACATCTCTCCGTTATCTGCTCCTTTCCTTGCAGTGGACCGCTTGGGTTGATCCACCTTGATGTGAACTTGACACACCTCGTTCGTGGCGGGATCTATACGAGGCTTCACAGAAAAGGTATACTTTGTGTGCATGGTCGTGAGGTGGAATTGTAGTTCTTCCAACTTGCGACACCGTGTCGCCGTGCATACTGGACATTGGTAGCCCCTGACGGTGGCATTCCGGAATTCCTGCGCCACGTCTGGCCTCTGGGCAAACCTACCGGAGAAGCTGTAGCATACCTCTGGCTGGGTTTGTGGTACTGGCTTGGGAAGAGACTTCTCCTGGAGGAATGCCACCAGGGGTTCCAATTGTTGATTTTTGGCCTTTCCATGCGGATGAATGCCATCAGGCTGATCTCTGAGGAAGGAGTCGAGATTCAGGCCTCTACTCTCCTGTTCAACGCGTCCGGCGTCAGCCTTTTGCCACGCCGATATCACTTGTAGGCCGTATTTCGTCCTATATGTCCTCCCTTCGTGTAGGAAGAACACGCTGAGCGGGACATTAATGTCTGGAGGGGTTGGAAGATGTGTGTATCGAGCCACAATGGCACCTTGCAGCTCTTCTGACCCGTCCTGCTTGATGTCGTGACCAAAATGATCGCCATCGCTTTTACCCAAGATGGGCATCGGTGGCCAGCGGCTGCCAGCTTTGCAAGGGATGATTTTGAACTCCAGAAAATATTTGTCTATTACCTCCAGGGCCGACACGTTTTTGGTGGTGACAGGGACCCGGATCTCTGCTGCCCGGACAATAAAAGGTTTGTCGAGCTCGATGTCCACAAAGTGGCCATGGGCACCATTCTCTGCTCCAGTCACCCAGCAGTACGATGACTTGGAGGTAAGTGGTACTGCGGCAAAGCCATCTCTGTTGTCCCATACTGTCAAGTGACATAAACACCGGACCGAGTCGCGTTTTTGCCGCTTAGCAGGTCTCTCACCGTCGTCGAGAGAATTCGTCTTGAAATTGAGCTTTTTCCGGATATTACTCAAATCAAGAATCAGCTCGGCGCCGGCTTGCTGGTAGACTCTGTCTACAATTTCTTTAAATCTGGTACTTCGTCGGATACTGCTCTCTCGCTTCTTGTCTCTCGACTGAAGGGTTTGCTGAACCGTCGTCATGGCGGCTCCCGTGGTCGAAGCCTGATCCGAGGCGGTGACGAGCTGCGCCGAAGAGAGCGCGTCGTCTGTTGCAGCACTATTCACCACTTGATCTCGCCCAGTACCTCTCGGATTACTGCTTCCCGAGGCGCCGCTAGTGCTGTGCAAATTTACAGCAGATAAGGGCCGCGAAACCCTAGAAGAGGGCGCTCTTAGCCGTTCCTCGTGATGTGCTAGGATGCGCGAAATATTCCTCTGCAAGAAGAGATGCTGCCGGCTCTTTGGCCGCTCGAGCGTCCACGTGAAGTGACCGACCAGATTTTGAGCAAATAATTTATGCCTCTGCGCAGTGCTGGGGTGATTGGAAACCCCGTTCTCCATGCTGGACACGGCTTAAGCCAACACGCTGTGTGTTTCCCCCAGGCCCATGGTCAGTGGCACAACAGATTGTGGAGTTTTCCTGTCCTGGCTTTGCGCGACCGTCAAGTGCATAAGCAACGATTGAGCCAAATTTATGCGTTCAAAACGTCTGCGACCAGACCGTATCGAAAGGGAGGGCACAATAATGACAGAAACTCCACCTGAGCCTCTGGCAAAAAATCCCTTGTTTCAACGCGCCTCTCTCACGCTGGGCGAAGTTTAAAGGAGGCGCGCGGATGCCATCGGTGTGGGTTGAGAAGTGGAATGCTATGTAAGTTAGTCAACTTAGGCGACGCAGCCGCCCAGCCTATGATGCGTCGACAAGATCGGTGGGGGCTAAACATCTCGGAGGCGAGTGTTGGCGCTTTTCCGGGGGGCGGTTGCAGGCTGCTGATAGAGGAGGACGCCCAGAATCGCAACGCGTCACTCTAAAGACGCGTTTCGAGCATCTACTGCCTGATGACTATGTATGAACTGAGGCGACCGAACACTGATTGAAGCAGATCAAAACAGCATCTGGTTGCGCATTTTCGCCGCTCGTGAAGACTTCCGCTCCGGCACGCACCCAACATGCGTCTTGTCTATCTACTGGGCGGTGGGCGGATTGTCACCGCACCTCACATCGTAACTGGTACGGAGTACGCACCGGCGCATTCGGTCACAAGACACAGCCAAGCACAAGATAAGCATAACAATACCTTTTTAGATATCCTCCAACGTGTCAAGCTCAAGCTCTTCTACGAGCTCATTTGCACTTAGAAGTATGCGTATGTTGTCAATGTTGTACTCACAAACGCGGACGAAGGTAGTCCCATCCTGAATGAAGCGGTCATTCCATCGCACGGCCATGTCAAATTCCTGATAGAATGGCAAAGGCGCAAGCTCCTAGGCCAAATGCTTCCCAGAACTCTGGGAAGAGAGTTCAACGCAATACAGCGGCCGGATAAAAACAGGCGCACTGTTGTTCTGCTGGGTCCTCTTCAGCCTGGCAGGGTGTGATTCAATCGCGGTGGGAGTCGAGTGGCAGATGAAGTGCGCGGCGTATGCCAGCTATGACAAGCTGGTAACCAAGCGAAACCCAGGCCATGCGTTCGAAAATGAACGAAGTGTCGAACTTGACTTCAGCTGTGAGTGAGAAATGGAGGGGCTCAACTAGGGATTTACTAGTTATCTTAGTCAATGACGGAAAACTAATGAAGGTGGTTGCTGAAGAAGTGAAGGCAAACTGAGGTGGAGGTAAGGCTATGCCAACATCTCACCTTAGGATAGGGAGTACGTGTTCACCGCCGGCAACACCTCACATTGTCATGCGGTAAGCCTCGCACTGTCAACACTTCGGCTGCCGATGGTAGGCCGTTGAGCTGCAAGCATGCCCTTCTTGGATGTCCCGTGATCTCACGATAGATAGGCGCCTACAGCCAGAAGAACAGATGTGAAAGGTCAATTCGAATTGGTGGTCGACGAATTGCTGCTTAACAAGCATTGATTACGTTGTGAGGGCGGCAACTGGGAATGCGGTCTGCTACACATCAACGTACCCGAGAGTATGTTCATACTCGTGCTCGTGGATGGATTTGAGGCTATTATTGTGCTGTTGCAAACTGAGGCACAAGGGCGCGGGACACTGTCGCGGTGAGGACATGCAGGTGCGAAACGAATTGGGATAACAGGTCAGCTCTGCCAGAGCAGCGATTGAGAGCCGATGCTTTTGTTTGGAAACCTTCTGAAGGGTAACAGCAAAACGCTCCTTTCAGACTGGTCAGTTCGCATGTCTGATACTCGCTGGGCAGCAGTCATGGGTCATGACACTGAGGAAAGCAATGACAGCGGCTCGCTTGTGACGAGGAGCATCCACAACAAAGTCCGTAGGTTCTCGACTAATTCTTGCATCCTGGAGTGATGCCATAAGCAGGGGTCGTTTCTTGGGCTTGAGCTGCCCTGAGGCTTTAGCACTCAGATCCCTGGACCCTAGGACTTTCCGTTTGAGTCCCATCAAGCCTCACAAGTAACTCTTTGGCAGTGGCGGTGGCAGAGAGGAACGGTTGCGCCAGGGAGCCGTACATAGGAGGTTGGTAGCTCCGGAACTGCCTCTGATTGCTGTTCATCCGGTACAGTCACGGGGAGTCTGAGGTGGGTGCCCCATCGTATACCTGTGAAAGGGCAATCTGTATTTGACGCACTCCCGAATCCGATGTTCTCTGTCCCACCAGTTCTGAAGCAGCTTCCCCGGGTGCCGGAACAGCGCTTGCGAATCCTGCTGTGACACCGCCCAAGCTCTGTTAATAGTCACCGTATATAACGAGAGGCTTGCAGCAATGAGTATAGTCGAGGTCGCAAATGCAAAGCTGGCAGACTTCAACCAAGGTCGTCGTCCTTCGCCTCGAAATAGTATTGACCTGACTGCACCTCGCCCTGGGGCAAAGATGACGCCTCAGCTAAGGTCTTCCCTTCGAAGTCCGGCAGTCACGTAGCTCCGGCTCTTTTTTCACGTTTCACGGATACTCAACTGGAGGTCCTGTTGGCCGGCCTCAATCCTAAATGACTCATGACTGTCGGTTTCGCCTTCTCACGTGCACGAATGCAGCAGCGGCCAAGATTCGCACATTGACGCTCTGATGTCGCCTCGATTGTCCAATCGCCAACATGCGGCAGTGCAGAGCGGTGGCAGTGTCATGACGGCCCAAGCTCAAAACTCGAAGTGATGGCATCCGACTTGGGGTATGGACATTGATGATAAGGTGAGAGAAGCAACAACTGGAAGCTAGGGCAAGGTAAGCTTGACAGTCATGGTTGTGTGTTCTACCTCCTCAAAGTTTCCGGACGAAAAGAATCCGGCCTAAGAGCAAGGGGTTCGCTCTCTATGCCAGTTGGGCGAAGAGCGCATTGCGGCGGTGCTGAAAGTGATGCGTTGGCTCGCGGTAGACGAACTAATGAGTCTGTGCAGGGAGACGGTCAAGAGGTGGCTGCCTTGCAGCTGGAGGGGCGGCTAGCGCCTCGTCTCGCTCTCTTCCAAAAGCAAGCTCTAGTCACAGGTGCATCGTTACTGTATCTCCTGCGGCAGGGCTTGCGCATCGGGTCATTCTGCTCATGTCAAGCATGCACTCTGCCACTCGAGACAGGGCGAATCCAGCGAATCGGGCGCTGAGACACCCAGAACGGGCGTGTGGGCTTCATGCGGCTCTACAGCTCACGGCATTAGGGTATTAAACCGCTCATGCGACCCGGAATTTCTCCTCCAAGTGGTACAGAGTTCCAGCACAGCCCTTGATCCGCTTTCCTCCACGGTGGCAAGCACGACATGTACGTCGCGGTCACTGAGATGGAGGAGTCAAACAGCAAAAGCAGTCGCAGTAGCGCTTCCATAATCCCGGTGTCCGCCTTCCATCCGACACCGCTCTCAAGGACCAAATCATGGAGAGCGGCAGTGCTTTCAAAGATAGGGACATCCACGGGGACGGGGAAGGGATCCATGGAGACTGAACTTGAAGGTATGTGCATACCGATCGTTCCCGATGAAGAATGAATCTGACTCTCATGCAGCTGCAAAGCTACAGAGGGCTACGATTAGACTGGAGAGTGTCACGCAGGCACTCCGTCTAGCCGTGACTGGGAAGGAGGAGCTCGATCCACTGCGACAAAAGTCGTGGTTATGGTACCTCAAGCACCTGCAATCGAAACTCATTCCACTCTGGGATAGTCTGATAGTTGCGACTCTTGCAGGGGTAGAACCATGTCAAAGATACGACGACATTTCCGCCATGACAGAAGTGCGCCAACTAGTCGGAGAGGTTGCTGGGAGCTTGTTCGGTTACGGGGAGATAACACTTGGTGATGTTACGGATCGTCTAAGGAGTGCCACCAAACGGGATTTGGACAAGAATGGCGGTACCTGGTCTTTGTTGCGTGACACTCATGGAGACTTACCTACTCACCTTGCTTTCCAAGTGACTGGGTGGCTGACTGGCCTCTGGGACCCCTTGCCGGACGTGGCCACCCCGTCCTTTCGGCTGACAGGACGCCTTCCACCGCGGCGGCGAGCTGGCATCCGCCCAGATCCGATTATTCGCAATACCAACCTTCCGATCGAAAAATGGCAAAACCAGCCTCTGCATCGTGTTGCAGGCAGGTTTGGGAAACTATTCCCCAGCCCAGGTCTCTCCATCCAGGACGACACGCTTGGAAGCCGAGACGTCGAATCTGCATGCGTTACAGCGGCGTATATCTCATGGCACAGTCTGAAGGATATCGTGGGCGTGACCCTCCAATGGACGGCGACTTTGGGTCAGCACCTGGAGTACAACCAGCAGGAGAAAAAGCTTTATGTCTTCAAGCATCCATCAATCTGCCTGTTGCTTTGCCGGGACGAACCACAAACACTCCTCTCCGATGTCTTCATACAGCAACAGCGGGAGCATGCATCAAGCCAACCACTCGGTGTACTCCAAGGAGTAGAGTTTGAAGGGTATCTCGCGGAAGTTTTGCTTTCGTACCAATTGATCTTTGCACGGAATTCTGCGTCAAGGAAAAGCATCAGGCGAAGACTTGCTGAGATTGGAGAAGAGTGTGACCCTCTTTTGAAGACATTATGCACGGCAACCAAGGACAACCAGGACGTGGAGCTGCTATATGCACAACTCCATGCAGAGCCGGCAGAAAATTACGTGCCAATTGCCGACTTCCCCTTCCTGGCGAAGAAGCTCATTCAGCTACAGAAGCTGAGTATGGGTCGCAATCCTCATTCTTTCCGAAGACTGTGGAGGGATCGTCGCAATCTACTGGCTTGGTTTGCACTCTGGGCTGTGCTAATCATCACTGCGCTGACCCTTGTTTTTCAGATGTTGCAGCTTGTCTTTCAAATCTGGTCGCCAGCGTGAAGGGAGGCATCGCAAACTGCCGTTAGTGTCAGGTCGGCATCTCGAGCTTAGTTTAGAGGGACTGGTCGAAGGGCATGCAAATAATACCCGGTCTGTTTTTTCTGGTAGGTTCTTTAGGTCCAGGGGTCAAAAGGGTTTATTCTGTAACAGAGTTAAAGCTCTGAACGGTCAGCTGTAGAGACTTGCCTTGAGCAGAGTGTAGAATTCATAGGTCACATGCACGAACAGGACGTGACACTACCTGTAATCAGGTATAGCAATATATCTTCAGGCGAGAAGTTGTGGAAGAATGCGCGATGGCCGTCACAGGGAGGGAAACAAGGTGAGCGGAATGTCGTTATTCCGTATTCCGGCTTTGGGGGCCGGAGCCAAAGGCCTGGAGCGGCAATTATCCGGTCAAACCACTCTCTCTTCACCATCAACTTCAGGTTCATTTACACCTCACCCATTCATGGTGAATCTTATGCTGCTGCATTGCACTTCTTGCATGCGCACTGCCACAGTGAAGATGTCACCAGCACGATATGCATCAAAGCACACGCTTTGATCACGTCACTGCCAACCATTGTCAAATCCTGATCTAACACGACCTCTATCTCACCTGAGACTTCGTTTAACATCCAGGCTGAACCTGTCCGAGTTCTTGCTTTCAAAGTTTCCGGCAGCTTTTCTCCAGGGGCCAATTCATAGCATTAGTTCTTTGGTTTCAGTCTGACCTTGACTTGAGCCATGCCGGACGTACGTACTACCCTCGAATATCTTGCCAGACTGCCACTTTATGAGACCGAGAAACCATACCTCTATCTACCCGGCAAAGACGAAGGTCTCGACCCGAATGTCACGAAGCTAGATAATCTAGAGTACGAACGCCATTCTGGGATTCTAGTAAAGGACGTGCGTCAGCATCCTGAACTCAACTTTGATGATTGTGGCTTCGAGTTCCAGGAATACCCGTCCCGATACCAGCAATTTGCAACGGCTGCGGACACTGACAGATACCGGGCGGAAACCGAGCAAATACTGAAGAAGCGATTCAATGCGGAAAGGGTGATGGTTTACGACATCCGATTGAGAAAGAACGATTCTTTCCATCGCTCTGAATTTGATGTCTATGATCCACTGCTCATCGAAGGTCCAGCAAAAGGCGCTCACAACGGTAGGCCAAACGATTCACCGTGCGTGCAAGCGTGGAAACTGACGAGGAACTCGCTGATTGCAGACGTCACGTTCCATTCAGCTCCCAATATTGTGAAGCGTCACCTACCGAAAGCAGATTGGAGCACGTACCTCCAACCGGGATACCGCATTCGAATCCTGAAGTGAGTTTCCACGCCCGACTGTGTGACCGCTTGTCCTGTACTGATGTTCGAAAGTACCTGGCGCCCTCTGAATAAAGTTTTGGAAGACAGGCCGCTTGCGTTCTGTGACTCACGGACAGTTGACGCGGACGACCTCATGCCGACCGACAGAATCCTTCCAGATCGAGTAGGAGAGGTCTACTACCTCCAGTACAATCCGAATCAACAATGGTGAGCAATACAACGTCACAACAATTCCAGCTAAGTCCTAGCAGGTACTGGATTGATAAACAGCGCAATGAGGAGATGGCCATCTTCCTGGCGTTCGATTCCGACCGAAAAGAAGGAGGGGCGCGATGCAAGTCATGTCAATCTCCAATGGTGACTCTCTGCGGTGGCTAACAGAGGGTGTAGTCTGCCCCCATGTCTCCTTTGACAACCCAAATGCTCCCGAGGGCGTAGCCAAGCGCGAGTCCGTCGAATGCCGTGCAATCGTCATCACGAAGGTGTCCTGATGGTAATGCCGAGATGTGGCGCAGGTCTTTCACAACAAGGGGCAATCTTTCATGATACGCAGGCATAGCTGCAGTAAGTCACTGGCCTTGCGTCGAGGCGCAAGTCACCATGCACACAGTATGGATCAGGAATCGCGACCGGAGGCCGGGCTCGGTTCCTGATTTCGCAAGCGCAAAAACGGGCGACTTGCTTCAGCACATGAAATATCTCAGGCCCAACGCGCTAAGGGGCGAATATCCTCGTGTCCAAAAGAGAAGTTAGGCTTTGCTCTCCAGTCCATCGGTCAACGATACCGGGGTAGGCTAGGAACTTGGTGCCATTTGAGGCGGGGGTGTCGCCATCTCATAGGATGTCATGTCCCTTCCTCTGATGCGCAAGCGAGGGAGGAATACTGCAACGAAGGCATGAGAGACCCTCTAACCAGTTGGCGTGAATACCGACTATACCCCAGCTGCAGACCAGGGGGGGTGGCGGCCTAGAAAGCACGAAGAGCGAGTGCATGCAGCTAAGTGTGGAGATGATTCGAACCGCAGGGATGTTCTGGAAAGAGCGATCTTTGTTGCAGGATGTGCTAGACTCAGCCTCGACCTTATCAACAGAAATGTGAACCGCGTGAACAACAACTGATCCGACCTGTTATCGCGGCTGGGTGACTCTAGCCTCTTCAGCAGACCGCCCTCGCAAGCCGAACGGGATCATGAGAGCGGACATCCCCTCCTTCACCACTTTGTGCGCCGCGTTGTTCCTTGCGAGTAGGGGCGTAATTGGAGTTTGAATGGCAGTGTATAGTGGCTGGAATGAATGACAGGCGGGTCTGAGCTGGCGTGCCTGCCTACCATAAGCAGCAGGTAGTTAATGGCCCGTCACCTGCCCCTCACTCACGCCTGGTGATAACGAAAAGAAAGTGAAGTGACCTCTGTTTGGCGGTGGACAACTTGAGCTGCGCCTCATAAATTTCTCCCTGCACTTTTCCTTCTGCTCTACGCTACCACACATCATTCTCGAATCATAATCTCCATTCTCAAAGGTGAGCTGGCATTATTCTTCAGGTCCCAAGTCGGATCCCGTACAAGCATTCAGACTGGACTGACAGCTTGGGCGGCGGTGCAAGATACTAGCGTTCCCAGCACAACACAGCACAGCCCTTCCGATCTCCAGCCGTTCCGCGCCCACGCCCAACCACAACATACATATCACTTCGCGTCGGACCTCATCTGCAACGCCAGTCCCAGCATACATTCCAGGCAAAGGTTGGCCCGTCCATTCTGAGGACCCTTTTCTGGTCATGTCAGGCTAACACAAGGCGTTCTAGTCATCCAGATGGCTCCCCGAAACGAGTGCGACACCATGCGTGAGATCTGCACCGACGCCGATTTCTTCAAGACCCTCGACCCCCGTGGCTATCCCGCTGTGCAAGAGAAGGCGCGTCCATGGCAGAAACTCGTCTCTTCTCAGAAGAAGCGCGAATACGGTGCGGTTGAGAAATTGGTGGTCGTCTGTTCGCAGACTCATGACCATGGTTTGTGACACCCTCAGGTACCTGTGAGCCACGCCAGAATCGCTGACTGCATTTCCAGGAACTGCCAACCTTGGTGGTTACTAGATCTCTTGAGCGCAAGCTCCTATCAACGCCCCGTTTACTCACCAGCAATGTCTACGGCCTGCCAAAATCATACGTTACGGCAACTTTGACTGCGAAGCGTGTCACAGGTGGACATTGATTTTAGGTCCTCCTTGAGCTTCATGTCCGTTGCAGCTCGCCTTGGTGCAAATGGCTTCTCGGACGATGCAGCGGCCGATATCCTTTTGTACAAAGTACGACTACTTTCCTACTATGAGTTTTACAAGCGCATGGCGTTGTCGGCATGGGTGGCCTAACTGCTACACACCGCTACATACATAGAACATGGATGGTGACTGAGGTTTGATAAATAGCCGAGTGGTTGCTCATGAGCATCACTCACCTCGATTCAATTTGACCATCCAACATGCAGTTTCAAGCTGCCTCATAGTGGAGTGGTGCAAACTTCGTACCATGCATCCGGCGCTACCCCAGATTTCCTTCCAGGATTCAACCTGTTCTCCACACGGTAGAGTTGTGGGTGCAAGCATTTCCCAACTCGACTTGTCACGACAGCTTCCCAACATCGGCTGATTATTCGTTCTGCATTTTCCCCAGATCGCTGCCACGATTCCTGGATGTCTTGTGTGCGCTTAGCGAGAGATGCTCAATTTGGTTGGTCGTCGCCTGCAGGGTATTGCATTAGTTCACAAAACTTCCAACGCCCGACAACGCTGGCACATTCTTCCTTTCCAAGCACATCCTTCTCGCTATTGGGAGATGCCATCGCATAGGTGCATATGCAACAGCAACTTGCCTGCCGCCTCTCGAGCTCTGCTCGCCTCAAAGGGACGTGGGGGGTGACGGCGGGCTCCGCGCGTCTCTCACAACTCACAGTTGCAGCACAGGCAACCACTGAGATGCAATACCCCTCTCACACAATTCAGTACTGTGCATACGGGCCCTTCCCATGTCTTGATAAACTGCGCCCTTCCCCTGTTCAGGTCTTTCTCCGTCCGGTCTCTCTGCTGCCTTGTCTCTCTCTAACTACAGCTTGTCGTCCTCCTAGTTTGTGCTGCTCTTCAGTCAATTCAGCTTCTGGGCGAGCCTTTGAATTTCTCAGCCTTACTGACTCTACTCTACTATCATGTCGGGCGGCCAGCCTCTTCCAGTGCCGTCACATATGCGGGAGGATGAATGGCAGTTAGGTGCGCCTCATGGGTTCATTGTCATCACTCGAGACTGACCGCGGCTGCAGATTTCGGGTATGGCGACCCTTTCTAAACCTTGTCACCCTATGAAAGCCTCGTTGACATCTGTAGCGACTCGCGGCGGTTCCTCATCGAGCAATTTAAGTATGCCAATTCCTTATATCCGCTAAGCAGAGCCGACACGGAGCAATCAAATGGCTTCACCGACCACGAATCGTTCGGAGGATATGTTTACACAGAAAAGACGGCGGCGCAGAGGGCAAACCAAGCTATGAAATCCACTGTCCTGCTTGGCTTAACACAATTTGACAAGTGTAGGTACAAGACTTATGTTGCTTTTTCTTGCACGGATGTTTGTGGCCACTGTCGCTGCGTCAAAATGCTGACCCGGCGATTCCAGGGCTCTGGAGATTCGACGAGCTCATAAAGGATCTCGTGATCGAATTGACAAATGATACCGATCCGGAAATCGTCGAGGTCGAGACCATCGACACATCCACCCTCTGGCGTCTTGCCTACCTCAATGTTAAGGTATGAGGTGTTTGTGGATCCGCTGAGGGGTGCTCGGGTCCTGATTCATCATAGCTCTCGGTCGACTCGGACGTGAAGCTCAAAGCCACACAACGCTGGCTGAAAGAGCTGCAGAGAAATCTGGAGCTCCTGGTCAACTCTATCCGTGGACAGCTAGAGAACAAGACGAACGAAATCAACAATATACGTACCGAACTGGCAGATACCTTTGAGCCTTTGATAGGCCTTCTCAAAATCTCTATTGACTATATGCAAAGGAACTATGACGGTATGGCCGCGCTCTTTGCCACACGAAGGGTTCTTCTGATACTGCGGGACAGATCAAGATTTCCAGGCTAATTGGATGAGCGACATGGAGCCGAGACGGGCGGAGACGTATGAGTCTCTGGCCAAAACAATCAGGCATCTTCGAGACGTGACCACTAATAATAGGATCAACCACTCACAAGATACTCGCTACGGTGCCGACGGGCTGCGCCTGCGTCAAGAGCAGATGGATGCTGGCGAGAAGGCAATCTTCCCCCTGGATACTCTTCCTCACTTACGAGCGGACCACTTCATAGGTCGAGAGAAAGACCTTGAGAACATCCATGAATGGCTCGGTTTACAGGAAACCCCCGCTATTCGCACCTATACAATTTATGGTCGGCGCGGTATAGGAAAAACGCAGGTAAGCCCGCAATAGCCTGATCTGTGATGGCAGCTGAACCGACCTCTCCGGATAGATTGCACTAGAATACGCACGGAGGCATCGAAAACACTATAACGCCGTCTTCTGGGTTCAAGCCGAAACGAAGGGTGCTCTGCGTCAGAGTTTTACCGACATTGCTCTAGCGCTAGAGCTCCCTGGCGCAGACAAAAACGCCACCTTCGATGAGAATCTGATGCGTGTGCTACGATGGCTGCGTGAGTATCTCCGCTCTCCACTACTTGGGGCGTTATGGGGCGATTACATCTCCAATCCCGCTGTGATGACACTGGCTGACCGCATCTGCAGGTCACACGCAGAAACGCTGGCTTTTGATATATGACAATGCCGAACGCGCACAGCTCCTCAAGGGATATTGGCCCAATGGGGGCCGTGGTGCTATGCTTCTTACCTCCCGATCATACTTCAATTTCCTTGAGGATGACCAACGTCGCGGCGAAACCGTCCAGCTCTTCAACGACATTGAAAGAAGACATCTCTTCCTCACTTGCCTTGGCGAAGCATGGCAGTCAACCCACCTCAACAGCGAGGATATGATGGTGGAGATTGAGGAGGCTGCCATCTCTGCACTACTGAAGAAAACTGGCGGTCTGCCCATTGCCATCCGTCACGCGGCGACGCTGATTCTCGACACGGAAATCAACCCCACGGGAACAGCGCGGGCGTTGATGGAAATGTTCAACGAGAGCTATCAGCGTCTTCCCCGACGACAAATATCCGAGCGCGATCCTCTCATCCGTGTCTTGGACACAATCTGGAACATATCGTTCAAGAACCTTACCGAACCTGCTAAGAACATCCTGTCGGGCCTGTCGCTTTTGGCACCCGATAGAATCTTGATCGATCTGTTTCTGCCAAGCGACCAGAACATGCTCACCAGCAGACTCGAGTTTTGTCGGACGGCCTCCCACAACACCAATGTGGTCAAGTCGGGTGGCGGCACTTCTCTCCAGACCGTCATCAATCCGTCATCCAGACTCATCGAGGCAATCAACGAGTTGTTCGCCAAGGATTTGATCAAGAAAACCGGCCGCGACATGGCTATACATCGTACGGTACAGGAAGCTGTCAGCTATCAAGGCAAGGATGAGTTGATTGACTTCTTTGACGCGATGGTCCTGTTGTTGTTCGATGCTTTCCCTAAGCAGTCCCATGGCCGACCGTTGACTGAGTACTGGGAGAACTGCCAGCTGTGGATTCAGCATGTTGTCACTCTCGCACTCAAATATAAGGCCTACACCAGCAATCGACCGGAAGATGATATTCCCCTGAAGGGCATGGCATCCGCCGACATTCTTGTCAAACTCCTCGCTAACGCCGCATGGTACGTGTCCGGTGATATCAAGGTAGACAGCTGCTAACCCATACCGTCCATTAGGTACCTCTTCGAAATTGCCGACTACGAAGAAGCACTGAACCTCGTGGATATTGCCCGTGCCGCTGCCCAGAATAAAGAAAGCCTAGACTATGCCCACCTTCTCAACACCGCCGGCGTGACCTACTACGAACTCAACAAGCTTCGGAGCGCCAGAGGGGTTCTGGAACAATGCTACATTATCCGGTCTCGCATCTTGCCAGACGACCATGCCGAAATCGCAACCATCCTCTCCAACCTCGGCAACCTAGAAACCGCCGAAGGCAATTTCGAAGCCGCCCTCGAATGGCTGGAGAGGGCTGTCGTGATACGGGAATCGATCGGCGACGAGGCCGCATCGCTGCTCGCACTCAACTATCTGCAGATTGGCCGTGTTCATTTCCTGCAGGAGCACTACACCCAGGCATATAGCATGTACCAAAAGTGCGAAGGCGTGCTGAACAAGGAGAAGGGCCGCAACCGGCTTTTCACGGCCAACTTGTATTACGCATACGGCAACCTGGAGTTTGTGCAAGGACAATACATACAAGCAGCACGATCGTACGATCAGACCAGGCAGATATCGAAGGACTTTAACCCGATGCACCCTCTCACAGCGGCGGCATGCTACAAGTTGGCATGCACGGAGTTTGAACAAGACAATCACAAGAAGGCACTCAACTACCTGTCCAAAGCGTTGGACATTGCTGAATTGCGGGGCACCAGCGAGTTCGATGGTATGGACGGCACTGTTGTCAGAATCCTCTTCAAGCAGGCAGAGGTAATACTGGACGACCCGCTGGGTGATCGCAATGAGGGCACGCAACTGATGAACGACATGCTGTTCCGGCAAAAGGACGTGGCGGAGAAGCTTGAGGTCGACCTGAGGGGATTTGAGTTGCTGGAGGATCGGGAGAAGGGATTTGATTTACTGGTTCCGGGCTATTTCAGGTAAGGTGTGGATGGATAGGGAGATGCACTGTGTCGATGGGCTTCTTCGCGTCGTTGCCCCAGGATCAGTTTTGTTCATTCCGGGCATGTTTATTGTCCGGTTACCAGTTGAGCGAAGGCGTTGGAGGTGGCTGACTTGCTTCGGAAACTTGGGTTTGATGGATTTGATGTGGCGTTGGATTCAGTTGTACGGTGCCTGAGGACACTGGCTTGACCTTGGACTCGGGATTGGGATGACCACTTACGCTTTGATGACAGAGAGGGAGTTTGGGCTTCTGCATATGAAGTGAGGATGCTTGAAGGGGCCCAAGATTGGACTTCATTGTATGCTGTCTGTAGACACCGGCTTGACCTTGGATTTGGGTTTTTAATGACCACTACGCTTTGATGATGGAGATGGATTTTGGGCTTCTGGATTTGAACGAATTCGGTGCTTGAAGTGGCCTTGGGACCATTGTATACTGTCTGTATGGTGCTGGCTTGTCCTTGGGATTCAGGATCGTGAAGGGACGGTCACGGACGTTTCAACGAGTCGGAACGAATTGTCGCCCTCATGGCACGCCGCCCCTCCGGGAGGCTGCTTTACATGAGGCGTTTGGTAGGACAGAGTACTCGATACGCCATCAGTTATAACTGTGACCTTGATATAGAAAATCTGTGTTAAGACTGTCGATGATGCACTGGGTAATGCAGATTCCATCAGCTTGCCGTGGACGTTGACTCTGGCGACACTGAAAATGATAATTATCTACTGGGACGAAATCGTCGGAGAAATCAGCATTCTATGTAATGCCCGCCATGCCCCAAGAAGCTAGCCTACAAAAGGCACCTTGCAGTGGTCACCGAAGAGCCGAGACACTGAGTCTGAGTCATCGCTAATTACAATAACTCAGTCAGTCGCTCGTCACGTCAATTGTAAGAACCATTATATCGCCGGCTCCTTCCTTTGACCATCCCCCAATGTACACTACTCGACGTAACGAGACCATATTTCTTCGAAATCTCACACCTTGTTGAAATCCGACAAGCCCTCACACGCATCACCCGGCCATGTCTTGTAGAAGAAGAGACCGCGCCAATCTCATCGGCTGTAACATCGGCGATGTCGCCCTGAGAGGCTGCTGCCGAGGCTGCTGTCCCTACCCTGAAGACGAGGTACGTATACGTATGGAGGGATGTACGCGCGTTTATGTTTAGAGAGAAGGAACCTCCATGCAACCGAATCGCCCGTACTGTACTATACCTTAGCCTGCTTCACCTTAGTTTCCATAACTCACCTGCTTGGACCCTCTGTCATGTATCACTTTGTCTACTGTATCATGTCCCAAGTGTACGGTCGTGCAGTCTTGAAGCAGCCCAAAGTACAATACAACGCAGAACAGAAGAGAACACCCAATTAATCCGTGCGTGCGTACCACAGAAGTTCGAATACACCCATCCGCACCTCTTGAAGGGCCAATTCGTGCCTAGCACCAACACCGGCACGACACAACAGCGCGACTCCGATCCGCGGCCCATGCCCTCAGGCCGCACGAACCTTCGCTTCCGATCGTGCGAAACCCCCCATCGGCCCAAATTCATCTGTCTCTCGCGATCGTGTCGCAGGCTGTTCAAGCCATTTTTCGACCCTGCCCGCTTCGACTACCGCGTTGATCGGAACGAATGGTCGGTCCGGCCCCGGTGGGATGTTACCCCCGAGCTCAGGGCCGCGGGACGGCTCAACGCGTCGGCCCTCCCGCCTGCCACGCGACGGCGGATGCATGAACTCAGAGGACGACTGGATGCCATTGAGAGCCAAAAACAGCAGCAGGCTCGTAGCAGTAGTGGTGGTGGTGATGATGATGATGATGATGATGATGATGATGATGATGATGATGGGGGTGATGGCGGTCTTGGTAAGGGTGATAGTGATATCCGCGAGCCCGAACCTCTTAGCGACGACGATCTCGCGTGGCTGAGGGATCATGATCCCGAGGTATGGTGGACGCGCGTCGTCGGCGTGGGCCACGACCATGCCAAGCGGTGTCCGGGCTGTGGTGGGAGCGGCGTGCGCGTGGGTTCTAATTTCAGGGTCCCGGCTCGGAAGGACGAGAAAGCGTGGAAGGAATTGGAACGGATGGTCAGTCAGGGCGTGGACATGCTGGCCGAGTTTGAGTTTTGTCCGACGGTGGAAGTGTGGGAGGAGATGGCGAGGGAGGCGGAGAGGGTCAAAAGGAAGGAAGCGAGTGGTGAAGGGATTTAAGAGACGACTGATGCTACTGAAGAGGAAGAACGGGCAGGGAAAGAGAGAGGGGAAAGGAGGGCGGTTGGACGGAGACAGAGACAGAGAGAGAGGATCCCATGCTGGCGTTCCCCGTGTCGAGCAGAGCCAAGCTCGCAGATGGTGAGAGACGGAGCCGTGTAGGTCACGTAGCGGATACGCCCTCGACGAAGACGAAGTGCTCGCTCGTAAGGAGTAACCATCCGCTCTTTCACCGTCGCGGCGGATATCTCCCAGAGGGTTCTACGGTGTTGATATCGCTCTCTCCGACGATCTAGAGAGTCTCCAGGCCTGGCCCTTGGGCTGGGGACACGGGCTGTCCCCTCGAAGCCCCGTCAGGTTGAAAGGCTTCAGAATGACACTATAACCCTGTGTAAGGGTAGCTGTGGCTCCTCCAAGAACATGCCTATCTGTCAAATATTGTTTGAATATGGGCGTCCCTGGCAGACTCGAAGCAATCCTCTGGAAATTTGGTCAGCTGTTCACCCACACCGCCCCTCGAGTGTACGGCACGACTGGAGCCATACCGCCTGATGGCACGCGAAAGTTTGAAATTGGATCGCCATACCCGGGAGACGGATATCAGTACAGCTTCAGATACAATACACAATACAGAACGCGGCATGGCAATCGCCGCAGGATGACATGGAACAAGTCAGCGGGTCTGTAAGAGGATGATCGAGGATGAAATACTTCGCCGGCCGAATCGATCACAAGTCACCGGGTCTGTAAGACAGGATAACCGACTTTGCTAGAGTATCAATGGTGAAGCCGCGTAAGGATAACTAAGGACGGTCGTACTGAGCGGGAAGCTTGCACGAGCTGATTTAAAAGTCCTGGCGACGTCCTAGTACGGGCACCTACGACTAAACTACTCCGTACACTGGATGAGATCATCAATCGGGTACAGGATGTGTACTGTATATGCACCCTGTCGTGTACTTTGAACTGCCGGTGCGAGTGTGCGGAGTGACGGAAGATCAGAGGCCGCGGATCTACATATGTACAATACCACGATCCAGCCTTCTTCACCCGCTCACTCGGATCGTGCGATCTCGCAAAGATCCCACGACATACAGTATGCCATTTGCTATACTTGTGATACACGATACATATATGTAGTTACGTGCCACACACCATGAAATCCAAAACGTCGGTCCTCATTTCCGGCGCCGGCCCAGTCGGCCTCTTGATCGCCCTCCGCCTCGGCCAAGCGGGCATCGACACCCTGCTCGTCGAGAAACACGCCTCCCTCCAGCCCGCCACCCGTGCGATGGTCTACATGCCCGTGGTGATCCCCGTGCTGACGGCGCTCGGCATCTTCGACAAGGTCCGCGAGGAAGCGTTTCTCAACACCGAAGGCATCACCTGGCGGGATGCGACTGGACGACCGCTCGGGCGGTTACGTCTCGGGATGAGCCTGCCAGAGAGTGGCCATGACGGTGACGGTGGCGACCAGTTGTTCGGCGGCGTCCTCCTCCTGGGCCAGTGGAAGATGGCGCGGCTGATCCTGGACGAGATCACCCAGTATCCTTGCGTGGAAGTTTGCTTTGGGGTCGAGTGCGTGGGCATTCAAGAGCGGCAGCAGCAGGAGCAGCAGCAGCAGCAGCACCCTACGGAAGCGACAGAGGCAGCAACGACGACAGCCATCGTGACGCTGCACGAGCGAGGCACGGGTGCGGAAATCGCCATCGAAGCGACGTACGTGGTTGGCGCGGACGGGGCCAACAGCAGCGTGCGGCGCATCATGTCCATCCCCTTCCACGGCTTCTCGTACCCGTGGAAGATGATCGGCGCCGATGTGCTCTACGATTTCGTGGCCGAAGAGGGCTTCTCGCCGGTGAACTTCATCGTCCACCCCGTCGACTGGGCGGTCGTGGCCTTCACGGGCGAAGAAGAGGACGGCCACCGTCACGGCAGCGGCAAGAGGCCGCTGTGGCGCGTCGCCTACGTCGAACCGCCGGACCTGCCTGCCGGGCGGGACGACTATGTGGCGCGCGCCCGCGACAGGATCCCCCGCTGTTTCATGAACCGGGGGAGTAAGGAGTTCGAGCTCCTGCGCGCGGAGCCTTATATCAATTCTCAGAAATGTGCCGCCCAGGCGCGAAAGGGCCGGGTCGTGCTCGCGGGTGACGCTCTCCATGTAAGTGGGTTTGCATCCTTTGACTGACGCGGTTACCGTACTTTTGCACGAGCTGGTTCAGGCTTCAGCGCCAACAAACATCGGCGTTGGCATTGACACTGACATATACATCTCATGAATTTACTTACTTACCTACCTACCTACCCAGTCAAACAACCCGATCGGCGGCCTCGGCCTCACCGGCGGCATCTGTGACGCCTTTGCCTATGGAAACGCCCTGGCCCGCGTCCTCAGCAGAGGCGAGCCCGACTCGCTTCTGACCGAGTGTGCCGAGACACGACGGCAAACGTGGTTGACCGTGACGGACGTCTTGTCCCAGGCCAACATCCAACGGTTGTACCGATTCGACGACCAAGGCATCGTCGCGGCTCGCGAGGCGTTTTTCAAGAGGTCAAACGAGGATGCCAATTTTGCCCGCGATGTCCGAAGAGGCTTGGATAAGATGCTGTCGAACACGTTCGAGTAGTGGCGGGAACACCGGCCTCTGGATGGACCCGGAGATCAACCCGTGAGCATTCAGTGGGGAGAATCGGGCGTCTGGACGTGGAATTTACTACTACGGCATGACTTCTCGCGCCCATGTCGGCGATTTGCTGCTCGAGAGAAGTCGTCAGGACACAGGCAGATTCGAGAGTCGGACAAGTCTACAAAACCTGGGTGTGGGTGCTTGATGCGGTTCAATGCCACTTCGTACTTCCAGTCGACTTGATGCCTACGTCGTCCTGGTGGTGATGATTGTACAGACCTACTCCCTACAATTCCTCCGTCCTCTGCCCTCTCTGTACCGACATCAAAATACTCCGAACAGGAAGTTTGGATATTTTCTCTGGAATTGTGATCGAAGCTGTCCGATCAGGGAACCTAACTAGTCAACTACTACACTAAGCTAGCTAGCTGGTATGCATCGACACACACACACCAACTACATACGCGGACAGTTTCCGGCTGAAATCCATCTCGCTGGAGATGGTCGATTGTTCCAACCTTTGACACTGACCAAGCACGCAGTGCGTTCCGTCATGTATCGTCTGTCATCTCGTGACTCTTGTCTTGTCTCGTCTCGATCGTTTCAGTGGATGAAAAATGGCTGCTTCCCTGACGCGAGCCCACGTCAACATGGTGCACAGGCATTCCGAATTCCAACACATGGCAATAGCCCATCATTCCGCCAGGTCAACCGTGCAAAAACTGCTGCATTTCTCAGTGTCAGTGGATAGCATGTTGGCCATTTCATGCCCCCAACATCGTGCAGTCAGTTCACAGGAGAGGAGGAATACGCGTATGCAACCCTCACGGTCTCCGTCCCATCTGCCCTCTAACCTCATCAACCTTGGCCTTCAGCTCCCCATCAAGCCCTTCAAAGTATCGCTCTGCCAATCCCTTTTCCTTCCCGTCCCAAGCACTCTGCTTCTCGTCCATCTTTCGGAATGGACTGGTATACACACTTGCCATCCCCTGATGCTTCTGAATATAGTATGCTGAGACTTTTCCCCAGAACCCGCCTCGGGCTTGCCATTCGGCGAGCTGTGGGGGAATGGGTCTGTCGTTGTCCAGCAGGCCTGAAGGGGCAAGTGGCCGCTTTTCGAGGGATTGAAGAAGCAAAGGAGAGGGAGCGGCCATGGGAGGAAGGCTGGGGGCGAGTTCTGCTTGGGGGATCAGCTGAGGCATGATTTGCGCGGACTTGTGCAGTTGCCCAATCGGTCCGGTGGTGTTTACCGGGTTCAAAGGGTCGAAGATGGAGCGCTTGGCGACGTAGTTGCTGACCTGCATCTGCATCGAGTTCAAGTTGGCAGCTGGGAAGGGAGCCATATCATGGATCATATCCAGGTCCATCATATCCATAGAATGTGTTCTTCTGAGACCCATATGACTAGATGCACTGGTGCCAGAGCCAAGTCCTAGCACTGTGGAAAAGCTGTTCCTGGCAGAGCGGCGGCCAGCGCTGGATCCGGGAGGACTGATCTGTGTCGCATTCGGATTGATGAACTGCGGCGGATTCTGCGGATCAAGAGGCTGTATGGCGGGACTCGCGGAAGATGAACCCGAATGCACGTTGAACGACTGCTGCTGCTGCATAGCCGGGCTGGAAAGCATATACGAACTGCCAGGTCTGCTACCTGGCGGCGAATTTTGGTGTGCTTCCTTTTGCGCCTTGATTTGATCCGGGCTCTTAAATGGGTATGCAGGATTGGATATGCGCCGTTGACGTTCGACCTCTGCCGAAGGAGGAGGGAGAGGTGGCTGACTCGCGGCTGCGCGGATGGATTCAAGTCGAGGTTGTTGGTATGGTGTGCTTGGGCCCGAGGATGTTTGCGGTGTCGGATCTGCGTGGCCTTGATACGGGAATTGAAGGTGGGATTGCTGGACATACGAAGGGAAGGGAGAAGCTGCCGGCGACTGGGGTTGCCCGTATTGAGGAAGCACCGAGTTGAGTCCAGTGTTTGGAGGGTAGTCAACGCTCGAACTCCGGCTCGCCGCAGCAGGATTCATCCAATCGGTGCTATACTGGTACTGTTGCGTTCGCATGTTGGAGGTCATCATCGAAGGTCCGTACCGTCCACCGTTGTCCAGGGCATCGAAGCTCGGGAAGGGCTCATACTGGTTGAGAGGTGGCAGCGACGGATCATTAGACCATTCCTTCATGTGCTTGGCATGTTGAGATGCGATTTGCTGGAATTGTCTTTGCCGTTGAACGGCATCGTGGTCGACGCCGATGCTACTGTGACCCATCGAGTTGGGCCTATGCTCGGCAGAGGCAAGTTGTTGAGCCTTGGCCTGCTGTCGTTGCAAGATGCGAGCTTGTTCATTGATCCGAGCCTCTTGAGCAGTAGTGATGTCCTTGTACTGTGCAGGCTTCATCTGAATCGGCTTGGCCTGGGAATTGCCTGTAAGATTGTGGGTGGTCCCGCTGAATGTTCCCGGCAGAGTGGAATATTTCGGAATCTGCTGGCCTTGCTTCTGCTGAATGGTCTGTCGCGTGTTTGCTATCGCCGCGTTCTTTGAAGCCACATTCGCCGAAGGATAAGATGCGGACAGAGCTTGCCGCTTGGGTTGAGGTGGCGGTGCCATAATCGGCTTCGGAGGCATGACGAGGTCGAGGAAGTTTGATGCCGGGTCATGAACAGGCTTGTCCGGATCTGCCGTGTAGGATGCCTTCGTGTCGGTTGACTTGTCACCGAGGTAGAGCCACAGCTGCTTCTCCTTCACCAGATTGACAGGCTTCTGAGCGTTGTTGAGAGGAGGTGCAGCGGAAACAAATTCTTCCCATTCGGTTCTTGGCGTCTCAGTGAAGAGATCGCCCGGGCTGGGCTTCTTCTCAGTCGATTCGGGCAGTGAAGCGGTTTTGCCTTGAAGATCCTCGGGAAGGTCCAGTGCATTGACAGATGGCCTCTGAAGACAGGATGTGGCACTGTCAACAAACAATATTGCCGTAGGCTCCACTTCCTTGACTTGTTTCAGATCTGGCAAGACCTTCACCAAGACCGAATCCTGTCCTGGATCGTAGCTGGCGATAACCAGACCGGCTTCAATATCATCGGAATTGGTCGCTTGGAACTGAATAAGCTCGCCCTCTTTGAGATTGAACAGAAAGTGTCGGAACTCGGCATTCTTCCAACAGCTGTTGGCGTGGTTGCAAGCAGACATTTCACTTGTGATCCTCGTTCGTTTGACCGTACGGTGAAGACGGCATCTCCAGTCGAAGCCAATATCGCGATACTCGACACCTTCGTGCCAAACAGCGATGGGCCCTTTGTCGACTTGAACGCCGGCTTGCATAGCACAGGTTGCGTGGTAAGCTTTGGTGCACTTGGCAGAAGAGCATTGGAAGCATGAGCCTTTCTTCTGCCGGCACTCGTGGCATTTGAGCTCCAAACGGTCTTTGCTAATGTTCTCGACGTTGTACACCATCTCTTTCCCGTCCTTGGTGGCAATGTAGGTCTCGGGTGTATACATGGCACAGGTCCTGTGCGCTCGCTGGCCGTGCGATGTTGGCAAAAGCTCTTCCCAGGAGAAGTCGTTCGGACAGAGGCAACAAGGCTGGTTCTTGCTGATCTTCCGGATCTTAATCTTCTTCAACTTCTTGTTCGGTCCGGGTTCTTTCTGTCCTCGTTTCCTCTTCATGCCTATCTTGATCTTGATTTTGTCGCTCGGCGGTGTTGGCAGGTCCGTCGGCTCGTCGTCCTCTTCATCATCGGTGACTTCGACTTCCTCGAACTCGGGTGAGGGTTCGCCGTTCATCTTGCGGACAAACCAATCGACGTCGATAAAGACACTGTCGGCCTCGCACTGGCATTTGCGGGCGGTCTTGCCGTACTGCAACCAATTCTCGATGGCAAAATTCACCGACTCGGCACAGTTGTAGCCCAGATTGTATCCGGAGTGATAGCCGATTGGAAAGGTGATGACAAACTGCCCCTCTCTGTGGACGACTCTGTTCACGTTGACCCCAAACTTGGACTTCAGTATTGATGGCGACACCAGGTAGGTCTTGTGCCGTAAGAACTGGTCACAAGCTTTGGCATCCGATGACCATATGGATTTCATGGCCGCCTCGAACTTCGGAGCGTCCTTCTGAGAGATGCTGTACCACTGCTTGGGAGCCCCAAAGTGAATGTAGTTGATGCTGTAGAGATCCACGTCTTCCAAGTGCCAGGCAAAGGTAGCGCGCCACATTCCAAGATAGAGATATGCCGTGTTGACGCCGGGGATAGGTGCTCCGAGTAGATCAAGCAGGTTAGGGAGCTTGGCCACGTTCCACTCCTTGGTGTCGTTGTCGAACAGAGAGCCTGGCATGTCGGCCGCGTACATGGGGTTGCTGAAGTTCAAGCTCTTCCAATATTTGTCTTCAAGCTCGTCGCAGCGCTCTGCGGTCCATTGATCGTTATCGTAGACTCGGTAGTCAAAGTCTTGGAAAGCCTCCTCGTCAATCTCGTCGTTGGCCGCCTGAGCATTTCGTAGTCGTCGAGCCGCAACGGTTGTTTCCGAGCCTTTTGCATTTCCGGAAGCTTCTTTCTTCGCCGCGGGGTTCTTTGGCGGTCGGCCTCTTGGTTTGCCAGATCCAGGCGGACGTCCTCTGGGCCTCTTGGCTGGCGTGGGGATGGCAGCAGCATGCGAAGTGGCCTCGTCATCCTTGTCTTCGTTATCAAGAGCAGCTGGCTTAACGTCTGGGCTGGTAGGGGTTGGGGGCGCAAGGAGAGTAGAGTCCTGGTCGGCTGGTTCTTCCTTGACCGTGACCGTCGGTGCTCGGCTACCCCTTCGTTGAGAAGCCTCAGGAGTGGCCGAAGCCTCCTTCTTTTTGCCCCGGACGCTTCCTCGGCCGAGCAACTTGTCGGCATTCAGACGTTTCTCTCCACGCTTGGCCGGTGGCTGGTTCTCTGTCTGCTCGCAGAGCGCCTTCCACTGCGGCAGATTGTAGGACCGCATCTTCTCCATGTTGCGTTGGGTGTAGATGCCCTGGGCGCCGTGGAATTCTTGGGTGATCGGGTTTTTAATCTTGATGGTCTTGACCATTTCGTCCAGAGCCTTACGGGCACGTTTCCTGCAATCGAGTCAGCTGGTGTTGTGCGAAACAGCGTAGCGACTCCGGGACGCGGAGGAGAGCGGTGGCGTACCATTCCTCGGGAGGATCAATCAAGACAATACCTGACTGCATGCCGTAGGGGTCGACGCCCTTGACGTATTTCTGAAAGTCCTTGAACTGTTCCATTGTCTGTTGTCGGCCCTGTCAGCACTTGGACCGCATATCCCGAGTTTCCCACGTCGAGGTGAACGGGGCAGCAAGGGAGGACATGGCACCTACCGGGGTGAAGATGGGCACGCCATTCTCGTAGCGATCTGGCTTGACCTCGGAATATTGTTCGGCTTCGGCGCCTGCGCGTGCGGCCTCTTCAAATCTCATTCTGTTCTCTTCATCTTCAATGTCGTCGCCGAGATCGGAGAGGGAGGAACTCGAGGCTGCGTCATCGTCCTTGTGACTTCCCTCGTCGGTGGTGGGAGGAGTGTGGACTTGAGGCGCAGGCAGGGATTGAGACATGGCTTCATGCCTCTCCAGCGTCGCGGCACCAGGCGCATCGAGGTCGGGGAGTGAGGGTGGAGGGGGCATGGTGACGGCAGCCATGGTTGGGAAGGAGCGCGGAAGAGGCTGATGTCCGGCGGACGTGGGTGGCGATAGGCGGCCGGGGATCGCCAAAGCACATAGAAAGAGCTGCGAACGAGACCGTCGCCGGCTCTGACCACGGGCTTTGACGAGATCGCAGGCACGATATTCGCAGGTGTCGCTGTGCCGGGCAGGTTCGGTCGAGACTTGCTGTGCTGTGCAGTGGTGAGTTGATGTTCGAGGCTAGCGCAGCCTAATTCCGCCTAGCACGATGAAGTATCTTCGCTCGACCTGCCAATCACATCCATCACACCACCGACGGTCTACAGGCTACGCAGCCCACTGATTAGAGCCTGAATTAGCCGGGAGGCACGGGGATTGCACATACGCGGCCATTCTCATGATGCCTTGAATTGCTACATGGCCAAACAGGACGCCGTCAGATATCGTGAAATCGTGTACGAGGGCCTCTGCACCCCCCCGGCCAATGTGTGTCACCAGTGCAGCTGGGCGGCTCCTCCACGCCCGCGCATCCTGATTGGGCCGCCTCCATCCAGGCACAGGACGCCGCCCGACCGGCTTTTAGACGGGCCTCAGATGCAGATCATCATGCCGCTGCCTCTGCACCTTAATCATCGTCCCGAACAACTCGGATCCCCATTTGCTACCACTGCCGTCCAACCAGGCAGTTGCCACGATCGCCGGTTCGTGCTAAGGCTTCTTTTGCCCGCCATTTCTGCAAACTCAGTACTCGGACAAAGCAAGCTTCTTTCCCACCGTCCGCTTGCGCTGCACGATTTGCTCGGCGGGTTGCGGCTTGTCTTTCTTCAGAGCTTGCAGCAGCATGCCAGCATCGAAGAAGCCATCTAGAACGCGGTGTCAGTTCGCCGACACGAAATATACGTGTGAATGAAAAGTGTGACTTACATCCACCCAAGCCATCTTCAACATCAGCTGTGTCCATGCTTGTCGGGGTTTGGACGCCATCGACCTTGGACGCCTCGGTCTTGATGACACGACCTCGTGATTTGATCCTGCCGTCTTTGCTGGCTTTCTCTTCGGCCTCCCTGGCCCGCGTGATCTTGGCTGCCGCGAGATCTTTCGTTTTGGTAGCTTTGAGGAGTCGTCGGATCTCGTTCAAATACCCTTCCAGGCTGTCCACAAAGCGCTTGGTCTGTCGGTGTTTGCTGCTGGCGCACACTGAAATGCAATCGTCCTTGATGATGTACCCAATGCCGAAGCCATCACCAGAGGTGGGACCAAAGCCAAAATGCCGAAGTGCAGGGTTGCCACAGTTGGATGTGCTGATGATGGTGTTGTTGATCTTGTCCCAGCCTGGGTCGCTGAAGAGAGCGGGCATTTGGTGCAGGGGAGGTGCCGGTGATCGACTAGTGTCTGTCCCGGTCCGCGAGCGACTGATAGACGGGGATTCTTCCAGCCGCTTTGGACTTCCCAGATCGCTCACATCCGTGGGACTGGAGTACCCGTTTGAGCTGAAGCCGGCGGTGCTTGCCAATTCTGCCCCCTCATCGTTGACTTTCCGCTGCCACACGCAATACAGCGCGTACAGGTGTCGGTCGTGTCCCTGAGCTTTGCTCGACTCTTTGGTGATGGCCGTGTGCCTCTGCGTCGCGGTCTTGAGTGCATCAACCTTCTTCTGAGCGGGGTTGTCAGCCCAGAACGTCTTGACGAATTCAACGGCTTCGGGAGTCACTGTCCTAATGGCTTCCGTACGTCCGTGGAAATACATCTTGGTCATGGCAGGCTCGTATGTGTTCTCCACTCGGCCATAGAGTCCGTAATAAGCTGCTTGGAAGGCCATCTGCACAAAGGCATCGGGCGAGTAACCCATCGACGTGATGAAGTTCTTGCCATAGCCGGCAAAATCCAGTGTTTGAAACTCGTTTTGATTGATCAGATCAGCCAGCCTGGTTTCAGCGAAACGAAGCGCAATCTGTAGTTCTGGGATCATGTCCCATTCCAGCTTGTGGGGAGTAGTGCTCACATCGCCGAAGCTGTCAGGATCACGCTTGGACGGGTCAGGGCTCTGGCTTGTCCACAATGTCGGCGCTTGACCGTTGATCGACTTGGCAAACCTCAAGATCGTGTCGGTGTAAACATCGCTGGCGAAGCGAAGGACAGTATGACCATCAACGCCTGTATGCTCAAAGTTGATGCCTGCACTGCCATTCTTGCAGACGATGATTTGAAGCTTGTCGTACCATCTATTGGTGCAAGTGCCAACTTGGACCCCGCGGACGACCTCGTTGGTACCACAAAGCATATTGCCGCAAAGTTGAGAGACATCTGCAGGCTCTGTGTAGTCCAGACACACTATGAACAGAGCAGAGTCGACGATATTGAGACACTCAGAGTTCTCTGAGCCTTCATCCTTGGTCAGAATGTCCCGTAGGTGAGACCAGGTCTTTCGATTCTCGGTGCTGAGCACCCCAATGGCACCCTTGGCGGCTTCTTGGATGGGTATCTCCTCGGCATCGTCGACAATCACCTGGAGGTTGATGGCAAGATCCTTCTCCGTCATGATGAGGTCGTTGTTATCATCGAGCGCATCGAACCAGTAGAACTGACCGCGACACATGACAACGACATGCTTGGAGTCGGAGTCCTGGCCAATGATGCAGCCGTTCTCTGTCGGGACACGCGCGGTACCGAACAGTCGCGAGTACTGGTACATGTCGAGGGGTGTTCCTCTGAGGGTGTCTGGTGGTAGCTCTTCTTTTCGGACGGCCCGGACGAAGCAGAGCGCAGATATGACCAACGAAGCGGCTCGTGTGACCTGGTTGTTCCGCGCGGGTGTCGGATCATCCTCCAGGAGGAAGAAAGGGTTCAGGTTCAAGACCACCGGGTTGTCGTAGTTCAGGTAAGAATCGTACCAAAATTGCTCGATATAGCTGGTTCGGCCTGTGGCATACTTCTTCAGTCGCTCCTGCAGGTCCTTACCTTCGTTCTCAATGAAGTCTTTGGCGGCAGCTCTTGTGTCGTTATGCTCCTGAGGAGACTGTAAGGGCGCCAAGGTCTCGAGGTACTTCTTCATGGTAGACTCCAAGTCAGGGATCGGCAGTTTCGGGAGTTTGTCCTGCGCCGCGAATGTGATACCCTGCCTGGACAACTCCCTCTTGACCGAGACCGGTTCCTTCTCCACATGAGTGTAAGAGTCCTTCGTCTCCTTGGCCGCCTCCAGCGACTTCTGTTCATCACTGCCTGGCATGTTGGCGGCGGTCCCGTTCTCCAGGAGCGGATGGTTCAAGGTCTTGTCGAGGGAACTAGGACGAGCAAAATATCGGGTTCCTGTATGGTTGGAGGGCATAGTCAACGTCTGAATCATGGATACAGTGCGGCCACGAGAGTGGCCACGTTCAGGAGGCGAAGAGCGGTGCGATAGAAGTAGTGACAGTCATGTAGATAGTAGGAGGGCATGGGGAAGGCGGATTCTGAGTCCGAGGGGCAAGGACTGCAACTCTGCTCGCCCAAACACAGGCAACTGAGAAGAAATAGAGAGAGTGTAGCAGTCGCAGTGGTGGCAGAGTCTGGCTAACATGTCATCTGGCACAGATCAGAGTCGGGAGGGGTGTTGATGAGCATCATCGTCGATGCACAGCTGTACTGTATCTGCGGCATGTGAAAGGGTGCCGCACGGGTATAGGTCGCATGACGCCTAAGGCCCTCTGGATAAACCCCGCGGCCGGAATGTATCGCAGGCGGGCAGGAACTGAACGTAGCCATGCTGTATGCTTGTGGGAGCGTCTCGGAGGAAAGGAAATAGGTCAACGTACAGGAGATGGAAGTGTGTAGACGCCGGCTGACTCGTCCAGCGTCTAACGCTCGCCCGCGTCGTGGGCCCTGAGTGGTCTGATGTGACTGTCCCGCCCAGGCGTGGGATCCTTTGCGCCGCAACGATTTGGGCCAACCGAGGGCAGAAGACGAGTTGCCTCGAGGCGAAGAGTCAAGGAGTGCTAGAGCAGCTTATCGCACTGTTCGTGCCCGATAGAAGATATGGACAAATGATGTATGCGAGGAGAAAATTGGAACTTCGCGACTTGCTCAACTGCTTTTGTGGTCGACTGATGCCAGCGCCGCCAGTGACCTCCACCGACTCAGCCAGAAAGAGATGCCTGTGACGTAGCGATGGCCCGTTCCAAGCCTCAAGGTCGACGCTCAGACTGGATCTTATGGTCTTTTAAAAGCCTTGCGCGCCCGGGATTTCTAGACCATCTCGATAGGTGGCGGCATTCTCGTCCGGCTTGAGACGATGCTCGCTTGAGACGATGTTCGCCCTTCTTACCAGCTCGAGAACATCTGGCGGCTGATCGGAGACGCGCGAGCAGACGATATCCATCATGACAGAATCAGCAATGGCTCTAAGCTTCGATAGGTAAGTGGGAGCTGAGCTTCCATTTCTCCGCAGCCAAGCCTGGGGAAAGCCCGCAGTGGCAAGCCATGGGCAGAAGGAGACAGGTAGCAGACGGGGTCCAGAAGCACGAGTCGTGATCCGATAAAGACCGCCCAGTCGCCACCCAGAAGAAGCGACGCCGGACGATTGGATGACTTCCTTTCGAAGCGTGGACGAATCTGAGAGGCCTCATTACTGTTCGGACAAGTTTTGACCACGGTAATTTCTGAACATCCGAGATGCTGTTGATACAATTCTCCTATTCAAAGTCTATGTGAACAGGCTCGAGCTGCTTCGTTTCGGGTCTCGCCCTTCGTTCCCTCTCATCGCACAAAATGGTCTCCAAGCCAGCACTGCCAGTGGTCAAGAATCAAAATCCAAAAAGCCATGAAGTTCATTTCATCCAGATCAGCTCACAAATGCAGCTATTCCGGTAATGAAGCAACATGCTTGTAGAAGAGAAAAGAAACCAGCATTCGACTGCTTTGGGCTGCGTCCTAGGCGCAAGTCAAGTTGCACATGCTTGCAGATGCTTACTTCCACACCATGCTCCGAAAGTTGGGTGTTTCAACTCATCGTGGAATCGTGAGGTCGTGCAAAGCAACAGGTGTGCTTATAACGTGACGGTGGGTGCGTTTCCTGGTTGAAGTACATTCTCTGCATATTGGCCGCCGAAGTTACCTACAAAAAGCCAGTCAGCAAATAGCTTTCATGCGGGAGAGGCAAATGGACATACCAGGCGGACTATAGTTGCAAACAGTGAAGTAGGGGCTAACGTTGCCGCCTGTGTTGGCCAACCCGTTGGGGCAATATTGGGTTGCGCAACCAACACCCGTGGTCGACTTCCACACGATCTGCGAGTAGTGCCCCCATTTCTCGAAGTTGCTCATGTCAGGCTCAGAACCATAACCGGGGTAGAAGCCGATCTCGCCGTTGTACATCTCGTTGGTGATCATGGCGGGGATATCTTCGGGAGGGGCACCTGCGCCGATGTTCTGGCCATACCCACCGCCACCGGTGGAGGTGTCATGAGCGTAGACGCAGCTGGCGGCTATCTGAGCGGCAATCGAAGCCATGTGGTCATCCCAGCTAAGGTTTGGAACGGATGCATTCGAACGGTGCATGTTGTGGGAGTCAAGGATTCCTTGCTTGTAGTCCGAAGAGACCGAAGTCGAGACCGGCGCAGGAGCAGACGGAGGAGATGCTGGAGCTTCCGGGGTTGACGATGGCCACGAGTTCGACTCAGGAGCAGAAGTCGGAGATGGAGCCTCAAAAGCAGGTGTGTCGGCAGGCGGAGCAGCAGCAGTGGGAGAAGCAGAGTCACTGCTCCAGCTTCCTCCGCGCCATTCACCCCAGCCACCCCAAGTGCTACCTTCAGAATCATCAGGAGTAACTTGGGCAGAGGGGGCGGCGTCAACAGAGGTAGCCACAGGTGTCTCAGCCGGTGGGTATCCGGTCACGGTGACTGTGACTGTGAACAGCTCGATTTTCGTTGTGTATGCGCGCTTCTCCAGAGGAGTGGCAGCGGCCATACTAGCGTACATGGCGCCCAAGAACAAAGCTGTGGCAGTCTTCATTTTGGCGGTTGATCAATCGCTAGGGGTTGACTTGACTTGAAGGCTAATAGATCAGGTTGTGGTGAGTAGACGATGCACCGGGCGTCGTTGTCGGGAGGATAAAGCAGGGACAGGTCCTTGCTTGGTGGCGCGTTGATGGTGACGGTTGAGCAATCTGTCGAGTGACAGGAATTCTTCACACCTGGTGAGGCAGCGTTCTGGTCTGCCGGGTGATCTCTTGTCAAAGAGCCGTGTTGACAGGACAGGGACGATCAAGATCAAGTCCGAACGGCACGGTCACTGACTGTGCTTGTCGTCGTCGTGCTACTGGAGCAGGGATGCGGGAGTAAGGTAAGTCTCGAAAGAGCGACTGTCCGATCTTGCGCCTCGAAGGAGTGAGAGGGCTCAATGGGACTGAATGAAAGGAATGGTGGCAGATGGCCTAAAGAAGGACTGAGGGTGAGGTGAAAGGAAGGGCGAGGCTCGAGTAGCCGAGGTGAGGGTGAAGCTGCAAAGATGAAGTTGTAAGGGAGTGTATATTTAGTGAATGGCAACTCAAAGCCCTTTGCGACGATTTCTTTGTGACTGGGGTGGCCGGTGATGCTGCTTCTCCACTGGCTTCAAGGCTAAATGAACAAGGAAAGTGACCCCACGTCGCCTTTCACCAATTGCAAATGCCCGCGACAGGGCGAGGGACCGGGCCCAGCTTTTCGTCACCTTAACATCCACGCAAGGACTGCTGGCTGGGTGTCGTACCTGGAGCTTAGCCGGATAGAGCGATAGTACAGGTAAGGCTATACCCGAGACAGTTGGGATTCTAGTGATTGCGGAGAGCTAAGAGCCTCGGAGGTTTCGCTGGGAGATTGTCCGGAATATCGATCTCAAGGCAATCTGAGCTGAAACACCTGATTTACTAGGGTGGCAGGCAGTATTCCTATAATCGTTTCAGTGCCGCGGCGCAAGCTTACGTCGCCCAGTGATAAGGACAAAGAAAGAGGCTAGGCTCGAGAATCGAAGAGAGACTGTTGCTGGAGGAAGTAAGATGAGAGGAGAGATCACTGGGAAAGGACGGGCCCAAAGGGTTTTGAAGGGACGGGAAGACACAGAAGACGGGTTCACAGACTGAGCCCAGATTATAATACCACTGGCTGGGGACGGAGCAGATGCTGGTAACTGCCGACGAGTGTCCTTGAAGCGACAGTACCGCTCGATATACGGAGTATAGAAGAGATAAATTCCTCATGCCCACTGCATACTCGTCCTGGCCTTGGAGAATGCGACGTGGAGGCAGGCACGGCTCAGTTCAAAATCGGCGAGTTGGAATTCGAGCTGGGGAACCTCTGGATGCTTTCCCCTGTACGCCCGCCTGCGACAGCTCGCAACTCCGTGGCCGACAGCTGCAACCTCCAGTGTCGTCCCTCAATCTTTGTGAGCACGCGGTCACCGCTGCAATATCAGTTACTTTTGCCAGATTGGCACAGGGCAGGTGAAACAAGACCCCTGGCCAAACCCGAGTTCTTCGGCGGCACTTGGGGCAGACGCTCTAGCACCAAGTGTGGACCAAGCAGTCGGAGAATAAAGTGGCTTGCAGACGACTGCCAGCGGGGTTGAACCTAATCGCTTATCAAATTTGCGCCCGGAGATCGGGGCTGGGCCAGCTGCACGATTGGTTCAGGGAACCCCCAGCTTGTACCCAGTAGGAAAGCCGAGCTCGCCGAGCAGTCCTTGCGCCGCTGCGTTCATCTGACGACACTGGCACGCAGTCGATTGCCACATTTGCATCGGCCTTTGAGCCCCTTTCCACATCATCTTCGCCAAATGGTTTCACCTCCTTGCAAGTCGCCTGGGAGCAGAGCTTATAGACGACATGGATGATCCCATCTCGAATATCCCCATATTGGCTGACGATACCCTGTATTCATGGGCCTGCTTTTCAATATGTCTAGAACGGAGACATCACCTCCAGGCTCCTGCAGATTCGTTGGAAACGTGCCCGGCTCTCGCTTGCCGCCTCGTGGCAGTTGCGGCTGTCCTTGAGCATGGCTTCCCCTGGCGTACTCGCAGATTCAGGGTTGTATCTGTGGCTCCCTGACCAGGTGCATTTTAGATGGCTGTCCCTGTCGCCTGGTCCTGCATTCTACGATCCCGTCCATCCTCTTCACCATCGAAACGAACCTCTCGTCCTGCAGTATGCCACCACGATGGACCACCATGCAAAAGACGGGGAAAGCAGGCAGCTCAGCAGATGGTTCGGGTCTGGTTCGCGCCAGGAAGACAGCTCGTTCTCGGGCGCAAGCAATCTTTCGGATCAATCATTGAAATCAACATGATTACGGCAGCGGAAACGAGTCTGTCTCGAGTCTCGTCCCCAGTCTTTGCTCGGCACCGAGAGTACCGCGTTGAAGCGACGAAGCAACAGCTGTGGCTCGACAAGAGTTTACAAGTTTATGCTGTCCTACCCGCAGTCCTGCATCCTAACATCGCACACTGCGCATCGTCTCCTTAACACCACGTCTACCCGTTCCACAGGCCGTCGCGAAACGCGCCAACAGATGATACAGGGCCAGTTGCATGCTTGTGGTGATTGATGCACACGACGAAATGATCGAGACATGTCCGCCGCGAATGTCCCATCAGTGTAGGATTGTCCCGACTTAGCCCAAGATCAGCCTGTGAGCTGGATTTCTCGAGGGCTTCCGATCACTAACGGTTTCCGATTTCTCCGTTTACACGATACATGTTTACCAGCTCTTTATCTACCCCCAGGAAGCTGCTTGGACATGATGACGGATGATGCCCAGCTGGCATCATGCATCTCCCTGCGAGTGGTGGACGTATCACAACTCTTGACGTCGAGCCTGTCGGGTGCGGCTAATACAATAACATGTCGCCGTTTCCCAGTCTTGCTGAGAGCAGTGCACGAACAGGACTGTGCAGCTTGTACGGCCCGAGAACCTGCTGCGGGAATGATTCGTCTTGCCCTTTGAGGAGGATCTCTCTGGCTTTATCAGGACAAGGTATGTATGCTAAAGGGTCCATTTTCAGAATGGAAACATGCATGGTGCAAGCGCGACCTACTTACGAAGCCGTCATTGCTCGGTACAAGAAGCCAACCCAATGCGATTTACGGGCTCGCCATGCTGCCGATATTATGATCGGTGTAACCTTTCCCATCTCCTCTTGTCCAAACACTTTGCAAGGCACACTTTACGCCGCTTCCTGCTATGCGATGTTGTTGGTGCTCTGTGTGACGCTGGCCAGTCAGAAACAACTATGGTTTCGATTTCGACCACGTGGACTCACTTTTGTCGCTTCCCCTTGCATATGCTTAAGCAGTCAAGCAATCTTGCCTTCAACCCTGCCGTCTCGGCTTTGTTCAACAACTGTCGTTCAACCTGACACCTCGGGAACTCAAGCTCTGATGGCAGAGGCTATCTTATCAATTGTGTTGTGTGCGCTGAAAACTGCCCGCGCTCAGATACGGTAAGCCATTACTGTCGTTAGTTGCAGGCTTGTGAAGGAACACGAATCGAGACTGACTACTGGATTACTCTTACTCTCTCCAACGGTGTATCCATGGACCTGAGTCCAACATGCGGCTGCGCTTAGACCTCTACAAATCAAGTTCTACATGAAATGGGAGCATATCATTCTGGGTGGACCTGATGCGGCATCCGACCTCGTTCTCGACGTATCATCGATGGCACGAAGACCAGAAGATATGTGAGAGTCGAGGTCTAGATGCCGTTTTGCTTTCGTCGCAGCCGCTGACATGTATCGACTGTGTGAAGAACGATGCCTTCTGTCACTGTGTCTTAGACTTGGCCTCATGAGAAGTACCGTTCGTCGGCCTGGAGGAGGCATCCGGCCTGCCCTTTTGACGTTCCGGTGCCACCTGCTTTTCACGATACAGACTCCCATCACATAGTCTTCTCACATCTTCCTTTCGCAAAATGCCATCCTCGGGCCAGATCAGCACCCAGGCGAAGCCCCATTCAAACATGGCAGATACCTGCCCAAAGAAATCAAACGCGAGCCTAGATCTTCTTAAACCGTGCCACAGTTCCCATTTTGTCAAACCACCTTTCCCATCCTGGTCGAATTTTGTGAAGAAGTCCTCGAATGGCTGCGGTCGAAACCGACCTTCTGAATCAAAGGTGCCGGTCCCGCTGCCATGTTTGTTCATATATGCGTTCTTGACCCAGAGTCTGAAGCAGGGATCGGGCACCCATCCAGGATTCGTGTTGTAGGACTGCACGGCATGGAGAAAGGCGGTAAAGAACAGAGAGGTAGGTATCTTCCAGTCAAATGAGCGGCAGGTGCGATATGTGTCAATCGGCCATATCACGCCGTCACCGTCAGGATCGAAGAATGAACAATGTTGCTCGAGGACCTATTGGAGCAGGATTGTGAGCGACTAGGCTACCACGGCAGCAATGGGCGTCTTACAGTCTGATGCTGATGCGTCTCTGCCCAATCATCCTTGACAGTTCCATTCGGTGATTCGGATGTAGGGGCATAAGTCGTATAAACAAGACCCGAATTCTTCAGCTGGGAATCATCTGGTGGTACATGCGCCTTGTATTGCTCCGTGACAGGTGCTTGAGGTATTGACACTCGGTGCGCTGGACATGCAGGGTGTTCGATATATGGCAACATTGTCCGCGATTTTCAAAACGCAGCCCAATGTTGAGTTTAGGTAAAGCAAGGGAAACAGGGACCACTTTGACCGACATTCCGGAGCTCTCTATATGCCACCAGAGCACCGGAAGCACTTACCTGTCACCATTAACGCTCAGGCGTTTTGTGGTGGATCGAAGCACTGGACAAGCAATATGAGTCGACAAAAGGGAAGATGTTGACATCATTGACTTTTGCCGTGGCGTCCCTGCCCTAATAAGGTACATAATATCTGAGCCCAATACAAGTGATCACGGCAGTATGAGTTACAGATGATCTCAGATATGCACCGTCATGTGCAGCTGAAGGACAAGTCAGCAACCCCTATCATCCATAGGATTATGGGGAGAGTCGAGAGACTTCAGAAGCAGAAATGAGTTTGTTCTCAGTCCACGCTTATTCCCAACCTGCTTTCCGTGCTTCCGCCAATCGGAAACCCGCCTGCTGACAAGCAGCCCGATTGGCTGCAAGCTTTCAGTGGGATTTCACCTCACAAACAATTTAAAGCCCTTCTCGAGGTTAGTGCAATGTAGCATAAAGCAAAGCACGAACTCATGCCCGGCTGATTGCTGCAGTCCCTCTCCACCGGTATGCGAGATATTCCTTTCCAGTGGAAGCAGTAAAGCTTGCGACCGCAGCAAAGAAGTGGTCACTTCAGGGACCGGTACAAACTTTTCTCTTCGGTCGTACCCATCCACATGCCTACAGAGCAACCTGGAAATTGAACTCGATTTGAAATATTCTGAGTCCGCACTCAACGACTGCTGTTCGTTTCAATTCAAGACGGCTCCTCCCCATCTTTGAACTACATAACATCTCGTCATCCACGCAATGGCTGGAAAACCGAAGATTTGCATCATTGGTTCGTTGAACATCGATTTCGTGACCTCAACACCCCGGATACCTGGGCCTGGAGAGACTCTCACTGCGACATCCATGACAGTGCATCCTGGTGGCAAGGGTGCAAACCAAGCTGTTGCGTGTGGGAAGGCTGCATTCACTGCACCAGGCTCTCAAGATGTTGCTGTTGAGATGTTCGGGGCGGTGGGAGCAGATGACCCATACTATTCCTCTTTGCTCAAACCGACGCTGGAGAAGAGTGGCGTCAGTACTGCTGGTATTGAACAGGTAGTTGGAACTGGGGGTCAAACGGGTACGGCTACAATACTGGTCGATGAAGGGTCGAGCGGAGAAAACAGGATCCTGGTCGTTCCGGGAGCCAATGCTACAGTCACGGATGCCAAAGCGGTACGCGACGCCGTGATGGAGCACCAAGTACCGGACGTCGTGGTTATGCAAGGGGAGATACCTCGGAAGACTGTGCTAGAATTGCTCGAGATGTTTAATTCAAGCGACCTCCAGACTTGCGTGGTCTTCAACCCGGCGCCAATGTTTCCAGATGGTATCACACTCGAAGCACTCAAAAGCCTTGCCGTGCTGGTTGTCAACGAGACGGAGTGCCGTCAACTCTTCGCCTCAAGCAAGGGGCTTGACAGCGGTAAAGTCTCTGGCGACGAAGACGAGTCCATGGATGTCGCCGAACTGGAACAGCTGACGACCTCTCTCCATGAAAAAGCCAAGATCAGTATCATTCTTGTGACGCTTGGTGCTCGCGGTGCCTATTTCTCACACTCTACTGGGACAGCAGGTGTTAAGGATAAGGGGCTGATCTCGGCTGCGAAAGTGGATAGAGTTGTCGACACAACAGCGGCTGGTGATTCTTTTGTGGGATATTTTGCATCGGCACTTGCACGACATCTTGCGCATACAACGAGCCTAGACGATTTCAATGTCAAGCAGGCGGCCACGAACGCGAACCAGGCCGCAGCCAAGTGTGTACAGAGGAGGGGAGCAATGGAGAGTATACCATGGGGCTACGAGTAGTCGCGAACCGTCGAACCGGACCTGAAGGATCTACTGGTTCAGCGTCGCATCATTTCTCACGGTCCTCGGAGGCCCAGATCCGCCCCTCGGTCCTATCAAACCCCAAGTCCAGTTATGCCACCGCTGGATGAGCGGAAGGACATGTTAGTGTTTGTTTCTTCGCAGCCAATGTGGCTTGACAGCCACGCGAGCATTCGCCGCTCCTGTCCAGTTTGAACCCACTATCCGTCTCGCTCCTCGTCGCCTGAATACTTGGACATCGAATACTTGGCTGTGAAGGTACTCCGGACCGCGTCTAAACTGTGTACTGTGTACGGTGCAGCCTCGTCCGGGTGGCTGGACACTCATGATTGGCTGGTCGGCTCGACCTCTGCAGAGCGGCAAGCCTTGTGTGGAGAAGCCGAGGTATTGTCTCCAGTTTGTACCTGTCGGGCCGTCCACCTTTTGACAATCCTTCCAGTGCTGACTGCTCGTGCGAGAGTTCGTCGTCAGGGAATACATATCTACCTCAAATTACCGCTCTGCATGTGTCTTCTCCTATCGTAGCACCAGACTAGACGAATCTCCAGTTCCGGCAGCAGCGAAGCCGACTTACTGCAAGCTCAACGGCCTCGTCCGGCCTGAGCCCTACTGTGGTACATTACAACTTCTCAACCAGAACGAGAACCGGCACGACACTACACTCCTAAAATCCAATCCATACAGGAGCCGAGGCGGTATCCCAATTCACGACTACAGCCCTTCGTTTCTCGACCAGGTCAAACGCAAGCAACGCACAACCACAGGCAATCATGAGCAGCTATCCGTCCACCTCGAATACCACGATCCCTCCTCCCTCCTCTAACCCCTCTGTCCTCCTTTCCTACCCAACGCCCGCCATCCTCCTGGTCACGATCAACCGCGTCAAACAGATGAACTCGATCCCCTTTCCTGTCCACTGGCACCTCCACCGCGTCTTCGACTGGTTCGACAGAGAACCCACCTTGCGCGTGGCCATCATCACCGGCGCTGGGCCCAAGGCCTTCTGCGCGGGCCAGGACCTGATCGAACTCGGCAAGCGGGATCCCAAGGAATTGGAGGAGAAGCCGTACCTCGCGTTGCACCCGCCGACCAGCGGCTTCGCGGGGATTAGTCGCCGGTTGGGCAAGAAGCCCATCATCGCGGCGGTGAACGGATTTGCTCTCGGCGGTGGGTTTGAGATTGTGCTGAACTGGTGAGTAATGCTTGTCTGCTTGCTCTGTTTCTTTCTGTCCTTGAGAGCTCTTCCGCCTGGCCGGGGCTGGTGTGTCTTATCCGAGATCCTCCGTTTCGTTTCTACCTTGGAAGCCTTTCTTACGCGGGAGTATCTTCTTGCATCCAAGGATGGGGACAGGTAGTGAATCACCTGCCTCCTTTTCGCCGGTTCCCTTCTTCTGGTTCCGGCTCGTCCCGCGCCAGGATGAAGCAAGCATTCAAGGAAGCAGGAAAGACGATTCATCTCTCTTAATTGTTGTCACCCCCCTCCACTTCAGCAGATCCCCGATTTACTGCTGTGATAAGAACGAACGCGACTCCCCTTCAATCTTTGTCTCTCTCTCTCACTCTCTGGCTCTCTCGCTCTCCGTGTGTGAGAGAGTGTGTGGATGTGTCGCTCTTTTCTATTTTGAAGCTCCACAGACCGAGACCCGAGATCCCCACATGGTACTTTTGTCTAGGATGGTGCAACACCTCCCCTACAATGATCTATCTTCACTGACTCGTTCGGTTGCTCTTCGTCCAGCGACATGACCGTGGCGTCCCCGACCGCGACATTCGGCCTCCCCGAGTCCCTCCGCGGCATCTACGCGGGCGCCGGGGGTCTGCCCCGCCTCGTCCGCAACGTCGGCCTGCCGCTGGCCTCGGAAATCGCAATGACCGGCCGGACCCTCTCCGCCGCCGAAGCCCTGCGCTTCAACCTGATCAACCGCGTCTCCAGCAGTGCCGCGACCTTGCTCGACGAAGCCGTCCAGCTGGCGCAAAAGGTCGCGGACATTTCGCCCGACGCCATCATCGTGACGCGCGCGGCCATCAGGGAGACGTGGGAGAATGGGTCGGTGGAGCGCGGGTTTCAGTTGGTCGACGAGCGGTTGAAGAGGGGGTTGATGGAGGGCGAGAATTCCAAGGAGGGCCTCGCCGCGTTTCGGGAGAAGAGGAAGCCCGTTTGGAAGGCTAGTAAGTTGTGAGATGAGATAAAAGTGGGCTACAGTAGCTGGGTGGGGTGAGTGCAGCATTTCTAGGATATTTGTTATCCATTGTCTCTCCTGTTAGGGAAACCTCAACATTACCGTACCGAGATCACGTCTCTACACTGCTGAACGACCGTGTCGTGTTGTCCGCGTAGTAGGCCTATTTCATTCACAAGCTCCTATATTTTATGTCCCAAGTGTCCAATGTCGCACTCCTCGCATGCGGAGCCTGGCTCGTCGGATCGATAACCTCAACAACCAGGCCGTGTGTGCGTGTGTGTGTGTGTGTGTGTGTGTGCGCCCGTCCGTACAGATGGTTTCATTCCTTCATGTACCGTTCAGATGCAAGACGATGAATACCGCCCGGTGGCGCGTCATAGCATTCGGACTTCTGGTCTGTCCACTTCAGACAACAAACCTTCATTTCCACGTACCAGACTGTGAAGAGGGCCATAACCGGCCCGAACACGCCCAAGGTCCGAACTTGTCCAAATCCTGCAGAGCCTGTACTGTCGCGTGCACACCAGTTCTTCGTATCAAAGCATGTCTTCCCGCAACCCGTATGCCGTCGGGGTGTCATTTATTCTATTTTCCAACTAGTAGTGCCAGTTCTAACGCTGAAGATCACATCTGCGTCAAACTGACGTACATTCCCCAGGCCAGACCTGCCAAGCCACCCACAAGCATTCTCTGGTCAAAAGGGACCACGACGAGGTTTATCAGAGTGACCATGGGCCAGAATTTATAGCCGGCCATAAGCATGGGGAAGAAGTCCTGTAAAGGCAGTATGTCAGTCGGCGCCAACGAGTGTAAACACCAATGGGGGATATCTAAAGCTGCGACTCACATTTTGCACGGTGGTCGCAATGTGCTCGAAGCTCTTGCCCCTCAGTAGATTGATCATCACGATGAACCACAAAGTGTTGAAGCCTGCGCCAAAAGTTTGATCCAGTAGAAACTTGGCGGCGGTGTTTGTTATCGAGAGTGCCGACTTGTCATCCTCGACTGGTGCATCGTCTTCTTTCTTGCCGGCCGGGGCTGGTCCCTCTCTTTTGGGATTGCTCGGGAACGTCTCTTCGAGCCACAACTGCCATTTGTAGTTCGGTGGAGTGGTAATGATCGCAAGAATGATGAAGTGAATGAACGCCAGGGGATCAATCGCGGACCAGCCCTCGCGGTATGCGTTGAAGCCCTGAGCAAGGCTGTTGGAGACTGCACTCATTACCGCTCCTTCGAGGGTGACGCGCAGAAGTTTGGAGGATGGGCCATTGAGAGATGAGGGAGGTGGTTTTGAGGGTTTAGCCATTCTTGCTGGTATGGGATGGGTTCTGAAGATAGAAATAGATGTAGGTATGTAGGTCGTCGCACGTTCTGGTCTCGTCAGCTTCTGCCAGTTTCTTCTCACTTTGCTCTACTCGGGCAACAAGAAGGAGTGATCTCTGTCGTACAGTAGCAAAGGTAAGTGCGTCTGCGTTAGCATAGAAAAGGGAAGAGGAAAAGACGGAGTCCCTGGCTTTCTTTCATCTTTTTCAGACACAACCTCATCCCAAGTATGAGACACGTGTCAGGTTGCGCCGTCTGCACACAAGAGCACTCAGCCGACATGTTGTGAAGCACAGCATCGTCACCTCGTCCGCAACAAGAAGGCATAAGTCTGTTCGGGCTAATATTCGGTCAACGGGTTGGCTCTCACGGCTCTGCTCAATGAGAACATGTCAATGCCGCCACAGCTTCGGAGTATCATTGCCATCCCGCCCGACAGCAAGCCCGATGTTCCGCAGAGTGGGACGTGAGGTCGACGGAGCATCCCGCTGAGGGGTGGCAGTAGTCCCGGAATTCCCCGGTGAGGAGGCACGCGATCCGGCCAGGAATTTATTCTGAGGTTGTCGTTCACCTCACCTTGTACGAAGTCCTCATATGCAATTCCAGTCTGGACAAGGACGTAAATCGAGGTAGTCACCCCAAGTTGAGACGAGTCGTGGAAACTTATTGCAACGCACTTTGTCCGCAGCCGGGGCTACTGTCATGTTTTCGCCATTGCGCAAGCCAAAAACTTTGCCTGGAAGAGATGACTTCACAAGTGACGTTAAGCATGGGACGAGCTTTTCCCAACCAATCTTCGTCAATGGCGAGATGGCTTGTGCTGAGGCTCAATGATGACGGTATTGCTGCAGTGATGTGGCCTCTGCCTGACGGTGAAGTCTTCTCTCCATCATATATACCACCTCTTACGAGTACCTCGTATTCTCGAGTGAAGCATCGATAAAGACGCTGTTAGTTACCACCAGATTCACGATTGACACCGAGCACTTCTTCAACTGGACTCACCGTCCCCATCACTTCACAATGCCTCGAGGAGCAGAGTTCGACAACGGAAAGCCTCAGTCTGACAATGCCGTGGAGGCCGGTCAAGACAAGATCCACGGAGGAGGAAAGGTAGGGGAGTCCGATGAAGAAGCTCTTTCTTATCGTCTCGCGAGCAGATTCAGCTAAAGAGTGTGTGACACAGACCACCGCCGAAGTCGAAATCAGTCATGCAAAGAAGACCGCACCTCTCCCCGATTTGAGCGAGGTCAACGACCGGACCCTCAGCTTCGGAGCAGCACCGGGTCATCAAGATGGCCATGGCCACGAGGCACCACGGACACAAGGAGAGAGGACTGGAATGGGATCCAACAAGGATTTAGGCAAGGCAGGTCCGCACCCGTTGGACAATCCACAGGATGAGTCGGCCATCCGGAGATAGAGAGCAACCAGGTAGTAAGAGACGGTGGCTGTTATATGGTGTGGATCGGATAAAGAGGAGTTGAGGCATATGTCATGCTGCTTAAATATATACCATTTCGTCCAGGCTTGTGGTTTACCAAACGGACTGAAAGAAATGCATATGCATCTTGGATGCGGAGTACCGCCAGCCATGCTCCAACAACATATGATATCACAAACACAGCTCTGTGGCGAGATGCATCAACGCCTGGAAATCTATTGTTGTACAAATTCACCGTGTAGCTACGACGCAACTGGCTCCCTCGAAATAGTACGTTCGATGCCCTCCGACCCATCGACAGCATCTTCCTCGTCCTTGACAACCTCCGGTGCGGTCCAACCAGTCCCAGCTTGAACGAGTAACATGAAAATAGCCAGAACGCCACCGGCCATATAGATTGTCTTCAGTGCTTGCTCGTACCCAAACAAAGCCACCTCTTTATCCACGCCAGTCAGCTGTTGAACCACGATGGGAGTGCCCACGAGTTGCCGGATCAACCTCTCCTTGACCTCGAATATCCCTCGGTCCTGGAACCCCCGGGTCAGTGCCTTCTGCAGCGTCCGTAGGAATAGGCCGCCAGAGACACTGGAGCCAAACGACCCAGATAAGCTGCGAAACATGGCATTCAAGGGTATGACAATAATATGCGTCGAAGGTGTGTTCAGGTGCAACACATGCGCCAGAGAGTAGTTCAGCAGCGACCCGACAATAAAGCCGTTCACAAACAGGACAGTCAGATAGAGATAGATGTTCGAAGACGGCGTAGATATCCAAGAGACCGCGAACATGGAAAGTGCAAAAAGCCCGAAGGTGGCGATGCACGAGACGTAGAATGACCCGGCTCGTCGAATATGCAACCAGCCCGCCAAGAGGCCACCCATGCCAAAGCCCAAATTGGTCGGAATGAGCGTCAGCCCGGCGTGACTCTGAGGCCAGCCTCTTAACGTGAGGACATAGGTAGGCGTGTAGAAAAGAACACCCCATCGGGCGGTCATGACTCCGACGGTAGCTAGGCCAGTGAGGATATTGCCCCTGGACCTCAGCACTGAGACGGGTACGATGGGGTGCGTTGCCCAGCTTGACTCGACGAAGATGAAGAGGATGAATGAAGCCACCGACAGAAGGATTGGCGTCATCTGGATTCGTGGAGACGAGAGGCTGTAAAGCAATAGGACAACTGCGGCAACAATGCTAAAGACGCCAAAGTAGTCGATTTGAGACAGCTTCTTCGCCAACGCTTCGGGCGCTGTCGAGGCAGAGGCTTGCTTCGGTTTGGGAATGCTGAAGAAGGCCACGGTGACGGCGACCAAGGCGAAGGGGATCTGCAGCCAGAATATCGCGCGCCAGCCGACCAACGGCTCCAACGCCCCAGCAATGATAGCGCCACATGCCACGCCCGCAGTGTACCCCGTATTGATACACCCGAAGAACAAGCCTCTCCTCCGCTGGCTCGTCAATTCTGTGACAAGCAGGAATGCCACAGGCGTGACAGACGCGCTTCCAATGCCCGTGATAACTCGACCGGCTAGGAACCATGGCAGTGACTTCGCTTGGGAAGTCACGAAAAGACCGCATGTCTGAACGATGATTGAGACGAGCAAATAGATCCGCGGTGTGAAGATGGCACACAGGCGACCTGCCACGGGGGTGATGCTCGTAATGGCGATGAGGTAGGCTGATGTAAACCAGCTCACTGCATTTGAGACCTCGAGATCTGAAGCAATCGGTGACTGAATGGTCGTGATAAGCGAGACATTGTTTGTGAGAATAAAGATGAGAACCCAGACGGAGAGACAGATCAGCGCTCCACGGGTAGTCGAGAGCTTGTCGTCTGGCCCTTTATCTGTCCGCGAAAGTGGTGACACATCTCGTGGCTCCGTTGTGTGCCTGTTCAGGACCGCAAAGGTGTTGGGCGACGAGGACAGCAGAGGCGTCCTCTCCGAGCGTGCCCCGTTGGGTGTCATGGTTGTGCTCGAGCCTTGCTAGAAGTACGTGACCGACACCGTCAAAGGACCGCTGAAAGCAATTCCAACTCCAGAAGGATGAACAGAAAATGTCAAAACGTTCCTCCACGTCCCGGAATACGTGTCCGAAGATACCTGGTACAGTACCTCATTGATACGGGATGCTGACAAACCCGGTGCAAGCCGACATCTCGGCCGATTGCCATCCCTCAAGGAGGCAACTCAAGCGAGGTTATCGTACAAAGCAGGTGGACCCAGGACGGTGAAGTCTCATCGTCGCTCTACCTCGTAGCACCTCGAGCAGTTGCAAGGAAGCTGCGTGAGAGGCGAGGGTAGATCATAGCATCTGTGTCGAAGGTATGTGGAGCGCCTAGACGTGCCAGCGTGTATTATATTTCTGCCGAGAGCACAATTGCTGGCCAAAAGGCTTGGCCTCAGTGATACTCCGTACAATGTACACATCCAAATCCAAATCCAAATCCAAATCCAATGCAGACTCCGAAGCACCTTGCTTAGCTCTCTTCTCGTCGCAGCTCTCACATTCGTCAGGCTTTTGCAGTCGCCGGCTTTTGGCCATCCTTTCCTGACCGGATCTCCAGCTTCTTCGGTTTCTGTCTCGGTGGCTTTGATTCCTCGGACACGCCACTATTGACACTAGGTCCCTTGTCGACCTCAGACTCCTTTTTCACAGCGCCCTCCCCAGCTGTGTCTTGGTTCTTGTTTGCATCGGCACCCTTCTTAGACCTGATCTCCAGTTTCGGCGGCTTTCTACGCGGCTTCTCAGCCCCATTTGTCGACTCGGCGCTTTCCGGCGCAGCTCCTTTCTCAAGCTGCGCTTTGCGCTCCGCCTCCAAGGCGTCGACCACCCTCCCCGGATCCGCATCTTCAAACGGTACTTCTTCCACCTTGCCGTCCTTTCCGCCACCTAGCTTAATCCATGGCCCATGGATGGCACCAACGCCAGTTCCCACAAGCATCCCCAGTCCTGTGGCAGGCACCGACAGTATTGCTCCGAGTACGGTCCCCACACCCGCACCAAGGCCCAGCCCACTGGCAGCCCCAATGCCACCACCAAATCCAAACCCCTGCCACGTCCCTGATTGCATCCGTTTCGCCATTTTGCTGTGCCCGTTTGCTTCCATTTCCTTGTCAAAGGCTTCCTTCAACAGCTTCTCACGTTGTGTCGATGAAGCCATGGCCATGGCTTTCTGTTTGAGGCTGTTGGCCGTAGACTGGGCTTTCTGTGCTTTCTGCAACGACTCGATGGTCTTGAGCATTTCTTCTCGACTGGGCATGTCCCCATCCTTTGGAATCTGTGGCGTGTCCTCGCCATCGCCGCCACCACCACCACCACCACCAGCACCCAGCATTGATTTGACTGTTTCCATTGCCGCCACAGACAAGGGCTACCTGGCCAGACAACGTCTAACCGGCCTCAGCTGTAGGCTTAAGGATACCACGTGCCCTGAAATGTGATTCTGATCCTTCTGACAGATCAACACTGATCGCTCTGTGTGTTAGTCTCAGTCCTAGGCAGCATCCTGGAGTGTTGAAAAGAGCATTGGACATAACGTCAAGAATGAGTAGAGAGCGAACTTGGTCGCGGGCAAAATTGTTGGACACAAGGCATTGACGTCATACGCTTTCGACCTGGATGGTTCCCTTTCGAGCAGCCAATCAATGCTTTGTATCTGCGGACGACGCCATCTCACAGCCGCTCTCCTCATCTTCACCTCTGCCCTCATTTCACGAAACATGGAATGTTATGATGCCAGTCCAAAGCGTGAAGGACAGACAACTTCAAAGTACTACGCGGTGTTCTGAACGTTGCTGAGTAAATTGAGAGAGATATGATATGTGCTCGGACTACTTCGAATGAGTGACTTGGTGATCAGAACCGATCACCTGCTCCGTGCCAACATCAAGGCGAGATGCCTTTCCACTACTCAGCGCACTCGGACTTTCTGGCCTCGAAGACTTTCAATGCCTCTTCCGCAGCTTTGACACCGCTGAGCACCATCGCACCAAAAGTCGGCCCCATGCGGTTGGCACCATCCAACTCGGACAGCTCCATGCCTCCCATGATCAAGCCAGGCGAGACCTCACGCGTGCCCTTCACGATCGCATCCTCGGCGTTATTCATGTCTAGGCCGCGCATCCCGCCTAGCTTTTCAATGGCATTCATGCTGACAAGCCGCTTTGCTGAAAAGGCTCCAAATGGGCCGTCATGACCTGTGGTGCTAATGACCAAGGGAGCGTTGATGGTGCTAGAATCAATTAATACTAGGATATCAGCGGTAGGTTCCGCTTCAGACTCACTTTGGGTCCATGCAGCTATCTGTTGGTCCCACATGAGTTAGCATAGTCTCCGGATTCAAATTGAGCGAAAAGCTATGATGCCAAACTTTTCCCGCAAGGAAGGAGTCGGGGGAGGGATCGATCAATTATCGTCATGAGAAGACAAGGACTTACGGTCGTCATGGTGGAGGGTGACCAATGTCCAGTTCGTGACCACGCCGACAACTCTGACGCCACCGTCGGCGGCTGGACGAGTGACCAAGTCCTCGACACAAGTGGCGTTGAACAACTTGACGTTGGGCATAGCCAAAACCTTGCTCATCAAAGTCGACATGAAGAGAGCGGCATGCTTGACGACCACGTAGTTGCCCTCGTCCTCAAAGGGTACGCCGATGTCGTTCAAGAATTCGTCGGCTGGCTTACGCAGGACCATGGCCGAGAAAAGCTGGCCGCCCAGCCAGCAACCACCACCGGGGCTCACGGAAGCCTCGACAATGGCGATCTTGAGATCCGGTCGAGCCTTGGCGAGAGTGTAGGCGGTAGACAGACCGCAAGAACCTGCGCCCACAATGACGACGTCCGACTCGGCATATCGATCGAGGTCGGCAAAGTAGCGTCTCGTCATGGCGCGAGAGACCTGGGACTCGCGGATTGGGGCAAACTTGAAATCACCCCATTTGTCGCCGAACCTGTCGAGCAGAGTCTTGTCCTCGTTGGAGGCCTGCAAAACCACATTTTTGTGATCAAGAGCGGCGCCAGTCTTCAGCTCTTTGGTGGCAGTGAAGCCATCAAACTCATTGAAAGTGGCGATGGGTGGAGACATAATTCACGTCCTGTCACAATGTTAGGAGGTTCCTCGAGGAGAGAGGGAAAGACGAGATCGCAAGATCCTTTCGCTGGTATTATCCAGATCAAGTTAAACCGTATGATCTCAGAACGCAGCCTCACACGACCCAGCGACGACCGCCATCTCCGGGTCCACGAGGAACCTGGGTGGATGGCTGGAGCGACGCTGGCGTGCAAAGTTGCGAACACCGGTTCATGCGCAGACACTCTCATGTCTGTTGAAGTGTACCTTGACCACGATGGCTGTCAACCGAACGAGGGGATAGCATGACAACCCCCATCTTCTTGCAGTGAGATTTACTACTCGGGGATCGATTGGTTGGATGACCTGGAAGTGTCAGCATGCTGTTTCCTCGCTGCACCATGAGGCCTGGAGGGGAGTACTCGGAGTGGATTCAATGTTGTTCTTCCTTTGCGCGGATGCAAGGTCCTGGACTCACGGAGATTGGTACAGCGGAGATGGAAAGAGGAAATAAAAAGCAGAACGAAGATCCTCAACGTTGTTCAAGGACTGCTCGGCCTAATATAAGAACCTGAAGAAGGGATAACACGGAAGCTCGGGAGGGGCATCGAGGGGCAAGTGGGGGCCGAGGAAACTGTCTGGGCCTGTGTCCTACGGTATGTTATCAGTATGAATCATCACACATCCTCAGTGGCCCGGTTCACCGTGTCCGACGATCCTTATTCCCTTTGAATTCTCATATGCACACTGCCACTGGTTCAATGTGTATAGGAAAGCCTTGGCAAATCACGACAACGGCTTATCATGGACGAGCAAAGTGCGTTTCGGCATTTATCGCCGTGACCTATTGCATGCTTGTCTGGTCGAACGAGGTACTGGCCGAGCAGAGGACCGCTAGAAAGGGCCCGGGAGATTCTCAATCAGCACTCTGCACTCGGCCACTTGAGGCTCCGGCAGGCTCCGGCAGGCTCCAGGAGGCTCTCTATTTTCTTGAAACCCTGAGCTTCTGTGAGCCAGGCAAATGTTCATGCTTGGGATCCGAGGCGACGAGACGCGCTGTACGTTATGAACGACGATGGGCCTTTTGATTGCTTGAACTTCGCGGTTACTGCTTTTTATGCATTAATGGATTGTGTTGAGAGTGGATGTATGGTCCATCGCAATCAGCCCGACCAGGAAGGTATCTTTGCTTTTTGGATGTCCAAGGTGGCACTGACTTGGAAGCACAGTCGATATCTTAGTCCAACGTCCAACCTCCCCACGTTTGCTTGAAACAGAATATGATATGACAAGATGAACGTATCGACATCTGAGTGGCGCTGTCCTGTTCCCAATGCCCTGCGTCGTTGTTGAGGATCAATTTCCCATACCGAGAGTCTCGTTTCATTGCCTCGATGCAACGACTTCATCTCAGCCGTTGATCGACCGTCTCGGCTTTCGAGGAAGAACGTCGCGTCGAGACGTTTCCGCCATTCTGGACTTGCGCGTCATTTCGGAAACCACAGCCCACAGTCGAATACAGTCTTCTTCGAGATCACCACCTTTTCAGTACGTGCTCATCGACAAACTCATCGTCCTCATCGCCCTGCGTTTTCCTGCACAATCCACCGCAAGCAGAGGGATTGCCTGCGTCTACTGAGATGCCTCGGGGGCAGACATAGACCTCTTTGGTCAACCATGCCGTCTTGTACACGATTTGCACGTCCGAGGAGCATGATTTGGTCAGACTTCGGGCTCCTTCGAACTCTTCGGCTGTGTATATGAATGTCACCGACGACATGTTGACCGCTCCCTCCGGGGGGAGACAGACGTCGACTGGAGATGGCGTCACCCGAGGATTACTCCTACAGTACGATAGGGTGTTCTATTGTCTTTAGAGGCATAGGCATCCTCCAACGTGATTTGATTGAGAGTCTGCTCCCTCTCTTGTATTTCAATGCCAATGAGCCCGTGTCTCAGTATTGCTGGTTGCTGTGCGAGCTTCGAGTTTGCACTTATATTTCAGCCCCTGTCAGCGGTGCTGACCTTCAGTTGACTGGTCGTAGGCGTGGATATCTCATCACTCGACGGGAACATGTTAGGCTGTGACGCCGTTTCTACTTGTGAGCCGTGAACATATGATATTTTGGGGTATATGAGTGGCCAGTCCTGCTTGTGCTCATGGAGCTAAACAGAACAGCGGCACATGGCGTTTGGACGCCGCCGAGGTTAGATAGTCTCGGGGATGACTTTTATAGTACAGTAGAGACCGTGGTTGTGGCTTGACGCCGCAAAACATCCTCAATCAGGAGGCCATGACTGTGTCTTCCATACCTTCTCCCAGATATTTTCCCGACGTCTTGATATTCAACATCGTTTTCACTCAAGGCGCCTTGAAGAATTCCTGCTGCGACTGTGTCCGCCGGGCATCAAAATCGGTTTCGGGGACGGTAGACTTCGAAGTCATCTCGAAGTTGGAATCGTCGCTCGACTTGCTGTAACCTTGACGGGACGTGGCTCGAGAGAAGAGATTCTTGGCCGCAGGCGACTTGAAAAGGAGTCGACCACCCTGGTATACAAGCGGTAAGTTGCAGACAACGACGGCAACGAAGGTTTCCCGCACGGCCCAACTGCCAGCCGCTTGAGCACCACCGATTGGATCCTATAGAACTTGTCAGCGCTCTATACTGAATGGTCGGCGTTCCCACCGTGTAGCAAGAGACAAACCTCGAGGATGAGGGCTGCACGCAGAATACCAGCGGCCATGACAAAAACTGCGCCACTGAAAATGAAGATCAAGGATAGCTTCTTCACCATTGGGACGTCCGCTTTCAGGAGCATCTGCAGGTCAAACATGGGTCAGCAAATAGTCATGGTGCGACGATAATATGCTTGTGCCATCAACTCACCGGGATCGGGATGGACAATAGGTACGCGTCCGAGAAGACGTTCAGCACGACAGTAACGTAGAGGTCGATCTTGGAGATTGCGGGTTGGCAGTGGTCTGCAAATCGTGTAAGCCGAAGCACTCCAGTCCGCCGAACGACAAAACTCACTGCCTGGGTTCGGGTAGATCTGCCAGTTTTTGTGAAACGGATGGCATCCGAACAGAATCGACAGCTCAGTAGCCAGGTATGTCGAAATGACAACAGCATAGCCGATACGAACTCTCATTTTCATATGGTCGAGGGTCTCCCTGTGCGTAAAAGGTCAGCCTATTGCCATGCGATGGAGCGCAAAAGATAACACCCACGTCAGTCGCTGATAGAATATGATCATGCATAACTTCAAGACCCATAACAACAAGGTGTAAAGACTCCAGCCTACGAGCTGGGTCTTCGAACCGTTCACTCTGAACTGATATTCTTGTGAATTCGGGTCCAAGGTTCGCCGTTCTTCATCAGTCATCCCATTGTTCGCGAGGCCGTGCCACCACGCTCCTACAGCATATGCTGTACCTGTCTCGAGACCATAGACGACCTAAAAATGTCAGCATGACGGTCGCGTAGTGTGTCAGCCAAGAAATCGTACCGTCGCAAACAACATCAGATAATCACTATATATCCGAATCGGTCAGCATTGACATGGCCTGGGAAGTGCTTGAAGGCGGTGGGAGACACGAGACTTACTCAAGCCATAGCCCCTTGATACCAGCAATCGACAGTCTGGAGACAGTCCTCGTTGCCACGACCAGAACTCCCACTGCAAGGAGGGTAAATGCCTCGGTGTTGAAGTCAGTCGCCATGGTGAAGGGTCTGCAACCACTGCCTTGAGATCGAAAAGTATGATTATAAAGTTCCGGAGCGAGAGCACGAAAATACCATGGCGTGACGGAGGTGATATAGAAGATATGCGTCCCCTTGGTCCCCACGTGAGGTTGGCAGATGTTGAAGGCCTGTCTGTTCACACTGCACACGGATGAACTCCCCGTCGCATCATCCAGGAGCCAGGAGTTTGCGATTCCCACTTGGCACGCAGACGGTCTTGAAGGACATGGCCTGCCCTGCCGGAGGATATGGCGTAAGCAAGCATGATCGACAACAACCGTCTCGCGGTACTCGTACGCTATGGTGCATCTCACCCTGTGCAGCGCTGGGGCTCACGGAGGCCTCTGAGAGTGTCCTAGTCTGAAAAAGGCCATTCTCCGCCCGGTTCGGGCCAGCTTCATCAATTGTCACCCCGGTTAATTTCGTGGTTGGTATCAATGTAAAACTCTATGCGAAGCGACAAGGGATCTCATCTGGAGTCTACGCTGTTCGGTAATTGGCTGAACAGGTGGGCAAGGCTAGGGGCGTGGACAGCGGGCATGGCTCGAGGCTCCATGTGCACAGAAGCTGTCAAGAAGATGATGTGGCCAGTCATGGCCGTTGAAAATTATGGCAGGTGTGGAAATCTGCCGGTAGATCATCCGTAGTTGTGCGGACCAGGCACCCGAAGCAGCGGTGCTAGAAGAGACGTGAAACTTCGGTAAATGGTTGGTACGGCTCAAAGCGTTCGAAATCGCTGATCTATCAGAGAGAGGTGGAGTGAAGGTGAAGTGAAGAAGCCAAAGTGAGAATTCCCACTAATTCATGAAATCCCCGGGAGAGATCGACAGGCACTAGCCCAAGTTCCCCGAGAGGTGCGATTGGCTGGGTTCTCGATACCTCTTGCCCCGCCACTCCCGCCAACATGGAGCTGAACGAGAGTCCTTCACCTGGTAGGGCAGCTGCGGGCAGCCGGCCCACCAAGGACATTTTTTCGGGGGCAGTTAAGAGGCTCGAGGGAAGGCCCGAGGAAGCTGCTCGGTGCCGCTGCTGGCGCTGTACTGGGTACGACGTTCTGGACATCACTTGCTCACTTGCGTCTCACCCCAAACTGACTTACTGCTTTCCATTTCGTCTGCTCATGTTGATTGCGGACTTAAACTTCACATGGATACTGATATCGCCCTGCCTTGCTAGCCCACCGGAAGGACAAGATTTTACTCGTATCTCTCTCTCGCTAATGTGGACCTTGGGGCTGTGGACCTGGACGCCAATGCAGCCCGGGCCTTGACGGTGGGTTTGTGAGTGGTGAACGTGTCTCCGCCTGACACTTCAATTACTTAAGGAGCTCCTCAAGCGAACCTGTCAAGTGAACACAATTGCGGTTTTGCCTCAAGTACTGCTTCCGTCCCACTAGTTCGAGCCCATTGACGCAGTTGCAAGGAGATGGCGTGCGGACCGCGAGACAAGCATGGGATTTTTTCAGACAATGATCTTCAGGGTCGAGGTGTCAGTGTCTTGTCTAGCTACTCCGTGCTCAGAGACTTACACGGTGGCTCGTGCTCTCCGTTGCAACGGCTCGTGAGCACGGCTGGAACTCGTACGAAGCATGTGCTGACGGGGTAGACTCCGCGCGAACTGCCTCGGCTGTGTACGAGGATTACGAGCGAGGCGTCGCTGTCAAAAAATCACCACTTCTACGGAGAATGATCCATGCTCTGATTGCATATCCGAAGTACACCAATTCTCCTCGGCGCGACGAGCGGCTCGTTCGGAAAGGACAACTTCAACTTCCTGCGTCTGCGTGAAACCTTATCGCGCATTGAATTTTGCCATCGACGAGGGGCATTCACGGCGAGCAATATTTCTTCTTATCGCTTGAGCGGTCAGTCAGCTATCACGAGTGGGAAATCCGAACGTCAACTTTAACTGTTGGACGGACGAGCAAAGAGATCTCATTCCAATGGATAGATTTGATCTCATCGTCGTAGGCACCGGTAAGTCCGGCCCATCCAAGTCTCAATCAGAATAACCTCCGACCGCCAACTGGGACGCCGTACTACAGCTAACATGCTCTATCGCTGGCGTCTTGATAAGGCTGGTACGGCCTCGCAGCCGCAAAAACATACATCGAACTCCATCCGTCCGAGAATGTGGCCGTCCTGGAAGCCAACACGTCAGTCGGCGGCGTCTGGGCCCAAGACCGCCTCTACCCGGGTCTCAAGTCCAACAACATGCTGGGCACGTATGAATATCCTGACTTTCCAATGAACCAGGATACCTATGGAGTCAAGCCCGGGGAGCACATCCCGGGGACGGTCCTTCATCGCTATCTTACAGACTATGCTGAGAAATTTGGCGTTCTCGAGCGGACACGGTTCAACACTAGAGTCGACTCTGTGGAACCAACCAAAGATGGAGGCTGGCTGCTCAAGGCCTCTTCACCATCCTCTGTTTCTGCGACTGCTGCATCTTCCAAGCAGGAGATCTCGACCTTCGAGACCAAGAAATTGATAGTCGCCACGGGATTGACCTCGCAGCCATATATTCCAGATCTACCTGGCATGCAGGATTTCGAGGGCCCTTTGTTCCATGCTCGAGACTTCGCCAAGAAAGCCGACACCATCGCGGCCACCAAAAGTGCTGTCGTCGTCGGCGGCGCCAAGTCAGCATGGGACGTCGCGTACGCATACGCCACCGCTGGCGTACAGGTCGACATGGTGATCCGGGAATCTGGCCGTGGGCCCGTCTGGATGGCGCCTCCCTACGTGACGCCGCTGAAGAAATGGCTCGAAAAGCTCGTCCACACGCGCTTCCTCACTTGGCTTAGCCCTTGCATCTGGGGTGCCGAGGACGGGTACTCTGGAATTCGCAACTTCCTGCACTCGACCTTCCTGGGCCGCGGCATCGTTTCCACCTTCTGGAAGATCCTTGCTAGTGACGTGATAGCGCTGAACAAGTACGACTCGCATCCGGAGCTGAAGAAGTTGAAACCGTGGGATCCTGCATTCTACGTGGGCAGTTCACTGAGCATCCACAATTACCCAACGAGCTTTTTCGACCTCGTCAGAGAAGGCAAGGTTCGCGTGCACATTGATGAGGTCGTTGGGTTTGGTCCACACTCGGTGAGCTTGAAATCCGGGGATACTCTCAAGCCAGACGTCGTGATCCTGGCGACCGGCTGGAAGAAAGAACCTACACTGCAGTTCGTTGCCGGAAGCGAAGCTGACGTGGGACTTCATCACTCGCCCGCTGACCTGGATGACCTGGCCAAGGAGGCGGATCGAGAGATTCTTCGGAAACTCCCAAGCCTCAACGCTCAACCCCAGCGAAGACGCGAGCTCGAAGAAAAGTTGTCCGAAAGAATGCATCAACCACTCCGGATGTACCGATTCACAGTGCCCCCCGCCATGGTCCCAAAGCGGAACATAGCTTTCGCAGGCATGCTCTCCTGCATTACGACGTCAACGGTTGCCACTGTCCAAGCCCTCTGGATCTGCGCCTTCTTTGATGGCAATCTCAGCAGACTGCCTTCTTCACAGGACGATATTCGCTGGCAGACGGTTCTCCACACCCAATTTGGCAAGTGGCGATATCCTACTAGCTATGGTCCCAGCTTTCCAGACTTTGTCTTCGATGCTGTTCCCTATCTCGACATGTTGTTGAGTGACCTGAACCTGAACTCGCACCGCAAGCCAGGGAAAATGGCAGATATTTTTGACCCGTATGGACCTGAGGATTATGTCGGCTTGATAGACGAATGGAAGGCGGGGCGTGAAAAGACCGAAAGAGCTTGAGATTGATCTTTTGATGGTAGCGCCGAGCCCGAACTGTGGATCTCGGCCGAGTCAGCAGGGCCGAGATGCCCACTTGCAGCCACCGATCTCTGCTGCGTGCCGATGAGAAACGAAGTTGAGCTCTCGGCATTGCCATTCGAGCTCTTGAGGTTCAACTTAGTCGGCTTTCCAGGCGGAAAGGGATGGATGTTAGCAGGAAAACTGTGGTCGTCTAGAATGAGAATGTCACTGCGGCTGTATCGAGGTTGAAAGGCCGGGTATAGTTGTCTTAGTGACTTTGTCCGGCTCTGTGCATAGAAAGCCGCAGTTGACGGCGAGGAATTGTGCAACCAGTGGTTTAGCCGACTCCAAATGGGTCTTGATTGATGTATTGAAATTCATCTGGCAAGTCAAAGAGGCTTTCGAGCGTTGCATTTGGCCATGTGAAGCTGTTATACCTCGACCAGTCCCGTGAAAATTGCTCGAATTGACCCGTGAGATTATTGTTCGCACCACCACTGATCTGAGGCTGAGCGGCCGGGATAAAATTAATGTTGTCGGGAATGGTGCTAGCGTATTCCTGTGGAAGGACGTTGTTGTACTTGGAATGAATGTTATTGCTTGTGTTTCCAGGATCAGGGTCCACGGGCCTTGAATGGGGCTGGACACTCTGCTGTAGGGAGGAACTGTCCGGAGAACCAAAGACGAGCACGGGACTCTCTTCGGCGTTATTCCAGACTCGAAGCTGCTGGTCTCTGGCTTCGTACAAGTGGCTGAGAAGGTCGTGCATCTTGCCCGATGCGACAGCCCAAGGCTCCATCTCCTTCATCAAGGACAGAGTAATCTGTACCTGCCTGTGACACTCATCCCTAATCTGCCGGACTGAGTCCCTGCCGTTGCTAGAATTCTTAAAACCTATGTGTTGGACGGCCGCTGTTCGGGAGCCTTGGTCGTTGGTCTCCTCACGGAAGACATACAAGCTCAGCAAGGGCACCATGCAGATTTGCAGCAAGTACCATGTAGTGGGCCAGGCAATGTACTGATTGGGCGTTTCGGACGAACGCTGCTTGGCCGAGTCGACCGTCTCGGCAGAAAGAGTAAGGCATTTTCGTATGCACAGGCGCTGATCCGAGGTGAGGTCGCTGAACCGGATCCGGTGGAGGACGGCTTCCATAAGGCTTGGCCGGTAGAGCAACAATCTCAGATTGAGATACCGCCACTTGATTGTCAACAAAGGCTGCACGAATGGTTTCGAGACGGAGCCTTCCGGCAGCGTGGAGCCTACGTTGCCGACCAGCCTGTGGAAGTAATTCGGAAGAGATTCGTACCAATCAACAAGATGGGCATCGAGGCTAAGCGACTCGGTGAAAGTCAACGCTGGAGCTGTCATCAAACGGCTTTGGATCTCTATCATTATGCGCGAGAAGCCAATCGTAATGGCCAATACTGAAGCCGGAGACGGAGAGTCTAGAGTGGCATCCGACTAAACCCTCAGCGGCAGTCAGCAAGCGGTCACGAAGGATATGAGGTTGGCAGGAAAGAGATAACAAAACGCAATAGAGCCTTACCACATCTCTCGGACATTGGACTTCCGTCTCAAAGACCTTTGTGTCTAAAGCGCGACCCAGGGTCACAGCCTCAGCCGCGTCGAAGACGACAAGATTCCACCAGATCTTCCGCCTCAACTCTAGATGCTCTCCTGGTGCGTTAGTACCGGCCGGTTCTTTGTGAAGGCCGAGGGCATATGCCATGCGAAATGCAGCTCCAAGTAGAGCAGATGCAAGGTTTGGGCGGTTGCGGTAATGGTTGTACCAGCCGGCCATGAGAATTAAGGCTTGAAGATATTCGAGACTTTTGTTCCCAAGGCCCTCGAGATCCAAATGAGATTTCGCGGCTTGATAATAGGTCAGATGTTCTCTCGAATCCGTCCTCGTTGTCCCAATGGAACCTAATGCAAGCACCATGTTGAACAGACAGAGCCATGGAGAGTCATTTCGAGTTCCAGATGAAGCAGTCTTTCGGAACTCAACCTCATCAAGCACTGGCGCTGCAGGATGGACCCAACGAAAGTAAGCATTAATCAGAGTATTTTCTCTCTCTGTCATCTGATGAGACGGTGGTGCACCGTAGGCAGCTTCAGGGGAGCGGATCGAACCACTTTGTTGGCTAGTCGTGGGACTTTGGCAAGACCGTTGTTGCCCCGTGGATTCAGGTGCAATCCGGAGGATAGTGCGAAACAGTTGCATTGTGGAGGACGGGCCAACATATGACGAGGGCTGCGCCGACGTGGCCGAGAGGGCGTTCACATCATCTCCAGCCTCGGAAGAAGCATCTTCGCCCTGGGATACAAGCGCAGCGCCAGTAGCAGCGCTGTCTTTGTCTCCATGGGTGAAGGAGTCATCTTCGATTGCTCCTGCTTCAAGCGAGACAGGAGATGTGACGCTGTCATGGACGGCTGTGCCGAGTTGCAGGCTCACTCGAGATTGCTCCTGTCTCGGTATTGGTGTTCTCAACGAGGAGGGGAGCCTTTCGAACAGTTCCTCGCGAGAAAGGCCACTCAGTGCGTCGATCGGTTGTGAGGGAAACAACTTCGTAAGAACATCGGTTGCCGTTTCGAGACGTTGCCTGACAGACTCGAAGTTCCTTCTTTCGCTTAGCGATTTCCTTGTGCCGGTAATGGCACATTTGCGGGACTTACTTTCGACTCAGGATCAGTGCTGGGCGTGAGATTGTGTAGATGCATCTTTCAGGGTGCTTGTACCAGCGACAAGAATAGCATGGGTGGCTACCTTGTTGTCAGCACTCGAGGTTTGTGTCAAATACCATCGCTGGGAATCTGGCTAGAACGGAGCGGGTGTTTGAGGATTACTCACGCCCCGTCGCACTTTATCTTCCGACGCCTGTAGAGTGTTCTCTGAGCCCATGAACGCCAATGCTCAAATCGGCCACGTTGACAGCTGGAGGAGAAGACTCATCCACCATGACGAGGAGGCTTACTTGCATTCAGCGCATGCCGTTTTTATGCGAGGATCTCGCGACGCATTTTGCACGAGACTCTTTGTGGCCGTACGAGCCTCCACAAGCGCAAAATCATGTAGGGAAAGGCCATGGTTCGCTGACATTCTAGGAGAAGCTGCTCCTGGAGATACGTTCGTTGAGTGTCAGAGGGGATCATGAAGACGGAATGTTATGGGCGCATTGTCGATACTAGTCAATGCACACAACTCCTCCTGATCAGTACTGTGTAACGGCGTCGAGGCCGAGTAAATAGCGGTGCTGGATATAAGTGGCCGGACCTAGTGTGACATGGGCATGAAGGGAAAGTGAGATAGATGTGAAGTTCGGATGATCCAGTGATGAAGGTCATGTGAGTCGGGACGACGTCGGACCTGGAGATTCTCCTTCCTACCTTATCGTCCAGGTGGGTCTTTAACTAGTTAGTTAAGCCAGTGGCCGTTTAGGCGACGCCATTTGGGCCGCGGGGCTTGAAGATAAGGCAGTCGCGCCTTCCCGCCTGCCGTCTGCCGGCTTTCCCACTCAGCTCACTGCTCATCAGAGTTCTCTGTCCATCTTTTTCTGTTTCTTTCAATCTCGCAACGAATCCAACACTGGCTGGCATGCTGTACTAGAGGCTTCTTCCCGCCAACCAGCTAAGCTTTAGTCAATACAGGCCAATATATCACTCCGCATTCGATGTGACTGCGCGGCCTCCACAAAACGCTAGCCGCGAAATCTGGGGAAGCGTGACCACAATGGAGACACGGAGGTCACATTCCGCATCCCGTAGATCTGTTTCCTTATCAATTATCCCGGGTCTATGGCGAGGAGAACCGCCTTCAACAGCCTGAAATGGTAGCATCCTTCAAAAGGCATTCACTATCACTGTCCAGATAAGTGGACTGCTACCGTTACCACGCCGGCAAGCTCTTATCTTCGCGCCTCGAGATATCGAACGGTAGACATGTATATTGCTTCAGAGTCATCGCTCGGGACCGGCTTCAATCCCATGGTCTGATTGACAACTTGATCTTCTCCAAGTACCGAAATACCTCGTCCAATACGGGGACACAAAGGTAACAGTGACCAGCAGGCCCTTGAAGGTATTCATCCGCGATGGCTTCAAGCAGGGGTGACATGAAAGGCGAGGTGCTCAATGTCAAGGAGGAACAGCATGCGGAGATGCTGGAGCAGTCGAAGGTGGCAACTCACATTGAACACTCCCTGGGGGTCATCGAGGCCATCAAGCTATACCCTTATGCGGTATTCTGGGCAGCGCTATTCGCCTGGTCATTGGTATGTACTCGGCAGATTCACCTTGCCCCGCCGGAAGTCGATGAGAGATCGTGCTCTGACTCTTTGTAGGTAATGGTTGGCTACGACTCAGGCTTGATATACAGCTTCTATGCTTTGCCGGCCTTCGTCAAGAAGTATGGTCACAATTACGGCGGGGACATCGGATATGAGGTGTCCGCGAAATGGCAAAACGTGAGTGAACCGAGACTTCAAGCAACTATACAACTCATGCTCTCTCGCCATTGTTTTCTGTCGGTGCTAGTCAAGGCTGATGGGAACTTACAGGTTCTCGGCATGGGTACGCCAGTTGGGCAGTTCCTCGGAGCGTTCACTGCATCCTGGCCCATGGAAAGATGGGGTCGGAAGAAAGTATTCTGGGGCTCTTTGTTCTTCAGCACGGCCTTCATCTTCCTGCAGATGTTTGCGAATAGCATCCACACTTTGGCTGCTGGAGAGTTCCTTGCTGGCATCCTCTATGGCACTTACGTCGTGCTAGCACCTACTTATGCTTCTGAGGTTTGCCCGTTGGCGCTTCGGGGCATCCTGAACGCCGGCATGAATTTAGCCTATGTCATCGGACAATTTGTCGCCTCTGGCGTCGGCAAGGGCTTCTCGGAAAATACAACACAATGGGCATATCGCATCCCTTTCGCCATCCAATGGGTCTGGATCCCGATCCTGGGCCTCGGCCTCTTCTTCGCACCCGAAAGCCCCTGGTGGCTTGTCCGAAAAGGGCGCATCGCCGAAGCTGAACACGCCCTCAGGCGCCTAGCCAAGGATTCGCCCAGGGTCGACATCAAAGCCACTCTTGCCAATATCGAAGCCACTACGCTGCACGAGATTGAAATCGAGAAGGACACGACATTCATCGAGTGCTTTAGGGCGTCGAGCCGGGCGCGCACGGAAGTCGCCATCATGGTGCAGATATTCCAAGTCATCACGGGCATTTCTCTGATTGGATATGCCGTCTACTTCTTCACACTTGCCGGTCTTCCCACGAGTGCTTCCTTCAACATGGGTGTGGGCAACACGGCGATTGGGTTCGTGGCGACTTGCTGCTCTTGGGTCTTCATGTCCTTCTTTGGTCGCCGCACGATCTACATGTACGGCGTGGGCGTGATGGCGATTTCGCTCTTCATCATCGGTATCTTGGACTGTGCGCCAAACTATACCTCACGTCCTGGCATCGCCTGGGCTCAGGCAGGTCTGCTCGACTTCTTGACCTTTGTCTTCCAGAGCACGGTCGGTCCGATCAATTTTGTCATTTTCGCCGAAATCGGGGCCACTCGTCTGCGGTCACAGACGGTTGCTTTAGCTACAAGTAGCGGCTCTATCGCTCAAATCATCATGACCGTCCTAGTGCCATACATGCTGAATGCGTCGTCGTGGAACTGGCGGGGGAAAACCGGTTTCTTCTTTGCGGCATTCAGCACCATTGCCACGGTATGGTGCTATTTCCGCTTACCTGAGACAAAGGGCCGCACGTATCAAGAGCTGGACTACATGTTTGAGAAGGGTGTTCCGGCGCGGAAATTCAAGGACTACCAGATTGCCGAAGTCCACGATGTTGAGGTTTGAGTGTACGAGCAGCGCGTGGGCGAGAGAGGGCCGAATCGAGGACGGAGAGGACATATGTACTGTCTGCGACAGCCATCTGAAATTGAAGTGAGAAGTTGACGTACGTACAATTTGAATGCTTCATAAATCATTGGACCCGTCAGGACACTCCGGCGCGATCGACAACCCTATCCTGACAGCTCTTCATGTCCCTGTCCTTCTCTAGATTCGCTCCGTTGGCACAAAATCAGCTTAGACAAGCCGTGTCTCTTTCAATTTTTTGGCCCAAATTCCTTCATCTGATCTCGATCTGTCTACTAGTCGTCCCCCTCGCTGCCCTTCTTCCATGAGAAAGCCTGATCCCAGTCCTGGGCTTAACAATGCCTCTTTGAGACACCCAGCAGCCAGCAGCCAGCAGCCAGCAGCGCTCAGCGCTCATACCTTGACATGCAAGCCCGAAGCTGAGAGCTCTCACCGTTGTTGCGTCTGTCTGAGAAAATATCAAAACTATCAAAACTCTCAAAACTCGCCCCTCCGAAAATCCACGACCATCACATCCTCCACAACCCCGGTCAAACAATCCACCCCGAACCCCCTGTGCACGGGATCGGAATTGACATACCAATCGCGATCCTCGGGCGATTCAAACTCGAGCACAAATGCGGCGTGAAACCCCTTGTGCAGGTTCTCGATCGAGACGTCTTTCCCGCCGGTGAAACTTTTGATATACGGCTTTCGCGTCACGGGGTGGAGACACCGTGTCTGCAGGGCCACGAATTGGCGAGAGATGCTGGACCGGACGGAGGTGGGGATGTGTTTGTAGAAACGGAAGTGGACGATGTGGATTATCGGGTTTGTGATAGTCTCTGGTTGCGGGTTCGAGGTTGAATTCGAGATCGAGGCGGACGTTGACGTTGACGTTGACGTTAATGTCGTGGGCTCTTGCTCGGGTGTTGACGCTGGTGTTGGGGATGGAGATGGTGGGAGTGAGGCCGGGGCCATTGTGGGAAGCGTATGGATAGGGCCGTATGTACTCGGAGGCACACGCACAAGGACAGGGATAGGGACAAGCACGAAGCACAGACAGCGGGGACGATACTCGTGATACTCTGGGCACTCTGGGTACTCTACATGTACTTCCAAGTGCATTTGGGATGGAGGTGAATTTGGACAGCTTTCAACTTCTGCTTGGAATTTACATACATATACAACATTTGCTTACGTATTTCGTACCTAGCTTACAGTCCGAGATCATAGATGCCGTGTCTGATACGATGGACCCATAGATTGAGTCAGTTGCGTTTTATGAGAGTTGTGCAGCGCGGTTCGCTGAAGTGCTGCAATGCGTGGAGTCCAGACAGCTACTGCAGATGCCACTCCAGCCTCGTTGCATCGGCGGAGACTTCGACTTCGAGTTCCGAATCACAGTGCCCGACTTACCTTGGGAGCGGAGAGCGGGACAGGCAGTCGGGCAAGAATCACAGTCCGCCGTGTGTGTGTGCTGAGGCCCGCGTATCCGGCAAGATAGCAACACGGATGGACTGTAGACTCTGCCGTGCAGAGATATGTACTACAGTACGTAGTATGTATGCAGGTCAGGGAAGGGCATGGCAGGGTAGTATTCGCGAAGGCGAGTGGATACGATAGATCTATGCTTTGTACCGCACCTCGGGCTTGACGCCGCATACGCAGTAATGCAATGTTCCGATCTACGCTGTAGCACATGCTTCGTGCTTATCAATGATCGACTAGACGCAAGTCGGGGCATTATTAACTTTCTGCTTCGGCACTCAATTCGTTCACTTGACTGTGGCTTCGCTCTTCGCAGAGAAGAGCGCTAATTCCAAGACTCTCCCGCGCTGCTTGACTAACACTTCTGCGGCTTCCAGTTCGGAATGGCATACGAGTTGTTCGGCATGACCATGTTAAAAGTTCCTTCCCATTTCCACGCGTGCAAGAACCAACCTACATTGTTCTTCTTGAAGAACTGGCAGTTCGAGTCGTAGTTGTGCCAAAACGTGGTGTACTGCTGCGCGCCGATATCTTTGCTTCCTTGATGAAGAACGTTGAGTTCCCAGGCCCATTGTGTCTGTTTATTACCGGCGTTCAGCTGCGGACGTACGAGAGTTCGGGTATACTCACCTCGGAGATCACAAGTGGAACGGGCGTGTAGTTCTTGTACCACTGTACTTGGTCGGCGATATACTCCCAAGAGTCCGAGATGTTGTAGCCATGGTAGTACGGCATGATGTGACTGTGGACGAAGTCGCTCTGTGGGAGGATTTGCTTTCCGACCGGCCCGAGACCCGGCTTCTCGCCGGCTGTGTAATTGGTACACAGTATACCGGGACGATCCCAGTCTTCACTGATGCCGACGGGTATCCCGTACGGCTTGACAGTTGCTCTGAAGGCTTTGAGTTCGTTGATGAAATTATCACCATCATCCTGGTCGCCTATGGGCTCTGTTCCGAATTCGATGCTGTGAAAGACGTATGGTGCAATGTCGGAGTAGGTGCTGTTGGAGAGGATCTGAATGATGGATGCTGCAATGTCCCGCCAATACTCGAGCTGAAGCCGACGTCAGTAGAAGACTTCCCTAGGATGTCAGGTACGAACGGGATCACCGTTCAAAGGCCATGCCACCTGGGCAACGACGCCCATATCGTTCGCGACCGCTGCTCTGATGAGGTTCTCCCAGATGTAGGTTGTATAACAATATGGAAGGTATACTCTGATCAGGCTGGCGCCGAAGTCTCGCTTCTGGCGTCGAAGGTCGGCGTTGATGCGCTCAAAACTGTCATCGTAGCACTCCCCTTCCATTGGATAGGAGAATCCCAGAAACCCGTAGGTCATAGACTGAGGGCACCACCACTCCTGTCTTGTGACACTGGGAGCCTGAACAGAGCCATTGAAAGTAGCACTGCCAAAGGGAAAGCAGCTGGCGCCTTGGCCGCGGATTCGTGACGTGGTGGGTAAACCCCAGACACTGCTGGTGAGCAAAGCAAAGATTGGAATGGCAGAGGCGTGCATATCGTCGCAGCTCAATGCCTTTCAAACTTACGGTGCGTTGACATGCCGAGGATGGGTGAGACAGACATCTTGTACTGCAACTGTTGCAGCACCTGCGCGAGCGCGAGGTGCCTTGCCCATACGGCATGTTAGCATCGGCTGCACGACCTTCATGATTTCCTGCCATATCCGTCAAATCAGGGAAGTGTTGATCATCAGAAGTTGTGAACAAGTCGGCAAGCTTGTCCGTCAATGCCGGCGCAGCGCTAGGGTGCAGACGAAAGATGCCCCATAAGTGAGAGCACAGGGAGAGTGGAGATGGAACATGAACTGGAAAATCATGGGATTACTCTACGGAAAGATCTTGTAAAGCTTCCGCACACGTGACCAGGAGACATGGGGTGCGGTGATTGGCCATGGATTCGGCACGAGGCTCGCGATAAGCCTCGTGTCGAGCGGCACGTGAAAAGAATCAAAGGTGTATTCTGCTGGGTGGAGAGAACGGTTATCCATAACGACAAGAGGCTCAAATCGCGCAATAGGTATCGACAGAGACCAAAGTACAAGACTACTACGATACTATGGTGCTTGCCGATCAGAATATCTCTCCTTCGTAGGTCATCTTCTCAACGTCGCTGAAGTCATGCGCATCCCTCAGTCTCTCGTACTCTTCTGGGCGCAGCTCGACCATCAAAGGGGTGATTCCTTGACCCTTGGTCCCATGAATGATGCGTTCGAACACGCCTGTACCGGACGGCACCCGGAACTTGGCGGTGCCGTGCCACCAGCTCGCAGAGAAGCCTAGCGCGATCATATATCGCATATTGTCAGACGTGTTGCATACACCAGCGTGCCATAATCTCATGTCTCGGAACAAGATGGAGCCCTTCTTGACCGTGGGATTGATACCGGGGAGAGTCCGCTTCCTCTCTTCCACATATTCATCAGTGATATGTGTCTCGCCTTTTGGACCCGGTGGAGTTTGAGCCTCAGTATTGAAGTGGTGAGTCCCCAGCCAGATTTCTGTCGATCCATTTTCTGCGCTTGCGTCACATGTGTAGACATTTGCAACCACGTAGAAGGGTGCCGGTGGATGGTTGCACATGGCATCAGAATGAACAGGCTGTCTCTTCACACCGTGTGGAAGAGCGTTATTGCCACTGATCATATTCCACGTTGCATTAGGTCCCAGATAGAGGGTGACTGCGTGAAAGAGGAGTTTGTTGAGATAGACATCGTCAAAGAAATATTTCGAGGGGGCCAGCGGAGGGCCTTGCTGGATGTTCTCGGCTCCGAAGTTCTTGTAGAGGTTCTCCTTGCCGAGCTCATTCTTGGTGTCCTCGACCATGAAGTCGTTGATGACATCGAGGTGGTCTGGATCAATCACATCCTTGATTACCACGACGCCGTCTCGATGCATCCCAGAAAGGAATAGTTTGATATTGGCATCGTTGAAGCGCCCGGCAGCCTTCTCCTCGGATGAAGGAGTCACTTCAACTGGGGTGTTCATATGCTTGGCGGGCAGACCGGGCATGTACTCATCAGGAAATGAGAGCTTGCCGTGCTTCGGTTCAGTCTCTCCGTTGGTTCCATTGGGCGACATTCTGATGACTCGATAGCGGGAGTTCTGCAGTATATCTTGATTGCCTCGAGGTTTATGGCCAAGGCAAAAGACACAGACAGTTCAACAAGACTTACACGCTGGTGATATAGACCAGGGCGGCCTCTAGATGTAAACATCATCATTCACAAGTTCTTCATTCTGAGGTACCATGCCACGACCAGAAATGGACGTTCCATTGCCGGACGGTCATGTCCGGGCACCTGACCAGGAGACACTTTTTCGACACGGATCGAATGCGTCAATCTTCCGTGTAACCTGCCATCGCGTCGACTTTGGTGGGGACGATGATGGGATTGGCAATTGGGACATCACTGTCGTCGTCATGCGGAGGAAATCGTTTCACACGATAGCAACGCCTCTGTTTATGGTGGAGCAGACAAATATAGGAAGGGGTGATAGAGGAATGAGAAACCAGGCGTGCCAAGCAAGGAGAAGGGCGCCAAGAGTGCACCAGCCTTGATTCCACTTCCCCGTACTAACCCCGAGAGCTCTGCTACGGAGGAGGACATGTCCAACGTTCGCCGTCCCATCATATCTCAAGTCCCAGCTCATGGTCATGTCTGTCCTAAGGCAGCTTCATCGCCAACAGTCGGAATAATGCTATGACCTACACGCGCGAAGCAGGCAAACATCACGCTCTGACCATGTGACGATGACGCCAGAGTCTGGTGTGCTCTAAGAATGCCGCAGTGGACCGTGCAGGCCGTGCTCGCCCCTTACCGCGTTGACGGCCAGTGCTCGAATGCTCCGGGCCAGGCGAGAGCGTTCTCAGCGCGACGTGACTGCGGTTGAACAATTCCAGTCGTCGAGTCTGAACCATGTCCCCTCCTATCCCTTTCCATCTGTCCGTTCTGCTGCCTGAAATCTGATTCTAGGTGTAGCTTTTTCATTGCATGACCAGCCGGTCGACTCAACGCTACACTAATTAAGTCTTACAGCACACACGCACTTGAGATGGAGCAGGCCGTCCCTCTTTTACACGAAACATACTTGGAGAACGTGGCGGAGACGTATCCTCACCCTTTACCCAACGACCCATCCGTACCAACACGTCGACAATTGAAACCCGAGCAATGGAAATGGACCCAATTCAAGCACATGTTGAAAAGCTGCCTCGGTGGCGTCTTACCGACCTACATGCACCGTAGGGGAACGGCCGGCAGAAAGGAACCCCATCCGACAGCCTACCTTGACGCCCTGCGCGGCTACGCAGCTCTGATCGTTTTCTTCTACCACTCGTTCCCTCTCCCCAGCATATGGGTGTTCCAGAACTTGTTCTTCCTCCGCGTCCTCTTCCGCGGCGGGCCCGGCATGGTGGCCATTTTCTTCGTCATCTCCGGATACGTGCTGAGCTATCGTATACTCGTCATGACACACAATAGGGATCCCGCCAAGTTGCTGGATTGTCTTGCCTCGTCGACGTTCCGGAGATGGCTCAGATTATACGGCAGTACGGGCGTCGCAACGTTCGTAGCCATGGCATTCACTCAGCTGGGGTGGTTTAGGCCCCACGCCACAGAAAGAAAAGACACACTCCATGATCAGTTGTGGGACTGGTTCAATGACTGGCTATACTCGAGCGACCCGTTTGCGCCTCTCCAAGGGTGGATCGACGGGGGAGCGTTCGGATCCAGGTACCTGTACCAGATGTGGACCATCCCCGTGGAATACCGAGGCAGCATGGTGGTGTTTGTGTTTTGCGCCGCGTCGTGCAAACTGTCGACCCGATCAAGGTGGATCGCTCTCTGGACGGTGGCCCTGCTGGCTTACTACTGGCGGGCCGTGTACGTCGCGGAATTCCTCGCGGGCACATTCATCGCAGACCTAGCGCTGCTTCGACACCCCGAGCGCGTCATCGGTAAACTCTTGCCCCAAGCGGAAACAAGCGAGAAGCAGCCAACAGCACCACCGGGTTGGTGGCAAGCCCACGCTGTAGCAAGCAAACTCGGCTGCATCGTCATGTGTACGGCCGGGCTCTTCCTGCTCAATCAGCCCGACGATCCCGACACCAACCCTGAGATTCCCTACCCGTGGCCCTATCTGCTCCGACTCGTGCCTTCGTGGTACGGCGAAGCGATGTACACTTTTTGGGTCAGCATCGGAGCCATCCTCCTCGTCTTCGCGCTGGATAATTACCCAGCGTTGCAAATTCCCTTCAATTGGAGTTTCTCTCAATACTTGGGTGACCTCTCCTTTGGAATCTACTGCATGCACATCATTGTGGTGGAGAGTCTCTTCAAGCCGATCCTCAACCCTTGGCGCGAGAAGACCCTGGGGGAGGGATATCTTGCCTGTTTTGCGATCGAGGCGGTCGCCACGATATGTGTGCTTTGGATGGCCGACCAGTTCACGCGGGCGGACAAGATGGTCGTCCGGTTAGGGAGGTGGCTGCAACGGAGGACATTCCAGAAGTGGTGACGATGACGCATGCCAGGCTCGGAGTGGTGGAGGTGAAGATTGAAGATTGAAGATGCATCCGCCGAACCGGGTATCATATATGTTGAAGACTACTCAGTATGTACTCGTGCGTACTTTTTGACCCACGTGCCGTCCGACGACAGGAGCGAAGAAATGTACAAACCCAGTCTATGCCTCGTCTGGCCTCACTGTTGAAGTGGACTTGTTAGACGAAAGCGAAGCCATGCCATGATAAGACAACCATAAGATCTTGGGACGACCCTCCCATCCTTCCAACTTACCGAACCCTCCCTATTTCGACAAATCATCACCCCAGACCTTCTTCGCAATCTCCACCTCCAGCCGCAGCTTCGCCCACTGCTGCTCCTCACTCAACTCGTTGCCCTCCATCGTACTACTAAACCCACACTGATGACTTACACACAGCTGGTCCAACCCCTTCTTGCAGTACTTTGCGGCCTCGTTCAGCCGCTGGATAATCGCGTCTTTGTCGTCCAACTCGCCCTTTTTGCTCGTCATGACGCCCAGCACCACGACTTTGTTCTCGGGCAAGTGCCGGAGGGGGCTAAAGTCGCCGGACCGCGCGTCGTCGTACTCGAGGAAGTAGACGTCGACATTGAGGTCGCGGAAGAGCACCTCGGCGACCGGTTCGTAGCTGGACACAGTAGTCAGTGACTGTAGTGACGGAGACGAAGTACGGAAGACGGGGGAAAGAGGTCTGGATGCATGAGATCTTTCCAGGTCCCAACCGGTCCGGAGACTTCGTCGACTCACCCGCCCTGCGCGAACCACTGGCTGCGATGGTTGCCTCTACACAAGTGAATCCCCACCGTCATATCGGCCGGCCTCTTCTCGATGGCCCGATTGATCAAGCTGGCGTACTGCCGCGCGATCTCGCGCGCATCACTCCCATGGCGGGCCTCGGCCTCGGTGCGCATCTTGGGATCGCACAGGTACGCGAGATTGGTGTCGTCGAGCTGCAGGAACCGACACCCCGCGGCGTACAGGTCGCGCACCTCCTCCTGGTACACGCGGGCCAGGTCGTCAAAGAAGTCGTCCATGGAAGGGTAGGCGTCGAGGTCGATCGTCTGGCGGCCGCCGCGGAAGTGCACCATGGTGGGACTGGGGATGGCGACCTTGGTGGTGGCCTGCTCCGCGCCGCCGGCCTCGCGGATCTGCCGCTCCAGGAATTTAAAGTCGTCGACCTGGATGGCCTTGGTGTGGGCCAGTTTGCCCGTGACGACGAGCGTCGGCGGTTGGAACCCGCCCTTGGACGTGTTGGTGCTCATCAGCTGGCCGCGCACCTCGATCCCGTCGAGGTGCTGCAGGAAGTCGAGGTGGAAAAACGCCCGGCGGAACTCGCCGTCCGTGATGGCCCGGAGGCCCGCGTCCAGCTGCTTGCGCACCACGTCGGCGATGTACTTGTCCTCGAGCGGGCGGAGGTCCTCGATCGAGGCCTCGCCATGGGCGATCTTTTCGCGGAGCGCCAGGACTTCTTTGGGCCGGAGGAGCGACCCGACTTGGTCGGCGCGGTACACACCTGTAGGGAGGGGCATCTTGAATCTGCGGAGCGTAGCGTAACAGTTATAGTGACTATGAGACGAGACGAGACGAGACGAGGCAAGTCCAGTAGAGTGGAGTTGAGTCGATTTCCTCAGACACGCTGAAGCACCTTGTTCTCAGCTACAATGGTTCTTCAAAGTTATCAAAGTGATATGCACCGTGTCCTGCTACTATGTACTGTGGTCGTTCTGTAAGCTAAGCTTTTGTCGTTCTTGAAAATTCATTCACCTTGCTCTTGCTTCTGCCAGCCAGATTGCAAGTCTGCAACTGCCGGGGGTCCACACTTTACACTTGTCATCCTTTGGTGACCTTGGTCCATCGATGCGCAGTCATTCGAGTCTCCGAACCGGACTGACCCTAATTACGTCATGCAGCGACCTCGGGAGAGATTGCGGCACCGTAGGGCCGGCTCTGGCTTAACTGGTAAGAACATAATTATCAACCCGCAGCCTGACCGGTGTCGAAGTGCTTAAACTTGAAGGCCACGGCGGTCATAGCCATGCACATCGTCCTCCGCAACCGTGCCCGCTGGATGCCCCGATGCTGACGGTGGCCGATATGTCGTCTCAACTTTCAGGTGTTCGGGTACTCTGTACTCTGTTCTTACTCCCCAGTGTCTTACACCGTATGCGTAGTCGTGCTGACTCCAGACTGTGCAAGCATACGTGGGTTGTGGCTTTAGGGTATTTCGATTTCCACAATGTTGGGGAAATGCAAACACAGTATAATCTTGATTCTTGAATCGAAAGACGAATGGTAATGTGACCAGAGCATGAGTGATAAATTCCTGAGACGAATCCGATCTCACTCACGCTCGGTTTCACTAACTACACTATCTTGCAGCCCGGGGGGCATTGCGCCCGAATCTTCAAACGGAAGCTGCTCAATGACTCAACCCCAGCTCCCTCTCTCCGTCAAAGTAAAGCAAGGCGAAAGTGAGGTGATGATTATTGGCCGTGGTCAAAGAATTCAGGACATCCTTTCGAAAGTAGTTTTCTCTCCTCACCCTCATCCTCATCCTCCTCTCTTACTCACGCACACCGACCTCCCAACCCGCACGCATACCCCAGCGAAACAAACCTCGCCGGATGCACGACATGGAACAACCCCGTAAAGCACATCATGACGGACGCGTCAAACACCCAAAAATACGCCTCTTCCACCCAAATGCCAGACAGAGGCGCCATAAAGACCTGAACCGTACGAAAGACATTCCGCACGACAAGCAATGCCGTCAACCCCAATAGGGACACCACAAATATATGTGATGACCGAGGCCCGCGTTGTCCGACTGCATCTTGCGTGAGTAGCCCACCGCTGTTGCTTCGATCGGTCCGCCGACTCAGGAACACGACGACAAGGATACACAAGACGGCGGCATTGATGGAAAGCTGCAGGAACAGGCTTGCTTTCAACAGAGCGAGAGCCGAGCTGAGTGATGATCTTTTCGCGTCCGGGTCGAAATACGTCGCGCACCCTTGGGCAGTGCAGGAGATGATGGCGCAGGTGAACGCCCAGATGACGATATATGATATTGTTTGGTTCAACCAGGGCAGTAATTCACTGCTGACCGGAGAGCAAAGCAGGAAGGTGTATAGAGGGAGCGCAAATACCGGACTTGTGGGATCGGGGATCGTGTAAGCTTCGTTCTCGAAACATGTGGATCAAGTGCACAATGCACACACACTGCACACTGCAAGGGGGAACTTACGTTGCGATGTAAAACAGCCCTTGGACGACGCTGGCGAGGTCATCTGCTTTATGCTTGTCCGCGGTGATCTCGCGACAGATGAAGCCAGCCATCATGAGAATGCAAGCGCATGGAAGCGGCCAGGTGTACGCCCAGGAACGATACTTCCTAGTCATGGGCATTTGGTATCAGAGACATGTCGTATCTGCAACAACACTGCTTGGCCAACTTTACCTGCTTTGCCAGAGGTGCAAGCCACATGAGATTGCAAACAAGACCGCGAATACGGCAGACGGTCCCTGGGCGACGTCGGCGAGGAATTGGTTGATGTCGGCTGTCGCAAGTTTGGCTCAGTAAGCCGTCGTCCCTGGCATTGTACGCACTTACAGGTTTGATGCATCGTTCGGAATTCGAATCGTGAACGGGTAACCGAGTTGGACAGAGATGTTTCTTCAGTCGACTCGAGTATCAAAATGTCTTCAGGGCGGCAACCGAATTGGACAGAGATGTTTCTTCAGTCGAGTCCAGTATCAAATTGTGTTCGGGGCGGCAAGAACAAGAAAAGTGGCAGGGTAAAGGCCGAGTTTTTCGACAAAACAAACTCAACACTGACGGATCTCGAGGACTTGTGTATGGAGTATCAAATGATGAAATGCCCGAGCAACACATGGGTGGTGTGCTTCGTTCTCAGAAAGGAATCAGCCTTGCGGTCGCCAAGCGACAAGGTTGACTATTAATTCGTCGACATTGATGCCACGAGGAAAGGCTCCATCGCCGTTGCAGCCAAGCACATTCAGGGCCAAGTAGCATTCGCCCAACAGCGCCGCCGAGTCAGCCTTGCCATGGAGCCTGGAACACATCTTCCGCAGTAGCCACAAAAGCCAAGCAACTGGCTGGGTACTGCTGAATACGAATACGCCAGCATCGTAGCATGGCACCAAAAGTAGCATAACCAGAGGAACTATTCCTCCGTTTAAGACACCACGAGGCTGAATTGCCAGAAGAGTTGCAAGCGAGAAGTCCATAACGGTGCGGAAGAGGATCGGTCCGCGTCCATCCGATTGATGCCATCATCAACGCAATGGGCTCATGCATGCTATCAGAGGGCCGTCATCAGGTTGGTGGAGGGAGGGAGACCTGCGCTTTGTTGAGACATATATGCAGTAGTCTCTTCTCATCTCGCGACACGACGGAGAGAGAAGTGAGCACCATCTCGACGTGCAGTGGAGGGACGGTGGAGGAGATTGAAGAGCCCGTCGTCCTATCGTACCTTACTGGGACAAATAATTCCTGAGTGCCGACTCTGGTCAATCCGGTTGAGCGCCATGACCGGGCAGTACGGCATCTTGTACTAGGCCTTTGGGTTGTCCGATTATCTCGACCCTCATAGTCATCCATGGGTCTCGATGTCTTGCAGCGGTAATGGAAAACTGGATCCTACCGGTGTCTGCATGTCAGATAGAATAGTGCTGTACCCTGCCGTCAGTTCAAGTGCCTCAGGCCCTTCCGACGGCGATGGCTTCGTGTCCAGTGCTAGGTTGTTGAGCACCGCCATCGGGAGCAAAGCGCCATGCCAATCGTTGTACGAATACGTCAACTCAAAGTGGATTCTTCCTTGGAGAGCGTGTCCAAAGAGGTAGTCGGGTGTGCCAAAAGCTGCGCTGTGGAACACCAGTACAACAAAGTAGAGCAGCCCGATATTCTTTCCCCAGAACCCATCTAGATCTGTTTTGTGGAGAGCGGCTCGGATCTCCCGCAGGATTGATGTGCCGACGGCTTCGGAGCGCCAGTGTCGATGGTTTTCCACCGCTCGAATGAGGAGCAGTGAGGTCAGTCTGCATGCTTCGTAGACATGGTCATTTGAGGATGGCAGGTCGGGCACCACCGAGGATGGCATATTGAATATGCGCTGGTGCAGCGAGTTCAATAGGAGGCTGTTTGGCGGCGCTTGTTGGGCTGCAGGCGATGCATTGAGCCGCATCCATGTTTTGATCATCGACTGAGTCATCTGCAGGAGAAGCCGAAGATGTTCTCCATCCACGAATGGGAACGGGTCTTCACTGAGGTCTTGCCTTCCGTCGTAAAGAGGCGAGTAGAGCTCCGGTTCGGGATGGGTACGTGAGCGCCATCGGTCTTCGAAGACACGCTCGTATTCGCCGAGCAGCGTACGTGAATCCGCCGGCGGTGCCAGCCCAGACGTCGGTATGCCGCATCGTCTGGCAATCCTGTTAACGAAGTAAGCTTAGGACGATGACCAGAGCGATATTCCCGCCTACGCAATGACAGTGATGACCCTGAGGATATCCTTGCAAAACCTGGAATCTTCAAACATCTTCATTTTGACGGCTTCTCTGATGAGGACGGCGTATGCATTGCGATGCATCAGATCTTTGGGTAGAGTCGCGTCAGCCACGGTTGAAGAGATTCTGCGGGAGATATTGAGGCTACGACTTCCACGGACGCAAAAGCTGCTGGCAATGGCGAAACGTGTTCCCGGGGGAGAACAACTTACATTCCTCTGCTCCTGCCAGCTCTCCTCGAACCTAACATAGTCAGCATACACACACACTCGCAAGTTGCGTTGCCCTTGCCTAGCACCTCGACCTGGCGTGCAGAAGGCCCAGGGGATCCACATACCAGAGCGCATGTAGCCAGGCACGCGATAGCAGAAATGGAGGTGATTATCGCGGCTCGAGATGCATCCTGGACGCTCTCACGTACGAGACGCATAGCTTCCACTTTCAACGCCGTTGTCGTGGCGGAACTTGATCCGGTCGTCAAACCATCCAGATGGACAGAACACATCAGTAACATTGCTGTAAAGAATGTACCGTTCTTGGTCCCCTGCGGCCAGATGGTCTGTTGCATTGTTTTCTGGTTGTAGACGATGAATACTTTCGAGGTAGCGGGCGATGTTAGCTGGTGTTGCCCTCCATGCAATGGGGATCGGAACAGGCAACGGCGTGAGAAGCAGGGGCCTACCATTGTGTTTGACTGCATCTAGGATGCCGGGGTGCTGATCTTCGATGGGGAGCTGTGGAAGGGTATGGAATGGATCCATCTGGGAACCATAGAAGATGTTCCCAGGACGATTTCGCCGGCGACGTGCATGAGTCTTGGGACAGGAACATTAGGTAAGCATTGTTGGCTGTGATAACAGGACGTACCTGGCCGGTTTCGCGCCTGGTCTTATGCAGTTCGCGGGTAGTATGGGCGCGGATCTGGCTGATACCTTTCTTGTTAAGAGCGCCGTCCGAGCCCATCAGCACAAACTCGAATTCGGGGACGCCTAGTGGCCCCTTCTTCTTCGCAGCGTTTTCATTGACGGATCCTCCGACGTCGTCGGCAGCCATGCTTTTGCAAACTCCCTATGGAGACAAGCGCGGCGATCGGAGGCGATTGGGTGGTCGAACTCTGAAGAGATGCTGGCCCTCCCTGATGTTGTCCTGGTGCCCTTTAAGATGTTTGTTGACGAGATAGCTTTTTCAGATGAGCGCGCGGTACATTGTAGGCCTCTACAGATTCAAATGTGTCGCTCAGTCAGTCGTAGAATCGTGACTTGTCGCGAAATCACCTTTTTCATGCCCAGAAAGCTGAGGCAGCTTCGTACAGGAGGCGGCCAGACATGCGGGGGTGGTTCACAGACACCATGAAGACGAGACGATGCTGAAGCCAATCAATGCCGGCTACATGCTCCCAGCCTGATGTCGGTGGCTTATCTCCACCTCATGTAAGCACTGTGCTGTGTACGACCTTTTACCCTTTTCAGCCGCCTCGGCCAAAGGATGGTGCCCTTTTCGTGGTCCCTGTGCTGCTGAGGAAAGCGGCCCACCAAACACCGCTGCTATCTGCGACCAGGCAGCCCAAGGCAAACACCTCAGCGACATTGCCCCTGGTTTCGTCATTATAACATCTCCGGGATCGATAATGTACCAGAACCGTGCAACTTGAGAGGGTTCATGTCCTCGAAGACCTCGACTCCACCATCTTTAGTAGCTCGTCGAACTTCTCCAGCAGCCTTTCATGCTCCTGGCTAAGACTCCTGAAAAGCCGTTCGAAATGATTCCTGCTGCTGATCGCCTCGTCTAGTTCCTCCTGCAACGACCGCATTCTGAGATTTGCTTGCGCAAGAGCCTGCTGCTGGCGGACTCGAAATGCTCTCTGCGCCGCGCGATTTTGAGCCTTCCGCCTCTAGATAACATGGCATTAGCCTGCGACTCGGACTCGGTTGCTCAGGAAGAGAACCGGAACTCACTTCGTTCCTGCTGGCGATGGTGCTGACAGGATCAAACGTGGCGAATGGATCGTCTGAATGACTTGATGAACACGGTGTTGGATCCGTGCTTTCGTCGACGAAAGATATTGCAGGACTGTAAAAGGCAGGCCCAGCCTGACCTAGGCTAGGTTGGCCATTTGATAACGAAGCCATGCCTAGCAGGGTCTGCGGCAACTCGAAATAGGTGGCGTCCAAGGCTGGTTGAAAAGGTTCAGACGTCTGTGTGTGCATCTTCGTGCTCCAAATCGTGCCTGGTGACATGTCACCCTGCATTGAAGAGCACGCTGACGTCGCGGGGCTCAGATCAACAAGGTTATAGAAGGTCGGACATCTTCCACAAAGACAAACACCCAGGCAATTGTCAGGCAAGGACATATGCAAAGCTCCGCACTGGCTCTGCTGGTCAGGGTCATACCCGCTGTTGCCGGCTGGTGTTGCCATGTAAAAGAAGTGGCCGACTTGATCGAGCAAACTCGTGATTATCGACGTGATGGTCCTACAGGCTGGCTTCGATGTGACTTTTGAATGAAACTGGGATTGTGAGAGAGAAGTCCGCCTTCGAGAGTACTACTCAAGCTCACTCTGTTTCCGTGCAGAGATCAGACATGCCGGCCACCGTGGCGCAGGATGTCGTGAAAGGTTTAGATAGCACCAACGACACCGAGAGGCATGCTTCCCTTTTGAGACCGTGGCAACAAGGACGGCATTATGGTGTGCGTTAGAGATAGAGACAGGGGATCAGTGTGCTATTTCCCGCGCTTGCAGGGCATGTGCTCCAAGTCGTACTCGCTGAAGCGAAGGGAAGTGATGCGGACGTTTTGATTTCCAGCATTGGGTTTGCTCCAATGGGTTTAACAGATGATGAGTAGCCGCCATGCAGTGGAAAGACCGAAATTGGAGGATAACGGAGCCGGGCAGGTCAGGCCACGGTGTCGCCGGACCCAGGCACCTTGCAGAGCTCGTGGAGGCTGGAACGCAGGAGATATCCTATCTAGATATGCGTTGGTCATTTCCGAACATTACCATACCATGAATATACACTTCATCTGCGCGAGAGTGCATAGTATGACCACGAACAAGCGTCAAGCCATCAACAGCCTTGACTCGTCTTCGGTTACTAGCTGTCAACTGATCCGGCCAGTCGAGAACAGTCGATCGTCGCGAGACACGAGCATACAGCTGGAACCCCAGAGTTGACTCGGGGCGGATAAACCTCAAGTCGGAGAAGTGAGCATGCTGTACTGTACGTCCAGCAGCCTTTTCGATCCACTTACGATGCTCGAAATGCATCTTTCCTCGGGCGAACCCCGCCCAAGGCAAGCGAAATGTTGACCGGTGAAAGGGACCAACAACACCGTCAGACTCCGTTGGCTTTCGGCCTCAACAGAAAGGGGGCCAGAAAGACGAGCTCCGTCTCCACGGGCGACCCGTCATTTCATCGTGTACTAATCCATAATTGGAGTTTGTGATACAATCAATGCGATTGGAGGAGCGGTAGCCGAGAGCCCGTGATGTACTGACTACACGGCCTTTTATGGCTTGAGAAGCGACACGGGACACGGCACAGCCCACTCGAGGGACACCGTACTGCTTGAGGGGACAAAAAGGTGTATACTGGAGAGATTGATTCGATCCTTCTGCACTTGTCGACCCCCCAAACCGCTCATACCCCTAAGGCGCAAAGCTGAGAGCTTTTGGGTCTGCTGAGATATATCCGAAGGCAGCCGGTAGCAGTGTCGACCAATCACTTGGACATCATCCAGAGTCCGTGGGTTAGCTGCCTAAAACCGGGCGGCGATCAACGGGCTCGGTTTCGAATAGCTTGTGGCTGAGTTCAAACTTCCAAGATGTCTTGTCATCAACAAGGAATATACATTCCAGGCGTTGTCCAAAGCTTGGTAATAAGCATGGCTGTTTTGATGTAAGCGAATCTGCAAGGCTCGGAACCTGGAGACGCTCACACACGGCGCCTGGCAAGCATTGCTGGATCCTCCCAAATAGAACCGCTCTGAAACGACCACAACTCATTGCTGTTATGCTGGTCGCAAAGATACTGGCAACATCTCGTTCCAGTGCCCGTCGAGTTAGTCACCGCTTCATGCGAGTAGCACATTCAGTTCCGTGAAGGAACAATGGTACAGGACGCGGCTTCTCGGAGACAGTCCAGACGAGTGCATGACTCAATGACGACTAACTTCTTTGGCGAGGCACTTGGCAATTTACTTGCTGGGTCCCGGCGTCTTGTTATGCCCGTGATATTCTAAGCATCGCCACTGGATGGCCTGTCTTGATGTACGAAGCCGGGTCAGCCATACAATACTTCGCACACCCCACCGATAGGCACATCCATGACGGCATCGGTACCCTCGTTCCAAACAAGCTTCCAGTTTGGGTATGAGGGGGAAAGCCCTTGCCTCTGGTACTCATGTTGGGTCTGAGTCGGATGGACATGCGTAGAAATAAAGGGGTACGTTGCTGGAGGTTGATAGGGATTAGGGGCTGTTGCTGAGAAGGACGGCGGCGAATCTCGATAACCTCGTGCCGGCACTTCAGGCGGCTCAGGATGACGACCACCGCTTGCTCGGGAAGACTTTCGCTTTGCTTTGTCTTGTGACCGATGGGCCCCTTTCTTGCCCTTTCCAGTTTTAGCTCGTGAGGACTCCATTTCCCGTTCAAGCTTCGCGCGCTCTTCCAGTTCCCTGACGAAACGTTTGCTCCCGCCTTTTCTCAAGCGCCCAGATTGGTCGAGGATGGCCACATTCGCAGCTTCATCGACCATGCACTCCAAGCTCCCTAACGGAAGAGTGAGATACTCGATGTTGTAACTCAGTAGTGCAACATAGATGAAAATCAAGAGCATGACGATCCATGCTGGAATGGCCAACGACCACCAACGGTTGGGGTAATATGTGATTCCCAAGGCATGGAGGAATGGAGACGGTAGGTAAGACCAGAGAATATAAATCAGGAAGGCCAGCGTGGAGGCCAAGTACAAGACAAAGCCATAGTACTCGTAGGTCGGGACTTTGGGAGAGGTAGGTGGTGGTGGGTTTGCACGCCGAGCCGAGTGAGCCACAGCAGCTTCAGTGTCGTTGGGGGTCTCCACGTCGGAGCTGTCAGGTGTGGTAGGACGTGTCGACGCTGTGGAGCGATTGAGCAGAGATGGGGGTCGAAGAAGGGACGTTAGACTTGGAGACGGTGGCAGAGGAGTGGGCGGGCGATTGTAGAACGGCGGATAGAGTGGTGGAGGTGGTGGGGGAGGAAGAGATGTGGTCGACTGAGAGGTATGAAGTCCACCAGATTGCTCTTGGGGTGGAGAATGCATTTCTGTCGTCTGTGAAATCGGAGGCCGAGCAGGCAATGAGCGAACCCTGGACAGCAAATCTGGTCTTTCCGGCGCAACTGGTGCCTCTCCACCTGGGTCCTCTGTGCCATTCTCACGCCGTTCCTGCCGCCCTTGGTCTTCATTGTCCTGGAAGATCGCCTGTTCTCTGTCTTCCTCCTCAGAGTCCTCGGACTCCTGGCGGGAGTAGTGTGACTCAAAATCATCGTCGTCCAAAGTCACGCCTGCCACATCCGCCGCGTTACCCTCCTGTTCCGCCGCTTCGCCCAGTGTGTATTCGCCTCCGCGAGAAGTAAATACATCCACCTCTTCATCTTTGCTCGTGTCTCTGTCATCCGGGCCCAGCTCAAACGATGTGACAGCTCGGCTCCTCCGAGGAGTGGGTTTGGGCGTGACAACGTCTCGGTCTGGTATGACGATGCGTGGACCTGTCGGAGTTCTTTGGTCACTGGGAACCAACACGGTGGGTGAAGGTAAATTCTCAAGATACGGCCTCAGTGTCGGTGGAATGGAATCCGACTTCGAGTACGGGCGCTGGCCCGCAGTCGGCGACGTTCCTCTACTTTGTGGAGGCATGTGTAACCACTGTGCAAACAGGACTCACGAACGCGTTAACAACGGAAGACAAGACGCGGAGAACCAGGCGGGACAGCCAAGCATGCGGATCACGTGGAATACGGCGGCTCGTATCCCGGTGGCTGCCCTGTGGCCCCTCAGGCGATATACAGTATGTCCTATGTAAAGCACTCGGCAAACAATCAGAAAATTCATGATATGGCATCACACAAAGTATGGTATTACTATGTCATAATCGGTCCACCATACTGATGGACAGACTGGCGCCCTCAGCCTCGCTCGAATTCAATAACACTATTTGTTCAATGTATTAACGCTCAGAAAGCCCAGGTCGTAACTTCGTCAACGAGCCAAAGGCTCCTGTTGTTGGATATTCTAGTCCCGTTTCCCTTCTTCACGCTGCGCACCGTTACCCTATCTTTGTGACAGACCTTCAACACTCCGGAGCCCTAGCCCAACAAACCCTCCGCTACTCCGCGCTCGAGAAGATGTGAAAGAGCTTGCGCTACTCTGGCCAGTTCGCGGGGAAGGCAGAGGCGGAGTAGGAAACTTGGAAAGATCGAATTCTTGCAACCGCTTCGGCGTCATTATGCTAGGCGTTGTTGGTAAGGGAACATCATGCTTGGGTGTGAGTTTGCTAAGGCCTTTAATCGCTTGTCCAATGCTCTCACTTCTTCTTCGTAGGGCGGAGAAGGACTTCTTTCTTTGCATAGCGGGTTTAGCCGCAAGGGGATCCGAGACACCGTCATCAGCTGGGGGTGTGGGCAGCGATGGCAAGGCTGTCATGGTGTTGCCCGCTCCTGCCATCGAAATCGAAGAGCTGTGAGATGTTGGTGGACGAGTCATCGAATTGAGGTCGCTCGAGCTGCTCAACGCGGCTGGGTTCCTCATTATTGACGCAACTTCCGACGCAGGCACGCTTGCGGTGGAAGGTCTGCTGATGTGACTTGAGGGGCGAGAGATCGACGTCCGGCGCGTCGCAGAGGGAGTGGCAGTTGTGGGGGTCTTGATAAGGCTCTTGATGCTGCTCATGCGTGCATGGCTCAGCGCTGTCGAAAGACGAGGCATGCTTGGTTTTCGTTCAGCTTTTGACCTTGGTACTTCCTTGCCTGATAACGGCAGGGACTCTTGGCTAGCACTGGCAATGAGCTCGAAAGCGTTATCGGGCAGATTAGGCACTTCGAAGAGAGTTGCTTCAGCCGCGGGAAAGGCGGCGCGGATACTGCTTGTTGACTGACGCTTCGTGGGTCTTTCTACCGTCTGCTGCACCATCTGCGACAGTGGGCTTTGCAGAGAAGCCGTCCGCCGTTTGCTTCGATCAGATACGCTGACTATGGAAATCAGCGACGGCCGCGACTTCGGCTGTTGATAGGAGATAGGCGTAGCTGTTTCGATTGGGGAAAACGTCTCGTCCGTGTCGAGGTCAGGACTGAGTGTCTCCGACAGTGGAGAGTCTAGGATCGTTGAGTATCGGTCGTATCGGAAGTCAGACAGGGTAGCGAGCGACGCCTGGAGGAGTGGTTTTGGAGAGGGAGGGATGATGATTCGGTTCTCGTCCAGCTCCATTCGGTGGAGGACCTCATCTTCGTCGGGTATCTGGATTTTGAGCGCCGTGAGAGTGTGCGAGGTGGTCGAGGGTTGTCCGCCAAATGTAGTTTTATTCTGCAGCATGTCGTCCGGCGTGGATGCACTTCTCTCCGACTGCGTTTCGACAGACGACTCTCGGTCAGAACGTCCAGCGCTGCCGTCGCACTCGTCTGCTACATCGTATTCCAGGTCATCCATATACGCAGACTGACGATCCGCCCTGTGATCGTACATCAAAATCCTCCTCTTGTGCTCCACGTGTCTCTCTCGGTCCAGCGCCTGCTGCTGCTGTCGTTCCTGCATCTTTCTCCGCCTAGCGGAAGCGGATCCCATCTTCCGGGCCTTCAAGGCTTGATCCATTGTTTGGGAGGCGGGTTCGTCTGAAGTTGCGGCAAGGTCGGAGGTCGTCAACGGTGAGCCGTTACAGGAAGACATTCTCGGATCCATGACAGGAAGTCTGCAGAAGCCTCAAGAGATTCGGTGCGGGAGGCTGGCCGCTGAGATGCACCTGTCACTTGGAACTCTAATGGTAGCAGGACCCGTTTGATGGCAGTGAGGCTGCTACAGGGTCGAAATGTGCCTGGGATAACCTGGACACAGAGATCGGGCCATGACAGAACGCACTGTCAGACTTTTCCAGCTGCGTCGTCTCTCCGAAGAAACCGGCCAAGCGTCAACCACTAGCAGCCACTTCTTCTAAAATGAGAGTCGGCGACCAGGATTTTGACGAGAAAACAAAATGCCCGGCCCAATGGTGGTAGGAGAGTCGATACCGGATTGAGACTTAGGGCAACTCTATCTGGCAGCCGAGGAAGGCGGAGAGACGCAGACGGACGATCAGGTCATCGAGACTGAAAATGAGATTGCAGGAAGCCGCAGCCTGAGCCCGCAGACCGGCACGAGTCAGCAAAGAAGCTCTTCCTTTCGGCGTTTGATGAAAAGTGTTAGAGGCTGCTGCAAGTTCGAGGGGAAGTGGAGTAAGCGGGAAGTCTGGTGGATGGCCAACGTTTCATCGAATGCACGAGGTGAGAAGCGGGTTGAGCAGCGTGGAGCTTTGACACATTTTGTGAAGCTCAACGACATATTATTACTCCTGTCTCTTGACCGCTTCAGTCCCTCTGAGCAGAAATCGCGCCCGCTATCCAGACGTACGAGGATGAGCACAGAGTATATTTGACTGATATGTTGATACTGACCGCCGGGTTGAGAATGTGGAGAGTGGATGGCGGCATCGTCACGATCGGCCCCTCTGGCCAGGAGGAGAAATGAAACGAATCGAGATCAGACAAGCGTCAGGTACGCGAGGGACCACACGCCTGCACCAAGACCTTTCTGGGGAAGATCCAGGTACCGGCCAGGACAAACCCCGGCCGGTGAAGACACTGAACGAGTCGGATGTCGCAGGCTGAGATGGGGCGTGAAAATAAAGGTGATGGCGAATGTGACGGGCTTTAGATTGGACCGACCGATGCAGCCAATTGAATGGCTGGAGCCCGCTCCATCACAAGCGAGCTTGATGTCAAACAGAAGAGAGGCAGCCATCGGCCTCATAGCATCCTCCGCTTGAGCATCAACTGGTCACCGCCGCGGCTGCTGGTCCACTTGCGGGTTGGCGTCCTTACACCAGCCAGGTTGATGGCGCGGGTTTCGTGCAGAATACGGGCACTGGAACCTGGACCCTGGAAGACTTGAAAGCTTTAGTTTCAGAGGCAGCCAGAAGAGAACACGTGCATGTATCTTGCTATATCACTTGATTCTTTTGGTCACGAGCACCCACTTACCAGGTCTCGCTCGTGCTGGTTGTTCGGTCCCGAACTCCGACGCCATAACCAATTGTCAGTTCAAAGCTCTCAATCATCTGGGCACCAAGGACGCGGTACTGTGCGTCGGAGTGCCTGGCAGGTCGCAGGCGAGCCATGGTTGATTCTCCTGTTTGCATCTCGCCCCTCTCTGCAGGTAGCTAGAGTAGCAAAAGTACATTTCGTCCTCAATATCTTCTATGTGTCCACCTACGCACTCGACTTGCATGCTCGACAATTTTCGAGAGTGACGACGTACAGAGCAGCAGAAACAGAAATTTCCCAGTAGCTTTGGGGTCGTTAGAAACAGCATTGCTACCTTCTTGACTATTTTATCCTTGCACACACCGTGCCTGTCCCTAGCAATGCGGAGTACGTTGCGCAAAACAACACGCTGCCCTTACAAAAGGATTGAGCATGTCCGTGCTAGACAGGACCCAGCTAGGTGCCACACCACGACTCCTGCTCGTCGAAGCCAAGACCGAGGTTCGCCAGGAGTATGGACGAGTGCAGCGATTGAGACGTGAAGCTGCAACTGTGGCCTACCAGCTATCTTTGAATGCATTGCTGAACAGGTTATCGTAGCAGCCGCGCCATCTATCACAACTTGCACAGCCTCTTCGGATTCCGTTTTCGATGCCCTCAAGGACCTTGAGTCTTGTCCTCATCGCAGACAATGCCAGCAACAAAGCGGTTACCGCAGTTCCCTCTTCGAGTCTTATTCTGGCTCAGACGCAACGACCGAAAGTAGGCGTGTCTCGCCCATAATTCTGCCGTTCTCTAGTGCCACCAGATTAGCGTCTCTCAGTGATTCGGTGGTATGGAAAAGCTTACTTGAATTCACAACCGCGAACGGAGACGTCATCGGGGATCAAAACCCGGCCATTGAGATCGTATGCTACAGCATTGGCGACAACGACACTCCTACGCCGTACAGTCCGTCGGCTCAATGCGGCTCACGGCTATGCAAGCTTCCGCGAAGTCGACTACTTCAGATGTCCGGGAACGTTTACCCAGTACACAATACTCCGGCGAAAAGGTAGGAGCAATGTCATTTTATGAACACTGCGGCTATCTCAACCAGAAGGTCTGCAGCAAATCATTCCCAGGGGTGGACCTGCTATTTTGCGACCGCATGCTTGGGGCACAGTATGATAGCCAGGCATCAATACTGTCCCGTTACTGACATGTCTCCCATGTTCACACGCATCTGCCGCCATCAACTTCCAGATTTACACCTGTTATAAACTCTGCCTCGTCACTGGCGAGATAGCAACACGCATTCGCCACATCCTTGGGGGTGCTGCCCCGACCCAAGGGAATCGTCGACACAAATCCCTTTCGGTTCTCCTCGGTATCTGGCTTGCCCAAGAAAAGATGAGTTCTGTTGCACACACATATGACGTTAGCAACCACGCATCTTGGTTGAAGACGCAGAACCAACGGAACGATGCATGGGGTTTGCTGATACTACTCACAATCCAGTGCTCCCCACGACAGGACAGACAGCATTGAACCGAATTTGCTTCGGAGCATATTCCACCGCCATGGTTTTTGATGCATTGCTGACAGCTGCCTTAGAAGCATTGTACCAAGTCAATCCCGGTCGGGGCCTTATTCCCGCAGTCGATGCGATCTGAATAAATGATCCGGGTCGGTTGTTCTCAATGAAATACGGCACCAAAACACTGCTGGACAGGTATATGCTCTTGACATTGACGTTAAAGACCAAATCGAATTCATCGTCGGTGACATCCTCGGTCGGCTTGTTCTTGTAAGTTGTGCCCGCATTGTTGACAATGATATCCAGGCCGCCGAAAGAATCAATAGCCTTCTTCAGCAGGGCTTCCCAGTCCGAACGTTTCGTGACATTGGCGGCGAGATATTCGGCGCCCAGCGACTGTGCCACTTTGGTGCCATTCTCCTCTGACAGGTCGGCGATGAGTACTTTCGCACCTTCCTGGACGAATTTTGTCGCAATCCCGGCCCCGAAGCCGGAGCCTCCTCCAGTCACTATCGCGACTTTGCCCTCAAGACGACCAACCATCTTGAAGAATATAGAGAGAGCGCGACGTGTGCACTGACTCGAAGGAACACTGAGGGCGCGTGAGTCGCGAGAATCAGCTAATGGGAGAAGATACTTGTATGAAACAGAGTCGAGAAGTGAAATTATTGCTCCTACTTGTATGAGACAAAGTCGAGAAGTGAGATTATCGCTCCAACTTCTCTGCGCTGTACTGCGTGAACCGAGGCCACAACGGTCGCTACGGAGCACAGCCTTGTCCCCCTCAGCGGGGAGTGGTGGCACGCTCCGTTAAGAGGAGCGAACAGGCGGGGAATGCATGTGCGGCCAGGCTTTGACATTATTCTCTCGGTAAGCTAGCCGGATGCCCGTGCGGCCCTTCAGAATCGGGATATGCTTCCGCCCAGCAAAACTACACTGTTGGTGAGATTCTGGAGCGAGCGGTCTGGAATCCCCTGTATCGTGTGATGGCAGCCTCGTGGATGACTCTCGGTTGTGGTCAAGATAAGCGTCAGTCTACCTTGCGTATAGACGGTGAGAGAGGAATAATGAAACGAGAGAAAGAGCCGTAGATGTCGGATTGTTTTATCCGGTGATCGGTGACATCAGAGCTCAACCATTAAGAGACATGCGGCGAGACATCACAGTCCTCTCACAAGGCCATTGCTGTTTATCGGACTCCAGTTCACTCTCTATACGAGATACACTCTGTCCACAACCGGTTGATCGAGACTGATTATCAAGATGAGCCAGAATCAGGTTGTCGCCCCGGGATTGTCCGGTCTGGCGGCGTGGGCACTCAAGTTCAGTCCAACCGCCTGGTTTAAGTCGTGGTTGCTGTACCTGGGGATCCAGACGCACGTCGGAAGCACGATGCAGCCTGAAATGAAGCCGCTGCACAATATCTGCGAGTATCTCCACGCGCTCCATATCTACACGGACGAAGCTCGTCGAGGAGAAGTGAGGACGGTAAGACCCCAAAACTCGATTTACCCCGGCATGGTCTATCGTCGCTGATAGTTGTTAGGTCTCAGCGCATCATTTCTGCTCTCACGTTGAGAAAGGTCAGTCGAGCCGGAGCCACGTGTGAGGAACATCACCTTGACCAAGTCTTAGACTTACGTCAGTGCCTTATCTACGACTCATGCAAGCCTGGAGCCAGACTTATCGGCGTGGAATACATGATACCGAAACACCGCTACCTGAAACTCGACCCTGAGGAGCAGAAATTCTGGCATTCGCATGAATTCGAAGTCAAATCTGGAATGCTGGTTCTTCCTTACCCTGCCTCTCACGCGCGGCAGAAGGACAAGTGGGACGAGCTGGAAACGAAGGCAATGGAAGAGGTCGTCACACTGTGAGCCTCCCAAGGAGCTGATAACTCGAAACACATGGCTAATCGCTGTGGCAGCTACGGTAAACTGTACCACTTCTGGCAGGTCGACAGGGGCGACGAGTTGCCCTTGGGCCCTCCAACTCTGATGGGCTCGCTTACAGAATTCCAGCAGCTTGACGTCGACAAAGAGATGGCGGCGAGAAACAACGAACTCGGGATCGACCAGGCGGAGAAACGAAAACTCAGGGAACCCATCAACCTGCCCGGCGTTCCTGAGCACTCGGATAGCTGGTGGAAGGAGGCGAAATCAGCCAAGAGAGGCATCTATTCCGCGGGCTAATTGCACTCTGACGGCAACTCAAAGTACGGAGTACGAGGGGTCCAACACTGGATATGTACGAGGTAGTGGCACAAAGCAAGCATCAGATGAAACGGAACAACCTTCGCAATTCTCGCAATTGGAAAGCGGTCATTTGAAATGACGTATTTCTCGTCTCTCCAACACTTGCCTCCCACTCAGGCTGTCGACAGTCGTAGACCGATTCTCTGCACTGCATACCAGGCGTTACCCTCTGCAAGCTGAGATCAATACACTTAATTTCCGTGCATCTTGTGCCGGCGTACTTGAAGCGTTCCTCTTGGTACTTTCAATTTTGCGTTCCTGCTGGCCTGGCCACGTTCACGTTTCCAATAATTATGTTCAAGAAAAAGCCTCAGATCAAGAACCTTTCCCCGCTACGGTCTTCGGACCGTCGCAAGCTTGCGGACCAGATCATCGCCGAATACAATGTACACGTGCCGACATTGGAGGAGATTGACGGCACCGCGGCAGAGAGCCAGCCTCCTTCAACCCAACCCACACCCGTTCTATCCTCGATTCGCACGAGCCTCGTCCCCGAGACATGCCTGTCGGCCAGATTTACCACCCACGCTGGCGCCAATCTGACATTGGTCTCAGGCACGGTTTATGTCGGTGCACACCCAGGTCAAGAGGAACGGATACTATGGATCCAATATGGGAAAGAGTCGAGGATATACCCGACAGTTTACACACTGTGGCACAATCCGGGACTGACGCCGCTGTTGCACACCCCAGACTTTGTCGTTGAGAAACTGCGTACCGGTGCCGACTTGATGACTCCCGGATTGGTTGGTGGGCCACCATGGCCGGAGGGTGCCAAGGTGGGCTCGGTTGTGGCTGTTGCAGGCTTAGAGAGACCAAGCGTGCCCGTGTGGGTGGGAACTTGTAAGATTGACGTGTCGAGCCTGGGTCGAGTACAGGGAGCGAAAGGTGCAGCGGTGGAAGGAATCCATTGGGAGGGCGATGAGATTTGGGGCTGGAGCCAATTCGGGAGTGGCGGCAGAGCGGGCCCAGAGAGTATAGAAGGATGGGATACTCCGTCTGCTGACATAGAGGCCGGGGTGAAGGGCCTCGATCTCGAAGACAACGATGAGGAGGAGGACGACGACGACGACGATGGGCAAAATGGCGGCGTCGCGCTGGAAGCAGGGGCCGCGGCCGGTCTCAGCAGCGATGAAGCTAACGCCAATGCCAATGGCCCAGCAGAGGCTCCAGAAGCCGAGGCAGAACCTGAACGAGAACCAACTACCGCTGAGGTCGACGATGCGTTCATGCAAGCATTCCTCTATGCTCTGTTCGACGCCAAAAAGAACGCCGAGCCGCCGCATCATGGGCTCGACTATCCTATACAACCGTCATTCCTGATCTCCAACATGATACAACCACATCTTCGGTTCCAGAACCAACACTACACCATCAAGAAGACGTCATGGAAGAACACCAAGAAATTCATCAAACACCTGGAGAAGCAGGTCTTGGTCAAGTCCAAAGATCGCAACGGCGGCGAGACTGTCATCCTGGACATGGACCTCGACGACGAAAGAGTCCGCACCTTCACTCCCTACAGGCTGCCGAAGCCGAAAGGCCAGACGTCCACAGGCGGCGCCGCGGAAGGGAACCCAACTCCAGCAAGCGGCGCCGACACCTCACTCGGCCAAAAGCTCACCTTGCAGACCGTGTATCGCGCTTCCAGCAAGCTCGTGCCGGACCTCATCCCGTCCAAGACGACATACTATACCTCGTCTCAGATCTCCGCCTTTCTCAAGAAATACATCGAGAACAACCCGTCCTTGACCGAGACGAGCTCCTCCTCCCCGCGCTTCATCAAGCTCGACCCGTTCATCGCGAACAACATCCTGGGATCTTCCAACCCTTCGGCCGCGGATACCCGCGTGCTCGCCGCCGGGGAGATTTCTCGCGACGCCCTCGTCAAACGTATCCTCGAAGACTCTCACCTGGCGATTCCTCACTGGCTGCTGCTCCGCCACGATCAGACGTACGATCCCGACTCGCCCGACCCGTCCTTGAAACCAAAATCTGGACCGGCGCCACAGGTCAGCATCGTGCTCGAGAAGCGCTCGGGCACCAAAGTGGTCACGAAAATCTCGGGTCTCGAAGTATTCGGGATCAATCCGCAGGTCCTGGCGCCGGAGTTGCAGAAGAAATGCGCGGGCAGCGCAAGTGTCGGGCAGCATGTGGGTGGGAAGCCAGGAATGATGGAGATTCTCGTGCAAGGTGACCAGAGAGACGTGGTGGAGAAGGAACTGAGCAGGAGGGGTGTGGACAAACGATGGATCACCGTAGACGATAAGACGAAAAAGAAGAAGAAATGAGGTCGATGCCAGAATGACCGGCAGGAAGGTACGAAAATAAGCAAAGCATGATGAAACTTTGTTGATTATTGTATCCAAAAGACGCTACTGCGAGCTTTTCCTCCTAGTCCATTTCCTGCTTTCCGCAAAGCCGTGGGGCAGTGCATCGACGCCTGCAGACTGCCAGTGGCTCGTTCCAGAGCGGCAGACCTGTACAAAGGATCTCGTTTTTCAAACATCCATCCCAACGCCGTATGCTTCGGGAACGCTGTACTACTCGAGCTACCGAGTTCTCCATGTGCTGCCCGCGAATTGGATCACAATCGGTTACAACTGGACGTCGTATTTGTAGCAGAACGGACCAGACGTGGTACTGATGAGCTCTCCAACGGTGTAGGGTTCTTGTCCAAAGTAGCCCCAGTCCGGTTCGACGGTGTCGAGAGTGACATTGGCGCTTGGTGGGACATTGACTGCCGTCTCGGTACCGAATGTGATGTTTGCGAGGTCAGGATGGCGAATTTGCCACGAAGTGTACACATTGTCTAGGAAGGTATGGAGCGGCCACCAGATCGGATCCTGGACGGACACGTAGATGGAAGAGCCGGGAGATCCGATGATGAAGTGAGCCCCAGAGTGCAAGCCGAGTGAACCGCCACCGAGGACGCCGTTGATCTGAGCGTCGAATTCTGCGAGGTCCGCGGAATCCAAAGCAAGACCCAGGGCCGTGTAGTTGCACCAGGTCTGCGCAGCAAATGTATTGAGGTCCCTGGTCAGGCAAGACTGGTTGAGTTGGAATGCCGTATCCGGTAAGGGCAGGCCTTGAAGGATATACGTGATAGGGATATCCGCCATTGTCGTCTGCCAGCCGGCAAAAGGACCAGAGTTGACGCAACCTCCTCCTGATCCATGAGGAAGCGAAAGTGTGGGTGCTAGGACGACCGGGCCAGTATCGACATATTCGCCGTCGCCAGACATGGAATACTCAGAGCCATCAAAGACTGCACTGCCGTGCAGATTGTCGGCAGTGGCCGGCCAGTTCCAGTACGGGAATGCCCCGGTGTAACCGCATTCTGTGCGCAGATCTTCCTCAAACAGGTGGAGGTAGTAGCGATGCCACGTCAAGAAGAAGCCCGAGAGATGGACTTGTCTTGTGCGGTTGACGTGGGTCACGGCATAGTCCATGTAACGGTTGGTGGCCGCAGGATAGATGGTCTGGTCGAGCTGCGAGGGCTTGGATGCGATGCACTTGATGGCATCGGTGTAGGCTTTCCGTTCTTCAGGCGCCATCGAGTCGAAGTCCTTTCGAATCTTGACAGTCTCATCTGTACAGGGTCGGAACTTTCCTGGGTGTTTGTTCCTCATCCAGGCATCGACGACTGGGAAGTCGGTGCTGTGCCATGCCTCTTTGGTGGGAGCAGCTGAAACGAGTGGGGGCACGGTGGCTAGTGCAAGAGCAGTAAAGGATAAAATCGAGTTAACCATGATGTCGAATGGTTGCTGTCAATGAATTCTAAAGTCTGTGCGCTGCTGTACAGAGGATGAAAGAGACCGAGGCGAGAAGGAAGAGTGAAAGTGAAGGACGACGGGTTATTTGCAAGAAGATCCCACCACGACTGCCTCTGAAGGCACAACACGGGCAGTGACTTCTTTTTCATCTTCATAACCACGATCGACAATGGACGAGTACCTGGTATGCAAAGTCCGGCAGTAGCAGCCCTCGCGTGCCCTGGCAGTAAGTGACATGTCCGGCGTGGCGAAAGGTGGATACTCTTTGAATTCGCCCAGCCACGACGACTTGTGGAACAAATGTGCAGTGAAAGGCTCTCAGGGCTGGCGCAACCAGACACTCATCACCGAAGGAGACGTATGATGACGAGTCGATGTCGGCTGGAGACGCGTATTTGATAGTATTGGGTGTGTGTCGTCCTTTTCCCATGTTCTATTTTGGTATCACAAGCAAGGGTCCGGGTGTATGCTGGGATTGACAGGGCCGTTGGGGTGCATAGACTGACGACAAGGGTCGAGACACTTGGACATGCTCGTCAAGGATCTGCGACAGTCAATGACAAGTTGTTGTATCTGTTCGCCCTTGGCTAGCCATCAGCAAGCAACTCAGAGTTGAAACCGCCCAGTGTTGGCTACGCTCTTATGCGACTTGCCCGGTGTTGAATGTCGATTTCACACCTCTTAAGGCCACAAGAATGCGCCCTCGAGGACGAATTCAGGGCGTAGTTACTGCCAGCATGAGTTCTTGCTTGTAAAGAGTCCTCGTACCTTGTACGAGTACGAAATGTGGATTCAGCTCGGGTCGCCGCACATTTTTCATCCACTGACATTTGCCTCTGATCAGGCACCGTCCCGTACTCGTACGCCTTGTGCAGCTTGTCGATTGCCCCCGCCTGCTAACCATTGAGGGGCATGAGGGGCCTTAAGGCGCAAGTGTGAACCTAAATACTCAAGCTTTTCTTACGTAGGTATTCCTGGCTTTTCCTCCTCATGGCGGAGTTGGTTACCGACGCCGGTTACTTCTCGCAGAGACGATTCAAGATTTTCTCAATGTGATACGCACGATCACTTCAACGCCACAGTCCGCCTGGAGGTTCCAGCCTCAGGCTCACATACAATATCTGTGCTGCGCCAGCCCTGAGGCTGCAAGTTGCCAATGATGACGCGCTGCATAGGTGTCCAGACCACTTGCATCAAGGCCACCCTCCTGCCGTTTAGCCAGAGTCAATACCGTCATACATCAAGAGCCAAGCACCAACCAAGCCGCCAATATGTCCGAGCGGAGGCTTCGCTGCCTTGACCTACGAACGTCTCCTTCCTTTTCTGGAGAAAACACTTGTGTAAAGCTGCATGGACTGCACGCTTTCCGTTGGGACAAGGGCTTGGACACCAGTCGGAGTACTATCGCCATCTAGTTCGGCGGAGAATAAGCATCGTGCATATCGAGGAGCTACATGTGGACCTCTTTGCGACGACAGTCATTACTGCAGTGCTATGGTACCTTCTTGTAGCCAGGGGCAAGGACTCTTGCTCGAAACGAGCGGAACAGCTCTTATGCGCATGTCTCAGACGTCGTATGGGAGCCTGCATAACCAATGAATCGTGCAGAACGGTCGATGAGCATGCCAAAATGCTGTTGTGCCATGGTACACACGACGCCGCGTTACTCTCCACCATGCCAGGATAGTGCCGGACTCTGTCGTGGCCCCTAACGCTATCCTCACCACAACGAATGCTACCTCTTCACAACCAAAGAAACCGTTTTCATAACGTGCGCATTTGATCCGATCCGGGGGTATCTTCGACGAAAAACTCCTGCTGTCTCTCCAGTAGGCAATAACCGTGCGCTAACAGCCTGCGAGCCGAGAACCCATTGTTCTTGACTCTCCAACAATAGAACACTCCGTACTAGGAAGTGGATGCTTTCAGGACTAGATCACCTTCTGCTCTGTACTCATACAAGTGGTCGCGGATACACTCGAGTCCAGACGACCTGTCCCCTCATCGGGTCCATGATCGTTGAGAAGTGTGTCTGCTCGTTCGTGGTTGGGTATGCGGACAGCCATTCAATGACCTCGTCGGTGGTGACAGTCAAGTTGCGCTCAACCGTACTGGGATCCTTCCCATCCTTCTTTGCTTGTCTCTTCGCTTTACGAACATGGCCTCGCCATCTTATCGCGATGGCATCCAGCCTGTCTCGGCTTTCCTCAACGAGTGCTTCCATTCCAACTTTCAACCCGGAGTCTTTGACCGAGATCTGTTCCAGGATAGCGTTATCTTTTCGCAATCGAGGGTCGTCATCATCCTGGTCGTTGTTTGTCACACCGATGAATGTATCAGAATATCGCATGACGGCCGTGCCATAATCCTTCTCCAGGACGACAGTCGAAACACCGTCGCAGAAAGTCAGGTAAGCTGCGGTTGTTGGCCGCGGAACGACTTCCTCCACAATGTCCTCAAGACGCTTTGCATGCTCGTTTTCTGGATCTTCAGGGATGATGTATCCTCTGAGAATACTGGCGATTGACTGGCGGTAACCCAACAGCACCAACAGGTGGTGAAGGTAGAACCGCATGTTGTCCCTCGTCTTAGTCGCGTTGTGCAAAGGCCGGAAGTTGAGAGAGACGCTGAGGTCCTCCCGCACTCCCGTCAGGACTCCAATGAAGCCCACATAAGTGACGCTGCGAGCCAGTATCTGCCCAGGGGTCGCCGATCTACTGCGGACAAATTCTAGCTGGACGAGGATTTTGCGGAGAGGATCCATTGACCAGTCCAAAGTGCGGAAGTGTAGCATTCTTGTCTTGCTCCACGGTTCACCCTTCTCCAATGTCTTGACTGCGCCAGACGTACAGCCCATGAGGCAGTCGAGGATTACGTTGAAGCTGACTAGCAGGTACATGGGCACTCCGGTTACTTGAGCTATGCCTCGAAGCTCGGCCGTCTCCACCGGAGAGTTCAGACCGCGAAGGAACATCCGCGCGAAGAGATTGATTGGGCCATGAGAGCGCTGCGACAGGCCCAAGTCGCTAAGAAGGGTGTTGAAAAGGGTTGTAAGGCCCCGGAGCTCGTTTGCGTACGCCAGCGCCAGCGCCTTGTAACGGTCCTCTGGCTGGAGGGAGAGGTCGATGGTGTGGACTGGGGCAATCACTGCCACATCCTTGCTGGTATCCATGGCGATAATGATGGTTCTAACGCTGGATTTCTAGGTGGTGGTCAACATGGAACAAAATGAGAGGAAATGAGTGCCACAAATACCGTTTTAGCCTTGAGGCTGAGGAGGCTCCCACAGCCAAATCCACGCAGGCAGCCGTCGGTAATCCTCGAGGATGGGCTCAATAGACACGGTGTTTTCTGGATGCCCAATCAAGCGAGTTCCCAATGGTATACTCTTGAACACGACAGGCGCCTGTCGGCAAGGCAATTCGCTGTGGCAATGGGTCTGTAGGCTGAACTGTCGCAACTGCTGCTGTTGACATTTCGACATTCTGGGGCTAGAGATGACGTAGTTCGTTATCGATAAGTCTAGCGTGCCTCTAGCGTGTCGCCAAGCGTATGATTTGGATCCTGGAGGAAGTTGTGCCGACATCTTCTCTCCCTCCCATCACCACCTTTGCTTCGCATGTATCAATGTTGCAGAGTTTGAACAATGGCGGGCTGTTACGGCGCGTCAGAATGAAAGCCATCTGTGGGCAGTAAAGACAGGTCGCCAAGACGCCGAGCCGATGCGGCGTGCTCCAAGAGAACAAATGATTCCTTGCGCACACGATGCGATACCGGCTACGAAGCTCTTATTACAATCAATAAGAGACCAGAGGGTGTCTGCTTGTGAATCAGAGGATTCAATGAAGCAGGAATGAGAGGCAGCGCCGCTATCACGCTACGACTATGAGATGGAGCATGAGAGCACGTCTAGCAGGAGCATCCGGCGACAAGGCTAGAGGAGCTGTTCGATGTTGTGAGCTGGAATAGAGAATGGCCTGGTGAAGGCTCAGTGAGACTGCCGCCCATTGAATTCAAGGTCTGCATTGTTTTGGTACCGATCTACTTGCCCACGCACTTCACTAACAGGCCCGATCTGTCTTCGTCCTTTTTATAAAGAAGGGCGAAACGGCACTATTTAAATTGACCGAGCTGTCGGTTATCTCATCCATTAACCATCAGTATCTTCTCGGTTCCTCACGTTCTCACCTCCAGTCTCGCCATTATGTGTTTCTCTTGCGGTGCCTGGCCTTTTGGTCAGCCTCAAGTCGTCCTCGCCGCGGAACCGACCAAAGAAGAGTACATCTTCCTGGACGACAACCACGGGTTCTATCCTGATCATCGGAAGGTGCGTCGCAAGTGAATTTTCGTCTCAAGTCCGCACCTACATGCTCTCTGTCTATCACACGGTCTCTCTCAATCCTACATCTCTTGTGGAACTCCATCAGACCTACTGGCCTGTGGTCCAACTCACTTTATCCTTTTGCTCGCTCCATGCCTCCGGCGGAAGAACTATGCCCGCCCACTTCTACACCTACAATTCTCTCAATCCCTCTGCCGTGAACACTCAACCTGCCGCGTGGCACTGGGAAGATCCAGCAGATTGGCCGCGCACCTATCTCTACGTTTCTAACCAGAACGGCGCACAGGGAATCCATCCTCCAGCTCCCGTCTATCAGTCAAACCAACCTGCTCAGCCCACTATGTACTACTTCCAGGCAAGTGTCCGGCTGCGCAACGCTCTCACTGTCGGCTCACTGACACCTCACTTCAGGGTAGTGCCAGTGCCCCAGCTGGCTACTACGTCAATGGCATCTACCATGGAACAAGCCCTCCCACTGCCTCAACTGGTTGGCCATACACCTCCTCTGGCTACACTTGCTATACCCTGCCCACCGCATCTACTCCGATCACTCCGTCGTACTACCCGTACACGTACTCACCATATGCCACAGCTGCAGCCGCGACCTCGTACCAAGTCCCGTTCGCCGCTGCCCCGATCTGGTCTCAGTCTCCGGGCCCAGCGCAAGCCGCCGCCGCAGTCGCGGCCAACGCCGCCCTCGCCGCAATGCCGAATGCCCCAGCCTACTTTGTCGGAGCCACGGCAGCAGACATTCAAGCCCATAACGCCATCTTGCTAGCCAACATGCAAGCCGCGCAACAGCAGCCGAGTCAACTCGTGCCATTCAAGCCTGGTCAGAGCCCGCAATTCTGGTGCAAGGAACTCGACTCCAGCTGGACTTTGAGAGAATACAGCGACGCATTGAAGCCAGATTTTCCACCTGGTCACTGGGAGAAACATGCCACAAGTGGGTATCACTACTACGTCCGTCACGCTACTTGAAGGCAATCTGCAAAATGAGGTGATACATGCCACAACCACGAAAATCGACTGGCATCACCATGGGTCACGGCCACACCAAAGCCACAAACCTCGGCATCACCATTGGAACGCAATTGCTGGCAGGAGCATCAGGCTCTCGAGCAGCAGGATTCGAAACATCATGATCATGTGGAGCTTGGGAATCGACTGGGGTGGCTTGGTGATAGGAGTGCCATGGCTGTGCTGGATTTCTTTCTTCCCTTTGCCTACTAGTGGTGAGCACAGAGCTTCACACGCATAGCTGAGCAGAGATAGACTCTAGCTCCTGACATACCCACACCTGCATGTAGCACAGAAAGCCACAGGCAGGGATGGCCTTTTCGAGGTTCGGGCCAATGATATGCACAATTCAACCCATCATCGTCTCCTCCGCCAGAGTGCACAGCAGCGTAATGTTCTAAGGTCCACCCAAAAATACTGTGCCTCGAGTAAATTGAAGCACGGCGCCCAAGCACGCCATGTAAAGTGCAGCTTCATGCAGCCAACCCAATCCCCAAGGCCACTTATTCACATCTTCACCCTACTCAACGCACTCTCCATCCAAAGCTTTGTATACAACTTATGCGCAAACCACGTGGTACCCTGCATCGGGCCTCGATTCTCCCATTTCTGCACACCAGCGTCCGTAGCACCAGCGGAACTACTTGTACCCTCAATCTGCTTGCGCTCTCCCTGTGGGTCGACAGCCTTCTCGCCCGTCCAGCTCTGATCGCCGACGAAGAAGATACTCTTCAGCCTGAACTCGGCGAACCCTTCGGCCGGGTCGACGCGCGCACACATCTCGAACAGCCCGTCCGACTGGCGCGGTGAGTCCGGGTTGTTGAGCGGCGAGTCGCCGCACCGGATGAGCACGCTCGAGGGCGTCTTGCGCAGCACGACGAAGTGGTCCGTGATCTGCGTGTCGGGGCTGTAGTCGGACGACTGGAGCTGGGCGGGCGTCCAGAGTTGGTGCGCCGTCGTGGTGTCGTTGCGGTATTTGCGTTGGAGGTACAGTCGTTGGAGGGTGTAGCCTGGGTCGGTACGTCAGTACGAGGACACTCGGAATTTGGGAATTTGGGAAGGGAGAGAGATTGCTTGTTGTGGGTGAGCGTGAGCGGGGGCACCGTGCGCACGACGTGTCGGACGGGAGATTGAGCGGCGGCGTGCAAGAAGCGGATGCCGGGCATAGGAACGAAAATAAGAACAGGTATCATAACCCGAACCAGAATTAGAACAGGCAGAAGAAGAAGAAGAAGAAGAAGAAGAAGAAGAATAACGACGTATTGTCTCGACAGGGACGGAACAGCAAACAGAAACACTAATTCAAACTCACCGGGACCACCCCATACGCCGCGCACAAACTCTTCGACGAGCTTCGATCCCCTGGTACGGCAAACCATCATTAGCACAGATGACCTTTCTCGTGATTTACCATACTTTCATATCAAACTTGGTCTTCCATGGTGCTCATCTCCCCTCTTGCCTACGACTTTGCATATCCGTCGATCGCAGGACCAGACAGCAGCATCAACTCCGTCCTGGGACATGGAGTTGACTCAAAATTGCACCCAAAGCTCAGAGCTCAGACCAACGCAACAAGCTCACTCACCCTCTCTGCGCATCCTCGACCAACTCAGGGCGAATCTTCTGCAGCCCGATGCGCCTGACGCACTCGTCGTACGTCGCGGCGTGGTTCGCCGGGTTGAACTTCCTCACCCACTCGCTCTGGAACAGCGGGTCCGTGGCCGGGTTGAACTCGGCCGGCGTGCTGAAGCGGCTGTGCTTGGTCCACACGGTGAAGCTGGCGAGGCTGAAGAAGGTGAGCACGCCCGTGGCTTGGAGCGCTTTGGACGTGAGGGAGGGCGCCATTACTGCGGGTGCCCAGGTCGCGTGCGCGCGCACAGCGTACAGCGTGCGAGCTACAAGCAGATGCGATCGCCGGCGAAAATCTACTGTACTTCGACCGGCGCGAACCAACGAGACCCTCCCAGGCGGGGGGGGATTGAAAGAGGACGGGACGGGCGCGAACGAGAGGAGGAAATCAATTGGTGAAAAAATCGCTGCAAAGTCAAGGAGAGAGATGGATTGGTGAGTAGAGTGAGTGAGTGCTGGGGGGATGGCTTCGGGGACATCGCCGTGGTTCAATTGCCGAGCACACAGGCGAGGCGAGGCGCGAGGCTCGCGAGGCTCGACTCCACAGCTCGGCCCGGCACGGCGATAATTTACCCGGAGCGAGGCTGAGAAGTCGCCTGCGCAAGCCAGCCGCGTTGAGCTTCGAAGGGTGCAGCCCACGGTATTGATGCTTTACGCCGACAAAGTCCTCAGCACCCGTGGATGTCAATTGCTCAAGTAGATACCAACCATCAATAAAACCAGCATCAGGTATTCGGAGACTAAGAATTTTCCGCCCATTCTCTCCAGAGACAGACTTCCACGTTGCATATGTGTTTGCTCGGTCCATCTCCAACAAACCAGAGCAAGTTGTGAGCTTCTTCCGTCCATCGCCACCAGCCAGAGTAGACCATACGAGTCCTCCAAGCTCGTGTTCATCTCTTCCGCTTCCGGGCTCCCTTATCCTCGTCCTCCAACCCACCCGCCCTATCCTGCTTCTTCGCTTTCTTCTCCATCTCATCCCAATCTTCCCCTTCATCGCTCAACCCACTCTCGTCCTCGCCCTCATCTTCGCTCGCGCTCGCATCATCATCAAAGTCGCTTTCATCGTCACTTTCAGACTCACTGGCCGCCAACTCACTGTCACTCATCTCGAAGGCACTCTCCTCCTCCGACTCTTCTTGATCTTCGTCGTCGGATTCCGTGCCCAGGAAACTCCAACCTCCGTCCTTGAAGAATTGATGAGGATCCGTGGTGACAGTCTTCATGATCGTTGACCAGTTGAGGTTAAGTGGGCCTTCGGTGTAAGCGATGTCCACGCTGTCGAGCCATTCTTTAACTCTGTCGAGAGATTCGACGGGGATAGTGTTGACGTGGGTCGGAGGGCGGTGGAAGTCCTTGTACACAAAGACAAGATCGAAGTTCTTCAGACCGAACTTCAGAGCACGTTAGCTGCCGCGAGATTGTCATAGAGGGCATGGCTTACCTGTATTCTCTCCAAGTGTGCAACCTCAATCTCTTCCAGGGTAATCACCGTGAAAGGCGGCTCCGTCAATTGCACAAGCGCATCGGTGGTTGGCGCCATGAGAACATTGCTACGATTGGGGACACCATTGAAACTGAGCTCTCGGAACGGGATGTCCACCGTGACGTTGTACTCCCGTGCCTGGTCTGAGATCTTCTCAGCAAAACTTTTGAACAGTCGATCGAGTTCGGCTCTCCGTCTTCGTTCTTCCTGTTCTTGTTCGAACTCTTCTTCGTCGCCGTATCGGTGCTTGCGCTTTCGATTGCCGGTTTCGTCGAAGGCCATGTCTGTGGCTTCGCGGTAGAATTGCACGTCTTTAGTCTTGCGCTTACCCACCATTATGGGATTCTTGAGATGGACGTGGATGATAACAATCAGCTCACCCACGCAAGGCTGGAAAAACAAGTGCTTGACGTTGGAGAAGACGACATCGACATGCTCGTTGCGGAGAGGCGACTGATACCGAAGACCGTTCTGGTGTATCTCAACTTCGCCAGGAATGCGCTTGCCGTCTTGAGCAGGTCGAAGATAGACATCCGGGAGCTTGACGGGGCGGCGGTTGCGAATCTCAATTAGCTTGTCTTGCTCCACCACGTCTTCCATTTCCTTCTTCTCCTGTTCGCGACGGACAGCCGCCTTGCGCAACTCGGTGATTTGGGCCGAAACCTCTGACAGACGATCCTGATCTTTGGATCGAAATGTCAAAGATCTGACAAAATGTGCCTGGGGATCTTCAAATGGCTGGTCGTCTTTGCGGCCGACACCTTGACCAGGGGACAAGAAGTTGAATCGCAAGTGCGTGTACTCTCCTTCGTCGGACTTGCTGACATTCTTGATGGCGTTAATGTGTATTGGCACCGGTCTTCCCATGATCGGCAGAATAACCGTCGAAGCCTTGAGATCCACACACACGACCAAGTCTTTCGCTCGTGGAGGAAGCTGACCATCGCGCTTGTACGACTCAAATTTCTTGAACTTCTTCTCGTTCTCGCCATTCATGTCGCCCATGGCTTCGGCATATTTCTCCAAGCCTTCGCGCTGCTTCTTCTGCGCCAGTTCTTTCTGATGCTCTCGTCGTCGTTGCTCTTCTTCTTCTTTGGCATTGTCTTGGCGATTGGCCCCTCGGAGACGTGTCGCCTTGATGTTGGACGTGACTATCGCACTAGCACCTGGCTTCTTGGGTTTCTCCTGCTTCGGTTTGGCCTCTTCTTCGTCGTCTTTGAAGTAGAATTCGATCGAGTCCAGGTCCGTGTTAGCATCTTTGGTGAAAACAACGGGCTCGGCGTTTCGAGTGACTCGGACTGTATCGCACAAAACGAGACTGTAGTTGGTGCCTCGCTCGTCTTGTGGCTTGTCATTGGTGAGATCGACAAGACTCGTGATAACGCTGAATGTCATACCATCCTTGAGTGGTTTGCTGTTCTTGCCGTTCAACACATATTTGGAATCTCTAACCTCGATCCCAATAGCGGCGCCCACATCCTTGCCAAAGTGCTTCTCTAGATCGGGTTTGCGGGCTTTGATCACGCCCAGGGCGGCGTTGTAGATATCCTTCGGCACTGCACCTTCCTTGGTCGCCTTCAGAGCCGCATCGTGCGCCGCCAGAAGTAGCTTGTAGTTCGACGTTTGGGATTTGCTCGGGTCGATCAAATATGTTCGTGCCACCATAGAGCAGTAGGTCTTGTATCTGAAGCCCACCCCTGCCATAATGCAGCCAGAATGAAGGTCATCGTCATTAGGTTGAGCACTCATTCGGAGGTCGTATTGCCCACCACTCTGTACGATAGGACCATACGCCCAATCCAGTTGCTGGTTGTCAAAATCGCCGGGCAATTTCGAAACCTTGCTGAAGAATCTGGTGTCATCAATCTTTTTCGACATTTTGTCACAAAGCTGACGATGTGTAATTTTCTTCTCCTGGTCCAGGACCATCGACATTTCATCAACCCAGTAATCGGAAATCATGCCGCTGGCGGCCCGGGCTGCGGTTCGCATGGCTCTCAACTCATGTTCATCCTTGACGGCAAAGGTAGTGGAGAAGGCACCGGAAACATCGACTTCTTCTATGTTTTTGGAGATTTCGCTGTACATCTTAACCCATTCATCGACGAAAGGACCATGCGCTTCAGCCTTTGGGATGATGCCTACTTTCTTGCCAGCGCCTTGGATGACGTCGATGCATTTTTGGAAGGCTTGTGTCCGAGTCTCGGGTTGCTTCACATGGACGGTGAGGATTTCGACGGGGATCTTGCCATCTTTGAGATTTGCCAGGTGCTTTGCTGGGGAGATGTTAGCCTTTACGGTATTGAGGTTGCCATACACAAGTAGAAGGCCTTACCTTTCTTCTCCGTGGTGACGACGTAAAGAACAGCAGTGGTAAATACCATCAAAGTGGCAGGGAACTCATAACCAAGCAGCCAAAACTGCACGTACGCGACGTCAAGTCAGCCTTTGTTCAATCATCACAGGCTCCAGCTCATCGGTGATCCCGCCACTCATGCTGGCTGGATTGGACCAGAAGACGTTGACTTACATGGATGGCGTTGTTTTTGACATACACCGTCTCATCGGCCGCCTTGCCTGTCAAGACAATAATTGTATCCGCGCCGCCAAAGGCTTCATTCCCAGATCCCGATCTTTTGTCCGCTTTCCATGCATTGTAAAGAGATTGCAGGCGCTCGAAGAAGGCGGTCGCATCGACTTGTACGTCGGTCATATTTGCGGTGTGCAGCCTGCCTCGAGGAGGCGGAGGCGATTGAGGTCAGCCTCGATATTCCGACTGATGCGATTGCGCCAGGGCGTTGCGCGCAGGCAGAGATGGAGCAAAGATGAAGAATCCCTCGCCTAGTGAGAGTACGATGAAAGAGAGTAACAGATATACTCAAGTCTGAATGACAGGATTGAGACGTCGTCGCCTGGAGTGAAGACCTCTCACTCCCTGATGGTGAAATGAATCCAAAAGTTATCGAGACCGCGACAGTTGCCCGATCGAGACAGGCCCCGCTCAACGCGTCGTTCAACGCGTACTGAGTATGTACTTAGTACTAGTCCTGTGCAGGCAGGCCTCTCAGTAGTCTATACTTGAAGTAAGGAATTCGTTCTTGCAAGGCCAGTCACGAACCAGGACCACGCCACACGCGCTCATTCTTAGGTCTTCATGTTTGTACACTCAGCTCTGCAACAACGTAGAATGGCGAAATCATTCACAGCGACGAACAAGGATGGTAAGAGTCTAGCTTAAAGCAGCATGGGAAGCGACCGTCCAGCAAGCGCCTGGGTGTTGAGAATGGTGCAATCGCAGCAGGAATCGAAGATTGACATCTCTATAACGAATCAACACACCAAATCGTCCATATACCCAACATGCCGACGCTTATGCACAACACTTGCACGCGCTTCAAGTTAACAAGATATCATAGAGCCCCTCTCTTCCTGAAATTCTCACTTCATCACCAAGTCCCTCCTGCCCGTACTTCCTCCTAACCAGTTCGAAAATGACCAGGCCGGCACTGGTGCTGGGTATCTGCCTGATGGTAAACCACCAGAAGCCCCGAAACAGCCAGTTTCTCATGCCGTGCTGGGCGACTGCCTGGGTCCGAGCTTGTTTCCAAGTCTCCTGATAAGCGTGATAGTACGCTCGGAGCATGCGTCCGCGCCTCGCAAACGGTGTCTCCTGCGAGTTCTGTAGAGTGACGGCCTTCTTGTCAAGGTCTTCTAGTCGTTCGTAGTGCAATGTCTGGAATGTCGAGAGAGGGTAAAGAACAACCTGCTGAGTGATGGATGCCGCAATGCCCGCGAGCATGAGAAAGCCTGGTTCGATGGCATAATGAGGCTTGACGACCCGCCGGTTGCTCTCGTCGTTCGTCGGCGGCGCGTTTTGGCCGGTCACCAAGTTCCGCCTCCCACCTTCGTTGCCAGTGTTTGTGAAGAACTCGACCTCGCCCGTGCCTCTGTACCACCACTTGACAAAACCATAGTACCCTTGTGCCTTGACCCACTCGAAGACGCAAAAGAACACACCGCTTCCGAAACTGTCCTTCAGAAAGCTCAGCCCGTACCCTGCAAAGATGCCCCTTAGCCCGATCTCTCTCAGTTTACCCCGGCCGTATTCCCACATCGTCTTATCTTCATAATTCTTCCCTCTCTGTTCGAACCTGACCTGCAGAGCGTCGAGCGGGGCTGCAACGATGCTCTGGATCGTCCCCGCAGCAAAGCCTGCTAGAAATGTACTTTGTGGGGACGGGGGCGGGTAGACGGTCTTTTTGGCGTGTGCGGAAGGCTCGTGCAACTTTGCCAGTATCTGAAGATAACTCGTATATAGCGCAGCTCCGACAGCCACGTTCGCGATTAGGGGCGGCGCCAATTGCTCCGGAACGAAACGCCAGCCATACACTCTGATGGCGTTGGCCAGCAGACCCGGTGTTGTGCTCCTCCATGACCATCCGCCTGACTGTGCAGCTGGGCTAATGGACTTCGCAAACGCAAGGTAATCGACTCGAGTGCGGAAAAACGCTTTCACAGGGGCGCGGAAGTAGAAGGCTACCGCTTGCGCCGTAAAGGCACGAACGCCGGCAGCCGATGCACCTGTTGCTGCATTGCTCTTGGTGTCTTTATAGACAGGAGGAGAGTCAGACGGAATCACAGGAAGGACGCCTTCGAAGTCGGTCGGGTCGTCATCGAGGGAAGACATGGCTTTCTAAGCGTGCTTTCGGTAGTGTAGCCATCATCAATCTTGCATCGGCGATTGCAGAGGGTCAATGAGAGAACGGACAGCCAACAGCAGAATACAAGCTGAAGATATTCCTAACGATGTCGAACCAGTGCTCGAGGTGGAACGCACGCGAGAAGTAACCCTCGGCTTAAGTCCGGAGGATCGATTTCACCAAGGTCGCTCGGTAGCCGCTAGGTAAGAGTACCTCGTATCAAAGTGTGCAAGCCTTGTCTTCTGGCTCGATGCTCAATTACACTTCCATAATTATGCTGTGTACGGAGTATCTCGTCCAGTATTTGCCTTGCTGTAAATTCTATAAAGACCGACATTACGGAGTACTACAACTATACATTATAAAACGTCAATGGACGGCCGAGTATAGGGCTATACTAATAATGACACTACTATCGCCGTGGTTTGGACTTGCTATTTGGTGCCCGCAGATGCTCGACTTTTAGAATAGCAATCTCGGAATTGCAGACGTTTCAGTGTGGCATTGTTACATATCCCTCCTTCAGAAAGGGATCGTTGATATATAGGTATAGTCGTAGTCAAGTCAGCTCCTCCCTGGTTCGCTAAAGTGGTATCTCTCATTCATCAAACGCGTGCAGGTGCTAACATTATGTCGATGCTACCATTGCATCTTCCTCTACGTTGCTGATCATCAGGGTGCCCATACAGCTTAGATGCTGGCAACGTGCATCCACATTCATAAATCAATTCTGGTCTTCCAATCGACCTTCTCCTTCTCCGCCCACTCCTCGAGAAATACCATGCCGAACCTGATAGCCTCGAACGACGTGGTACTGGCGTCCAATGGCAGGTAGAAGTCATTCGGAATCCTAGAAGGCGTGGGCTTCTCCTGGAGTCTCGTACTCGAGTCTTTCGACCGCTTCGACCATGTCTTCGGGTACTCGCGTTCCAAAAGGTCGAGCGACAGAAGGCGCGAACCATCCAGCCAGGCCGTCTGTAACTCTCGAGCGTTTGTGATAAGCTGGTCTTTGAACTCCACATATCCCTTCTTGTATTTTTCTCCGTCCTCATTTGTCTTCGTGACGCCGTCGCTCCCAGGTGTAGGTGCGGAATTGCAATAGTCCTCCGGTAAGGGATCCCGCGCCAGTTTGTCCATGTCGTACTTGTGCACGAGTTGCCGACAGACTGCTCCCAGTTGTACCACCAGAGCATGAAGATGTGGAAACTTCCTCGACGCACGCCACACGAAAACATGATACGCCAGAATGTTTCTCCAGCCTGGATCGACGTTGGGCCGCGCATATGACATCGAGCCGATGTTGATCATGAAGCATAATAGGGCATCGATCAGCAGTAGTATAGCTTTGGGGGTTTCAAGGTGAGGTTGTATAGCCGTTCCCTCATTTTTGACTTTGCGGCCCAGTGCGAAATACTTTTCATGTAGATTGAACCATTGGTGGCGGTCTTCTTGTCGGGAGGAGGTGGTACTGCCTGGAGGTTGAGGGGACGGCTTGAGTGCGGCCTGTGGTGTTGAGACCCTCATCTTGTCTCCAGTTGGGGTTGGAGCATCCACACCATCAGTCGACTCAACTCGCCTCATGGCAGTGGATTTGAATTCCTTCTTAGGCGTAGAGAAAGTTGACCGCGGTTGATTCGCCAGTGGTGTCTTGCCAGCAGGCGGCACAGGTGTGGTCGGGCGCTTCTCAGCTTCGACTGCCTTGACCTTCTTTAGCGATGGGCCAGGGCTGTCTTCTGCCTTTCTCTTCTTCTCTTTCTCCGGCTTGATGTCGTCAACAGCCAAACCCTTCGGCTTAACGTCTCTAGAAGATTGCACCGATGACTCCTTGGTCACATCCTTTCTCGGATAGACCTCTGGAGTGCCGCGCCGGTCCGTTGCTTCACGCCGTATCAAATCCTTCTTTGGCCGAGCTGCAAATTTGAGTAGCGCTTCTACCCTCTTGCGATTCTTTTTGCCATATTTGAGGATGATAGTGTGCCTCTGTCGGGGCCCCGGGCTGCGGGTAACTCCATTGTGAAGTGGCGGTGCACCCTTGACACCGTTCTTACCCAGAAGTTTTGCGCCCAGAGCGACCTTAGCAGGATTTGGAGTACCCGGTGCGCTACTCTTGGCCGAATGCTGACTATCTGAACGCACTCTGCTGCCGGCCGGGGTCAGTCCGTTCCTATCCCCAACCTGGCCGTTGTCGAGATCGGCGGCAGCCAGAATCGAACGTACAGGATCTGAGCGCTTGTGCGGCGTAGTGGCGGGGCTACCAACTGATATGGTGCTTGAAGGCGTGGACAGTTCCTTAGCCAGCGACGGCGGTAGGAGAGGAGACAAAAGTTGCGGTAGTCGTGTCTCCCTCTCCTTCGCTTTCTCAGGCGACGGCAGGGTGGGTGAGAGCAACCTCGGCATTTTCACAGAGGACGACTCGGATTCGACCTTGGGCCCTTTCTTGACATTGTTGGATTCCTCAGGGGGCGGAGAAAGCTTTCTTCGCTTGGCTGGGTTAAGTGAGTCGCTCTGGTAGGGCTTTGCCTCGATCTTAGGTGAGTTGGTAGCATCCATTTGGGAGACCTTTAGCGGTATTTCTTTGACTCCGTTCGTCCCCGATGGCACGGCTTGTTCCTCCTTCTTCTTATCTGGCGGTGGCAGTAGACCGTCCCAGCCCTCCGTCTTCGGTTCTGCTGGCTGCGGCGCAGGCTTCTCGGCAGCCTTTAGAGGCTGAGATCTTGGTGTAGAATCTGGCGAGGTCTTGGCTTTCGTCTTGTAATCCTGCAAGCTGATCTTCTTTCGTGCGCCCAGTTCAGCGGGAGTATGCCGACCGCTTACTGGAAGCGCCTTTGGTGAAAGTTCTTCCTCTTCGATCGGGTTACCGCGGTCGTCTGCCCAGCCGCCCTCAACCTTCAGTAGAGACTCGTGTTCACCCTGATGCGGAAGGAAGCTAAGATACTGTAACTGTTCTTCGGAGCGATCGAAAGGCGTGCCTTCATACCAGGTGTTGACAAAGCGCGAGCTATGGCGGTAGGGTACGTCCGATGGGACCGAGAGAAGGTACGGGTATGGCGGAAGGGTAGTGACGCTCAGCTGGTGTAATTGCTCATCTAATTGAGCAAGTATCTTGTTTTGTGGACGAGACTGCTTGCTCTTGGGCAAGGCCGCGATGTCTGTGACTGTCGCGGTTGTGGTCATGCCTTGGGACATTTTGTCGCACAGGCAGTAAGAGCGGTTATCATTCCATCCCAGTATCTGTAGTGAGACTTTCAAGCAGACAAGCTCACGAGATAAGGCGGGGCATATCGACCTTCACCACAGTGAACCATCGCCTTCAGCTTCAACTCGCTGCGCATGTAAAGTGACAGGGATGAGGAGGGTTAGACTATCGGATCGCGGGATCTTCCTGCGCGATAGGCTTCGATGTCGGATGGATCTGACGACGGTGGATCGCTTCGCGGGTAGTGTGGCCGAGATTGGGGGGATGTGACTACAGTGGTACAAGCCTTGCGGCAGCTAGGAAAGAGTAGAGGAAATGAAAGGCCGAATTGAAGGTCCTCTTCAGCTGGGCATTGTCTGTTGCGACAGAGAAAGGCGCAGCAAGCGGTGGTCACTTGGAATTGACGCTAGGCAAAGGGACAAATGAAGGCGAGGCGCTCATAGTTGTGGGGAGCCCGTCACCACCGCTCGGAGCATGCACGCCTTACCTCTTGCGCCATTTGCACGGTCCCGCGTGTGTCCATTTAGGTATTGATATCCGCCACATTTTCCCCGTCGATAAATGCCCAGCCAAGTGTCTCTAAATCTATGCACCTCGCCGTAGTTTAACGGCATTGAAACAATAGCTGAATATTGCAGCTGTCCATTTCAGTCCTCGTCTTGTCCGACCTTCCCATACTGTCCGCGAGAACCGCTTTCTTGCCTTGATCTGGAAACCATGCGGCCAATCCAGCCTCCGAGGCCTTCCTGGGTGCTCCGACTTCGTCCTCGGGGCTTGCCATTGGCGTCCAAATGCACATCTGGAGGATCGATGTCAAGACCCGGAATTGCGGCGTCCGCTGAGAAGACCCCTGGCTGAGGGGCACCTTGTCTGATATCGATAGATGATGGTGATCCCACACCCATGAGTGAGCCTCGCTCCGCCTGTGTCGCCGGTGTTGGCATCGCTGTAGTTGCGTCCCCAAAGAGCGCATTCATGTCTTCGAGCCTCACATTGGCCGTTTCTGGATAAACGAAATAGACTGACTCACGGTTAGCTCAGAACAGAATGAAGCTTCATCGTGACCTTACCGAGAACGAAACTGACGGCACAGAAGAAGGCATGTACCAGATACAGCCGCCACTTGATCGTCGTCTGAAGTACTGGCGTGAGTTCGCCCACCAGGAAATTGAAGGCCCAGTTGCTGGCCGTGCTCAAACTCGCACCTTTGGCTCGAATACTCAAAGGCAGAATCTCTGGAGGGTAGAGCCAAGGTATAGGTCCCCAGCTGGCTCCGAATGCTGCGTTGTAAATCATCACAAATATCACCACCAAAGTCGGAGTCCACCGCACGTCGATAAAGATGAAGTACCCAATCAACGAGAGGGAAATAATCATTGCCACCGCCCCAGACAAGAGGATAGGTCGTCTCCCCCATTTATCGACCAAGTACCAGGGTGGGACCGTGGATGCCAGGTATGTGATTGCGTTGATGCCCGTCATGAGGATAGCGTCTCGTCCGACCCAGCCTGCCGACTCGAACACCAACGGGGCATAATAGGAAATGACGTTGATACCGTTGAGTTGTGCGAAAGCTTGGGCCGACATGGCAATGAAGACGCGTTTATAGTATCGTTTGAACATGTCTGCGTATGACCTCTCCCCTTCCTGGCGCTGCAAGAGAACGTTCATCTTGATCTCACGGTATTCTTGGCGGGCCTTCGGGTTGTGGATGTCGCCTTTCCCGTAAAGGTTGGCGATGACGATGATGCCCTCTTCGTCATGGTCGTTATCCAGGAGCCATCTAAGGGCACCAAATTAGCCACTGTCCATGGTTCGGCATCCCACTTTGACTCACCGCGGGGATTCACAAATAATCAGACTGCCAAATCCGAGAAGCGCACCCATGAGGCATTGCATCAACAAGGGTATTCTCCACGAGAAGTCGCTTTCAATGAAGCTGCAGAAGTAGTCCACCCACACGCTCGCAGCGTATCCGGTAATGTTGCCTGTAAATTCGATACACGCAAGCTTGCCTCTGTTATGGGGCGGGCTGATCTCGGATTGATAGACGGGGACAATGGTCGAGAGAGCGCCGACGCCCAAACCTGCAATCAACCTTCCAACCATCATCATCGGCATGCCGTTGGCAAATGTCTGCAACATTCCGCCCACAAAGAATATCATTGATCCGTAAAGGATGGTCCGCCGGCGTCCAATGATATCACCAATGCGTCCAACACACAATGATGCAATGAGAGCGCCTATCTCCAGAATCGCAACCATTGTGCCGACCTCGGCGGGTCCAGGTTGGTTGAAGGCATCTCTGAAAAAGGGTCCACTGGTTCCCTGTTAGCAATGCTAGTGATACAACCACGGTGAACATACGTTATAATGCCCGACATAACGCCTTGATCATATCCAAAAAGAAACACGCCCAGAGACACGAATACACTGGTAAAATATCTGGATTGCATCAGTCAGCCAATGTACGATACTTTGTGAGTGCCAGGCTGTGTTTCATACAATAATGGCTTGCCCACAAGGCCCTTCGTCCGGGCGGCCTGGGGATCATTGGGAGCCATAATGAGAGCTAGTAATTTTTCTGTGCTGGAAATATGCCTCGGTGGAGGCTCCGGAATGAAGATAGCTTCTTTATCTATGCCCAGAGAGGGTTGCCCCTGCTCAGGATGGTCTTGTTCTCGAAATCCGACTCTCTTCTTCCGCCCTCCACCGTGACCACGGCCTGAGCCTTTGAGTCTCTGTCCTCCCCGCGTGAGAGGGTCGAGCTCAATCCGATACGGGTCTTCGTCGTTGGCGAGCTGTTCTGCAAGATCTCCAGTGTCACTCCACAGGGAGAAATCGTCAGACTCAGAACCCGAGTAGGGTGGTCGCCGATAGCTTTCGTCTTTCTCGTTCTCTATAGAATTCCGCAATGTGGACGAGGCGCCCTCGAAATCAGCTCCAGAACGAGACGAATGCGATCGGTGGTGGAGGAAGGACTGAGAGGGCTGTTGAGGAGAAGGAATGGTGTCGGTGATGGGAGGGTGGTCGTTACGACCAGCCCTGAGTCTTCAATGGGGGCTGCTCTATGTCTAAGAGAGGGTGAGCTCGAGATTTTCGGTATGTGGGTCGCGTGAGTGGTGGGGAGTGAGCTGTGTGAACCGAGAATCGGGCTCAATGATCAGACGACACGCAGACAGCGCCCGGTCAATGGTCGAAAGTCCAACAATGGCGAGAACATGGAGAGGGAGGTTGTGATCTGGTCACGGGAGTAGGCGGAGCAGACAAAGCCTCCACGGTTCCCATGTGAATGAGGATGGAGAAGGGAGGTCAATTCGACGTCGTCAAATGATGCAGGAGTGACCAGCTTGTAAAGTGAGTGACGAGGAGGTTTTGGAGAAACTTGAGTGAGCAAACGAGCCGACGGCTAACAGAGGGCCCGCCTGATGAGGTTGGTGGATCGAATGAGATACAGTACGGCGTACGGAGTACAGTACTGGATACGAGGGATTCTATCCGTATTCCCAGGGCGAAAGGGGGCGTCGGCCACCAGGAATCTCTGGGGAAAGCTCTCAGCCTTAAGCAGCGAAATAGGCTCCAGTCCAGGGCGTGCAGGGGCGCCGCAACCCTTATCCGGGCATTCGTGGCGCCTATCTTTAACGCCAACATGCCCTCCACCTCACCAACCTCTCCCTGGGAGCGACGTCACTCTCGTCTTGCCAAGCCACGAGCGCGCAAACTTTGCATGTTTCCTACAACCGCACACCACCGGCGGCAAATGGCATCAACGACCCTGGCCCGATGACTTTCTTCAGCAAGTGATCGGATACAAAATTTATGCGAGTCTCGTGACAAGCCTGCAGACCCGTATTCGGTTTTCTGCGGATGGCCACCTTCATGTTTTTGAGACTCTGACCACATCAGACTGGCACTCATTGAGGGGCGAGGGTTACCAGCTGGTCTCGTTGACTGGACAAAATCACCTACCTGTGTCTAGTCGTTACCACATGGCCATGCCATCAAAGGCGAGCGCCTAGATTACAGACCACCCAACCCAGTCATGGCTACGCCTCAGGTCTGTATCATCCCTGGCGTATCAGCGTTCTCCGAGTTTCGCCGCCAGGCTCTGGCCTCCAACATAGGTGCCCGAGACGTCCAAGGGCAATATATTCACTATGTCGAACCAGCAGGTCGCCTTGACTCAGAGAGCATTGCCCTTCTGATGAAGTTGTTGACCGATGGGCACCATGAAGAGGCGCAAGAAAAGGTAGACGAGCCTTCAAAAGTACTCCACGTCTTGCCAAGACCGGGCACTATATCACCGTGGAGTTCGAAGGCCACGAGCATTGCACACGTGTGCGGACTGCGGAAGGTCGTGCAGAGGATTGAAAGAGGTATCAAGATCACAGTTTTCCTTGAAGACGGACAGTCTTTGGACAATGCGAGTCTCGACTTCCTATATGACCGGATGACAGAGACCATCTCACCAGATGAGCCCGATCTAGATCTCTTGTTCCTGCACCAGGAACCCGGTACGCTCGGAACTTATGACTTATATAATGGTGGCAACAGCCCTGTGGAGATACTGCGAGACTTGAACCGCAAGCTAGGTCTCGCGCTGGATGACTCGGAGATTCGGTACCTCGTGGAAGCATACTCGAAGGATGGTCCTGTGCCAAGAAAACCTACAGATGTCGAGCTGTTCATGTTTGCTCAAGTCAACTCCGAGCATTGTCGACATAAAATCTTCAACGCAAGCTGGACGATCGACGGCAAGCCAAAGACCAATACGCTGTTTGGCATGATAAGAAACACTCATAAACAGACTCCAGAAGGTACTGTCAGTGCGTATAGCGACAATGCAGCCGTGCTTGAGGGCAGTAGTGGAAGTCAGTGGGCCCCGGATGATCTCAATGGTCAGTGGAAGTCAACAAAAGAAGGAGTGCATATGCTCATCAAGGTTGAGACGCACAACCATCCCACTGCTGTCTCGCCATTTCCAGGAGCC